GTCAGTGTCAATTTCAGTGTCAATGTCAATGTCAATGCCACTCCCCCTCTCTCCTCTCATTTCGCCAATCCTCCCGCAATATCGCCACTCCTCCCCTCTCCTCTCATTTCGCCAATCCCCCCTCGGCTTCTCCACACCCCCCACTACTTCCCCATAGCCAGCAGCTGTAGCAATGCTCTCTACGCTCGCCACGCACGCTCTAGGAGCATAGCTGGCGCCCCCCCAGTCCCCTCTTGTTGTTGTTGTTCTCTGATCTGCTGGGTTGCCTATCTATAAGGTGGCCGGCCTCTCTTCGTCCATTCCCTTCCTCCCCAGCAGATCAACACCAGTTCTTCTCATCTCCTGTTCTAGTCCTTGTTTCTTGTTTCGCCAATACAACCTCTTGTCGCCTATCACACTCGCCCTGTCTTCTCTACTTCGCTTCCGCCCCCGTCGTCGAGATCATAACAGTTTGATCTGCTCCAACACTGCGAAGTTCAGATCCTGTCCAGCCCTGCATCCGACAAACCTTTTTCGCCATGTCCCAACCCGGATCTGTACCTTTCACCGCCAAGCAATGGAACGATATGTGCCAAGCCATCGCCGCCTTGGAAAGCCAAAACGCCAACTTGCAGGCCAACCTAGCGCAGGCCCAAGCCGACGCACAAGCTGCCCAGAGCATCGCCGCCCAGGTTCAAGCTGATACGTACACCCGTCCCCAAGTCGCCAACCCTGCTCTGGAGCCAAGAATCAGCTCGCCCAAGAAGTTTGATGGTACCCGCAGGAAATCCCGTGGGTGGTTGAACAACATCCGGTTGATGTTTGCTCTCCAGCCCGACCGCTACCCCAGCGACATCATCAAGATCCAAACGATTGGCACCTACCTCACCGGCACTGCGCAAGCCTGGATGGCGCCCCTAGTCGAACGCCAAGATCACAGCCTTCAGGACTTTGATAGTTTTATCAGTCAGATGCAATCGGTCTTCGGAGACAGCGACAGGGTCTGCACCTCTGAAAACAAGCTCCAGAACCTTCGCCAAACCCGTGCAGCAACCGAGTACGTTGCTGAGTTCCGCCAGCTACAATGCGATGTCTCCTGGAACGACCAGGCCCTGATTGCTACCTTCCGCCGTGGCCTAAAAGAAGACGTCAAAGACCTGATGCTCACAATGCCCCCTGCGGCCGCCATTGATGTGTTGATGGAGCAGGCTATCCAGTGCGATAACCGGCTGTTTGAGCGCCGCCTGGAGCGAAACAGAAGCCGCCAGACCTTCCCGGTTCCCCATACCTTGTTTACTACTACCACCACTGTCGACCACAGCGAGCCTATGCAGATTGACGCCGCTCGTCCCCGCGGCCCTCTGAGCCCTCAGGAACGCCAACGCCGCATTTCCAACAACCTCTGCCTCTACTGCGGTGGCGCGGGGCACATTGCAAAAGTCTGCCCCGTCAAGAACAAGACCACCACCCGTGCCGCCAACGTCGACATCAAAGAACCCTCCACCGAACAGGGTTTTCCCAAAGTCCAGCCGCAGTAAAGCCCCAGCGACTGGACAACACACACCGCCCCGGGCCTCCTAACCTCGCAGCTCCTGCAACGGGAGAGGCCACCCCCCTGGTTCCCGACTCCGTTATAGCCGACACAACCCTCCTAGCCGCTGCCCATGTCGAAAACTCCGAAATTAACCCCCGCGCCATGCTTGCGTTGGGTCCCGTTGAACCCTTCAACTACCCCGTTACCATCATGGTATCATCCAGCCGCGCCCTGATACCTATCTCAGCCATGATCGACAACGGTGCCCTGTCCTGCTTCATCGACAGAGACTTTGCCCGCAAACACCGCATCGCCCTAGTCCCACAGCAGCGTCCACTGACGATTGAACTCATTGACGGTCAACTCAGCTCTGCTGGACCAATCACCCATCACACCCAACCAGTAGGCATGTGGGTCGACGACCACTTCGAAGAACTCGTCTTCCATGTCACCAAATCACCCCATGCTCCAATCCTCCTTGGTCTCCCCTGGCTCCGCCTCCACGACATTAACCTTGACTTCAAGAACCTTTCGGTCGGTTTCCGTTGCGACAGTCAGTACCATGAATTCGCGAATTGGGACAACTCTCCAGCACCCCCGAGCCCAGCACCCGCCAGAACCCCCGAGCCCTTGATCCGCATCCCCCAGGATGAAGTTCCCGTCAACGAAACATGGTCGATTCCAGTACCCAAGGTATCTCGCTCCAGCACCCCAGAACCGGCTCCCACGCCGCTCCGAGTCTCGTTCATCTCCGCCCCAGCCTTCCGGGTCGCAGCAAGGCATGACCAGGTCTTTGTCGCCTACACCAACCCTGCGAAACCCGATCTCCCGACCTCGCCTAGCCCCAGTAACCCCCCGACACCCGAGAAAGACATCAAAGACTTCCTGCCCCCCGAGTATCAAGACTTCGCCGACGTTTTCGAAAAGAGAAATGCTGACACACTCCCCGAGCACCGACCCTACGACTGTCCAATCGATCTGGAAGAAGGCAGGCAGCCACCTTTCGGCCCGATCTACAGCCTCAGCGAACCAGAAATGAAGGCACTCTGCGAATACCTCGAAGAAAACCTCGCCAAAGGATTCATCAAACCCTCAAAGTCCCCTGCCGGTGCGCCAGTCTTATTTGTGAAGAAAAAGGACGGTTCTCTCCGCCTCTGCGTCGATTATCGAGGCCTGAACAGCATCACGGTGAAGAATCGCTACCCCCTGCCCCTGATCAACGGTATCATGGATCGTTTGCGCGGCGCCCGCCGTCTCACCAAGATCGACCTTCGCGGCGCTTATAACCTCTTACGCATGCGCCCGGGCAATGAATGGAAGACCGCCTTCCGCTGCCGCTACGGCCTATTCAAATACAATGTCATGCCCTTTGGACTCAGCAATGCTCCTGGCCTCTTCCAGTACCTGATGAACGACATCTTCCGCGACATTCTCGATGTGTTTGTTGTCGTCTAAAGTCTGCAATCGCTCTAAAGACTCAGCAAGCCCAAGGACGCGCCCGGCAGCAACGACATCCTCCTCCCGCAACAACCGTTCGACTCGTCTTGCCAGCTTCTCGTTGATTTGAACGGAGGTCCCAAGGCGATTGGAGTCGTTGCCTCTGACGGACGACGTGGTTGCGTGTGCATCCTCAGGCCCTTGCCAAACGATCTCGACATCGCCATCGCACGCATCAAAGTCCATGTATACGCGATAGTCTGCATTCACAAAGACTCCACCATGACAGGCGAATCCATCCGCCTTGCTTTTCAGCTTGCCCGTTGTGTTCGAGACTGGGAACCAGATTCCGTATGTGAGCTTCGATGCGTCGTTATCGCGGTGGAATTTATTGGCAAAATCATCCCATGTGGCGGTGATATTGCTGGCAAAGGAGTCGTCTGCAACGAGGTTGCCGAATTCCGCTTGTGAAATGCTTGGCACGCGTGGTTCCTTTGCCCGCTTTTTGATGCGAGACAAGAGGTAAGGGGAAAGCTTATTGAGGAAGTGGATGTAATGCGCCTCAATGTTTGGTAACTCAGCTTGCAAGGCGGCCCACTTCTCCCTGCTAACGGAGTCCTTTTTTCGTGGTTGATAGATGCCCATGCGTTTTCCACTATCTGTACCCGCACGCCAGCCAACACCGATCATGGTACCGGATATCTGCGCGCCGTTTATCGTCACGGGGTAAGCGAACTGTCGCTGGTGGTGGAGGTGGAGCGCGATCTCCTCGAAACGGGCCCTGTCATCCGTGGACATATCCGCAAATGGACAAAACCTTGCCGCAAATACAATCTCATCTGTTTGCCTGTCGGCCACAACAACGATGTCCTTGTAGAGACGGGTGTACGGGTGATCGTGATCAACTTCCCTGGTATTTTGCTTGAGGAAGTCTTCGTGCGTAAGGTGCTTTCCAAACGGATGCGGGTTGGTTTGCTGCTCAGTCTTTCTTGTTGCCCAGAATATGTACGCACTGTCGTCGGAACCTATGGCACAAGGCCATACAACAGTTGGTCAGTCGCGTTGGTTGAGACGGGTCTGACAGCATACGTAATGAAACGAACCTTGATCAACACTTCTATGCTCAGCTCCAGCCTCAGTATCACCCGCCGTCTTCAATATCCTCCGCATGTTTTCATTCTTTTCTCGCTTGCGCTGTCGGTTTGCCGCCTTTCCCCTCGCCAGACCGGCTTTGGAACGTCGTCGCGGCTTTGACGTTGATGCTGATTCTGTCATGCTGATTTGCCTGGTGAATGGAATATGTAAATTAGTTGGGGCGGAGTACGTAGGTTGTCGCGGGAGCATGGGGGTGGGTTTGTGACGTAGAATGGCAAACGAATTGCGAGGCTGCCCCTTTTCCGGGCTGTCTCGGGCGATCGCGAGCCGAGAAGGTCGCTAAGCGTATCGCGAGGCTGCCCCTATTCCGGGCTGTCTCGGGCGATGGCGCAAATGGATAGCGTATCGCAAGGCTGCCCCTATTCAGGGCTGTCTCGGGCGATCGCGAGTCGAGAAGGTAGCGTATGGCGAGGCTGCCCCTATTCCGAGCTGTCTCGGGCGATCGCAAGTCGAGAAGGTAGCTTATCGCGAGGCTGCCCCTATTCCGGGCTGTCTCGGGCGATCGGTTTTGGTAATGTGTACAGCTTCTAATTCTCACCTGTAGTGTAGGGACTGTTGCCTTGAAGTTGAAGCGGTCGGTAGTAGGGGAATGTCGGCGCTTGCTTTTATACCCGCTCGAAAGGACCCTGAAGAAAAAGTTCACGCCGCCAGTGCAAAGTGTATCCTTGTGAACGGTTAGAAAACACTGTTAGGAGATGTGTTTGGGCCTTGCCCAACGCGGAAGGGCTGCCCATACGCTCGGCCTTACATGTACAGCCTTCACGCTCGGCCTTACAGCCTTCACCCTCGGCCTTACCCACGCTCGGCCTTACAGCCTTCACGCTCTCAGCGCCGTGGTTTGCCATTTGGTACGGCTGGTATGTAGGGGGTAGGCACTACTACCCCAGAATTCAATTTCCCGCAAATACTCATCATCCAAAAAACGAATCATGGCTCGAGTCCTGCAACATAGGGCACTCAACTCTCCTTCTTCCGCTTATGCAGATACCGATAGACGTACAGTACATGTGCAGTATTCGTGTTCAAACCGGAGATGAGATATGGTGGGTGATCACTGAGGAGGCTTTGCGACAAACCGGATGGAAGGGAAACAGGATGGTTGCACGGTAACGGGATGGTTGGACGGAAACGGGAGACGCAAGGATGGGATGCGGAACTACCACCTCGTTGCTGCAGGCGTCCCTCTGTCTGATATGAAAGTGAGACTGTTGCACACGGGAGAAGAGTGATGGTGGAGGAGAGGGGAGGTTAGCTGGCAGGTCATGCCGGGACGCCAGGACTCCCCCACTTGCAGAACATTCCCACTTGCACATCCTCACGCACATCCTCACGCTGGTCTCTTGTTTTACAGACTAAGCGACGAAACGAATTCAAAGGGGAGGGGAAACGGACAAAGCGGGCGACGGCGGTACACGCATTCAGTTGTTTTAATACACTTCTGAAGTAAGATGCAGTCGGAATCATCTCACGCTTCAATCTCAACGGCGAATCCGCGGAGGAATATGCCACAACAATTGCGCACCCCGACACAAGCCATATCCAGTGGATAAACGCCCGACGAAAACATCTATATGACCAGCTCGGAGCGGGAGAGAAGGAGGCGATCGAAGGCATTCCGTTGTCCCCAATTCCAACTCCAACACCAGCCCATGCCCTCGACGCATTACTGAGCGCCGCGAAACATCTCCTCACTTACCTCGATTCCAGTATTGAATTCGGATTGTTTACCTTTGATCCCACTACAGAGTGTGCAACAGCAACAGGGACATCTCCGATGCTGTGTGCGATGCTTAGTGACGGGTTGGCATCTAAAGCCGATAATGGTTATCAGCAAATCGAGACCCATTTTTGCACGCTTGCACGTAAGTAACATGCCATTATCCTCATGCTCCGTGTGTCTGTCCTCCCCACTAATCACAGATATTATAGAAACCGCTTCATGCCCCCCCAAACGCCGCATGTACTTTACCTCCAGGGAGGATATCGTTGCGTTTGTCAAAGAACGCTACAATCAGGCATTCGTGAAGGAGCGTCACCGAATACGTTTTCGCGAGATATCGGCCTTCCATGAGGGACACCCATATGCGAGCGGGTGTCCGCTATATCATCCATACTTTGCCGCGCTGGCCAAAGCAAAAATGGATCAAGGTCAGCGAGACATGTGGGGAATGTATGCTCCTTACCTGGAATTCAAGTGGCGCAAAAAGGGGCAGAAGCTGTCTCTAGGTAAGGCGACCGGACCGTGTTCCCGCATGCATTGACACAGCGCACTCATCTATGTATAATAGACGACATTTTTGCTCCGGTTCTCCTAAATGACCCTCTCGCTATGCGGCCCGGGGCGCGGATCCACCAGTTTGTTGACAAGGCTGCATGGGCACAGAACCGGGAAGGAGATCACCAGCCCACACCAACACCTGGCCCAACCCACACTACCACACCCAGCGCCATCTCAAACCCCGACATTGGCTTTGCTTTCGGCGGATTTGACGACGGCGGCGGTGGAGTTGAAATCATGGCGGACAGCGGCGGTGGCGGTGGAGTTGAAATCATGGCAGACAGCGGCGGCGGCGGTGGAGTTGGAATCATGGCAGACAGCGGCGGCGGGGGTGGAGTTGAAACCATGGCGGAGAGCGGCGGCGGCGATGGCAGCGGCAGTGTGGTGGTGGCCGGCAGAAGCGAGGGTCTGTCGAATACGGGGTTACGGTCGGGTGTCGGGAAAAATAAGCTGCCGGTCTCTCAATAGCACAAGAAGAGATCTCAAGCAAGAGCGTCGTCTTGCCACTTCATTATCCAGGTGCTTTGAAAGGAGTCCTTCTTCTAATACGGGGTCAGGAATTACGGGCACGGGTATGAAATACGGAATCGGAATATCTGCAGGTTTGACTACAAAACAAAACAACGAGGTTATTCAGTCTCACTCTCAGCTCTTCTTACGTACAAGATTCCTGAACTGTCGAGTACTCGGCGACGTCAGCAAAGTACAAGTCGCGACACTCGGGGTCATCTTGTCTAAGCTCTCCGGGTCTATGAGCGCGCCTTGAAAGTCTATCAGAAACTGAAAGAAGTCGTCGGGAGTAGAGAAGTAGAAAGCTCTGTTGTTGATCAGGATCTGTGTTCTGCGTGCACGAATCTGGGTTCTGCGTATTGTACAAAGGTCTGGGGAAAACAGGGGGGTTTTATTATGATTTTTCTAGGCTACGGGATTTTGTCGAAGTCCAAACTCTCTACTAGTCATCTCTAGAGGATTTAGCTACGTTGGGGTCTTTTTCTCTTTTCCTGCGGCGGTCTACGTAGTTTTTCCTTTTTCCATTCGCAATTTTGGCGCTGATACAGTCTTATCGCTAATCTTTTCTCGGGGTTTTCTGCAACGTTCGGCGTATACGGTCACCGGAAATTGGTTTTCTCGTTTCGCAGGTGATTTCTTCAGCGTTTCGGGCGTCGTGGGAGCTTCTGGTTGGTTGAGAGTCGGGTTGGGGGTGCTTTCATGTGTGAGATCCTCTCCTACGCCTACATTTTTTGCATGTCAGTCGTATCCGAGGACAAAACGTTGTTGTGAAGCAAGGCTTTGGTAAAGGTAGTTGTATTTGGTAATCGTCGGAGTGTCGGGAACGCGAGTGTGTCGATTTATTGTCGGAAGTTATGACGGTATTTTGACGTTGTCATATAAAGGTGATTTCATTCGCTCGTCGAAGATTCTAAGCGTATAATTGGCGTCGAAATATTATCGATTTCATGCGCAGTTCGAAGCGCACTACTACAGCGGCGGTGGAGTTGAGGGAGTTGAAGAGGACCAGGCGCGACAGATGATGAAGACTACCTATGATGAAAAGCAGCTGCTAGATTTCGTCGCGCAAATGGCAGAGACCATGAACACACTCCCAACCCAGACAGACAACTTGGCAGCTCAGCTCTCTTTGGCAGCTCAGCTCTCTTTGGCAGAGCCCAACATCGAACCAGTCAAACCCGTCGCAGCCGCCACTACTGAATCTCCTACGCATGCGCGCGTCAACAATGAAGAGCTAAACCCCGACCCCTCCGCAATGAATATAGACGTTGACGGTTGGTGTAACCGGCCGCCGGCAATGTGGAAAGGCGAGCCGTGGCCAAAGGTGGATGGAAAGCATCTCATCTTCCTTCAACGTGTAATCAGGAGCAAAAATTTGCCGGTGGGCCAGTGGGCTCTCGGATGCGGCAGAAAGGAAGGAGCAGGAGATTTGAGGATACTGGCAGGGTCGTCGATCATCGAACCCGCTACCATTCGGTGGATTGTCAAAACCGATAGCTGGCTGAACGATCAAGCTGTCAACAGGTCCGTTCCCGCTTTCCGTGCGAGTGTGTTGTGTGTCATTGTTGTCACTCACTGATGCTTGTCTCTGGATATATAGGTGGTGCGCGTTGTTACAAGCCAGGTCATCACGGCACCCAACCATTTATCCGCCACTGCTAGCCGTTGCATCCACCTGGCTCCAAAGTGTCAAAATGGCACGGAGATCCAATGTCCCTATTCGGCTTGTTCCGGTAAGAAAAGTTACTTAACCGTACCGTTCTTAACTAAACTAACTTTCCTTTGTTGTTTTATGTTAAGCGGTCGATCAACATTGCAGAGTACAACATACTGCTATTCCCAACAAACCCAGACAATCTGCACTGGGTCCTGTTTGCAATACTCGTCGCGGTGCCGGCGCCCAAGTCCGCAAAACCCCTGGGCCCCCCTGGCTCGCCATTAACCAGACACGAAAACGTATCCCTCGTTTTATTTGACTCAAAGCCTCGCCCGAACGACCACGACTACGTTGATAAGATGGCCAATATCGGCTCCCTCTTGTGGGATTGGTACATTACGGCCACTGAAGCCCCGCTCAATCACACACCGACACCGACACCGACGGTTGACGCCCTCTTCACGCCTCGACAGCGCGACGACCATAACTGCGGGACATTTGTGTGCATGATGGCTGAGGCCATTGCCCGTGGTGCCGTGGGTGAGGTTACCGAATCATGGGTCAATACGCAGACCGCCGTCAATGCCCGCCATAACATCGCGCTGAGCATCGTGTTGGCCATGTTTCTTCACGATGGTGATGCTCATCAGTATACGGATGTGACGAAGTGCTAGAGATGGAAGATGCAGATGCCGGGATGGAGGGTGCAGAGATGTCGGCGTAGGAGGAGGTGCAGAAGGGTGTTGTGCCGAAAGATGCGAGCTCCTAGTTGTGATAGGGGGAGAGTATAGTATATTATACGTATAGTACGTGCCTTCGTATCCGTCATCCATCCACCTCGTAGCTTTCCTCAAACGCGTTGGAACATATGGAAGCTACATCCATGTTTTCTTGCGCAAGAATGGTTCCACAACACATTCCTCTCACATCATTCAGGTCTTTGTTCTTTGCTCTAACAGCTTGATGCAATAAATCACGTTCAAGATCACTCTCATTCAGATTGTTTATTACAGAGAAAAACAGATGAGGGTCGAGAGGACAGCCTCGATAGGCGCAGCCATATCAGACAATTTTTTTCGCACCACAGCCCGTACAGTAAACCCCCAATGATCCGTCCATCCTACTCCCATCCCACTCGAAATCCACACTCATGCGCGATAAGCCGGCGGCGGCGCACTCAGATCCTCCCCACTCGGCCGTCCCCCAACTGTCGTTGTAGGCGGCGGCGGTCCGGCCGGCGGCGGATACTGTGGGTACTGCGGCTGGCCGCCATTCGTACTAGCATTACTATGCCTCCGATCATGCAAATCAGCAGCCGAGTGGCCCGGTTCCGGGAACAGCAGCGGTGCTTGGCTCTGTCCCTGGTTCTGATTACGGTGTTGGGCGTCGTAGGGTGTTGGAGTTGGGTAGTGACCGTTAGGTTGGTGTGGTGGCTGTTGCTGTTGCGTCATAACAGGCGGCGGGCCAGTATACACGCCCCCAGATCCCATCCCAAACACTGGCCCCGGACCGCCACTGAGGAACAAACCCCTCCTGCGTCGTCGTCTCCGCATGCAGAAGAGACAAAGTGTGAGGAAGAAGAGCAGCGCAATAAACCCGCCGACGGAGCCGCCTATGATGGAAGGGTTTTGATTTTGCGCGCTCCAGCCGCCGCCGTAGGGGCAGGTGCCGTAGACGGATTGGCAGCTTGCGGCTCTGAATATAGAGATGGGAATGAGTCTCTCCGCCTCTCCCTCCCAGAACTCTCTGCATACTTACGAGCACTGATTATAGTTTGTCCAGTAATTGTTCCCGCAATAGCATCGGCACATCGCTTGGACCCCCTGTGGCGCCATGAGTGCGACGAGCAGGGTTGTAGCGAGGAATCGTGGTTTGAGGAGCGTCGAACGGATCGAAGACGTGGATGCTAGTGTCATTTTCGGGAAGAGTATGAATGTGGGTATGTTTAGACTGTATTTCCTGGCGAAGGTGGATGTCGACCGTCTTTTCTGGTGCGCAAATGGCGGGGACGGTGAGTATTTATGTTCTGGGTGGAGGGAAAATCTTGGGTCTTCCTTATGGAACTAATGCCAGCCTCATTTGTCGCTTCTGACGATATGTGGCACGAAAACAACCCGTCGGGTGTACGAACTTATGATGGAGTCCCTTTGCCCGTGCTGCCTTTCTGCAACAGTGCAACTCACCTTCTGACAGCGCTTTTATGACTTGAAAACTTGAGAGTGGGGCGGGGTTGAATCTGAAGGTCGCCAAGAGACAGGGAGAATGTAGGAGGAATACGTCATTCCCGCTTCTCTTGTCCAAACGCGTGTCGATGAGTCGTGAGATGATGACGCACGCGTTGAATAAGCTTGTTTTTGAAGGCTGTGTGGTTGAAGGTTCCGTCGTCCACTCCACCAGTGGCTTCATAGAAAGGCTAATGGAAATCGGGCCCTTGGCATAATCAGCGGGGGGGAAAGAATGCGCTTGAGGTCAACGAACTCCGGAGCGAGATTCTCATGTCCAGAGGTCGTCGTCGGGCGCGGTCCCGAGTCTTGGTAGCTCTTTCTGGCGTCTGGAAAGAATGGAAAGCGGGAAACCGCCGGACGGTTCCGCTAACTTAACCGTGTCCAGAGTCACTGCATGCAGGTGCTGCCTTCCTGCATTGTGGCAAAGTGACTGACTCCCTGCATTGTGGCAGCTGACACTTTCTTGGACTTCGTTCTGTTTCCATTACCATATTAGTATAGGCTGCCAGATATCTGGGTACGACGCCCAAGGACACATCAGTCCGAGCATAGCCACAGGCTCAAGTTACCGACCCCCATGCAGCCCAGGGCAGGATTGACAGCTGGCCGGTGACTTCTGGGTTAACCACCCGTCGTAACGAGATATCTGGCAGCCTACTGTACAGTACATCTTCCTCATCCCTCACACACAGCCTGAGGATGTCCTAATCGGTTCATTCCCGTTGTCCAACGGCAGGGCTGTTATTTTTTTTATAACATGAGCTGAGAATCGACGTACTGTACTGTATGATACTATATCCATGTAAGATCTACCCATGGGAAAGCGATAGCAAATGTCGTGGGTCTGGGTACGTGGTAGATGTACAGTACAGTCAGCGGACAAAAAGCTGTGTGCACCCCATATGGATTTCAATGACCGTTTCACAAAGCGCACCGCGCGTTTTGGAGCCGCAAGCTTGAGTATTGAAGCCAGCGACGAAGCCGTGATGGCGAAATGCACGCCAACATCTTCACCACCTCAGCTATGGGGAAACCTCTCACACCACAAAAAAGGGCAGCCATAGTTGCCCTCCATATAGCAGGCAAGACGACATCTGAAATTGCAAGGCAGGAGCACGTTCACAGGAATACTGTGAGGAACACTATTAAGAGGTTTGCGAACGAGAGTGCCACTGCACCAACCACCTATCAATCGAAGAAGCCAACAGGAAGACCAGCTAAGTACCAGCCTTCTGACGATGATTTGGCTGCCTTCCGCAGTATTGTCGTTGCTGACAGTAGCACTTGGGAGAAAACACTAAAACAGATCACTTTTGAATTCACACAGCTCACCGGACTCCAGGTGTCTGCAAAAACAGTGCGTCGCTACCTACGGGACATGCTCTATCTCACCTCGCGTTTCAAGGTCCGAAAGCCACTATTGACAGAGGACCATAAAGCAGCACGCCTTGCATTTGCACTGCAGCACCAAGACTGGACGGAAGCGGACTGGTCTCGTGTTTTCTGGACTGATGAGACGTCCTTTGAAATTGGCTGGGTACCTAAAATGCGGTGCTGGCGCTTACGAACTGAACGTTTTCATCCCGATTGCATCCAGGGCACCAGGAAGAGTGGACGAAAAACATTCATGTACTGGGGAGCATTCATTGGAAATGCAGTAGGTCCAATGAAAGAGATGCAGCGTGTTCAGCGGGAGGGTCAAAACCGTGGAGGGATTAACTCTACTGCCTATGTGCAACATCTTACTGCTAACATGTTGCCGATGTGGCGGAATCTAGAGATTTTTCTTCCCAATCCTCTCTTCATGCAGGACAACGCCCCTATTCATACATCGGCTGAAACTCGACAGTTCTTTGATGAACACGGCATTGAGCTTCTTCCCTGGCCAGCGCAGAGTCCAGATCTCAATCCGATTGAGAATCTGTGGGCAATGCTCACACGGAAGGTATCGAAAGCGAACCCTACCCCTGGAATGTTGGACAACGTTGTGCAAACTATATGGCCCACAATGCAGCCGCATCTTGATGCATTGACACGGTCAATGCCATCAAGAATGGCAGCCGTAATCGCAGCCAATGGGGGGACAACTAGGTATTAGCGAAATTCAGATCTAGATCCATTCATTTAGGTCAGGTTTCGCAATGCCCCAAGATTAAGGATGATGAGTTGATGTCGCGCAACGCGCGTCAGACACTGACTTAATCTGGCATGCACACAGCTTTATGTCCACTGACTGTACAACTGAAGCCCGTTGCGATCACATGAAGGCCTGACTATTAGCGCGGCAGGTCACACTGGGCCTAATAAGCTTGTCTAGGCTATTTCATTTGCGCTGCGGACGTCGGATCATCGGAGTCCTCCTGCGGCTTAAGGCCCAGGCTTGGCGTTGAGACGCGGTGGGAGTGAGTAAAAGCTACAGCCCACCGTGGAGAAGGTCACAAACTCTTTAGGTTGGCGTTGAGTTTGTGTACAGATCGACAGGTATTGAAGATTTTAAGATTATATGAATCTATGATAGTGAAATAGTCTGGCTGGTGACTTTTCGTTAGGCTGGTGACTTTTCCGTTAGGCTGGTGACTTTTCCGTTAGGCTGGTGACTTTTCGCATCGGCGCCCGCGTCTGGACTCGGGGTTGTGGTTGGTAGCACTGGTAGGCACTTTTTCCAGCCGCTAATTTTTGCCTAGCTCTGAGAGCTCATGGTGGTCCTTGATCCCATAGGATCCAGGCAGTTCATGAGGGCTATATAAGAGGGAGTACCCTGATGTTGGCAAGACCTGCTTCGCCAAAGCTTCCCCTTGCCGAACCCGTCGTGTCTAGCAGCCATGGACGAAAGAACCCAGTCGCGGTCCAGCATGTGGCCTCAACGAAAGAAGAGAACGACAAGATACTGCACTCCAACATCGACGAAAAGGACCGCGAACTCGACGCATTTGACCAAAAGGACATCGTGCCCAAGAAGCGTCTCTATGGGTCCTACGTGGACTTGCCTGAAGGGCTCCCCGACGAAGGCTCCGCTCTTACCATCCGTGCGCTGGTCGTCGGAACCCTGCTTGGATCTATCGTGGGCGCATCCTCCATCTACCTCGGGCTGAAAACCGGTTTCACCTTCGGCGCTGCTCTGTTCGGAGCGATTCTGGGTTGGGGTATCCTCAAGCCCCTTTCCCACTTTACCGGCGGGTTCTTCGGGTCAAAGGAGAACTGCACCGTGCAAACCACCGCCACCGCTGCCGGTGGATTGCCCTCCATCTTCGTGGCCGCTGTACCCGCCATGTACGGTTTGGGCCTGCTCGGGTCGGGACCTCGTGAGGACTTTGGCAAGCTTCTGGCATTGAACTTCATCACCGCGTACTACGGTCTCTTCTTTGGTGAGCTTCCTCTTTCTTCTTTCTCGTGAGATGTCTTGCCGCCGTTGCATAAAGCAAAGCTAATTCTACCGACCCCTCACGTCTAGCCATTCCCCTTCGTAAATACTTCATTTTACAATTGAAGCTCGTCTTCCCGTCACCGTTCGCCGCCGCTTCCACCATCGCTTCTCTTCACACCGTCACTGGTGCAGCGGTCGGCAAGAAGAAGGCCTACATCATGTTCCTGTCCATCATTGGTACCATCCTCTGGAACGTCATTGGGTCGGTCTTCATTCCGGGACTCTACAAGATGCGCATCTTCGCGTGGCTCTCAAGAACCGGCTGCGGTTCCACGTGCTGGGAAGCCCACCTGTGGGGTTGGGCCATCGAATGGACTCCTGCTTTCATCGGTGCTGGAATGCTCACGGGGCTCCATTCGTCCGTCTCGTTCTTCTTGGGTTCCGTCACCGCCTGGGGTATCGTCGGCCCCCTGCTGGTTGCAAACAAGTTGGTCGCCGGGAAAGGCTACCTCAGCATGCCCGGAAAGTCGGTCGACGCTTCCAGCCCCACCGGCGCAACCGCGCGTTACTGGTTGCTCTGGCCTGGTATCATGGTCATGATCGCCGCTTCTTTCACCGAATTGTAAGTTATGCTCATTCAGCTTGAGATATTATGAGCAAAGATCTCATATCCTTTTCTCTGTCCCCTTTAGGTTCTGGAATTGGCGCACCATGGTCGCTGGTTTCAAAGGTCTTTACATCCAGCTTTTCCGCCGGAACTCGGCCTCCGTGGGGATTGTCGGCGACGAGGACGAAGACCCAGCAGGCCCAGAAGAACAACCCAAAGCCTGGATGTGGGATGGCGGTCTCGTTGCGTCGATCGTTCTGACGGTCATTGTTGGATCGACCATGTTTGGCGTTGGTGTGGGTGAGGGCATCCTCTCTGTCATCCTCGCTTTTGTGTTCGCCTTCATCGGTTTCCAAGCCTCGGGAACCACCGGTGGGTATTCTGGCGATGAACTTCTATGATTGGTTGACGAACTTGGATCTAAACTCAACTTTTTGAACATAGACATCAACCCCACCGGCGCCATCGCCAAGACTGCCCAGTTCGTATATGGAGGCATTACTAGGGCCAAGGGGATGACTGAGCCACCTTTGGTGCAAAACGCGCAGATGCAAAACTTGATTTCCGGGGCTGTCGCTTCCGCCGCCGCCAGTCAAGCCGTCGAGATGGTCGGTGACCTGAAAACCGGCCACTTGCTTCGCGCGTCACCCAAGACTCAGTTCCTCGCTCAAGCCATTGGCACCTTCTTTGCCACCTTCATCTCCCTCGGCCTGTACGTCTTCTACGTCGACGCATACCCGTGTATCAACACCGTGTACGCGAACAAAGAAGGCGAATGCAAGTTCGAGTTGACCGCTGCTTCTGCGTGGGCAGCTACAGCTATCGCTTTAACGCAGAAGAACCCGGGAATCCCCCACACGGCTGCTGTCGCCGCTCTCATCATCGGAGCCCTCACCGTGTGCCTCATCATCGCCCGTAAGATGCTGCCCCCGAGATTCGCCTGGGTCATCCCCAACATGTCGGCCATCGGCGTCGCATGGGTCGTCCAAGAAACCAAGTACGGAAACGCCATGCTTTTGGGCTCGACGATCGCGTACTTCTGGTCGAAACGCAATGCGGCATCGTGGGAAATCTGGGGCTTCGCATTGGCTTCCGGGTTCATCGCCGGTGAAGGATTGGGCGGCCTCATCTCGGCGGCCCTGGAGATTCTGAACTTCGAGGCCTCCTCGGTCGGCTCGAACTTTGCCTGCAACCCAAAGACCTTCGGAAGCTCCGAGGTTCCCTTCTGTGGGTAGATAGTCTCTCACAAGTGCTGGTCATTTGTTGTGCGCCGGTCGTGACCGCGACCACCGTCTGGTTGCCATGTAGATTTCTTAACCTGGCGTTGTTGCTCAAGTACGGCGTTCGTGCAATACCCCAGGCTGCTATATAGATTTCTTAGCCTAGCCTTGTTTAGATGCTGCCTCTTCAAGTCTTTGTCCATCTCATCTGAAATAATTGAAATGACATTGAAGTGGTGAAATGAGTTTTTGCAAGCACCCGCTGTCGTGATTATGTTCCAGTCCGTAAATTCCACTATGCCCCAATTCCCTTTGCAAAAGTTATGCACGCTTCCAGCTCTACTATGCAATGTATATGATACTAGATTCAACACCCTGATTACAAGGAAATGCCCCTTCCTTGGAAGGCTGGAGAAGGCGCCAACGGACAGTATGGATGCAAGACTTGGAAAGGATGTCCTGAACATGCAGTCTACCTTCAAGTCCAATCCAGATACCCGCTCGAAGATCATCTGTGTGGATGCGGCGCAAAAGCAGTGGACATGGAACCATCTCGGACACCACGCGTGGCTTCTGTCGTGGCTCCGAGCGGAAGCTGACGTGGACGTGCCATTTTTGTTTGTCGCCCTTTTTGTTCACACCTCCATAAACACACTGGTTGACATTGGCATAATCCCTAGGTGAAAACTGCAAGCAACAGCTTCCTGACGCCGCTCACATTTCCTCGCAAATTCTTCGAATACTCACTCTCCCCACCTTCGCAGTATAAGATGTCGAAAAACGACAAACAGCAAAGCCGCTACGACACGGACTCGGAAAGTGGCGGCCCATCTTGCTCCCATCCATACCCATCCGATTTTCCACCGCCATATGCACCCGACAGCCCTTCGAACAGCAAAGACCCTAATATACCTTACGTGGACCCTGCTAAAAGTGGGAGTGGCCAGGTGCATCCTGCTGGCGGGCCTGTACCATTCCCATCGGCAATACATGTGCAGAATGCGGCGCAGGGGTCTTCTGCAGCCCAGCAGCCGCCGCCGGGACAGCCACGCATCGCCTTCCCGGACCCATATGCACAACAGGGGAACGCAGGGTATGCTCCACCCGCCAGACCGCCACCACAGGGCAACGGTCCATACGGTCCTCCAGGCCACCCACCCCCACAACAACAACAACAACAACTACAACAGTTCACCCAACCTCACGTCCCACCCACCAACAACAACATCGTCTACACCCAACCCCACTTCGCGACCCCCATGCCCGCCCCGCACGCCGGCGCCAGCCCCTACGTACAAGTTCAAGGCCAGCTGCTCGTACCCGGCGCCGCCGGCGTAACGCAATACGGCACAGCCGCAACAACCGTTATAATCTCCTCACCCAGCCAGCGTGCCTACCTCGGCCCAAACCCCACGACGGCGCTATGTCCGCGGTGTAATAGGGTCGTGCAGACGATGACGATCCCCGTGACGGGGTTGATCACGTATTGCATGTCCGGGGCGATTTTGCTGGCGGGGTGTTGGTTGGGGTGTTGTTTGATCCCGTTTTCGATGAATTCCATGAGGGATGTGGCGCATCGGTGTCCGCAGTGTGGGTATGGGCTGGGGGTTTATAGACGGCTGTGATGGGGGGTTGGGGGGTTGACGGGATGTTGTCTGTTCGGGAGTTGAGCGACACCTCTTTCGTGGCGGTCGGTCATGCATTATCTTTGGGCCATGGACGCTCTGATGAAGGCTTTCAAATAACTTTTGGCATTTTGGGCGAGAGAGCTGAACACCATAGTATTATTCATCACAATGCACATCCTTCTTTGACGTATCTGTCGTGCATGTTCGTATTGCAGAAGCGTCCAGATTCGCCATAAAGGTCGCGGCCATTTTCGGACATCGAAGACGCGGCCATGTCCGTGTGGTCCGTGTCCAGGTCGTTTTTAGTCGCTCAGCAGTGGAATCTCCCTCGAACCTCCCCCCACACGAAGGCCCGCCAGGAACAAGCACCTTGTCTTTTCGCACGTGCCCATATACCAAGCACTGCAGAGCGTTGAACAGCTTCCAAATCATCCGCTATGAGCTCAGGTCCATCCGGTGCCCCTGCAGCGGGCCCCGGAGACGAATTCGACAACCTCACCCGAGCGCAGCTCATAAGTCTGATGACCGACCTTGGTTTGTCTGGGAAGAACAAGAAGGTACATTTGAGTCACTTAGTAATAAGTAGAAATTTGCACGGTGTTGCGGACTGAAGATAAACAATGTAGACGGCGGTGATCCGCGATACTTTAAGGGCCCATGCCATGGTAAAGGCCAACCAGCGCGAACGAGAAGAAAAACAGACCAATAACCCAGCCGGGGTTGATACCGAACTTCAGCCAAACGACCAACAGACAGCTGAGGAAGCCACTCCCGGGGACGCTTTCCCAGGATATCCCAGCCCTTCCGAAAAGCGTCCTGCTGGGCTCGACGTGGCCGTGGGACAGCGACGGAGTCGGCGGGGGCGTGCGGTCGTAAATGATGGCGTGGGGATGGAAAGTAGTGAAGGGGCGGGTGGGAAGGAAGTGGATGGGCTGGTTGATGGGGTTATTGCTGCGGCGCCTGAGGCGGAGGCGGTGGATGTGACTGCCCAGATGGAGGGTTTCGAGACAGACGCTGCTGGGCAGCTGCAGGAGCCGGTTGCGCAAAAGGTGGGGACAGATACGGAGTCGCATGACCACAGCAACCTGCTTTCCGACTCGTCGAACCATATCAAACTCCACTTTGCGAAGGACGGACAGAAATCCATAGCTGCGCATGAGGAACCTGCTGCAGCCGAGGTCGAGGCGACGTCGGCGCATGCGGACGCGTCAGTCGAGAAGATGATGGAGGAGATCGGGCCGGGGGATTATATGGCGAGTGATGCACAGGAGGACGGGTCTGCCTCGTCGAGAACTATGTCGCCGAGGAATTCTAGGTCGGAGACCTCGGAAGAGAAGGATTCGCAAGCGGGATCCCAGACGGAGGGGGCGACACCGTCTGCGCAGGACGCCGCGGTGCCCAGCGTGGCGGACTTCCTGAAGAAGCAGGATATGGACGCGTTCCAAACGGTGTTTGAGAAGGAGGAGTTGATGGATTGGGCTGTTGTGAGGGCTGTGGGTGTTGAGACTTTGCGCGCGTTGGGGATGACCGCTGGCGCTGCTATTCGATTTGTCTTGGCTGTTAAAGGTCAGTTTCCCCCGGACGCTCAAGTTTTGCGCATATGGTAACCTGCCGTGGGACGCTACTAAACCATTTTTCGTTCCACGCCTTCAAACAGAACTGTCCGCAGACACCGCAGCACCCGAGGAAGTCAACCTCACGATCCCCGTCACCAGCATTCAGTCTCTGCTAGAGGAGCTGAAATCGCTCAACGTCAGCAGCACCAACAAAACCAAAACGAACCTCCCGCAGCGCCGCGCCAAAACAGCTCCCCCGACAACAACGACACACCGCCGCACGCACACCGCCTCGACCACCACCAGTGACACCAACGCGATCGCCCCCATCGCCCCCGCAGCAGAACCCATGAACCTCTCAAAACCCGACCCATACAAACGCCTCCACTCCGCAATCTCAGCCTTGACACCCAAACGCGGCAGCGTCGCCCCCCCAATCACAACAACAACAACAAACGCGCCCCCGGTCCGAACAACCAACGCCTCCCGTCTCCGCGCCCAACGTCTGCTCAACAACTCCGTTCCCGACTCGGGCTTTCTGGGTAGCGGCAAGGTCGGGGAGGCGGCGGCGGGAGTGGCGGGTGTTGCGCCGGCGGGAGGAGTGACTGGGAGAGGGAGATTGGCGCCTGCACCTGTGAATAGGTACTTTGCGCCTGGGACGCCTGCGGCGAACGGGAAGAAGGGGAGGTAAGATTGGGGGATTTTCTTGGGGCATAGGAGATGGGTGTTGATATCTCTTTGTTTGCGCGTTTGATAGGCAGGTTACGGTGGGAGTTACGAAGCGGGGATAGGGTGGAGTAGAGTGTTGGTTGGGTTGTTTCTGAACGATCATGGTTTGTGTGGTTATGTACGCGAAGGCGGCGAGATGGGTTGCCGGGCGATTAGTAAAAGATGTTTCGACTATTCTTGAATACGGGATGGAGGATTTGTGTCATATGTATTTCCTTGTGCTATTTTCAGAATTATATCCCAATTCATCCTCTATCGTAGTTTCTGCATCCTGAACATGAAACCCGTATTCGATTATGCTGTTTCGGGGTTTTTTGTAACAGCTGCGGAAACTTTGAGCGAGCTGCACCCTGCCCACTTTGTGTTTCCGACACCGCCCTTCGGTGGACAGAGCGTCTTCTTGATTCCAGGAAACGGATCTCCCTCAGGGGATCACTGCATAAGAATGACCACGGTCGTAACTGTAGGTCTATCTGATGAGGGTCTGGTCTACCTTCGCTGAGGCGGGCCCGTCAAATCCACCCTCGCCTTGAGATTGATTCGCGCGCATTCACCGCCAGGTCGGCCGTCGCCAAGCTCCCGCTATTCCTAGTAAGTAGATCACCGTATCAACGCTTCCACCGTGGACCCGGTTGTCACTCTCACGCCGATGCTGGCGTCTTGCCTGTACCCCTAGGGACAGTGGCGACAGCCTCGAACGTGACGGCGCCGTTTTCGTGGGCTAAGGCCCGGAACACAATGTCACCCAATTTATTCGCTCATTCTCCCGAGATGTAGTCCGAGTCAAGCCAAACCGAGTCGTTCATAGACGCCCAAGCCTTGTCAAGCTCACAGCTGAATATTACCCCATGGCAAGGTGCATGTCCAGAATACCAAGCTTTAAAGAGCAGCGCATTGTACTGTACATCCAGTACAGGCTGTCGAGGTGGGTGCCCGCCGTGTCTTGCGTACGGCATAGGGTTTCGAGGGCCGTTTCCCCAATCATCTCGTATATGTTCTGTCTCATCCTCATTAGGTTAGGCCGGTCCGTCAGCGGGTGGCTCATATCGAGTGATACCCTGGTGGTCTACGAGTTGTTTGCCTTCGACAGAAGGGTATTGAGAGGCCGTGGATTGCTTGCGTGCACTGCAGGACTCTCGAAGCTGTCGATTCGAACCTTGTCAAAGGTCGGACAACGGTCGGAGGCTCGGAGCCCTGTGCTACGACTACGATGCGTCACTTTTCTTCTCTGGAGTCAGGACTGGCTCGCCGTCGCCCACAGCAAGGGCGAAGCAAACAGCAGTAGCTTTTCACCTCTGTCAACTCACTTCCGCGGGAGCGACCGCTCGTCAGCATTTCAAAATGCCTTCGGAAGATGCTGCAGACATTGCCGCCGAGATTGCAGCCCAGGAGGCAGCGCACGCAAAGAGAATGAAAGAACTGATAACCCTCACCACCATCAAAACCGCCGCCACCCGTCTCACAGCCCATACGCACCTAACCCCCCTGCTAACCAGCACAACCCTCTCAACCCTGCTCGGCCCCTGCCCTTCAACAACCACTCCCCGAACCCTCCTCATCAAAGCCGAAAACCTCCAAAGAACCGGCTCCTTCAAACTTCGCGGCGCGACCAACGCCATCACCAAGCTGCTGGAATCCGATCCCGTGGGAGCCAGACAGAAAGGCGTGGTGGTGCATTCGAGCGGCAACCATGGCCAGGCGGTCGCGTTGGCTGCAAAGAGGGCGGGTGTACCCTGCACGGTCGTGATGCCGCGGGACTCGCCCGGGGTCAAGCTCGCTGCTGTGGAGGGCTACGGCGCGACCATCGTGCTGTGTGATCGCGCCCTAACCTCCCGCGAACAGACGACGCAGGAGATCGTCGACCGCACGGGCGCCACGTTCATCCACCCGTCCAACCACCCGGACGTCATCGCCGGGCAGGGAACAGTCGTGCTGGAGATGCTGCACCAGGCCGCGGAGATGGGATGTCCGCTGGACACGGTGATCGTCCCCGTCGGCGGGGGCGGGTTGTTGAGCGGGTGCCTGGTCGCCGGTAAAAGCCTTCTCCCCAACCTGCGGATCGTCGCCGCCGAACCGCTACTCGCAGACGACTGTGCGCGGTCGGTGCGTGCGAACGAGTTCATCCCCGCCGGCCCGCCCAAGTCCATCTGCGACGGGTTGATGTCCAGTATGGGCACGCTGACGTGGCCGATCATCCGGGACCATGTGGATGAGGTGCGCACGGTTGATGAGGCGAGTATCGTGAAGGCGATGAGGGTGGTGTGGGAGAGGATGAAGATGGTGGTGGAGCCGTCGGCGGCGGTAGGCGTTGCGGTGGCGTTGTTTGATGAGGGGTTTAAGGCGCGGGAGGGGATGCGGAATGTCGGGGTTGTAGTTACCGGGGGGAATGTGGATTTGGATTGTTTGCCTTGGGGTTCGATGAAATGAACATCTTGGGTTCATAGTATGAACGGTTGACATTCCGCGCACAAACGCTCCGGCGAGAGTTGAGTTCAAAACTGTTAAAGAATGGGACAATGGGCATCTGAGAGGGCGAGCAAAGCGAGGCGTATCGGACCGCACCGATGAGTTCTTTGGGCCCCCCACAGCCGGATCTGAACCCTGGACGCCGTGCTCCGACAGCGAGCGAAGCGATCCCTTCCTGTCAGTTTTCCGGAGCACCCTGAAGGTCTCACCGAACTTGATATCTTCCCACCATGGCAAAGGAGGAAAAACACTCCCGGAACACCACTACCCCATCATCCTCGTAGTATCCCCGACAGCCACCGAGGGACGAGATGAAGAAAGCATACAAGGCAGCCTCCTTGAACTGGCCTTCCGGACGAGAACCACGGCGAGAGGGTGGAGGAGATTTTTGCAAGAACCTCAAACCGGGCTTTACGACGTGCTGGTGGAACCCGCAGCAAACGGAGCCACGTATGATACGGGCGCAGGCGGAGAAACGGGCGGAAGAGGCGAAAGCGCCACAAGGCGATCGGGACAAACGGAGCTCAGCGAGGGACGACCCGGGAGTCAGTTACTCGAACAAATCAAGAGATTGGACATCCAAAGTGAAGTTTGGGAAAAAAGAAAACCCAGTAGGCGCGGAAATCGGAGGAGCGGGAGAAGGCGGCAGAAGGTGGAAGCGGTGGAAGCCAGCCTCGGCGCATCTGCAGTCCACGAATGTGGGATCTGAAAACATCGTTGGCTGGGGAGGTGCAGATTCGCTAGCGGCTGCAGAGAGGATGTTGACGCCCTGCAGTATCTGATGAGGACCAAAAACACCCATCGGTTTATGTGTATGTTGTTCACATTTGGCATCATGACCATCAGCACACTATAAGACTGTGTTCAAAACAAAACCGACCCGCGTTTGTTACAAAGGCCCTCCCAAAAATTAAGACACAAAACCATTTGGGGGGCCTCATCTGCCGCCCTCTTCCCATGTTTTCGCGGCAGGGGCCGTGCAAAACATGTTGCAACATCAACCCTCCTATTCCCACTTCTTCTCAAGCGCCTGCGCGACCTCCTTCCTTCCCCCTTTCCAAAAAAAAAAAAAACAGCCAAAAACCTACCCTTCTCTCCTCACCCCCTACCCCTCCCCATTCATCAAATCTGAAACCCCCAAACCTCCAATCCAACAACCTCAAACTCGCTCGTCTCGCTCAAGCGCTCATTCGCAAACGTCTGACACGGGCCCGAGTGCCCGTTGTACAGCTGGTCGTCGATCCAGAGGCCGAAATGGCCTTCCCTGAAAACCAATCAGAGGTGTGAATATTGTGGTGGGAGGGTGTGGAGGATGGGATGGGAGGCGCGGGGGGGATGGCTTACCCGCCGCCGAGAGCGATGAAATGCGGTTCGGAGAGGATGAGGTACTCGTTTTTGCCGGTTGCGTGGAAGGCTGAGACGGTGCCAGTGTGTGTTTTCTTCCACAGGAAGCTGGGTAGCGTAATCACATACCCCGCCATCAGCGAAAGTAAATGCGGCCACGAAAATCGAAAATCCATATCAGCTACCAAACGCAAAACTCACCAACTCCCCGTCCCATAATAGGCAGCCTGCACCGCGAACGCGTCGCTCCCGAACGCGCCAAACACGTTGCCGGCGCTGTCTTTGATGCATAGGAGTGAGGGGCCTTTGCCTTCGCATTGGGTGTAGAGGGTGTTGAGGGAGATGCCGTGCTGATCCATGCTGTAGGTGAGTGTCCAGGCGGAGGATTCGCGGAGAAGTGGGGGGAGGTGGGGGCGGATCTGGTGTTGAGAGGTTGAGACGATTAATGTGAGGAGCGCGGGAGAAGATGACTGCATGACAATACCTACCTGCTCGGCGGTACTCTCCTCCAAGACCACCTCCGTATCCTCTTTCCGTCCCTTCAACACCACCGGGCGTCTCGCAGACACATCAAACGGCGACAGCACACTCGGTGTCTCCTGTTCCCCGACACTCTCATTGGAGGCCGACACGGCTGCAGAGATAGCCGAGAGGGCGGATTTCCCGCGCGTGAGCAGCGAGTCGAGGGATAACCGCACATCTGTGATGATATCGTCCTGCGGCGGTGATGTGTTTGTTGAAATGGAGTCTTTTGCCGAGTCGTGCGGGGCGGATTGGGAGATTGTTATCGGTTCCGTTGGGGGTGGGTAGCTGGAGATTCTGGTGACTGAGGCGGGTATCAGGATCGGGGGTTGTTTGTGTTTGCTGCTCTTTGGTGACGGGACTGATATCGGTCGCGCGGGAGTTGACGCCGCCTCCACCGGATTTCGGTCCACATCTTCTTTCTTCAACGCGGGTTCCTCCAGCCCTTCAAACTCATTGAACGCATCCGACAGATCGTTCTGCTGAGAGTGTGCAGAAGCAGGTGTCTGCGGGCCGCCGGTGCTATCGCCGACAGCGGGTGAGGACACGCCTAGCATCTCCAAAAAGAATCCCGAGAGAGAAGGCGGGTATTGCTCGACAGCGGATTGCGGGCGGTCTCCAGGTGCGCTTGAACGCGGCGGCGTATCCGTCGTCACATCACCAGCGTCTGCGGAGAGGGATGATCCTCCCACGCGTGTAAACTGGGCGCTTCGGCGATCGCCTGTGATGACGGACAGGCGACGCGGGTCATATGGACTATCTACAACGGAAGACTGCGAGGCGTCCGGGGCTGGGGAGGGTGGTAGCGGGGGCAGGCCTTGTTGTGGGTCAGCAGTGGGGGGTGGGGAGTAGGGGGCGGCTGTTTGGGAGAAGGAGTCTTCGAGGACTTCGCGTGAGGAAGCGGGCGATTTCTGCTTGTTTGAGGCGGCGAATGGCCAGAACATGTTTGCGACGGTATGCAAGAGGAGCCGAGGAGCTCACCAAGATACAGTATGTTGTGCTAGAATATATGTATGTATATGTAGTTGGGTTGTGCCTAACGAGACGGCGAGTTTGCGAGGGGGGCAATGGGGCGGTTGGAAGCAGCGTTGGAAGGGAGCTTTTGAACCAGGTTCTCAGATGGTTCTCAGATGGTTCTCATCAGAGAGTGACTCATCCGTCCGCCAAGAGCGTGTTTTTGCCTTTCGTTGCTCAACTATCACTACTCTGACTATCACAGTCTTTCAAGCTCAGCAAGACGCACACGGACAGCGACTTTCCCACGCTCGCATTCATCAAGCCCCCAACGTGGGAAAGTTCGCATCCCTTTTTCGCCTCCCTCGCTCCGCTCTCGAGAGAGGCTTCCTTATACATACAGCCCTCGCGTCTCGTCGTCAGTCATCCCCATCTTGGGTCCATCTTGAGTAGCTCAGTTTCGCTTGCTACCAACGTGCGGCTAGGCTACCTCAGAAATGAAGTTTGGCCGTACGCTCAACCAGTACCAGGTTCCGGAATGGTCTAGGTAGGCGACAGGGCGAGGCGAGAGGAAAGAGGCGAGTCAATTCCGCGCCCTCCCTTATCGCTGTGCGGGTTGGGACTAAGTTTTACTTTCCCACGCATTCCACCCTTGTCCCCGTCCTTTTTGTACGCCCTGCCTGTCAAAGTCAATACCTGTCATACAAGTCGCTCAAGCGGCAAATAGGGCAAGCGAAGCGGTCGGGGGACACTAAAGGAGCCGACAATGCGGAGACAAAAGCTCTCGTCGATGGTACTTGTGCAATCGAGTGATCTTCAGCCGGTGAACCCTCAGCTTCTTTAGGGTGTGTCTCATTGAACTTTGCCCTCAAATACAATGTTGGCAGCGTTCATATCGTCCGTCAATCTCGAAGCCAAGAAAGTCAATGCGTTCTTCTTGAGCCAGAGGGCTATCACTGAGCGAAGAATTCGATTCAGTAAGTTAAGCTATGACATAACCTCCTGTCAACATACTCTCATATTGACGTGCACTCTGAACAGCACAGGATAGGCTCAGTAAAGCAGACGATCAGACATTCGTGGATGATGAGCTGATTGAAACTATCAATGAGATTCGGGTCTATCTGTATCTCGTGCTGAGATATGCCGAGATGAACAAGACCGGGTTCAGGAAGATTGTAAAGAAGTGAGTGAAGGAGAGTTAGAGGCGGATGAAGAAATATACTCATCAGCGCCATAGAGCCGACAAGCAGCTGTCAATGGACCTGAGCGAGGACCTCTGGATCAATAAGGTTCGCAGGAGCAGCCGAGGGTATGCTACTGCGACATACCAGCTGAAATCATTCGCTCCCAACAGATTGGCACATACCCATTTTGCACCGACACGTCAATGGAGGCGATGCTGCAGCTTGTGGACAGTCTCCACGATAGGGCAAATACCTTGCGGCAAAAGGCGTCTGAGAACGGAACACATGTGCCGACTGCTGCCGAAGGCGGCTATCCCTATCCGGAGGAAGTGCACGCGGCCCTGGATATGGACAATGTCTCTGCACTGCGGACTGTGCTGGAGAAAGTCAAGGAGGCGGGTACGGAAGGCGGAAAGGTGCGTTGCACGGCATTATCACAAAAAGGTTTGTGTAGGCATTGTGACCTAACGTGTCGGGTCCTGCAGGAAGAATCCGCCCGCGCCGCAATCCTTTGGAAAGCCTGCCAAAAGAACGCCCTAAGCTCCATCGCCCTTCTCCTCCAATCCCCACACCTCGTAAGCGTGCCTATCTACAACGACATCAACCACCGCTCCCTCCTACACAAACTCGCCATCCTCGGCGCCGCGCTCAAACCCAAAGGAGAAGTTGAAGGCACCCCCAACCTGATCGAACGGGACGATCCGACCTTGTTGAAGTATGTGCTGTCCCGCATACCGCAGGACATGGCGGAACAGGCGTTACGCGTGCAGGACTTTTTTGGACGGACGCCTTTGCATTATACGGCTTTGTATGGGCTGCAACGGACCGCGCAGGCGTTGTTGAGCTTCTTACCTGCCGGGTCATTGACCGGGAGCTGGGTGGATGATGACGGGCACTCGCCGATGTTTTACGCGGTTGTGCGGGGTTTTGTGGATGTGGTCATTGTTTTGATCGATCGCTGGGCGGATGTGGATGATATGGGAGATGGTAAACCTTCCTGATGTGCGAGTGTTTCTCGCTTGTTTTCAAAGGCTGACATTCCTTCTACAGCGGTAAACAACGCCCAAGCCGTCTCGCAATCCCTCACACCCGCCCATCAGTCCTTCACGGACTCATCCTCTCTGCCCCCCCTGATCTCGTCCCGATCAGTCTCGGCGCTCATGGACGGACACGCTCAGGTCACCCGTATAACGCGGACACCCCTCGCCCTGGCGTGTACATTTGGGCATGCTGCGGTGGCGCGGGTGCTGTTGGTGCATGGGGCGGATGCGAATTGCAAGAATGAAGATGATGAGGTAAGAACATGTGTGCTCACTTGAAACCCTTGTGAGATGCGCGTACTGACATTTCAGTGTAGACTCCGTTGCACCTCAGCGCACGGGGAGGCCATCTCGACTGTGTTAAGTTGTTGGTCGGGCTTGTCGACAATGTGGGGTGGAAGGTGGCGGATGTGGAGGCGAAAGATAAGAGCTTTGGACGGACGGCATTGTTCTCTGCCGGTATTGTTCATGACAAGCGATTGGGACACGTCGAACGGGGTATGCCTGGGTTTCTAGTGGCTGAGTGTCATTTCCGGCAGGGCAGCTATGGAAGGGCACATTGAGTGCGCCAAAGCGTTATTGGAAGCTGGGGCGTCCGTGAATGTTGTCGATGCTGGGTCACTCAACCCGCACGAGCATGCAGGTACTTGCTGGATATCTTTGACACAAAAGAAGGAACTCACATCTCACAAGGAGGCTTCCCCCAGTCTTCAGAGCCCACACCGACATCGCCGCCCTCCTCCGCCCACACATCCCCCCCTACCCCTCCCACCCCCTCCACTCGTCCCTCAGCACCGTCGCGCAAGCCTCCGTCGTCGAGCGCGCCTACGGCCACAAATACCTCAAAGGCCAGTCCATGATCCGCGTCTATCTCGGCTCCACCGACCTCCGCCGCACCACCTCCCCCGTCCACCTCGACGAGAAACGCATACCCGCCCAGTCCGCACCAGGAACCTTTCGCCTCACGGTCTCCGCCCAAAACGCCACGGGCGACCCGGTGGAGTTCGACCTACCCATGACGGAAACGATCGCGGACCCGATCGTCTTCCACGCCGACCGGTTCGACCAGGTCGTGTTGCAGTTCGACGTGCACCCAGCATACGGGGACCCGACCAAGAAATCACGACTGGTGGGCCGGGCGAGCGCGATGCTGTCTACGGTCAAGACGTCGCTGTGGCAGGAACGGACGCCGCTGGGCGGGTCGGTAGAGGTTCCGATCTTGAGCGGGCATAGTATGGAGATTATTGGATCGGTGTTGTTTGAGTTTGTGGTTGTCAAGCCGTTTGTGCATGGGAATTTTAAGGGGGAGGGGAGTCGGACTTGGAAGTCGAATATGACCAAGGTGCGGGCGGGAAACGGCTTCACTCAGATTTCAGGGCTTCTGACGGATGTACGACCCTCTCTGACAGGTGGTCGGCCACCGCGGTCTCGGCATGAACAAAGCGGCCAAAGTCGCCGACGGCAAAGGACACCTCCAACTCGGCGAAAACACCCTGCTGTCGTTCATAACGGCCGGCGCGCTGGGCGCAGAGTATGTCGAGTTTGATGTGCAGCTGACGAAGGATCTTGTGCCTGTTCTTTATCACGATTGTAATTTCCGTCTCCTTCTGTCTTGTGTCGTTGTTTGTTTCTGCTGTAACTGATCACCTTTCCGCCCCGCAGTCCGAGTCTGGGAAACAGGCTACGACCTCCCCCTCAGCACCCTCACTCTCTCCCAATTCATGTCCCTCCGTCCCAACGAGCGGCCCGGGATCCGGCGCACACCCACCTCCACCACCGCCACATCCACCAACGGCAACAGCGGGCGGGCAACACCCAATATGCTGCGTCGCACGATGAGCATGAGTAATGCGGCGGTGGAGGCGGCGAAAGCGGCTACCGGGGGGAGCGAGAGTTGGCCGACAAAGGGGAATGATGAGGGGTCGGTGCAGTTGCCGTTTGCTACGTTGGAGGATGCACTTAAGGTCTGTGTTTTGTGCGGTAGTCTTCTGCAAGCTGGGAAGGTAGCGCGGGCTGACGGTGCTCGTTCGACGGGTGTTTGTAGACGGTTCCGACGAAAATCGGGTTCAACGTCGAAGTCAAGTACCCAAACCTCCAGGAAGCGGAACAAGACGAATTGCAGAACGCGGAGATCAATGTGTTCTGTGACCGAATCTTGGATGTTATTTTTTCGTTTGCTGGGGATCGGTGAGTCCCCACGATGCCTCGTGTTTAAGGAAGGGTCGCAAAAAGGAGATTGACGTTGACGCGTTTTTTTCGGGGATATTGTAGGAACATTTATTTCTCGTCGTTCCATCCGGAAGTTTGTTGGATGCTTAGCATGAAGCAGGTAAGAAAGAGAGAGAGAAAGAAAAAGAAACCGCCTTGTCGCTCTTCCCACCCCAGTCCACCTACCCAAAAACACCGCTCACCTCCTCTCCTCCCATCCAAAGAACCACTACCCAGTCTTCTTCCTAACCGAAGGCGGGACGATGACAACCACCGACATCCGCTGTAACTCCCTCGTCGAAGCGGTGCGTTTCGCCTCCCGCGCCGGGTGCCTCGGCATCGTCACGCACGTCGGGCCCATCCTCGAAGCGCCGGCGTTGATTCGCGCGATCAGGGAGAGCGGGTTGTTGCTGTTTACGTATGGCGGGATGAACAATGAGGTGGGGAATGTGGAGGTGCAGAGGAACTATGGGGTTGATGCGGTTATTGTGGATAAGGTCAAGAGGGTGTTTAAGGCGTTGAGTGGGGGTGGGAGTGAGGGACAGCGGGGGTAGGATAGAGGACTTTTGATGGAGGTTTTTTTTTTTTTTTGAGGCGGAGAGGAGTAGGATGATGCATGTAGGAAGGGGAGAAGGAGCGACGTTTTTTTGAGTAGATTCGTGTACTTTCTTTTTGTTTGCAAACGGACGGTTCTTGAACAGTTGGGCTTTGCCTTCTTTGCGAGTCGTTCGAGGCCTCGGACACGCTGGCGCTGGGAGACGTTCGGACATCCACATCCGCCCACAAGTCGGACAACAACCGCTTTCACACTCTCGCCATCACGCCAACCACCCCCTCCCCTCCCCCCAAAACACAAGAGACAACGCCAAAATGCTCGGCACATCATCCTACGAACAGCAACGCGCCCTCAAAATCGCCGCCAACAAAGCCCTTCTCGAATCCCTCGGGGTGCGCGAGGCGGCCGTCTCCTCCAATCCACCACCACCCGTGACTAGACCCAAAAAGAAGAATGTGGTGAAGACTCTGAAGAGGACTGTGGAAGACGGAGAGAGGGAGGGGGCGGAAAAGAGGGTGAAGATGGGTGGTGGGGAGGAGGAGGAGGAGGAGGAGGTGGAGGAAGTAGCGGATGGGGTTAGAGTGCGACGGTCTCGAAGATTGAAAGCGATTGCCGCGGACAAGACGGCCGAGGCCTTGAATGACGTTCAATCTGACACCGAGGAAGCGGAGTGCACCCCACCCTCGAAACACGGCCGCGCCAAACCCTCTCCCATCCAAAACTTCATCGGCGCGCACCCCACCGTCCCCCCGGGGACCGTCTTCCCGACGCGGCTCGCGTGCTCGCGGGCGCTCATCCACCGCCCGCCGGTCTCGGGCATCCACGGCACGCCAGCGCACGGCTGCTACTCGCTCGCGCTCTCGGGCGGGTACGAGGACGACATCGACCTCGGCGCCGCGTTCACGTACACCGGCGAGGGCGGGCGCGACCTCCGCGGCACCAAGGCCAACCCCAAGAACCTGCGCACGGCCCCACAGAGTAGGGACCAGACGCTGACCAAGGGCAATGCGGCGTTGAAGAGGAGCTGTGAGACCGGTGCGGCGGTCAGGGTCGTGAGGGGGTGGAGGCTGGGAGGGAGGTATGCGCCCAGGGAGGGGTATAGGTATGATGGGGTGTATAGGGTGGAGAGGTGTTGGTGTGAGACGGGGTTGGCGGGGTTTTTGGTGTGGAAGTTTGCGTTGGTGAGGGTGGAGGGGCAGGGGGAGCTGCCGGTTAGGGGGGAGGGGGAGGTGGAGGAGGAGGAGGAGGATGAGGAGGATGAGGACAAGGAAAATGAGAATGAGAATGAGAACAAGGACAGCGAGGAGTAGCGAGCAGTAAGCACCCTGTAGATTCCCATAGCCATGCACGGCCTATCTCATTACTTTGTAAATAACCCATAATCCGGCCCTTGCCAACGTTTTTATTCCCCGGGAAAAGACAACCAAACTACGCGCATCTCGTTGTCCAATCGAAAACACAATACTAACTCCCTACTTCCTTTTCAGCCCCATCGACTGGAAAATGTCCAACTTCGGATTCTTGATCGAGTCCTGGCCAACCCGTCTCGGCTACGACGTCAGCGGAGAGATCACAAAAGTAGGATCCAAAGCCGCCGAACGAGGATTCAAGGCCGGCGACAAGGTCTTTGCCTTGACCACCGGAAACGCGTTCGGCGCCGCGGAGGCAATCCGCACCTTCAAGCTCCCATCCAACCTATCCTTCGAAGACGGCGCCACCTTCCCAACTGCTCTGTCAAACGCCGTTTACACCCTTTTTGCCGATGACGGACTCAAGCTTGCCCGCCCCAACACCCACACCAGGTGGTTCGCCCCTGAATAAGTCGTCATCTGGGGCGGAGCCACCTCTGTCGGCATGTACGCCGTCCAACTTGCCTCAGCGGCCAGCTACAACGTCATTGCCACCGCAAGCCCCAAGAAAACCATGAGCTCGTCCGCAGCCTGGGTGCATCCCACGTCGTGGACTATAAGCGCGACGACGTGGTGGAGGAAATCAAGAAACTCACCGCCGGGCGCGCGCGTGCTGGTCTGGACCTTGTCGGCCACGGCGACGCCATCGGGAAGTTGTCTCGAGTTCTGAGGGCGAACGCAGACATCCCCGCAAAGATCGTCTCGATCACCAGCCCGGACTTCAACTCGCCCGAGGGGATCAATTTCAAGTTCATTATGGGGCTTGCTCCCGCCGTTGGGGAGTTTGTGGCGAAGGTCCTTGATGAGGAGATGTTGGAGTACTTTGTGCAGGGGAGGTTGAAGGTCAACAAAGTTACCAAGCTGGAAGGACTGGAGGGAGTATTGAAGGGGTTGGATGATTCGGCCAATGGACGAGTCAGGGCAGAGAAGCTCGTGGCGGTTTTGTAAAGGGAGGGAGAGCCTCTGGGCGTTACCTCCGGGATCTGATTAGGAGGTCGCCGAGTTAGCTATAGCCCTGCGATAGAAGACACTGTCCCGGCGTATGGAGCATTCATAGGCTGGCGCTTAGAATAAGATCTGCTTTTTGTGCATAGCCGAGAATAAACCACAATGCACAAGCTCATGGTCGCATGGTCGAGCGAATTGAATCCGCCCTACGGTCACGTGCCAGCTAGAATTAAGGAGCGTCGGTTTCGGCTGTGAATTTGAAGTTCCACATCCCGCGACCTCGATGCTGGGAAAGGTCCGACGCATCCCGCAGGACCGACGAGCCGCCTCCACAGGCAGATGAGGAAGTCCGTGCTCTTGCGCGCAGAGCAATCTGCCAGGGCACGGTGGCAACAAACTAGTCCGTCCCCGCAATGCACCCGAGCCTCCGATCGGCACGCTTACAAGGCGTCCGGGCATAACCAGAGTCCCAACCGCAACACATCCCGGAGAAGCCAAGCCAACAGCTTCCTGTTCCGCATACCCCTGAGCGCCTGGAACATTAGCGACTTCCTCGCCCCGAGCAAACGATGGCTGAGCTCCTCGCCCTTCTTCCGGTCCACAACACGACCAGCGGAGTCCGAACCGCCCAGAGCCCAACAAACGCAACCAGCAGGCAGGCGGAGCTTGAGAGAACATAGCGCCAACCTGAAACGATACCATGACGCACTACGCCAGCATGAGTCCCCGCAGCGGATATGGCTCGCCTATGCGTCGCTAACCACCAAACAGCGCCGCATGTTCTTCACGCGGGACGATTACCTTGACGTCTTACACGTGGTGTTTAAACTCAACAAACGCCGAGTAAGCGCCGCATGGAAGACGGTATTCGAGGACATGATGGCGTCCGACACGCAGCCGCTGCAGGAAGACTACGAGACGGGTATCGCGCTCTGTTCGCGATCACGGCAGGTCGAGCTAGCCGAAACACTCTTCAAGAACGCGCTGAAAAACAACGTGCAGTTAGGTCGGGGTGCGTACGAGAACATGATGCGGATGTATGGCCGGGAGGGGGACGTGGAGCGAGCCGCGCAGACGTATCAGAGCATGGTTGCTGCGAACTACGAGCGGAATGCGGTTGTGTATGATGCGATGATTGACGCGGCTTGCAGGTCGGATAAGATGCATCATGCAATGGTGCTGTTTAAGGAGATGGGGCAGGTTGGGCTAAAGCCTACCGTGAATACATTCGCGGCCTTGATTCTGGGGTGCGTCAAGTCGGAGCGGATACAGTTGGCGGAACAGTATCTGGCCGAGATGCGACGACACAATTTGGAACCGACTCTGCCGATATATACCCTGATGATCAACGGATACAGCCGGGTAGGGAAGCTGGGGGCGATCTCCCGGATGCGCAAAGTCGTGGAGCTTTCGGGCTTCAAGCCCGACATGTTCTACATGGCCACCCTGATCGCCAGCAGCTCGCGAGCGGGCAAGGTGGAAGAAACGCAGAGGCATCTGGAGACCATGCGGAGGAACCGGATGCCTCTGAACAGAGTGATCTACGAATCGGTCATCTCGGGCTTGCTCTACCACAGCGATCTGGAGGCGGTCATGACCATCACCGACCGGCTGGCGAAGCAGAATGTGGCGGTTGGGGACAAATTGCTCACGTACGCTATGGTGGCGTTCCGGAAGATGGGGGATTATGACGCGGCGAGGGCGCTGCTGGAGAGTTGGAGTAAGAAGTGGACACGGCCTATCCCTGTGGCGCATTTCAGGACTTATCTGCACATGTGCGCGTCGGCTGCAGGCGTCGCGGTGGCCCTGCAGGAGTTCCGGACGTTGGTGGAGGCCGGGAACAAGCCCCATACGAGCCTGTTGAACCCGGTGCTGCAGGTGGCGTTTACCGAAAACGGGGCAGAGCTGCCGCCCATCGTCATTCAAACGATGCTGGAACACAAACTGCAACCCGACAGCGCGACCTGGAGCATCATCCTCGCCAACAACCGCAACCCGACCATCGCCTTCATCAAAGAATGCATGTCCCACGAACGCGAACACGACTCAGCCGGCCTAGTCCCCCTCCTCCGCGCCCTCACCAAAACTTCCAACGCCGAAATCGCCATCGCCCTCGCCCACGAACAACTCGCCCTCGGCGTCGAATTCGACAAACGCGCATGGACCGCCTTAGCGCAAGCCCACGGCAGCAACCACGACCTCGACAACCTCGAAAAAACCCTCCACGAGCTCCGCGATGACGGCTGGGCCATGGATGTCGTCGCCCACACGGCCCGCCTGCACGCTTACATCACAGCAGGCGACATGGTCTCTGCTCACAACGTCTGGCGCGACCTCTGCACCTCCGACTGCACCCCCACACCCATCGCCTACAGCATCATGCTAAAGGGCCTCATCACCCACCGCGACTTTCGCGCCGCATGGGCCCTGATCGCAGATATCCACAGCGCCGGCATCCACCTCGACACGGTGCTCTACACCCAACTCATCATCTGCGCCAGCCGCCTCCGCACATCCCGCGTCCTCGACATCCTCACTGAAATGGACCACGCACACGTTGCACCGGATCTGGTCGCGTACAACACCATGTTGAACGTCTGCCGTAAACACAAGGACACAACCAGCATCCCTGTGATCCTCAACCACATGCTCACACGCAACGTCGCGCCCGATGGGTTCACCTACACCGTCCTCTTCGACGCCTGCTTCTCCGCCTCCCCGGCCGCCGACCCGGACGAAACTCTCCACGACGTGTTGCACCAGCTCGCATCCCATAACGTGCCGTTGTGCGACACGCTCCTGGAGCGATTGATGGCGGCACATGGACGATCGCGCGACCCGGGGCGTGTGATGGAGATGTGGGGGTGGATAGTGGGTGCGGGGATTGAGCCCGGGGCGCGGGTGTTGGGGGCGACTATACGGGCGCTGTTGGGGTGCGGCTGGGAGGGGGCGCCGTATGCGGTGGAGGTTTGGGAGAGGGCGGGGGAGGTCGTGAGGGAGGCGGTGGGGAGGGGGGTCAGGGAGGTGATGGGGGAGGTGGAGGAAGGGACGTGGAGGCCGCAGGAGGGGTTGTTGCTGCAGGCGGGGAGGGCGTGCTGAGCGCGGGGTGGATCAGACCGGCCTTTTGGGACTTGGCGCATTGAGTATTTTGGATGCAAAGGGTCTGTATATATACCACATTGAATACATAGGACCTAGACAAATGAATCTACTGTTCATTCAACATGAAATGAAAACATGGCGTGTCCCTCAGACACCGCCGTACGCCCGGAATGAATTGCGGGTACGCCGTGTCATGTCACACACATTCAAGGTTGTTGAGCAGGATAAGACCCCAACATCGTGATATCCAAACAGAACGCATTCATATCCGCCAACGCAGCCTTGACTTGCTCGTCGGCCATGTGACCCGTCAGCTCGAGGAAGAAGAAATAATGCCTGAGGTTGTTAAAACGAGTCAAAGCTGGCCCAAACAAACTCAATCAGGCAGTGTTTCCTTTGCAAACGGGCACATACCAAGGCCGCTGACCCGAAGGCCGCGAATCGATCTTGGTCAGGTTGATATTCCGCGTTTTGAGCGTGTTGAGTGCGTCACAGAGCGCACCTGGTTGCCGGTGGTCCACTGTGAAGAACACGAGGGTGCGGTCGTTGCCGGAGGGCATGTCGGAGGCGTTGCCAAGGATGAAGAAGCGGGTTGTGTTGTCTGCGGAGGGAAATGTATGTGTGTGTGAGCGCTATATCTGACGGAGTTCGACGAGAGACTACTGATTTTACCTGCAGCATCCTCGATATTCTTCTCCTCCACATCCAAGCCGTAGATGCTTGCGCATCCGAGGCTGCAGATTGCGGCTGCTCCGTGCTCGCGGGAGGCGAGCTCGGCGGCTTTGGCGGTGGAGGACACGTTCACTCGCTCTACGCCGCGCATGTGCTGGTTGAGGAAGGTCTGGCATTGTCCGAATCCCTGCGATTTGCATGCTCGCTCACATGAGCACCTGGTCCGAGTGAGTTCAACAAGCCGAACACACCTGCGCATGAGAATAAATCTTCCTAATCTGGCCCCTCGTCGTATCCTTATTCCTTAACAGCACATGATGCACCGCCAAATAATGCTCCGCGCGAATCTGCACCTTCCCACCGGGCAACGCACAAAACACATCCAGCGTCGGCTGCACGGACCCAAACCGCGAGTTCTCAAACGGAACCACCCCGTACGTCACCGACCCGCCCGCCACGGCATCAAACACGTCCTTGATCGTCTCTTGCTCCACGTACTGGCAGCTGTCGCCGAAGCGCTCGAAGGCGGCTTGGTGGGAGTAGGTGCCCCGGGGGCCGAGGAAGGCGATCGTCGTCTCTTTTTGGAGGGAGATGCTGGCCGACATGACTTCGCGGAAGATGGACTGGATTGCCGAGGTCGGGAGCGGGCCGCTGTTGAGGGTTTCGAGCTATCTTTTCGGAAGATGGTCAGGATTTCGATTTCGGTGATCCCGGTTGTGGCCTCCCACCGGCTTTGCATACCCGCTCGTATATCTGCATTTCTCTGCTCGGTCTGTGGATATGCTCGTCGCTATGGAACACCCCTGCGTCATTAGCAAGCCCCGCTCTCTTCGCACCAAGCACTTCATCCCCACGTACGCGACCCCGCCGGTCTTCTCGGCATCCTTCCGCTTCGCCAACCCTACATGTAACCTTTGGTAAGTAGTCTTCCGGGCTGTGAAGAGGAGTACACAAAAGTAAACGTACCAATCCCGACGCTAATGGAGGCCCGCTCGTTCAGCAGGCGAACGAGTTCGGCATCCAGCGTGTCCACCCTTGCCCGGAGCCGGGGCAGTTCACCGGGAGTATCCTGTGTCGGAGCTGACATGGTCAGTTGTTTGCTGGCCGATATCTTGGTGAGCATGCGAGTTGGGCTCGGCTCGTTGTGATCGGTTCGTTGGGCGAAATGGGGGGTCCAAAACAGGTCCAAAATGACACTCCAGCGCGAGAGCGCGCTTCGATCATAGCCGGGGACTCGGCGAACATGAACCTCGATACCACCTCTCAAACTACCCACATTTTTGACGACCGGTCTATACACTCTGTATATGGTCAAAGAAGGTCAGATGCCACTCACTGACGGGAATAGCAAGACGGGCTGTCCGAATGTCACCCACATACCTGCTGTTTCAGACTCGTTGGAATTGAAAAACTCAAGTTTGAAGTGGTAATAGCTGTATGACGGTGGTTGCTCTGGAGCTTAGACGAGGCCACTGCATAAAGCCATTTTGCCAGTCGGTATTATGGCCGATCACCCCGATTATTCTCTCCAACGACCAGTAACATATACATTTCAAGTCAAGAGCCCATCGATCCCAGTCCTCACCTCAATATCCCAAAAAAAAACCCCGATCTCATCGCTCCTTCCTCGACAAAATCCTCCTCGGCGCCAATCCCCCATTCCCATTCGTATGCCCATGTTGATGGGTAACGTGACTCCCACCCTCCCTACCGCCCGCAACACCCGCCGGATGCAACGCACGTCCAAAGCCAAACGGGTCCGGGTCTTCTACACTACTAGCACTAGCATTGTTGGTTGAATTTGCGGTATGGGTATTCGTATTGTTGGTAGCCGCATTTCTACCCACCGACGCCGCAGAGAACGGCGGTATCATCAACGGCGAGTTCTGAAACAACGAGAAGGCGTTATGCTGGTGGTGGTAATGATGCAAGTGGTGGTGGTGATGCATCCCCGGCGTCGGAGCCCGTGGCGGGGACGCCTGGATCAACGTCGGGGACGGGGTGGCAATGGTGCTGGTCGGCGTGTACGGCGGGGGCGCCGAGGAATACAATGCCGAGTTATGGAGCTGCTGGTACGATCCGACAGGCCACGGTTGCTGTTGTTGGTGGTGGTGGTCAAGCGGCCCCATCCTCGGGCTCGCGACTGACCCTGGATGCGGGGTGGGTGTCACGCGATTCGCTTTCCTCAGTGGATGCTGCTGATCCCCACCCACAACCGCAAACCGTCTCAACAACCGTTCCTTCAGCCCGGCCTCAACCTTGATCTCCTCCGCCAGGCGGTCGTGCTCGCTCACGAGGCTGACGTACAGGGTGGTGCGGTCCAGTGCCGCGGCGGTGTGGTGGTCTTCGGTTTGGAGGGTTGCGATGTGGTCTTTGAGTGTGGTTAGGGCGCGTTTTTTTGTGGAGAGGTGCGTGCGGAGGGCGCTGCAGGCTTTGCGTTGGGTTTTTAGGAAGTCGGTGTGGGCGGGGACCGGGGTTGAGGTGGGTGGTGGTGATGCTGTCACTTCGATAGCGAATGGCCGCCGCTTCGAATCCTCCATCTCCGCGGCAGGCGCGCTCTGCACCTCCCTCGTCAACGCCTCCAATTTCTTCCTCGCAGCCCTTACTTTCACCTCTACCTGGTCGTTCCGTTTCGTCTCCTTCGCCAAAAGCCGCTTGTAGTGCCCAACGCCCTGCTGCAATTCCTCCCTTTTGTCCTCCAGCGCCTTTATCTTCGCCTTATGCTCGGCCCTGACGACCTCTGCGCTAGCCTTTCTGTCCGTATACCCCTTCATCTCGGTTTGTATCTCTGCGATCTCGGCCTCCATCGTTTGTCTGGTCTCTACGCTTGATGCATTGAGTGCTTTTCGCTTTGAGGTCACGGTTGCCAGTTGATTTTCGAGGTTGGCAAGCTCGGTGTCCAGCGCGCTGTGGACGCTCGACTCTGCGGCGTTCAGAAGCTCGCTGACGACGCTGGCTGGCATGGCGGCGGAGGTACCGGTGGCAGCGTCGCTGATGACCTCCATTGTAGGCTCTCGGGCTCTGGATGATGGGGCCGGCGAGGATTGCGCTGTTACAAATTGAACGACTTCGGAAGGCGCATTGAGTCTGAAGGAGGTGCTAGCCCACACCCGCAGTCTATGGTTCGTCCCCGGCTTCAATCCGATGATATGCACGGCCGTCTCCTTCTCCGCGGAGCTTCCAATCAAGAATCCGTTCAGCTCGATAATGTGGGTAACCGCCCCCGAGCCGCGTTTGGTGTTGGCGTTCCAGTACACTTTACAGCTCGAGTCGGTGACGTCCGTGAGAATCAACACGGGTACGTCGGGTATTACGATTCCGAAGAAAGCCATGGCGGCCTGCAGCCGGCGGGAGGTGAGGTACCAAAATTTCCAAAAAAGATAATAAATGCCAGTGACGGTGCAGTGGGCGCTCATCGAACGCATGAATGCAGGTGTGGGATACAGGCTCCAAGGTTTGTAGATCCACAGGTAGAAGATCATGCTGGTAACGACGAGTGGCCACCATACCGTCCGCGTGCCGGTGGGCGAGTAGTTGAGGTTTCGCAGACCGTAGCAAAGGAAACAGTGGGCGAAGAAGTACGCCAGAATGACCACTGGTTTCCCAAAATCGCAATTATATCTGAAGGTGAGAAAGAGAGTGTGGATTGGATGAGTGATGTGGCACGTAATGCAATGTGCATCGTCAATGATGGAATCCAAGCTGGTAGGGCTGCGGGATGAAGGACACCCTGCTCTCTCTGCTTGCGACATGATGTCGGGCGAGTATCACCAAATGACGACTGCTAGCATTCGCTCGCAAGCTTTGCGCCTCCCATACTCAATGCCCTTCGTCTTCGGCGACGCTCAACGTTACAGTGGGCAGCCTTCCGAAGGCTCGCGCTCCCCGACGCTCCAGCTCTCACTCGCTACCCCTCGAGTCCATCATACATACACAAGAAGATCCGACGAACAAACAGTCACCGCCGTAAAGAAAAACACAGTCGGGCCCATATCATACGCCTGCACATATATGGAGAGCGTAAGGACGCACATAAAAAACAGGTCGATAGGCATTCCTATATCGAATTTAACACATATCGTCAGCTCGAGTAACAGTCACGATTTCGTAAGATAAGATAACTAACCAGTGAGCGAGCTAAGCAGCGCGACGGAGGTCCAAGTCCATATCAGGAGCTGACATGTGGAAGACATTGTGCTGGTCGTGACGGAGTGAGAAGACGGGGTGGGTCATGTCGCGCGGGGCCGGGAACGAGCGATTGAGGCGACGAAAGATGGCCAACAGAAGAGAAAGTCGGGGGGAAGAGGTGCCTCTTGCTGTTGTGAGGGCATAGTCTTGCGTGCTGTGAAGCCACAGGATTGCCGTGCTGAGCAATGTGACTGTCGCGAGAATCGGTGGAAAAGCTGGAGTTGTCCTCAAAGTGCGCGTGGACACTCTCAGATTCCCCCCAAGTCTCAGCGCACAGGGCACGAAAGCTCTTTAAATTCAGATACGAAATAGATGAAGCGGCATTGAATAAAGCAACGTGCATAGGGTTATGAGATTGAAATGACATGATGCTGGTCTTGCCACACACAAAGAACGTTTCCACCTACGCTACAGGTCTATATACGATGGTATTTTCGATGCTAAATTTACAACCTGCTGTTCAAGATCTGCAAGAACTCCTGATCCTTCAAAGAAGCTCCACCAACAAGGAACCCGTCAATGTCCTGCTCCTTCTGCAGATCGGGCGAGCTCTTCGCACTGACGGATCCACCGTACAAGATACGAGTAGAGTCGGCAACCTCCTTGGACACATTGGCCGCCAACCATCCCCTGATCTCCTTGTGCGCATCCTGCGCCTGCTGAGGGGTGGCAACCTTGCCTGTTCCGATGGCCCAGACAGGCTCGTAGGCGATGACGACCTTGCTCCAGTCCGCAGCGGACAGCTGGCTCGCGATGGCCTTGATCTGCCTGAACACGACCTCGGTGGTGTTGCCCGCATCGCGCTCGGCCTCCGTTTCTCCGCAACAGGCGATGACGTTCAGACCGGCCTTGACGGCGTTGGCGACCTTCTTGCCGACCAGCTCGTCGGACTCTTTGAAGATGGCGCGTCGCTCAGAGTGCCCGAGGATGACCCACTTGATGGATAGGTCCGTGAGCATCTCGTGGCTGATTTCGCCGGTGTAGGCGCCTTTGGCTTCGGTCCAGATGTTTTGGGCAGAGACGCCGACCTCGGAGCGGAGAGTGCTGCGGACCTGGTGCAGGTAGGGTGATGGGGGAGCGATCACGCACTCTGTGTGACAGACGAGGCGAACATCGTGTTAGGTTTTGTGAGAGTAACGGTTGTGATCTGCGTTCAATGAGACCTACCGACGTTGTTGGACCAGGAGCCCTCGTTCAAGGCCTTGACCAGGGTTTCCACGAGCTGCCTGGAGCCGTTCATCTTCCAGTTTCCTCCAACCTACGCACGCCATAACAAAGTCAGTGTGAGCTGGCGAACTGGTGCGAGAAACCCGTCGACTGCACCGCACCATCCCCAACGACGAGACCGTACCAAGAACTTGCGAGAAGACGTCATGATGCTTGTACTTATTTCCGAGCGACCGAAGTGAAGACGTAAGTGAAGTGAGACCCGTAGAAGGCAGTATGAAGTGCTTGTGGTGAGCGAATATAAGTTGGCAGCGAGGGCTGTTGCAGGGATATGATACGTAGCCTTCGTTGTTGTCCTTTCCGTGTCGGCATCGATGGCTGTTGTTGGGCCGTCACGACGCCACGGAGACTCTCGGAGGGCGCTTGCATGAGCGGTAGTCAGTTAGGGTTGCGCGCTTGCTTGCTCCCGTTCTCCTCCGGCCCACAGCACTCGAGACTCTCCACGAACGAAAACGAGTTTGGAGGCAAAACGACGTTCTCACAGGGCCCCTGTCATTGGGCTTAGTTCCGTTAACCTCTGTTCCCTTTGTCAGCGTCTTTAGCCGTCCTGGGTTGCTTCCAGGGGGAAAGCTTTCCTGCTCAGTGCCGCAAGGTACGCTTGTCCATAGTCCTAAGATGATCTTTGACGTTTCCCGTCGGAACTCCCAGCCCTCTCTATATGAAAGCGCCTTGTAACTGTATCCTCAGAAGCCCATAGATAGCCAATATGCCAAAAGAAATCATAACTTTACAACTGGGCCACTCGGCAAACTTTGTCGGGACGCATTTCTGGAACACGCAGGTTGACGCTCCCTGATTGTCTTCTCCCAAACGTTGGACCCAATAGTAACGAAAAAGCAAATACAGGACTCGTATTTCCGTTTCGATGGAGAAGAGGAAACGGAGCTAGACCACGATGTGCTATACCGTGCTGGACGTAATTTGAATGTCAGTTCGTCGGTTGGCCAAGTAGCGACGTGGGAGACCCCCGAGACTAAAAACGCAAACGCAGGGCGAGGAGACGTATACACCACGAGCTCTGATATCCGATTTGAAAGGTTTGTTGACGCCGCGATGATGCTCCAGGCGATGGATGTCGGGAATGCTGACATTTATCACATTATAGGAAGCTTTGGGTCGTTGAAGAAAGTCAGCCCGCTATACGAAACAGATGCATCGGAGGAGATGTCCGCATGGTCAGTTGGAAAGATTGTCGCCAAGCTCAAACTGGCGAAGTATTTGACGTTGGTTTCGGCAGGGGTGGAAAGGTTGATCGCTACGTACAGGACCCATACCCAAAGAACCAGTTCCTAGAGCACCTAGAGAACCCCTCGCAAGCGGATGGCGAGGCCACGACGTTTTCCGACCATCTGGATAAAGCCGTCACAGTGTGGTCGGACTACAACAAGATCTACTATCACCCGAAATCGTTGCTGGAGGTGCCGCACTATATCCACGACGACGATCAGAATCCGTTCTCGGTCTGGACGCAGGGGTTGGATGTTATGACTGATGCTGAATTCGTAAGAACGGGGGAGCTCTATTTTCGATCTGTCGAGCTTTGGACGCTGATTTATAGTTGGTCGACAGCGAGATGAATGCTTTGATGAGCGGTTACGGTTTTTTGTTGAAGAGTGTGATTCATTGCAAGTAAGATGACGCTCGGTCCCAGCCGTTTCCGGCAATGGCCGACACAGCAACTTAACCACCGAGCGGGTTTAGGGCTTCAACATCCTCGCAGACGCCGAAGACGGGTTCTCCGGCATCGCAGGATCGTTCCTCAACCATCTCTCGGAAGAATTCCCTAAGAAAGCGTCTATAACGTTTGGGATACACAAGCCGCCCAGCGTGTTTGACACTGAGGTACAACATTTTTCAGGAAACGCCCTTACCATTCTTAAGTGCTGATCGCTTTTGTCTGAGCAGAAAAGCAGATACGTAGCATCCGCGAATTCGGCTTTGTTGCTCAATACGGCAGCAAGGACGAGCTCTTTATATGTCCCGATCTATGCGCCGAGTAGAGCTAATGTGCCGGCTGGGGATTGGAGTCGCTATGTCAAGAACGATGTAAGTAGTTTTGGATTGCTGCAAGATCCGATCGGGGGCACCAGTTCACGCGTTCTTTCCTCGTCCATCAGTTGAGCACCCCATATCAATGGAGCGCCTATTTATCCGTCGCGATAGAAACCGCTCTTCTCCCAGTCCGGTATGGGTGACAACTATGCACACCCTCTCCTTTTGTACAACAATCGCCAATCCCCCCTATCTGCCCACCAGCATCAAAAAAACCTCCCTCCAAGTCGCCGACATCGCAAACATCGTAAACGGCGGCTCCTCCCGCACGGTCGCAACACTCTCAGCCGCGGTCCCGTTTGCGTTCCGCAAAGGCGAGTCGTATGAGAGCTCAATACAGATGAAGGAGGGACGGATACCATGGATGGTGGATCTGACGCAGCGGCTGGCGTATGATACGGTAAGAGCGGGGATGATCGCTGGGAGAATGGCCGAAGAGGGTAATCATTGATAGACATTGCATTATGTAGGTGGGCCAGGAGTATGGACAGTATACCGTCGTGAGAGGTGTTGGAGAGCTAGGTCGTTGGGATGACGTTCGCACAAGGTAAGGCTCTGAGTCCGTGAGTGAGCTCCTTTACTTTCTCGGATCCAGACCTTAGGATCCTCTTCTTCCAGTAAGCCGCCCAGCAAATCAGAGGTAGAACAGGCGTTGAGCCAGGCGTTGAAGACTGCAGGGTGCCCGTCTGGCCATTGGTAAGCTCGTTTGAACCGCGTACATTGAGCACTGGGCTATCTATGGGGTTGATATCAACTTTATTTCCTCAGCTTCGCCATCGACAAAGCCATGCCCATCGGCGAATCGTTTCCCCAATTGTTTACATCCAACATCGACGGCAACGGGTTCATCGTAGACCGCAACCCAGACAACACAGGTAACTTCAAATCAAATGCACTCCCGGCTCTTTGAATCGACTCAAATTACCCCTCTCATCAAACCCAGCCCCGCACCCACCAACCCACCACATAGCCTCCCTCTGCCGCCTGTCCCAATCCCCCCGCCTCGCCAAACCCATCCTCGCAGCCCAAGCCATCCTCGCGAAATTGACCACACCCGTCGCGGTGCTGTATGAGAAGGGAGATAATGGACTGGCGAGGGAGGAGTGGGTGGAGGTTAGGCAGGAGTTGAATGATTTGGCGGATATGTATTTGGGTGAGGAGGAAATTTAGGGGGTGGAAGGTGCGGATGGAGTGGGGTGGACGGCGTATTCGGTGGGTGTGTGGGTACAGTCTTCTATACCAGCGGCTGTAACCTTGATTCATTAGGGAAGGCTATATCCCTCAGTCGAACATATGTATCGCCAGGCTAGGCGCACCCGTAGCTGCAACGTTGGTGGGAGGATGTTGGAACAGCGACGAGTCCCAGGGCGTCTGCGCGTGCTAAATGCAAACGTCGTTTTTGGCCGTTAGGAAGATGTCCCACGGTGCGTACAGTAGGCTGCCAGATATCTGGTTACGACGCCCCAAGGACACATCATTCCGAGCATACCCACCGGCCCAAGTTGTCGAACCCCATGCAAACCCTTTCAGCACGACCGCTCGGCGCTAGCCCAGGCCCCAGGGGGACTTCTGGGTTGCACAGGGAGGCTCAACCACCCGTCGTAACGAGATATCTGGCAGCCTCCTGTACAAAGTGCGGGGCAGTCTGTCTGCCTTCCCGTCCTTTTTCTTGGCAACTTGGACTCTGCCACTCAGTGCCCGCCCCGCATCTACCACAGAAGTGCATAAATAAGAGTGCTTCCCTCCTGCATTCCTCCCTCCCTCGTTTCGTTCGCTCCGAATTCCATCTTGGCTCGCGCATTTTCGTCACTCACTGAACACATTGTTAGGGCGCCGTCATCTTCACACGTAGCAATATAAACTTCACATCCTCGACCTCTTCCACAATGAGAGGCTCCCAAGTAGGATACTGGAGGCCCGACCACCTCCTAAACGAGGCTCTCGAACAAATCAAGAGAATCCTCGAAACAACCCGTCAACCGACGTACGCCGGCGATGTCCCCCACCAATATAAGGACAAGTACCTCCTAGCCGAGTTCCTGACCAACGCCGCTCTCAATGCCCAATGGACCTGTCTGGAACTGCTGGGGCTCGACGACCAAGGGGTTAAACTGTTGAAGGACTGGACGACGCTCCAGACCAACCGCCCGGCGGTCAGCCTGCGCTTTATCGCTGAGGAGCGGTGTGGTTTTCTGAGGGAGCAGGAACGACACGTCGAGGCGCCGTCGTCGGAAACGACCATCGAGACCACGTCCAGCCGTTCGTCCAACTCGGTCCTTCATGCCATCAAAAGCAAGTTTGTGACCACCATCAAGGAGTACGTCTACGGCTACAGAATCCGGTACCGCCTGTCTATGTACTTTGGGACGGATATCGGCGCCAGCACGGTTCTCGGCGAGGTGGAACGCGGGTGCGAGCTGATCACGACCGTCAGGGACAACCCGCCCGCGCTGCCGGTCGTCATCCACGACCCGCTCGATGTGAACATCACCTACGTCGTTCAGAATTTGACCATGGAGGAAGCTGAGCCGTTCCAGTTCCGGATCGACAGGGCCGATGAGGAATGTCACACGCCGCGGAGGAACAGGAACATCACACAGGCGCTCGACTACTTCGGTGCATTCTCACGATGGGCGCACCAGGTGCACTACTACTTCCAGGGACTGGCCCGAGAACCGCGCGCCGTTCCCGGGAACGCTGTCGACCTCTCCGTTCTCTCTGCGGACGGAACGTTCATCCCCGTTGCCCCGCTGTTCGAGAAGCGCGAAGGCCGAGATTCGGTCCTGCTTTCGCCGGAAGACCTGGGGCTTTTCCTGCAGGAGCAGAAACGTAGCCTGCAGGAAAAGTTCGCAGCCATCGACCAAGCCATCCCTGCTGGTAAACTTATAACAGCGCAAGAGGGGAAGGTGATGGCCACCTTGGCCCATGCAATGAGTCTGTCGCGGACATACAACGGCTCCATCGAGGCCATTGAAATGATGCTGCACTCGCAGCTGATTGCCGCTATCGGCCGCACACTGCAGCCCCGAGATTTCACCCAGCTCGTCCGGTCCAACAACCGCAAGCTGTTCCTGCCCCAGTACGTCCCCTCCCCCTTCTGTTTCGCAGTTCAACGCCCCGGCCACTCCCCCGAAGGCGTCATCAGCATCGAATACGACGAAGACCGCTCCTCCTCCTCCTCCACCCTCGACAACGCCGGCGCCATGGTGGACTCCTTCCACAGCGCCTTCGACAACATCGACGTTCCCCTCATGGAGATCCCCCTCAACGCCGCCACAAAAGTGCAGTTTGCAGGCAAACGCCATCTCCACGCCTGCCTCTTCCACCGCTTCTCCGACTCGCCCGAAACGAACATCGCCCTCAAAGCGCGCGCGCGCCAGTTCAGCTCCTTCATCCTCCTCGTCGGCCGGATAACCTCCGCCACCCGCTTTGAGCCGCAGGCCGGCCTGATCGTGCAGAATAAGGACGATCTCACCATCCCTCTGCTTTTGGAGACCATCCCGACCCCAAAGGAATTCCAGGACGCGATCGAGTCCCTGTCACCGGAACAGCAGAAATTCGCTAAAGCGATGCGCGCCCTGCAATTGGAGAGCACGCTCTTCGGAATCTGTGTCGTCGAAATCAAACCCGAGCTTGAGAAATTGCTGAATTTGCCCCCCGACGCACTCGCGAAGGAGATCCAGCTCACGCAGGACCTCATGACATTGTTTGTCGAGTACCAGATCCCCAGCGATCTCCTGCGGTACGACGGCGAAGCGGACGCTGCAGCCAGCGCAAAGACGGACGCTGTACGAGGATACGTGGGCAAGATCAAGGATATCATCAAAGGCCGCGGACGGGAGGATATCGAGAACGCGCTGGGCAAGGCGCAGTATAATCAGTTGAACCATCTGGCCGAATCGAACAAGGTTGAACCGGCCGCCGCATATGGGTTGTTCGGGGGCCCCCCGCCCCCGCCAGCCGGCTCTTTGTTCGGCACCGCCCCCGCATCCTCGTCGTTCGGTGGCTTTTCCGCGGCAACCTCTATCCACCAACGGGGCGAGCAAAGTAAGTTGCCTACCTCGCCAATCGTGTACTCGCCATGCTCACCAACTTACTCCCCAACCTCACCCGGCTACTCCCCATCCTCACCTTCCTACTCTCCATCCTCACCTTCCTACTCTCCAACCTCCCTTCCCTACGCCCCAACCTCCCGCCGCCACCCAGTGTCGGACCTCGTAGGCCGAAGCCAAGAACTCTCCGCGGCATCGATGAAGTTCAAAAAAGCCAAATCCGCCGGCCCAGTATTCGCGCGAAAATCCGCCGGGATGTCAGAACCCGTGGCCGCTCCCCCAACCGTCCGGTACGAGGGCCACCAACAACAACAACAACCCGTCCAATCCCAATCCCAATCCCAATCCCCTTACACATCCAGCACAGACCTCCACGACCGCCCCAACCCAAAGCGAAAAACCGACGACATGGAAGCAGACAACATGAACACATCTGATACCCCCGACCCCCGCCTCGACTTCACCCGCTTCCCCACCCTCCTCGACTCTGCCCTCTCCACCCTCCCCTCCACCGCTCTCCGCCCCACAACAATAACCCTCGGCCCCACATGGTCGCGGAGCCGTCCCACCTCCATCCTCCACTCGAACCCCACCCCCACATCCCTGCCCACATCCACGCAACAAACAGAACGCAACGCGGCGTTTGACTTGCTGGATGCGTTGAGTAGGAGCGGGAGTATCGTGATGCAGGATGTGGTGATGCATGTGGTGCTGGCGGCGACGCATTGTTTTGATCAGACGATGGTGGAGGAGGTTATTAGGGGGAATGTGGACCCCGTGGGGGTTTTTGGGAGGAGTGGGGTGCTTGTGGCGGCGACTGTGAATGGCGTTGACGGGGGGAGGTTGGTTAGGGGTGGGGAGGCTGAGGTGAGGGAGCTGGAGTAAAACCTATCATGAGGGTGTGATGGGGGCTATTATTCACAAACGGTGTACCTTATTGTGCGCGAGATCGGAAGTAGCCGACGATGGTCAGATCGTAGACTACTAGTAATCTATAGTACTAGTAGTCTATCCTATAGAAAACTAAGGGTTGAGGCCTAACGGTTGACAAGAGGAGTCAAATGCAAACGCGTGACAGCCCCACAGTCTTCCTCGGAAGCGGGAATCAAGCGGGCATCGTGCGTGTGTCGCCTCATGTTTGGGCGTCCCGCGTTTCGCTCGACAAGCCCCGTGAAGACTGCTCCCTTATAAGAGACTAGCATAGATCCCTTCCTCGTCGATAGTCAACGATAGCATTATCCATAGGCGCAGTTTCAAAAATGAGTGTAGAACCAACTCTCTCCGTTTTCCAGGTATGTTTCAACCCGCCGCGGATGGATGGAACCCACGTCAACAGAATCTTAGGACTGAACAGGCGGACGTGTTCTATAGCCCAACATCTTCGATGGCAAAGTAGCGTTCGTCACAGGTGGCGGGAGCGGGATCTGTAAGGGGATTACGGAGGCGTTGATGAGGTATGTGTAAGGTCAAGAGACGCCCGGTTGTAGGGGGTGTGAGTCTCATGAGTTCATTTGGCGTAGGCATGGAGCGAAAGCCGCGATCTTCAGCCGAAGCTTGGATAAGATCCAGGATGCGGCGAAATCACTGTCGTCTGCCACTGGTGGGTCAACGAGATATCACCATGCTAACAACATAACTGAGCCGCCACTAACTATCGGTTTCTTCAAAGGGAAAGAATGCATCGGCTTCGCAGGCGACGTCCGATCCTACACCGACCTCGAAGCCGCGATGAAGAAGGCGCGAGACCATTACGGAAAAATCGATATTGTCATTTGCGGGGCGGCAGGGAACTTTTTATCGCCGGCTGAGAATTTGTCTGCTAATGGGTTCAAGGTGCGCTCTATCGTCGTCTGTCGTCTGATCTGAGCTATGAATTGTGTGGACTAGAATATGCATTCCGCAGACGGTGGTAGAAATCGATCTCCTGGGCACTTTCAACACCGCGAAAGCCGCTCTGCCTTACTTGAAGGAATCGCAGGGATCGTTGTTGAGCATCTCCGCGACCTTCCACTACATGGGATCGCCGCTGCAGGTGCACTGCGCGGCGGCCAAAGCTGGGGTGGATGCGATGACGAAGACGCTGGCGGTCGAGTGGGGCCATTATGGAATCCGGGTTAATGCTATTGCGCCCGGGGTACGTTACGTCTTTCCCGCTCCCGCTGATGCACCGCGCAACACTTTGACTGACACGCACTTCTCGTCTGTGAATTTTTCTCCTCCAGCCAATCGCAGAAACAGTCGGCCTCCAGAAACTGACACCCAAGAACATCGACTACTCCGACAGTCTCATGCCCATCCAGTCCGTGGGTAAGATCAGGGATATCGAGCATGCGTCTTTGTTCATGCTGGGCCCTGGGGCACGGTTTATTACGGGGCATATTTTGGTGGTGGATGGGGGGCATTGGTTGACGGGGATGGGGACGGGGGCGCCGCCGGCTATGTGGCGTAATGCGGGGTCTGCTAAGCTGTAAGGAGGTTTTTCTTGTGTACGTATACTTAGTTTGTGAATACAGCCCACGTAGGCCCACGTTGCAGCCGAGTTTGCCTGACGCGTTCGAACTTCGAAGTTCCCGGGGTCAACCTCGGTAATCCCACGAGAATCCCGTTTCGTACATACGGAATGTCCGACGACGAAGAACAATCAGAGTACAGGGGCGCTGACAGTCCTGCCATATTCCGTGCTACCCCGGTCTCAAGGATTGACGAACGTGGGATTCGCAACCGATTGAGGGATCGGTTTGTCTTCGACAAGCGGAAGGTGACTTGTGGGGTTATTTGCAGGCTACGCTGACTACGCAAGTACTTATGTACAAAGCTTTTGTTGCAGACGGCACCTCCAGCAACTACCGGCACACCTGCAACGCCGAACCTGGGGTGGAACCACTTGACTGAGCCTTCATCGCCACCCATCTCCCTCTCAAGCGCAGCACCGCCCTCAGTCTCAGCCCATTCCCACACGCCCACCCCCGTGCCATCCCCGCGTAACTCTCCTGCCGTGCAGTCCCCTGTATGGAGGAACACTGAAGGACGTGCCGCTGTCCGGGCACCGATATGGGCTACGGGGAGATATATGAGCGCGTCAAGGGATAGCACGCCAATTCCGGATCCTAGCCCAGCTCAGGCTAGAGATTTCGCATCGACACCCAGCTCCGTCTCATCAACACCGGTGGTCCCGTCTAGTTTGAGAAGGGCAAGCCAGACAACCAGGCGAGACACACCGGCCACCACTGCAGGCCGCCCTATCAACCGCACCGAACAGTACCTACGCCTTAACCACCGCAAAGATATCTCCAAAGCCATCCTGGACTGGCAACGCGTCCGCGACAGGGCAAACACGACTGCGTACCAGTTCAGAGTCACGCTTTTGATTGATCCGCTGCTTATGCTGGATCATGACGCGGTTGTGGGGAATGAGCTGCTGAGAGGGTTGGGCGAGGTTACGAAAGCGCAGTTTGTTACGGCGTGCTTTACGTTGTTGAGTGGTGCGTTGGGCGGGCCGGCGGATCTGTTTCCCGAGATGGTGCGGGTGGCTGTGGGATTGGCTTATATGCCTTCGGTCTCTGGGTTGGTATTTTCGCGCATTTTGGGCAATCTTCACAGGTAGCTAACAATCTACTTTTGAACAGCCTTATGATCAGCGATGTTCAGGAACTCCTCAGCACGTTGAAAGCGCCGGAAGAAGAAAACAGCCCTCCGACCGACACAGAGCGGAATCGCGCACCTCTCGCCGTCTTCTTCGGCACCGTCCAACGCCTTAAACCGATCTGTCACCGCGTACACAGCAGATTGTACCGCTGCACCAACTTCAAATGCAGAAACCGGAACACCGTACATGTCGCACAGTCCACCGCCACCCTCCACCGCGTCACGAAGCGTGATGCGATAGGAGCCAATCTCTTAACATCCACGAGCGTCAAACTGCATGAAATCGATCTAGTTTGTTCCCACTGCGGAGACCCCATGCCGGAATCTGTTGTCGATCGCGTCGTGACGCTGGGACGAGAGGGGCACCTTTTGCTGCAGGCCGCCGACAAATGCTTCGTTCAGGTGATCACCATCTGGTTGGAAGACGAGCTGACCCGGTCGATTGCACTGGGCGATACGGTGGAGGTGATTGGTGTCCCTGAACGCACGCTCGGGCAGGTGTCGAACAATCGCTTTCATCCCCGGTTTGGGATCCGACTGGGTGTCGTCAGCGCGCGGAAAGTCAGCGGTGCATCGGTAGCGGGAAGCAATGCGCGCGGCCGCAGTCATGCGCTGACGGGGCAGTCAGATCTTTACGGGCGCGGGACGGCAAACATCCCCCAGTCGATTCTGCAGCTCCAGGGCGATAATCTCTCACCGTATGGATTCACACAAAAGCTTGTCGATCAGATGTTTGCCGACATTGTCCCCCGTGCGATATGGAGGAAAACCAAGCTGGCGATGCTGTTGAGCTTGGTATCGGCGCCCGTCGACGTTGACGAGCAGGTAAAGCCGCAGAAAGGCCCGTGCACGCCTCGTCGGGCTCTTCACATGCTCTTCCTCTACAGCTCCCCCATCCCGGCCCTCAATCGCATGCTGGCTTCAGTGCCACGTATCCGCCATTCACATCGGTGGGTGCATGGATGCGAGTATAAGCACCAGGCGCTGGGCCACGCGGACCGACAGGGCGACGGCGATGTGAAGGCGTGCCCGATGACAGGTGCCAAAAGCGGCGTTCTGATGGTCGAGACGGATCATTTGAGGAAACCGAACCTGGACGAACTGATCAATGCCCTTGAGAAACGGGACGCGGGGTTGTGCAACGAGGAGGCTGGGCCGACGAGTGCGGAAGTGACCGTGTGGGCGTCCGCGATGCTGAAGAGCGGGCGACGCAGCTACAAGGCCCAGCATGAGGCGAACGAGCTCAGCATGTCGTTGGCTCCCGCTTTTGCGCCGTTGATCAGCAAGTTCGACATAATACTTAATCTCCGTGGGACGGCGACACTGGACAACCATGAGTACCTCTTGGCGCAACATATCCTCTCCCTCTGCACGCAGGAGAAACGCATCGAGAATGCAAGTACGGGCATATGGAACCCAGACATGGCCCGCTTCCTGCACATCGCGGCCAACATCGAAGTGAAGCTCTCGAGCGAATGCCAGACCTTCCTGCGATTGTATTTCTCGGCTGTGAGGAAGTTGCTCGGGGCGGGGGTCACAGAGAGCATGTTTGCGACGATGGAGACGTTGATTAGGATCGCTTGTGCGCATGCTAAGGTTTGAACTCGTATTCACAATGTTCTTTGTGACTTCGAGAACGAGGTTACTTCCCTCCCATTTCACCTCCCCAGCTTTGCCTGCGCGACACAGCACTCGTAGACGACGGGCTCGTCAGCATCGCCTTCGTAGAGGAAACCATGGCGCTCACACGCGGACAATCGATCATGGGCTTCAAGCCCTTACCAAACGACCGGAGCAACATCGAGAAGATGTTTGGCGAGGAAAGGCGACAGAAAAGCGACTGGCGGAAGTTTCCTGATGATGATGAGGTATGGAAGCATAAGAAGGGGCGATAGATGGGTTTTTGGGTGCCTTGTTGATGCGATTTCTTTTTTTGTAGGGCGTGCAGGATTCGGACTCGGATATAGATTCGGATTGTGATCAGAGCAAGGCTTCGCCGGCTGAGCAGGCTTTCACTCGGTAGTGTGTTTGCAAAATGCCTCTTTCGTTCTCAGGGTGGTGTGTGAGCTTGTCCCGTCTTTGTTCCCTTTCACTCACTAGGTTCTACACACATGTGATGGGTGTGCTGGAACGGTACTCGGACGAATTTACCTCGACGGGTTCTGGGTGAAGCTACCATTCCTATTAGATTTCGGGAAGCATTCATATGTAGCGCTCGGGGGAAGGCAGTATTGAGTTGGATAGATTATCATAGCCGTATACGGGTTGCATAAGTAGATTAATTTCGAGAAAAATAACACAGAGGGGCCGATCTTAGTCCCCACACTGAAATTGGCTTCGAAAAGTTTAAACCGGAGCTGTCAAAATGGAACACTCGAAAAATCGCGTCCAGTCAAAAACAGCAAGGTGTGGCGCGTGAAGTCATCACATTTGCCGGTTTCAAGTCCGCTCACCCCCGCGCGCGACCTTCGTTTCGAAATGGCCGCCACACTTGATCCGCAAATCAGTTGCCATGGGACGCAGCATTTTTGCTGTGTTTGAGCGTCCGTCGAATGTGCGATTCTGGATCTAGGGCATGTGGCAAATCGGGCAAGCACACTGACAGGTTCGCTCGACTCTTTCTGAAACGCACGCTGTCGTGCAAGGAGGAAAAAGGAGTGCGGGGGGCGGGCGCGGGGACTTCCTTTTCTTTCAACGAGAACAAGCACAGTCACCACGTTCCCACCGCATATGTTTCTGACGTGATGGTGGATCCCAAAGGAAGCCACCGCCCAATCCTCTGTATCGGGCCGGCGGCAAAGGCTCTCGCACTCACCGCTTCGCACTGTCGGCGCATAATATATAAGCCGCCCGGCAGGCAGCGCAGCCCCTTCCAACGTAAAACAGAGAAATCCACAGTTACCCCCCTTTCGCCACACATATACTCCTATACACACACTTAGAGAAAATGGTTGCCATCAAGTCTACCGTTCTGGTTATGGCCCTCATGGCCGGCAACGTCCTCGCCTCCAGGCCCGTGTTCTCTCGCCATGAGGACGTGACGGTCGTCTCGCTTGACGACAAGCCCTCCTCCTCCGACAGCACCGCCGCGTTCTCCGGCTACGACTCGTCTCGGGACAAGTCTGAGGGCCACAAATCCGAGGGTGGTTACTCCGACGACAACGGCAAGAAGCACGGAGGAGGCTCCAAGAAGAACGGCGGTCGCAAGTCTGGCGGGAAGAAGCACCACGGCAAATCCGCGGACGGTGACTGCTCCGAGGGCACCACCACCACCGTCGCGGCTGCCGGCGAATCCACCAGTGTCGAGTTTACCATCGAGTCCATCGTCCACGATTCCACAACCGCTGCTGGCGCTGAGTCTACACCCGCCCCGGTCGGCGAGTCCACTACCGTTGAGGCCGGCCGCGAATCCACAACCGCGGCCGCCGAACCGACAGAAGACTGCCTGGATGATGACAGCACCACCACTGCCGCCGGCGCGATCGAGACCACCGCCGTCGAATCGCCTGCATCTATGCCCACGGACACGGCCCTGCCCATCGTCTTTGGCGAACCCACTCCTACACCCGCAGCGTCCACAGAGGTCATCTCCGCGGCAACTTCCCAATGGGTGTCGGTTGCCGGCGTCTCTGTCTTTGCTGTCATGGCTGGTTCCATGTTGCTCTTGTAAGACTTAGCAGGATGCCCTTGACTTGCGGTTATTTCGCATAGACATAGATTTTGGACTTTTCTCGTTGTAAATGCTCCCTGTTTTGGACTTTCCGTTTTACATATTCCGTCAAATACCTTCTGAGAATCTCGGCGTACAGTTTATCAATTATCATCTTGTTGCCAAAGAACTTCAATCTCCGTTCTTCTTTTGTGTCGTCCTCTTTGTGCAATGGGGGATCTCTCTCTCTGCAGACATTAATACATACGACGTAATCTCGCTTCAGTTCACTACATCTGACGCCCTTCAACCCTACGACTGACTCGAATTCCCGTTCTCAGCAGGCACATCAAAAGGCAACAAACTCCCAAACGGCAAATGCTGCACAACCGGAAGTTTATGTAACACCTCGGCAATATACATCTTCAGCATGCCCTTGTTGACTTTCTGCCAGTGCGGCACGCCGGAGATGTCGTAGAGCATGGGCGAGTGTTCGTGGAATGGGCCTTTTTTCACCTTTTGATTGAAAAAATTTATGGCGGTGCGGAAAGTGGGAGGATGGCAGAAGGGATGGGGACTGAGGGTCGTACCTCATGGATGTACTGGATGCAGGCCAGGTACATGTACTCTTTTGAATAGTGCTCGACAATGTCGGCTTGCATGACTGATTTGGGCTTCAGGCGCGGGTGATCTGGGGGAAGGACACTTTTCGTAAGCAATCTCCAGCGCTGTAGACGAGGTTCGTAGCCGCTCCCACCTATGAGTTGCGCACTTCCCCAGAAGTAGGGCAAAAACTGGTGGTCGTCCAGACCCCATACACCATGGCTGCCGGCCGGTTCTAGCATGTACACGCGCTGGAGGCGGCGGACGACATCCAGATATCTGTTTCCGCCAGGGTGTAGAGCGGTACGGGCGCATAAATCAGCTTATCCGTCATCAAACCACCCCTGCGCTGGCCGAGCTCCCCAGGAAGCCCAAGCGTACTTCACGAAAACCCTTGTGACGATCGCCGTGTGATCCTCCGGCGTCACCACATCCAGCAGCTCCAAACAGCACAACCAGGCCGTAAACGACAGTTCGTGCCCGCTTCCATAGTCCAGCCGCGTCCCGTGCCCAAACCCGCCTGTCAGATACGGCGTCAGCTCTTCGACGGCGGGTTGTCGGTCGGGGGGAAGGATGCTGCTTATGATTGATGCGGCGTTCTGTGGCATTATGTATGATCAGTTGTCGTGGTACCCAAACTGCACTTTTATGACAATGCCCCTGAGATGTGCAATGCTTACACTTTCCAACCGATCTATCCATGTCCTGAATGCCTTGTTGCCGAACCGCTGCGGGGTCTCCAACGCGGGTATCTCGTCGATCCATTTATCCAGTGTATCGAGCATGTCCACCAGCTTCCTTACTGTCTGCCAGATGACAGTGAGATGAGTCAATACGCTTGGATTCTCATCCGGCCCCTTGGCCACCTATATATGTCTTCCTCCCACTCCCGACAGAAGACTACAGCACATCACCTCACTCTCGGCACACGCATCCGAATTCTTCTTCTGATACGCCGCGTTATTCAACACCTGAATAAACTCCAACAACCGCACAAACGCTTCGGAGCGCAACCATATCCTCAGGGTGGTCTCGTCTATGATGCGTTTGTGGGGAACTGTGTAGACGTGGGTTGTTGGGATGGTGATGTGTGCGCGGTGGTCGGTGAAGGCTGGGATGGTGACGGATGTGCCCGGCTGGACTGGGAGTCGGACAGGGGTGCCTGGGGGAGGCATGACGGGCATTAGGGAGGTTGCGTTGTGCATTTTGTGTCTGTCTGTGTCGGTTTGTGTTTGTGGTCTCGTTGGTGCAGAAGTCCATGGGAATGTCGCCTCCAAGATCGTTACAGAGGTTAAGGCTGCTTTTCGAGTTCGAGAGTGTTTTCGGAGTTTCGCGAACTGGAACGATGTCGACTGGTAACCGCTCTGGTAATCGCTCGACAGACAAAGCTGCCCTCTAAGTCATTGCAATCAACCCGCTTGAAGGCTGTCGTCTGCCTCGATTGCCATGGCGACGTGCTCTCGTCAAAGTGTATGCTTCATACGCACTGCGTTTCGTCGAGCCCACTGCCGAGTGTCGCCACAAGCTGCGAGTCAGCTGCGACAATATGCCATACAAACGAAACACCAGGCGCCGCCGGCAACGGCGGGTATCGACCGTATCCGGAATATCGGAATTATAGCGCACATTGATGCTGGGAAAACGACGACGACGGAGCGAATGCTGTATTATGTGGGGTTCACCAAACGGATAGGAGGTGACTTTCGACGCAGGGTACTTCCTATTTGAGAAAACATACACTTATACCCACCTGAATGTTTGTAGAGGTGGACCAGGGTTCTACTGTAACGGACTTCCTCAAACCGGAGCGCGAACGAGGAATCACAATCACCTCCGCCTGCATCCCGTTCTCATGGCAGCAACACCGCATCAATCTAATAGACACCCCCGGACACGTGGATTTCACCATCGAAGTCGAGCGAAGCATGCGGGTGCTAGATGGAGCCGTATGCGTGCTAGACGCGGTGGCAGGGGTGGAAGCGCAGACCGAGACTGTGTGGCGGCAGGCCAACCGGTACGGCGTGCCGCGGATAGCGTTCGTGAACAAGATGGATAGACTCGGTGCCAGTTTGGGGAGAACGTTTGCGTCGATGGAGAGAAGATTGACGGGATGGGGGCGCCCGCTGCTTTGTCAGTGGCCCGTTGTGCCGGACGAAGCTAGTGGGGTCAGCGGCCCTGGGTCGGGTGGGCCCGATTTCGGGGGCGTCGTGGATGTCGTGACGATGGAAGTACTGAGTTGGGACGCCGAAAAGAGCGGGAGCGTCATCACAAGGCGGAAGCTGCTGCAAGATGGCCCAGATGGCCAGCGGCTCTATCAGGAAGCCTTGAATACTCGCACAGCCCTCGTAGAAGCGCTCTCAGATCTGGACGAGAAGATTGTGGATGCGTTCATCGAATGTGATGGAGACCATATGCAGATCTCTGCCGATGACATCAACGAAGCCTTACGGCGGGTGACAGTCAGCGGGAAGGGCGTGCCTGTGTTCTGTGGAGCGTCGTTCAAAAACATCGGAGTGCAGCCGGTGCTGGATGCTGTTGTACGCTTCCTGCCGTCTCCGTTGGAAAGGCCCGCGCCCACAGCTCTCACAGCTGATGGGAAGGAAGTGACGGTGAACCTGGCTGACAAGGAGCCCTGTGCGCTTGCATTCAAGATCATGCATGATGCGAAACGCGGACCTTTAGTCTTCGTGAGGGTATATTCGGGTAGGATTACACCTCAGGCATTCGATTCAAATGTAGCCTGAGCTCATCCTTGCCGTCTCAACCCTCCAGGAAAATTGGAGCGAGGAATGTCAGTCATCACATCCAAAAGCAAGACCAAAGAGCGGGTCTCAAAAGTCCTGCAAATGTACGCCGACGACTACGAAGAGATCCCCGAAGTCACACCAGGCAACATCGCCGCCCTTTCCGGTCTTAAAGAAACGAGTACAGGCGACACACTCCTCAACGGATGGAACAAACGCGTCTTCAGTCTTGATACCATAACAATACCGCCCCCCGTGTTTGTGCGGTCATGCGAACCACAGACGTCTGCAGACGAGCGGGCACTCAATGCCGCGTTGAAGGCGATGGTCCGTGAAGACCCGTCCTTGCATGTTACCTACGACGAGGAGACCGGCCAGACGTTGTTGAGCGGGATGGGCGAGCTGCATCTGGAGATCACGGCCGACCGATTGCAGGAAGTGCACCGGGTCAACTGCAAAATGGGCAAGGTGCTGATCAGCTACCGAGAAACCATGCTGCTGGATCCCGCGGCGGGGGAAAGCGTTACCGAGACGTACATCCACGATAGAGCCAGCTTTGGACAGAAAGCGAAAGCGGGCGTCACGCTGCAGATCGAGCCGATCATACCGCTGAATTCCGCAGAGGACGAGCTCATCAACACGAAGGAGGGTGCCGGCGGGAACGAAGTGCATTGCAAGCTGGGCAAATTGCAGTTCAACATCGAGGGTGCGGACGACGAAAAGAAGGGCGCTATGGCGGGGTTGACTGGGTACGGCCCCATTGGAGAGATGGAGGATGCCATTCGATCAGGGATCGACGGCGCGCTAGGACGTGGGACGCTGTTAGGGTTTCCCCTCACGAACCTCCGTGTAACATGTACGGAGGTTCATCTATTCGGACCCGAAGTGTTTGCGCCATCCGCGCTCCGGGCAGCGGCCAACCGATGCGTGCAAGCAGCGCTGAAGGCTGTAGACAACAGTCGATTGCTGGAACCCATCATGGATGTGTCCGTCCGCGTACCGGAACGCTATGTCGGCGCCATCACGAAAGACATCTCGGGTACACGGCGGGGACAGATCACATCGCTCGGCAACGACGCGGAATCGGAGGGAGAAGATTCCGCGGGGGATTATGCATATCGCACCGTGGAGGCATCGGTGCCACTGTCGCAGTTGGTGGGTTACTCCACCGCGTTGAGGGGCCTGACTGCCGGGACGGGTGACTTTACGATGAACCTCAAGGGATACGGAGTGATGCCAAGCGATAGACAGGGGGAAACCATCAAGGAAATTAGAGGCTTTTAACTGGCAGGTGGCCAGTGGTACGGCGTATCTGGGTATCTCCGTGGACCTATCTTCGATCTATAGTAGGCAGCTATATAGGGAGCGGGTGACTCCTACCTTGAATTACATACATTTAGATTCACTATCCCTAAATCGTTTCCCCAATGAAATTGATCAATCGCTTCAGCCTTAGCTCGCCTCTATTCCAATCATGGGGCCATCGCGAGCGAGAATGCCATTCTAGGAGTACATGGCGCTCCTCATTGTTAGAAACTTCGGTAAGTCGCACTGCTATGTCGTCAATGAAACCCCAGAACGTAGACATTTTCTCTGATGCAGCGAGAAATGAGGGGTCAACGAAAGGCCATCGGCGGGGATTGGCAACAAACATATTATGCAGCCCACTTTCCGCTCTTACCAACATGCCAATACACGGAATCGCCACTCGTCGTCACCTTGACGACCCGGCAGGAATCATCCTTATCCCAATACAGCTGCACAAGCTTTTTCACGCGTTCCAGAGGATTCATAACCTGCGATCCAAGTCAGTCAGCATCCCATTGTGCAATCCTATCTATGATCGCTATTGCGCGTCTCCCATACCTTAATACCGGGAGGCATCACCTTGACCCCCGGCGGCATCGTCGGAGCCCTCAACCGCCCATCCTTCGCCGCCCGATACACATGCTGTCTCGAAACGCGGCCCAACCGCTCCTCGTCGTCCAAGGACGGGAACGCGGGCCATTTCATCTCCATCGATGTGTTTCGTGCATCGATCCAGAGCATGGCGAAGAGATATGGGATTAGGATACATTGCGCGATGAAGAGACACTGGCGACGGAGTCCGGCTAGATGACGGAAGCGTAACTATTGAGTCTCGGGTTACTTCCGCCGTTCAGACCGCCGCTTCGTCCTTACATATTGTGGTATAGTCGAGCCCGCACTGGGCGCATAGGGCCGCGGTGGCGGCGGCGACACCCATCATATGGCCTCTTCGGAAGTTCTGGAAGAACGCCAGGATGATGCCCCATATTATGTAGCCCTGAGATGAGACGTCAGCACTCGAAGTCCTTGCTGCCGTTGGCGTGATCTCTTACCATCTCGGCGGGTGAGCGCGTGAACAGCGGCACTGTATAGGTCCGTCTGGAAGCGGCCTCTCGCTTGTCAGCCGTTCGAGTTGTTCAACAGAGGATGCTGAAGACGAAAACTCTATATGCACGCTATGTACAGTACAGTACAGTACAGTACAGGACAGTATCCACCAGGTCGCCAACGCTACCAAGTTGCGTTTCGCCCAGCGACACGTCTGTCTTGACTCTTCACAAGTCCCACTGGGTGGCACAGTCACGCACGCGCTGCGCAGAGCTCGTGGAAACATGGCGTTCGAACTCATCCAGTGTGAATTGCAGTCGAGTGAATTCGGGCAAGCGCTGGCACTTTCCACCTCGACAGTGATTCGAAGGCGGACGAAGAGAACGAATAGGACAGGCTGCCGTAACTTGTTCTGTCGACAGACCCGCTCCCTTAGCGTCAAGATTGCCCAAGATGGCTTCGATAAAGGTGTGCTACTGAACCGTTCTCAAATTGCCCACCTCAACTGACCAAGTCTTCCTACAGAACTTCAACCCCCGCTCAATACCAATAGCTACCCGCTCCCTCCTCGGAGCAGCGATAGTCCTATCCCTAGCCGGTCTAGTTGTCCCGCACGAATACCTTGCACTCCGACCGGCAACGTCGTTCTACTACATTTGGACATTCGCGCTAGCGGGGTTATGGGAGATCAATATTTTTTCGGTATGAGGGCACCTTGAGGGTAGTACATCATGAGTGAAGACTAGGGCGGGAGCTCCTTGGGGAGCTTTGCAGCTGCTGGAGGCTAATCCCGCGTTTCATTCGATACTCGCCAGCTGGCGATAAACAGCGTGGGACTGGTGCTGTCGGGGAAGTACTTTGAATCACATTGGGGCACGAAGTACGTTTAGATGGCGATGACGTGTGGATGAAGAAGGCATAGTCGATATGATCACTGTGGCTAATCCGACCATGGCCGCCTGTAGAGAGTTCGCAAAGTATGTCGCGATCGTAAATCTGTCGACGTACTTCGGGGTCCTGCTTGCCACGGTCTTTGAATACGCGGTCACGATGGACTACTTCTGGCTGTGAGTAGAATGAAGGCGCATACGAGTGGATGTGGAAGTGGAACTCGTCATCTGACTACGACTGCCCTCCAGATTTGGCTCGGAAGCCAGCGGGTTAGCGGGCCTGCTGGCCGGCTTTCTCGTCTCCTTCAAGCAGGTATGTCGGTCTTCCAGCCAACACCGCTTGTGCCGTAACTGATCAACGAAAACCGTAAAGGCAGTCCCCGAGCATTCCATCAAAGTGTTCAACGTCATCTCGATACGTGCCAAGGTATGAGATTATCCGCGTTAGGATGGATAGCCCTTTTACGCCATGGCTCAACCTTTGCAATACATCCTACAGTACATCCCATCGCTATACCTCCTCGCCAACTTCATCCTTTTCGCCTTGCGGATCATCCACGTTCATTTCTTCATAATCTTCTTCGGGACCCTGGGATCGTGGGTGTATACACGGTTCTACAAGAAGCAGGACGGCATCAAGGGAGATCGGAGCGAAACGTTCTCATTCGCGAGCTTCTTTCCGGACTTCTTACAGTGAGTGCCGTCGAAGTTTGCCGTCTATCCCAGATGAACTGGCATGTGAACTCATGACCCCATTCTGTTTTTCCACACAGTCCTTTCATCAAACCCCTCTCAAATACGGTGTACAAGTTCGCCGTCGCAGCAAAACTATGTCCGCCATTGCGGCAGCCGCTTCCCACGACGACACCGGTTGCGGCGGCGGGGAGTCAACAGGCTGCAAGCAACCCGCCAGCGGCGTCGGACGCTGATGCTGAGCGGAGGAGGTCAGTTGCCGAACGCGGCGAACGGGGACCCCGAGCGCATTTCATTGACGTTGCATCTTCTATGATATAGGGCGTTGGCGTTGAAAGCGCTGGACTCACGGCTGGCGAGCACCCCTGATGCGCCTGGGGCTCGATAGGAACGCGAGAGCAGGTTTCGTATTGCGGGATTACTGATGGTAGTGAGCGTGGTTGGGATTGGAAGTGGGGGGAGAATCGGCCGCCCCCGCGCGGGGTGATGACTATCGTCCGTCGTTTCACTCGCCGTTAGAAACTCTCCAGCGTTTAGATTACCCCCAATCTTAAAAACAGTAAGATAGTCATGACCCACACCGTCACCCCTGCATGTGTATAGTACGAAAGCTCTTCTGTAGATACAGCCGCCATTGTTTATTGCCGCGAAGCACAATAAGCATGTACAATAACACCATCCGGAAATCTCGTAAACACACTATTCGCGATACGTTTCAGACATATCGAGCACATCCGTTCGTCGGTGACGGGGATCCGCACCGACGTGTGGTGCGATAATCGCGATTTGAACTGTCGGGTTCAAATTGTCAGTCGGCAATGAGCTGGTTATATGGGGCAAATGTGGGGAAGATGGGATTTGTTCCCTCACCTGTATACACTCAGCCTTCAGTAAATTCTTGACAACCTCATTCGTATTCCGCGTCCGATGCGTATCGTGCATGTTACGTTCGAAGTAGCCGAGGAGGTCAGTTAGGGGGATGGTTTGGGGTAATATCGCCATTGCCCGAATCGCATCGATGCTAGCGCCGTAGATGGTCATAAACGACAATATCTCCGGCAACGGGAACTCGTTCTTGGAGAGGAGGGAGAGGTACAATTGGAGAAGGAGGAGGAACACGTCGCGGGACTGGGGGTCGGAGGGGTCGTAGTGTTTCTCGCAGTACCTAGAAAACGCCCGTGAAACAGTGAGGACTGCACGGCAAACAGTGCGAGCGACATTTCCCAGGCACTCACAGATTAGCCATACGGTAATTCCGCACTTTCTCGATGTAGATGCGTAACGCTTCCTCGTGACGTTTGAGACGGCTGAGGACTATGGCTTTTTCCTCGTACAGTGCTATTGGGATGCAGGAGTAAGGTCAGCGAATTGCATAAGAAGGCGTGTGATTGGCTTGGGCAACATTACCATCAGCAGGTAAGGCGTCTAATATCTTCTCGGGCCGATAGGTGGTCGATGTTTCCAACATCTTTGTGAGTTTACGTCGGATGTCCCAGAAGGATTTACCGGAGCCTTCTTCTGCCCACACAGAACAGGCCATCGTTAGAAAACATAAGCCAACCGAGGCAACCGGAGTGTGGCAAAGACCTATACCTGCTCCATCCCGACTCGGCACCATCGGCCCCGCCAGCCCCGTCCTCGCCCCCAACTCCCTCCTCAATCGGGAAAGATATATCAACAGCAACGACTCCTGAATCCCCGCATCCACTTCCTTCGTCTCATGCACCAAATACTCCAAATACCCCATTGCAAAGTCCTCATCCACATCCAGCAAAAACGCTGCAATGCGTTTCTTGGTGTCCAAGCTGAGCTCGTCATAATGCTCGGTGAAGATCTTCATCCCTTCTTTACGGTCTTTGCTGAGGATCCACGCCGCGTACTCCAGGATGAGGTCCAGGTTGGATTCCATGTTCAGGGCGTGGAGGTACTGCACCATCTTCTCTGTTTCCGCAGCGGTGGCTTCGGGCGAGGTGGCTTTCGTTTTGAGAAACTCGAGCGCTTTCCTGTGGAGGCCCTTTGTGCGGTACAGCGAAATCAGCTCGTCGAATTTCTCGCGGTGGAGGAGGAGGGACTCGCTTTCGGAGACGTTGCAGTGGTTGGTGACGCGCAGAAGGGGGCCGACGAGGGCTTCGTTTACTTGGAGGTAGACTTTTAGGAGGGTAGTATCGACCACTTCGGAGAGGTAGACCGTGTCGGCGATATTGGTTGTCGCGGCTTGGCTTGCTGAGCCCATGACACTTTTCGCGTAGGCTTCCTGTTGCTGCCGAAGCCGCGAGAGAACCCCGCGCTGTTCAGTCAGGTACGTCAATAGTAACATGATGGCGTTCCTATCTGAGTACAGGAGCCGAAAAGGTAAGTCCCAGCGTGCGGTTGTGGGAGTCCCTGGCCCACGGGTGGCGCACCTGATGGCTGGACTGGCTCGCTAGATGCATCTGGATCGGGGGGAGCGAATTCGGGAAAGAGATTGATGACATCCAGTGGGGACGCGTTTAGCTCCTGCAGTATGGACAGGCCTTCCTGATACTTGTGTTCGGCTCTGAACAAGTGGTGGGCGTACATCCCGCGTATGCGGATGACGTTCGCGATCTAAGTGTGTGGAGTTGAGCAAAGAGCCTCTGAGGACGCAAAATCCCGTTTCCACCGTCTAACCTTATCTTGTTCCGTCGGAAACGCAAGCTCTTCCACCAGGGATTGTGCATCTGCGTACTCATCGTTCCCGAGGAGCTGTTCTATCTTCACCGTGCATCAGTTATATGCCCCAATGAATGTCAGAACTAGTGAGTTTCTCACTTGATCTTCAAAATCGACCGGTAGTAGTCTCCATATCGACGTGGGGCTAGCAGCCAAAATGGAATGTCCAAACACCACAGTATTTACACCAGGTAGTGGTAGAGTCTGCACTACGACGTTACGCTGCAAGGCCCGCACTTCCACGTGACGGGGGAGGAGCGCAACGACGAACGGTGGCCATGGCGCTGCAAAGCCAACGATGGTGAGATGTTGAACCCCCCCGACATGTGCTACATAGCTATTACCCACGACGTATGGCGGAGCGCTCCATCCAATCTCCACATCATGGACCACAGTCCCGTTTTCTTGCACCACAATGGTCGTCTCTAGCAGAAAGTCGTCAGCGTCCGATCCCCTTCGTTCGGATCAACACATGTTGCGGCCTACCATCTTTCGTCACCAGCAGCCTATCTTCGGATAGGACATCGACGAGAACCGCCGCCTGCTTCATCGGCGCGAAACTGCCTATTGCTCCTGCTATCGATGTCCGGAACGAATGCACATCGGTGATGGTGCCTGTTGAAATGTCCACGCGCGACACAGATCGTGTGTAGCCGAGGAATAAAACATCGGGTGAATGGCTCCAGGTGATCGATCTGGTCCTGTCTGGCAAGGCCAGCTCCTTCTCTGATTTGGCATCTCGACCATCAAAGGTCCAGATCCACAGCCTGTTCTTCGATGTGACAGCAAACTGCGAGGAGGTAGTGGTCTCCGCGTCGTTTTCCGCAGGTTTCGGTGACCCTATACAAAGCGCCCCTTTGATCGAATCCAGGCTTACGATCAGCTCCAAAGTGCTTATCCTGTGGATTCGAACGGCCCCCGCTGAAAGAACGGCCACGGAATCGGTGCCATTCAAGATGCAGATGGCATCCACAGGCTTCGAAGTCGACCCCACGCGTGTTTCGACCAAGTTTATCGTAAAACTTGGCTCTTCCTCTACGTTGTACAGCAAAAGAGACCCGTTGTCCGCCCCCACCACGATATGGTTCTCTGTAGCTTAGAGCGTTAGTTTAGCTGTTCCAGACTGGTCTGTTTGACAGGTGGTTGACTATACCATACGAGTCGACACATGTGATCTTCAACGGTAACTTTTCTACAATTGGTTGTGCATGAAAGACGTTGTGCATGCCGATGCTTTTCCGCCCCTGGTTTCAGTGCTATTACAACCTTTGCCTCTGTGGTCCTTTGCGCTGTCCATGTGTGTACAGGTTTACTGGACGTGCTACTCTGCGTGCTACTGCTGGAGCAAGCTACTAGTAATTCGCTCATGCACGACATTGTAGGGTAGGGTGCGCGGGGCGTGTGTCATTCGGCTGTTTCCACATGAGTCACGGTGTCATATGAGTTGGGAGCCACGCACCCGCACATGCACGCACCGCGTCCTTCAGATATAAGGAGCGTCAAGCCGCATCTCGGAAGTCACAAAAGCCAATAGAGATCACGGCCAATTCTCAGACGGCATTGAACAACCGTTATCCACAGCAACAATGGGCGAACCAGCCGCAGACGGTCCCGTGCAGGCCACCTCGTCACCAGCAACACTAACATCCGCTCCCGTCGAAGTCCCCGCAGAAAGCGCCTCCGGCCCGACCGACAGCAACCAGGAGCAGGTCGTCACTCCCTGGGATGTACAAGGAGCACAGGTAGACGGCAAGGCCGTCGCTATCGACTACAATAAGCTGGTCGAGCAGTTCGGGACGAGAAGGATAGATCAGGCGCTGCTGGATAGGTTGGAGAAGCTGACGGGGACGAGGCCGCATCCGTTTTTGAGGAGAGGGTTGTTCTTTTCGCACAGGTGAGGAGGTTTGAGGCAATGGGAAGCACTGAGGGACCTTTAGAGGGCGTACGGGATCGACCGGGGTCCACGGGGCCCGGCCAGGTGGACGCACGGCTGATGTGTCTGGGGGGAATGTGCTCTGGTGATGCGACAAGTTCTGACACGATGACTTGTAGAGACCTGACACAACTACTGGACCGATACGAGAAAGGAAAGCCATTCTACCTCTACACCGGCCGTGGACCTAGCAGCGGGAGCATGCACGTCGGCCACATGGTTCCTTTCATCTTCTGCAAATGGTTGCAAGACGTCTTCCAATGTCCGCTAGTCATCCAACTCACCGACGACGAAAAGTTCCTGTTCAAGCAAGAACTGACTATGGCTGACGCATTGAAGTACTCAAAAGAGAACGCCAAGGACATCATGGCGTTCGGGTTCGACCCGGAGAAGACCCTGATCTTCTCCAATCTCGGGTACATGAACCCCGCGTTCTACCAGAACGTGGTACGGATCTCGAAATGCATCACCACCAATGCATCCAAGGCCACGTTCGGGTTTGGTGACAGCGACAATGTTGGCAAACTGCACTTCGTGTCTGTGCAAGCCGCGCCGTCCTTCTCGAACTCGTTCCCGCAGATCTTTGGCGGGAAATCAGATGTGCCATGCTTGATTCCGTGCGCGATTGACCAGGATCCTTACTTCCGACTTACCCGCGATGTCGCTGCCAAGCTGAAGTACCCCAAACCAGCGCTGCTACACGCCATGTTCTTCCCGGCCCTGCAGGTAAGAATCCCCGGTCGAAAGACTTCCTTTCTTTATTCCCACTTCTAACCCACGCCACTCCCCAACTCACAGGGCCCCTCCTCCAAAATGTCCGCCTCCAACGCCTCCTCCGCCATCTACCTTACCGACACCCCCTCCCAAATCAAAAACAAAATCAACAAATACGCCTTCTCCGGCGGCCGCGACACCCTCGAGGAGCACCGCAAGTACGGCGGTAACTGCGACGTCGACGTGTGCTTCCAGTACCTCCGCTTCTTCCTCGACGACGACGATAAGCTTGAGGAGGTTCGCCAGAAGTATACCAGTGGCGAGATGATGACGGGGGAGCTGAAGAAATTTTGTATTGAGGTTGTTACGGGGTTGGTGGGGGAGATGCAGGCGGTATGTAAAGCGTGTTTTCGCCTTGGCTACCTTAATTGTTGGGCTCATGGGTGTCATTTTTTTTTGCAGAGACGGAAGACCCTCACGCAGGAGACGATCGACAAGTTCCTCGACATTGGTCCACGGAACATCGTCACCCCGCCCGCGAAGAAGCCTGTCGCTTAGCGACGTCACGGCAATTTGACTTTATCTCGCTTGTATGTTCAGTTTATATTCATCGAGTTGACGTACGCGCAGCAGCAGCCTGCCAGTTAACTATAATGTCCGCCCCGAATCCACCAGCGAATGAGTTGTATTTCAGCCGCGTTCAGTTGATAATAGCTGATGACGACAGATTCTGCATTTTGTAGATAGACTACATGTAATTAAAGATTCAAACTTAGATGTGCTTCAAGGACTAGCCAAAGAAAGTGCTCTTTGCTTCTCTACGTAGCTACAGATACTCCAACTCAAGAAGTCCGTTGTCGACCCGATTTACGCACGCTCCAAAATGAGCGCAATACCCTGCCCACCCCCAATACACGCCGTCCCCAAAGCATATCGCTTCTTCGTACGTTGCAGCTCATGCGCCAAATGCGCAGTGATCCTCGCCCCACTCGCTCCGAGCGGGTGTCCAATGGCAATGGCCCCACCAGCCAAGTTGACCTTCGACATATCCCATCCAAGCTCGCGGGACACGGCAATCGCCTGCGTGGCAAACGCCTCATTCAATTCAATGATATCCATGTCGTTCAGTGTCAAACCGGCCTTCTTCAACGCGCCTTTGACGGCGGGGACGGGCCCGATACCCATGATCTTAGGGTCGACGCCGGAGTAGTGCCAGCTGACGAGACGAGCGAGGGGTTTGAGGTTTTGGGATTTGACGGCGGATTCGCTGGCGACGACGAGGGAGGCGGCGCCGTCGCAAATCCCGGACGCGTTTCTGTGAGTGATGGGAGCGTGTGAGCTTGTCGGACCTAACTAAAATGGATGTCTGAATGAGTGCATCTTTCTTACCCAGCGGTGACCGTCCCTGTCTGCTTGATGAACACGGATTGCAGCTTTGCGAGCGTCTCGAGAGTTGTTGATCCTCGTGGATGCTCGTCGGCAGTGAACGATTCCGTGCCTTTCCGCGTCTTGATCTCCACGGGAGCGATTTCTGCGTTGAAGATACCGGCAGCGTGTGCTGGAAAAGGGATTTGGGCGTCAGTAAGCATCATAAGAGGACCATGGACAACCGTTTCATCAACCCACCTTTCGCGTAGTTCTGTTGTGATCTCAACGCAAACTCATCAGCCTCTTTCCTCGTGATGCCATATTGTTTCGCAAGATTCTCAGCAGTGATCCCCATCGGCGTCTTCTCGGGGAAAGTGTCCGTGAGAGCATGGGCGAGGGTATCCTCAAGCTTCTGGTCGACACCGTATTTCGTTCCGAAGCGTGCATTCCGCAAGGCATACGGCGCCTGGGTCATGCTCTCTGTCCCGCCGGTGAGTACGATTTCGGCTTCACCTAGAATGATCTCTTGAGCGCCGTTGATGACGGATTGGAACCCGGACCCGCAGAGGCGGTTGATGGTCAACGCGGGCGACTCGATGGGGACGTTGGCGCGGTGACCGACGTGGCGGGCGAGGTATGCGGCATCTGGCAGAGGAATGCGTGTCAGCCAGAACCCCACGTTTGACCACCGAAGTAAAGTATGACCCCGCCAACCTACCTGCAGAGGTTTGCAGCACGTTCCCGTAGATAACAGAGTCTACCTTCGTCCCGCTTGGCAATTCCTTCAATGCAGCCACGGACGCGAGGCCTCCAAGCTCAGTTGCCGAGAAGTTGGTAAGCTTTCCGCCAAAGGCACCGAAGGGCTATGCAAGGGAAGAAAGCAACAATGAGTTAACCTCCTGAAATGGGACTCCTGCCTCCCGCCGAAAGAAAGGATGCTGGACATACCGTGCGCTTGGCTGCGACTGTGGTGCGCAGATAACAAAGGGAGATGCGAAGACGATGAGAACAGACTCCTGAAACATAGATGGGCGGAATGGTGTCGAGGCGACTTACCGATGTAGACGTTCTTTGCAAGGTGTTTGGACGCCATTGTGATAGGTGTTGCAGCCGTGGGAAAGTTGCAATTTTCGAGGAGATGATGATGAGAGTGTCGCCGTATTTGTAGTTTCGCCAGGGGCGGAATCGTGCGAAATCCCAACGGGTTGGATGATTAGTCAGCAACGCTTCGCGTGACTCCTTTTGGCATGTGCAGAACGCAGCACCCGCGACTGCCCGCGGCGGCATTCAATGAACAATGCACCCGTCAAAATCGGTATCCCCTGTCCTTGCTCCCAGTATTCTCCTTGCCCTCCGTATATTCTGCTCGCAAACTCCTTGCACTGGAGTCTGCGAGGTAAGGTACTACTGGCACATGCTGCACTGCTTCGATGAAAAGCCGGATGTAGTCCCCTGAATATATATTAGCCTGCCCAGCGACTGATATGCATCCGCGAAAAACACGCGGGCAGGATCGTGTATATCAAGAGCATACGCCCTGGGTGAAATAGAAAAAGTATCAAGCTTTGGGCCTATATGTAGCCTCCGATCGGCAGCTCAACAGCGAACACTTGATAGCCGGCACCGGTGAACATCTTCAGGAGATATTGTCCGTCGATAGCTATCGCTTTTTCATTCACCGCCGCGTGCAAGTAGCGTAGATGCACATCACATCTTGTATATGTCGGAAAGATAGGTAGGATAGAAATCCTCCTGCACAGGACAAATGGAACTCACAATGTCTCGCGGCGGGTGACAGCGAAACGAAGATGCATACGTGCACGGCCCAAATATTGCTCTCGCATCTGCCGTATCGTCCGTCTTCAGGACGTCAAGATAAATGAACCCTCTTTGCCAGCAGGGACGAACCTCCAGGAGCCATCGGAACTACTATAATAGATGGTGGTACTATTCTTTTCTCATACTGTTAGGGTTCATTGTACACAGATACACGACATCAAAACGAAATGTTTAAAGGGTCCAACGCACAACGCGAAAAGGAAAAGAAAAAGAACAATGAGCTAAGCGTCTATATACAGTACATACAAAATTTCAGCGGCTATGCAGCGGGTAATCCGACTATGTAAGGTATGAAAAAAACACAAAGCATAGATGGAGTGGTACATCAAAAAACACGTACGGCGAAGACGTCCATCTCTCAACTGGACCCCATAACATTCGTCATCGGCGCATAACTCTCACTCTTCAACACAATATACTGCTCCGCATGCGCCTTCAACACCGCCTCCACACGCTCACCCCATTTCAGCGGATCCGGACCAAGTTCCCTCAGACAGTCTCCTAGCGCTTTACAACTGCCCACGGCGCGCGCCCACCCGGTGCCCATTGGCCAGAAGGGTTCCACGAGGGCGTCGCCGACGAGGGCTACTAGGAGGGTTTTTGGGTGTCTTGTGTTGCTCCCGGGGGGCGTGAAGGTGGAGGTAATTGCTTTACTGGGTTCGGTAGCGCAAGTTTTGCCGGTGAAGTCGAAGATGGCGACGTCCGGGCGGGGCGGGCCGCCTTTACTTGACGTGGTTTGGAGGAATTCGCTGTCCGGTGGCACACCTGCCATTGTTGCGACTTCTCTTGCAAATTTGAGTAAGTTGTCGCGGTCGACGTTATCACGTTGCACCAACTCCACGGGATCCGCGCGGTCTTCCTTGACAATTCCCTTGTTGAGCAGGGTGCTGCGTTTGGGCGTCATGACGAGGTAATGCGATTCCTCAGTAATATACGAGGCAAGGTTCTCAAGATCCAGTCCTTTCTCTTTCAGCGAGTTGAAGAAAGGCGCGGAGAGATATGAGACGACTCCGCCCTGCATGGCGTCGGCGGCGGCGGGCGAGTGGGAGGGGACGAAGTTGCAGGTGATACCTGTGGCGACGCCGGCGCGGAAGGAGGTACGGGAGAAGCCGAAGTCGGAGGAGAGTTTGGATTTTTCGCCGCCGGCTAGGACGAGGGTGTTGCATTTTAGGTCGTGTGGTGTTGAGGTGGTAGTGCGGGCTGTCCAGTAGGGGGTGTCTTTGTCGGGTTCGATGCCTGCTAGCTCGGCTTGGGGGATGACTGTGGGAGCAACGAGTTTGTTGTGTAGAGTGAGTACGGGTCCATTCATTAGACCGCGCCCTCGAAGTGAGCTTACTCTCAGCGCCTAAACACAAAGCCATCTTCATAAAAACAATCTGCATGCGTCTGATGGCGACGACATCTCGGTCCTGAACGCAAATCTTGCGGTAAAAGTCTCTCGCCCCCAGCTGATGCACAAGCTCGTCCATGTCCTTTGTGTGTATCCTCATCACATTCACCCTGTTGAATGTGTCTGAAGGGAAGAATGAGCGTGAGAAAATGTTTCGTGCCAGTGGAGGAGAACTGAATAATACGTACTTCGCTTCTCAAGCACGACAATCTTGTCACATCTCAACAAACACATCTCCACAGCAGCCCGAAGTCCTGCCGGCCCCGCGCCCACAATCAGTGCTCTCCTGCCCGCCGCATTCGATAAGTTTGTTGATGATGAAGTCTGCGAAACGTAATGTGGATCGCTGAACCGCGCTTCCATGCATTTCCAGAAATCGCCCAGATGGTGTGTCGCAGTCGCTGAATGCTTGTGAAGTAATGTGTATGTTTCGTACGGGGTCGTTGGCGCGGAGCCACCTTCACGATCTATACACGCCAGCTTCCATGCCTACAGGGGGGAACAAGCACTTAGGTTGTGGGTTGGATGACGATATTTCAAACCGACATCATGCCCGCTCCGCTCGCGACAAGGGTGCTCTTCAGCTCATACAAAAGGACGACCGGCTCCGGCCCGCCTTCGCTCGCGAGTGTGTTGCGCCTTCAGGGCCGTACCCGCTCTGCTCTCTCGCTGTCGCATCCAACCCCTCGCCCCGCTCGTCGCTCTAACTCGCAACTCTCACGAAACCCACCTCAAAAGCCTCCAGTATATCCAATAAGTCATCAGCCTCCGTAAACTTCCTGACAAGGGCAAAAATCGAGTTTCCACCACCAGAACTAGTACTACCCCTTGGGCCAAGAAGTGGTGAACTCGGAGGTAAGGGAGATTGGTTTCGGGGTGTTGCGGTGGAAGATATGGAAGATAGGGAGGTACCGCCGAGCATGTTGATAATATCGCTTACGCTTGCTTTTGGGCTGCTGCTGCCTGTGGTGTGTTCGTCTGGCGGTGGAGTGATGGCGTGAGGAAAAGGATGGAGCGAGGAAGCGGAGTTGGACATGAGGGCGAGACTAAGGGGGAGGACAGCGCGTGCGTGGACTGGATAGTTAGGCTGGACGAAAGGAACTGCCGATGCTATCTTGTGTCAATACCGTCGTCGCCGTCGGAAGTTGCTTTCAAGGAACGTCCTATACATATATGAGTTTCTCTCCAAGGCTGCCGAATGTGCGCTGCCAAGACTGTGAGGCTCTGAAGCACTCTGAAGTAGGCGTCATCAATCGGGGCTGTGGGAATACGCGACAAGAGCGGCGATACACACTCTGCAGCTCACTCTGAAGTTGCTGGAAGGAAGGCCAAAAATACTCTCTCTTTGACAACGGAAGGGCTTTCCGAGAATGTTTTCCGAGGCGGTGGCTTCGATTTGTCGCCCGCAATTTGAACGCTTTGGTGCAAGGATCTGTTCGCGAGCATTTCTTTGCAGATCTATCAAGTACGTCCGCCATCTCCCGCGACAGTTCTACAACTCGACCAGGCTAGATGGCACTCACCATCGAGAGGAGGCATTGGGATGCTACTAAACATGCCACAGGTGAGACGCAGAGTCGTATGAAGCTGACAAGATCCAGCTCCACAATGAGCGGCGGATGATGTTTAAAGTTGTCGAGACGCACCGCAGTGAAAAAGGTTCCAGTCTGGAGCCATGCGGCGGGTTGAACCACCCCAAGTACAAGAGTGCGACGTCGAGTGCGAGCCCCTCTCGACCAGTTCAAACGGAGGAATTAGTAGACGGTACTATTCCAATCTGATGAGGCTGGATCAAGTGCCTCGAAGACAGTCGGAGCGCTCAACATGTGCTGAACGCACGGCAAAAATCTGACAAAGCGGGGCGAGGGAGCGCACTACAGGACTTTCACGCCTAGATCATAGCCGGGGACTCGGTGAACATAGACCTCGATACTGGGTTGGGATCGAGGTTTGTGTTCGCCAAGTGTGATTTGGATGGTCAAGATTCATCAATGTTTCGCCTTTGGACAAGCAGGGTGTCAGAGACGATGCCTGTACGAAGACTGATGGCCATATAATGTATGTACAGGATGAGCACCGACAGGAAGGCCATACTCCGCAAAAGGGAAGTCCACACGTCACCCGCGCACATGATGACGCTGGCCTGCGAGAAAACTCCCACTCCAACTCCAGCTCAACGTCGTCGTCTCAAGACTTCCAACGGAAGACCCCCCTTGGCCCCATATTACAGATATACCCGACGTACTATCTAGTCGCTTATATCAGTAGACACCCATAGTAAAGCCTGCCAAGGTTACTCCGCTGTCCCGATTGCAGCAGCACCGTATTGTTTCTGCTCCGCCAAGGAACGGAAGCCGACCCGCTAAACGCAAGGTCCACTGAGATCGACCTAGCAAGTCTGGAACAACCCAGTCGGCAGAGAAGCCACTCCTAGTAACATAAGCTTCCAAACACCATGCCGACCCCACCTCCGAATGGCGACGTGGACATAGCAGCAACATTCAAGCTATTGCTAATTGGTGATTCCGGAACTGGGAAATCGTCCCTACTTCTGCGCTTTACGGATGATACGTGGCTGCAGCCAGATGAAGTCTCAGCAACTATTGGTGGGTGTTTTAGGGACCACTTGCGTCCTTTGGGCGACTGGGAGTTGGCGGTGACGACGGTGCCGTGTCAAGGCCGTGCACACACGAGAACAAAGCGTCTCACACTGTCTTCCATTTGTCCAGGTGTTGACTTCAAAGTGAAGATAGTGGATGTTGAAAATAAGCGGTACAAGCTGACAATATGGGTAAGCTGGCGACTGTTAGCCGTCTTGTGCATGTCAACGCAGTCGGTGTTTCTTGTATTTCAGCGAACCTAATTTCTCTTTTGACATTCAAAGGACACCGCTGGTCAAGAGCGATTCCGAACACTGACTTCCAGCTATTACCGTGGAGCTCAGGGAGTGATTCTAGGTGAGCCGGCGTTGTCCCTCCTCAAATGGTCACAAAAGCATGCACGAACATAGCACTCACACTACTCCATTCACCCAGTATACGACGTATCCAACCGTCAAACATTCGAACATCTCCAACTGTGGTTCAACGAGCTGGATACCTACTCGTCCAGCCGGGACGTGATAAAGATTATCGTGGGAAACAAATGCGACAAGGATACGCCTGGCGTGCGGGAAGTGTCTCGGAAGGACGGAGAAGCTTTCGCGAGGAGGATGGGGACGCTGTTCATCGAAACTAGCGCAAAGACGAAGACGGGTGTGAAGGATGCGTTTGTTGAGGTCGTTCGTAAGGTGGGTGTCTCGTCGTCGACCGAAGAATCAACGTCTGGTCGAGTTGCCGCATGGCGATTGGTATACTGACGATATTGTCTTCGGCATTCTTGTGACAGATCGCGGAAACGCCAGCATTGTGGCAGAAGCAACAAGGTCCCCGCCCAGGAGCTGTTCAGCTGCACGGCGAGGAAGAAGAACAACAAGGAGTCTGCGGATGTTAAATCCAGAGCTCCTCCGAGGCCTTCCGCTACATCGATCCCCGTAGGCTCTCGCGATCGATCTCCTCCTAGCTTTCCACGCCCGGAATGTGCCGCGATCGTTCACAATGCAAGATTGCAATCCAACTTCCCTTGGCACCCCTCGCAACTCATCCCCCCTTGCGACGACGACACGATTTCCGGTGCGCTATCCAGCCGCCTAACCCCCCAGTGTACCTTCCCTAATTGATAAAATCCCCGTTTCACCGACCTCGGTTTTTGTATTTTGCGCCCTGTTGTTTAGCTACTAGTTTTTCCCTTCCATCGCACCGTAGCACATCCCTTATTCAATAGTCCCTACCCTTTTTGCTTCGGTGTCCTTGTCGTTTATCGTATTCGATTTTTGTTAGTTCTTGTTTTGCTCTTGCCCTGTGATTTGATGATTCAGTGTAGCGTAGTCCTCTAAGTATGAAGTAACTGTATATGTATATCGTTCTATAGGTAACGAGTTGCTAGATTGTTGCAGAGAAGCCATTACGACCATTACTGAACCGTCCGGAACTAGCCGACGAACGACGGCGTCAGCACTCATCCACAGAGTCCCTCTGTCCCTCGCCCCCTCCAAGATCACACAAAATAAACCCCATCAAACATCCTAAGCCGTCCAAACGACCTCGTCAAATCCCCCACAGGTATGCCAACTCCCGCCGCCGCCGCATCCCTCTCAATCGACCGTCTTCGTCCACCCGCTTCCCTCCCACCATCCCCGCCATCGTGCTCCCTAACCTCAACAACACCCGCGTACCCCTCCCTAATCGACCCCCCACCAAACGACCCCACGGGTGAGCCCATCAAAACCGACATCGACGAGACGCCCATCCCCAAGAAAGAGGACATGGGATTCGAAGCACTCAACGAAGCCATAGACCCGCTCGCGCTCAACGGACTCGGCGCAAGGACATCCACCATCCCTGCCGCCAGATCACATCCCGCTGTCAAAGTATGGAGGATCATGGAGGCGCGGGTGAGGGAGGTTGTCAGGTGGTGGGTGCTGGGGCGGCGCGGGGGGCTCGTTGTGGGGTGGTTGTGGGTGTGATGGTGGGGGTTCGCGTAGTGGGGTGGGGAGAAGGAGGGTGGGGATGAGGTACCCAGGGTGTGGGAGCGGAGGATGGGGGAGTGGGGGAGGAGGGGTGGGAGGTGGGTGTGGGTTTGGGGGGGTTGGGATGTTGACAGCGCTGTGCGGGGAAGAGATGGGATGCTTAATGAGCGATGTTATGCTGCTGGGTGGTATTACAATCTTACCGGAAAATGTGGGCGACATGGCTGTGGCTACTATCCCGTTATCCATTCCTACGACGTCCAAGATGATATCAGTCTATTGAAGTTTTCTGAAGAAACAGCCCAATATGCGGCCGACACAAAGGACATTTCAACCACCGGCCTCAATCAAAACCTACCCCAAAACCCCACACCCCCCATCCACCCCCTCTCCTTCTCACACTGCTCACACACCACCACCTCCCTGGCTCCCACAACCACTGCCCTCCTCGCCGGCCGCAACCCATCATATATCGACCGCGTCGCCAGAACATCATCCCCGTCTTCGCTCCCGTCGGCGTTGAACCGCGAGTGAGGCGGGAAGAGGGATTGCAGGGCGTGGCAGTCGTGGTAGGTGGCCCAGAACCGTTTGGAGCGGGAGCGGAGGTGCGAGAGGTGTGTTGTTACGGTGGCTTTCCAGTTTATTGTTATTGAGGGGCTGCGTGTGGTGATGGGCGGTCAGATATTCTGCTCAAATGCACACCTCAACATCTAAAACCAACAAGTAAAGAGCACACCTACCCATTCTCCTCAACCCCATCCATCCCAAAAACCTCCCCATCCCCCTCCCCAACATGAGCAACAACATAAGAATCCTGATGAATCTCCGCCAGCGCACAAAGCCGTCTCCACAATGCGGGCTCCTCGGCGCATTTGCGCCATGAGCGAGACACCCCGCAGAGCAGGCAGAGCGTCTCGCCGGGGAGGTGGGCGAAAATTTTGATGAGCAGTTCCGGGGGGAGGAGTGGTGGTGCCGAGGTGACGGGGGCGGGCGGGGGTGGGGTTTGGGCGGACATTCTGTTGAGATGTGGGAGGCAGAGTGATTTCTGTTTATTCGTGCAAACTGTATGCGAACCGCTCTTCTTTTAATCGTATGTCGGGTTTTGACGGGGCTTCCTTACCCGCTATCCCCACGTCATTCCTCTAGCTCTCACGCCCCCTGTTCTCCGTTTCCTCGCCATCCTCGATTTACTTTTCAGCCACACTTCATATTGCATTTAGCTTAATTCGGAGGATTTCCTGTCTGCTGGGCATTGCTTACGCTCCCTTTGTTTAGCAAGGAGGCGCAATATTGCATCTGACTCCTGGTAAGACGACGAAGAGAGTAACGTCGTTACCTGAAATGCGAGAAATCAGCAAAGTTTGACAGGGAAAAGCGGCTGACAGAATTGACAGCACCCGACGCTTATGTAATGACGGGGTCAGCGAAGTGAATGGCTAGAAGCGGGTAACTCGTGCTAAATGTGAGCAACTCGGGTTAGGGTCAGACTACTAGTTAGACAGTTGCCGAGCGGAGCGTGGTAGACCCTGATTGTAGGAGGTAAGGCCGACTCACCGAAGGCAAAGGGGTTCTTAGGTTTGTTAATCAGATGGTGCAATTTGGCTGTAAAAAAGTCTTATTCTTGAAGTGAGCTACCCACATTTAGCACGAGTTACCCTAGTCACGCCCGTCAGCGAAAATCTGCTTTACTGATCATAACGACGGCTGATTATGCAGCATCTATTGCAGTGATAAAGGTATATTGACTCTTCGGTAACACTCTATCTAGAGAGAGTCTACTTCGCACTCGTGGCCAGAGTCTCCATCTATCGTAGGAAGATTCAGTCAGGGACCGGCCCTATGACGATTCTATGTAAATTTTCTAGTTGGCAGCGGGGACAATGTTATGGTTGACCAGCTGCTTGAGCACACGGTCAGCAATGACTTGGTGCGTCTTTGTCGTAGGGTGGGAGTCGTACAGGAGGAAATCCGCGGGGTTGGGGCAAGCAACGCGGGGAGCGGTAGGGTTCACCCGCGAGACACATGTCTTGAGCACGTCGCCGATAGGCATTTTGAAGCCCCACTTTTTGCGGTTGAGCACGATGTATGCGAACTCGATCTCCATAGAAATGGCCACGAGCTTGACAGAGGGGTTCAGAACCGCGAGCTTGATCAGCTCGCCGGCGAGGATAAGGTTGTGCTGGACCCATGGGATCTGACTCTGGCCTGGGGGCAGGTTGAACACCACAATGTTTTTCGCCCCGGATTTGATGAGGGTGTTGACGGAGGCCACAATGTTGCCGACCACCACCTTCGGGGTGAAGAGGGAGACGTTGGCATTCTTGCTCCAGTAGTCGTTGGCACCGGACCAAACGCTGAACAAAGTCGTGGAGGCGTCGAAGGGCTGGCCGGCCGATGCGAACTGGTTGACCTGCTCGATGAGGCCCGGGAGGCGGTAGTCAATATAACCGTTCGTGTCGGCACCAGGCTCGTTGGCGGCCGACGTGGTGGAACCCCCGTACGCGTAGTTGTCAACGGACGCTTTGAGTGTCTGGGAAATGTAATCGGACCAGACGAGACCGTTCGTGTAGCGTCCTTCGGGGTAGACATCGCGCGGGAAGGGAGGGTTTGCGCCATTCGCGTCCATAAACTTGGCGGTGTTTCCGTTGTCTATAGAATTGAGAGAATGACAGAAGGTCAGCGGGGAGCTCGTAGCATTCTCTTATTCGACGAAGAGACGGCAGGAAACACGTACCAGACAAGGAGTCTCCAAACACAATCATCTTCTTCACACCAACGGCCTGAGCGCCGGGGATCTCCCAAGGGAAGATGGGAAGAGACAACCTCTTTTCGAGTTCAACCTCCACAGTGTTTTCGCGCGTGGCGACCGGGGCAGCCGACACGGCGGAGACCGCGGCGAGCACGAAGACGGCGATGTTCCTGAGGCCGAGCATGTTGGCAAGTGTCGTCTCGTGCGCTTGAGAACTTGGGATAGTACGAGGTGGTACTGAACACAGGGGGGCGCGCACATCCCCGTTGCTTTTATAGGATTCCGAACATGGCGCTCGGCGGACTAGTGGTGTGGGTCGCACTGGTAGTCAAAGCCAGGTGTACGGAAAACTTTGCTGCCTGCGCAGCTTCAAATGCGAACCGCTGTGAAAAGGCCATGACGACTCGAAAGCGGCCGAAAATCATAGGTTCTGTAACTTCAGTTACGCGTTTGATGAACTTACGAAGCCTCCTCCTGATGAGCAATTTTTCGCTACAGAAGCCGTCCCACGCAAGCAGAAAAGGACACAAGTATAAGACGGCTCCCTATTTCCCACGGGTGGCCGGAAATGGCCGGGCTATGGAATTGGGAATCGACCCAAAACCGCCGGTCGTCGGAGAAGACACCTGTCTCCGATCGGAAAAGACACCCGTCTCCCATCAGGTGACGGTACCGACTCCATAGGGTGCCACCCGTCAACGCTGTCGAATTCGCCTGTTGAAGCCTAGGAAAGGAGACCTCACCATCGGGTCAAGTAGTTGAAAGTGGGTTAACCGTTCTTTGCCTCATCCTCCGGCCGATTGGCGTCTTGGAATACATCACACTATTCACAGAAAACGGCAATGATGTTTGCAACTTTTGCACAGAGTTGATATGGCTAGCGTTGGACCACTTCAAGAAAATCATGATACGTCTGCCTCCCTTCGCTGTAGATTCTCAAACTACTTCCGTCCCAGGGCCAAACTGCTAGATCCTAGCTTGCTGCTGGTATTTGTTTTGGGAGTGACCGAAGTTGTGCCGCTGAAGGCTCCTCCGCCAGCCATTTGTTTGTTCTTCTTGATGGCCCCCGCAAACGCGCGGACCATGGTGGCGAAGGTCGTCTGAACCTTGCGAAGCTGTGGTAGTAGATGATGGATTAACACTGACGCTAGACGAAAACAGCAATGAGAATCAAGCGCTAGACGATCATTTTCTCATACCTCCCAAATGATGCTCCTCCGTTCCAGAGCGCCCGATGACTCGAGTGTGCCAAAGTCCAATTTGGTGAGCTGCGCCATCTGAGCTGCTAGGCGCGACAAAGGCAACGTGACGAAGACGAAAACAGTAGCAATGAGCGCCGCCACGCCCACACCGATTCCAATGCTCATTCCCAAACTGCGCTTGCGGGCGCTGTCAATGACTCCGTAAATCTGGACGTTGGAAATGAAGAGGAAACATGGCCGATTCAGCTGGGGCATTGGCGACGTTTGGATTTGCTTCACTTACCTCACTGTGAGGAACAGCGGCGACGACCAAGAATCGATCTTGGTCTCTCGTGCTCATCTCAACTACAGCCGTGTTGATGATCTAAGCGGTGAAAGTGCCCCACATCAGCGTCGGTGATTGAGCATGGCTCCACGTACTTTCGAAGACGTATACCCACCCATTCTGTGCCATCGATTTTGGTATTGTACGACGTCCCATCTCCGATTGCGGCCAGAGCGGCCGCCCCGTCACCGTATCGACTTTTCAACGAACCCTGAATGGAAATCGTGAAGGCGTCGGGTTTCGCCTCGGCAAAAAGGATGACGCCGCCTATTTGCGACTCATCAACGATCATGTTACTGCTGGCTGCGATGGTGAAGTTGGCGTCCTGGAAGAACAAGGCCACCACTAGAGGAATCGAACAGTGCGAGCCATCAGCACCGAGTAGAAAACGCATCGCCTCACACTCAAAAGCATCAAGAACGAGTTCCTACCGCTGTTGGCTACAGGGGGTTTCAATGCGCGAAGTAAATCGTTCCACACATCGTCAATGCGGAAACCCGCGACACATGAGTAGTCGGGTCTAGTCGCGCCAGCGGCGTAGTGCCTTGAGCCCACAACACCAAGCTTCCAGCCGTTTTGCAGCCGAGCAACTGGTAAGAAGAAACAAGAAAGTGATTTGAGTCTTATGGTTGTAATGTTATGTACCCCGCGTCAGTCAGAGGAAACACTCACTGGAGAATTCGGGGATCGCAGGCGTTGGAGGCTCCTTCCCCAAAATCATCATACAATCTGACAACATCTTTGGCTCGATGTTGTAGGTGAAGGGATCGGCTTTCGGAACACCGATAAGCGGTTTGTACTGTAGCGCCGAGGGATATCCAGAGGCTTTGAAGAGGGTCAGTAAGTCAAACATTCAAAGCAGATAATACACAACTCAAACGGAATTGGAACACTCACTGGAGTTCAAGTAAAAGTATCCGGTCTGATTCATGTACGTTCCTGCGGCGCACCCCGGATAGGCTGGGCGCGTTCCCTCGGCTTTTCCTGGCTCGGTCACACCTAGGAACGATATCCCGGTGTAGATGGTGTATTGCAGCTATTACGAGCCCAATTAACGCCTACTTTCAGCACCAGAGGGTCCGCACACTCAGCACAGCATGAGGACGTTTACTTACCACACCGTAGTCCACCATGGACATCCAGTCATAGCAGTCGTTGACGAGGGGGGTATTTGCACTGATACAATGGGAAGAGATCAAAAGTGAACTCCATCATATCAAAGACCATAGCGCAGTCAAGGAATTACTCACTCATATCCGGACTTCCAATGGGCCGAATAGCAGGTGAGGGTAGACATCTCGTATGTCTCCCCCAAGGAGAGAATGGTGGGGATGATCGACCCAGTGGTTAAGGACTTGGCCGTGAAATTACCTAGATCCACCAGAGCACACAGGCAAGTTGCTTTAGTACAATCGGATATTGCGGCGCCGGGCAAGCCTTCACTTACTATTGAATGTTTCGGACGTGGCGGGATTCTTCAACAGGCTGTTGACGAGGGGCACTAGGTTTCTGGCGGGCGCCTCCGCCTGTACTTTAACCTGTATGCGGGAAAATCGGTTCAGGTAATGTTTCCGACGTCGGTTTCGAATTCAGCCGCGCCTCACATTGGCTAACAGCGCCCTTAAATACTCTCCAGCCAAAAGGTCAGTAGTGTCTTCACTGGCTTTGTTCAGGACGACGGAGCTCTGTACGAAACAAAGGAGCCAACAGCTATGTAAGTAAGTGGCCTTGGCAGTGCTCCGAGCAGCCTCCCTGAGTCCCTCTGCAATACTGCATCCAGACCGTCAGAGACTTACCGGAACGGCCACGGCAATGAGAGCCACGAGAACCAGGACGGGCGCGAGAATAATCAGAGGGATGGGGGGAAGAAGGCTCTTGGCATCTTTTTGCTTCGACTCTTTGGCCAGGTCGCTTTGAAATGGTTAGCTCATTGGGTCGAGCAGAACGTCGAGCAATTGCGCCGATCTAACCTAACGTTCTGCTCGACGTCCGCCATTCTCACTTCGGCTCTTTACCGCTGATGGTCGTTTAAGTGACAGATGAAGGTGGCTATAGTAAAGATGGTAAGACTACAGTAACACACAAGAACATATATCCGGGGGGAGTGGGCGAGACCTCTCTTTTATAGAGGGCGCATATCTCTGGAGAAGGTAAACATTTCCTGTTATTCAACATGTGTCACCGTCGCGATCGGACTTGGTGTCGACCGCGCTGTCAAAAGTGGTAATGTCGGTTAAAGTTTCGCGCCCCTCTTTGCACTAGGCCTTTTGCAAAGACCCCTGAATGCGTTTTCCACAATGACATTGTCCGATCTGCCGAAATCCTTCCAGAAAACCCTCATGCTCCCTTCGGTGTTCATTCATGTGCACACTCTCTCTGCACTGAATGTCGTGAAAGGGTGATGAGTAAATTCCTGGGTTCTGCGCCTCTGCTCCAGGCCTTTGCAAGGACCCCTGAACGTGTTTACCACAATAACATTGTCCGACAGCAAGTCCCGATCGCGACGGTGACACATGTTGAATAACAGGAAATGTTACTCATCACCCTTTCAGGATGTTCAGTGCAGAACCCAGGAATTTACTCATCACGAATTCCAGGACATTCAGGGCAGAACCGATCGAGAGTGTGCACATGAATGAAAACCGAAGGGAGCATGAGGGTCTCTAATCGAAAAATTGCATCCAGGTAGCTTGCGTCCATCAAATGCCGGTCTCTGATCTAATCTGGACGTCATCCAAATTCCTGGGTTCTGCACTAAACGTCCTGGAAGGGTGATGAGTAAAAATTCCTGGGTTCTGCACAAAACATCCTGAACGGGTGATGAGTAAATAGAGAGGTTGTGCTATCCGTTCAGAACAGATTCCCGCGACGAATTCTGTCCGGAAAGGCGGTAACCTGTCCCCGGAGAGGGGTATTGCCATGAATACGTTGCGAGCGGTCCGTTGGGAACGAAGAGGGGCTCTCCAATCCGTAGCTTTCAAAACGGATTCCCCGCCAGCATCTTGAAAAGCATTGCGCCAGCTTTTTCGCTTTGCAGACATGCGGGCAGCACTGGACGACCTCCCTGACGGTGACAACAACCTCCTGCTTCTCCTTTTGCTGCGGAGACGACGGGCGCAGCATGCTCGTCACCGGGATCTCCGTCTCCGTCGCCAGCCTTTACAACCTGAGCTTCGCATCAACCTCAGGGCTTTGACGGATGCACACTTCAAGTCCGAGTTTCGTTTCCATACCTACGAAGAATTTCAGCATGTGCTGCAACACCTACGCTTGCCAGATGTCATCATAACCCCGCAACGCTACTCCTGCACTTCCGAAGAAGCCCTCGCAATTGTCTTCCGTCGGTTTGCATACCCATGCCGCTTGGCAGACCTGGTGGAAATCTTTCACCGATCTGTTTATCAGCTTTCCGCTATCATCAACGTTACCACTTCGCTGATTTACGAAAAACATAAGCATCTGTTTGTGTGGGATGCGGAGCGCTTGAACAAAGAACGCCTCTCAACTTTTGCAAGCTCAGTGTACAACAGAACGCTTGTCCTGAAAGACTGCATTGGATTTATCGACGGGACGGTGCGGGGCATTGCCAGACCCAGTCATCACCAGCGACAAGCCTTTAATGGGCACAAACGCAAGCATGCCATAAAATTCCAGTCGGTGATTTCTCCAGACGGGATCATTATCCATCTTGCCGGTCCATTCCCAGGCCCCCGCCACGACGCTCGGATCCTTGTTGAGAGCAGGATTGGGGACATCATGGAGGAATCAGCACAATTTAACGGCCGTCAGTTTGTTATCTACGGTGATCCTGCGTATCCGTTGAGGCCCTGGCTACAAGTGGGTTTCAAAGGGGCCCAATTAACTCCACGACAGCAGGAATTCAACACGCGGATGAGTGCTGTCCGAACATGTGTGGAGTGGGGATTCGGAAAAATCATTCAACTGTGGGCCTTCGTTGCAAAAAACCAGAAGATCTGGCTCCAGCCAGTGGGACGATTCTATCTTCTTGCCACTTTGTTTACAAATATTCATACATGTATACATGGGAGCGTTACCACCTCTACCTTTAACGTAGAGCCCCCAACCGTACAAATGTATTTACAGTCTACTTGAATTAATCTGCTAAAGTCATCATGAGCCGCATCATAGCAGCATGTTCCGCCCTCCGGTCTGCCATTTCCGCCCTGCGATCTGCCATTTCAGCCTCCAGCAGATTGACACGTCGCTGTTCAAGATCCAGCTGCTTTTGAGCTAACGCCCCGGCTACAGCACGTTCCTCAAGCAGATGACGGATGAGGGCATCCTCCCCTTCTTGAGCTGATGATGACCTACGCCGCTTTCTTCCAACTGACGAAGCTCTCGAGCTGCTCACGGAGCTGCCATCATCCCACTCCCCCATAGACTCAAGCGACGCCTCCTGCAAAAGACGCCCCCGCCTCTCGTCGGTGTCCTTCTTTTCCTTGTCCGCCTCTTTCAACATCGAAGCGTTTGCGTTCAGATCTGTCAGCTCCTGCAGCAGTTGTGTGCGCTCATCATACTCCTCATCGGTCCCCGAGGCTCGCAGCGAGTCCATATCATCATTTCTGAACTTCTCTAGCAATATGTTTGTTCGGTCCCTCGCTCGTCGGAAGTCAAACACGGCGGGGCCAGAAAAGCAGCTGTTGGTGTTTGCCGCAATCAGTTCCCATGTCTGTGTTTTCTGATTGCGAGGCTTGCTCTCGGGGAGGTGGGCAACAACCTCCTTCAAAAGGGCAACGTCGTGGGCTGGACGCAGGTGAGGTCCTTTCCTTCTCTTTGGAGGCGGTGTGGGGTCAGCAGGTGGAGCGGGAGGTGCAGAAGTGGCCTCCATGGCGTGGGCAGGTGTGGCCATGGCGACGGTGAAATGACCTGGAGATGGCGAGGGTGATCCCCTTCGAGATGGTGGTATGTAAGAAGGTCAACGAATAGCACAACAGCAAGCAGCCGGCTGGAAGCGACGAAAACGTTTTCATAAAGCCACACCCAATCCGTCGCCTGAATCCGTACAAACCGATAGCACAACCTCTCTAATTCCTGGGTTCTGCAACGTCCTGGAAAGGTGATGAGTGGCGAAGTCAGGAGAGGGAATTTCAGTTCGTCGTGTTGAAATTGTTCCCAAGGCGCTTCGTAAAACCACAGTTTTATGCTTTGCACCGTGCTCAGCTACATACTACCGGAGTTTACCCATGCGATCATGCCCCTCTCGTCTACGGAACAGACTGTCTATCTCCTGAACTCAATTATAAGCTCACAGTGCTTGGTGTGCGGGAACAGATCCACGGGCTGGGCTCGGATAGGCTTGAATGGTGTTCCCTTGAACTTGTTGGAGGTCGGTCTGCATAAACTGGAGTGGAGAGGCAGCGTGAGCGATTGCCCCCCTATTTCACAAAGCACGCGAATACATGATGTAACCACAGAACATTTCCGCCCGGAGAACGCAGACAAAGGTACTCACTCAACAAAGTTGCCAGACGCTTGTCCTGCGTCGCAGCTGACATATATCACCCTCTTGATTCCCTCACATGCCCGAACCGTCCTGATCACATCTACATGCACTCCGCTTCTCGGTGGATCCAGCACTGCAACTACGTCGTCGTATTTCCCCACATACTCATGTATCACCTGGTTGATGACCTTTTCAACCTGATCGGCGAAGTAGACGACTTTAGCCTCGTCGACGGTGGTGGTCGCTGTGGTGGAGACACCATTCAGTTGGGCATTATGCTCGGCGTCGGCGATGGCGGATGCGATGATATCAACGCCGATGACCTTTTTCACGTGAGATGCCATGGTCAGACCGATGGTGCCTGTTCCGCAACAAAGATCCAGAAGGATAGTGCCTGGTGGTGACAGATCTTTCGCGCGGGGTGGGAAAGCAGATAATGCTGCCCCGTTATTGGTTTCTGACGCAGTCGCCTCTGTGGGCGGGCTGGCGGTAACGGTACTCTGGTTTGAATCAGGTGTCTCCATAGGTGGAGGTAGGGCCGCTTTCACTTCCCCAGCGGTAACGAGCCCTCTGCCCACCCTTTCGGCTTCCACCTCCTGCAGCGCACACCATTCCCGGACTTTCGAGTATAGCAGCTCCGTCCCTTCCGTGTTGACCTGGAAGAACGCTGTTGGGGAGACCCGAAACCTCAACCCTAGTAGCGTCTCGTGAACACTGCCCGACCCATAAAGCACCTTCAGAGGGGCGCCGTCTATGAAACCGTTGAAGGTGCCATCGTGCTCTTGGATGAGGAGAGTCGTAACACCAGTCGGAGTATCCTTTGTCGGTTCGAGGTGGGCTTTGAGGGCGCTCTGGGCGGCAAGCACCGTCGCTTCGTCGACCCCCGTTGGGTTGTACTGCACCACAACCATGTTCTCGCCTGTTCGGAAGGTGCGGACAAGCGCGAGTCGCCAGAAGCCGACCTTGTTGATGCGGTCGTAAAGATCCAGGTCGGAGGATTGCACAAATGAAGACAACAGTTCCGCGATATTAGCAGCTGCGGGGGACACTATCTTTGTTGTTGTGGGTTCGATGACCGTGACGAGGCCGTCTTTGAATAGTCCCAACAGAAACCCTGCGACCTTCTTTCCTTCCGAGTTCCATCCAAATGTGAATTCACATTTGTTCCTGTACCCTTCCAATTGCGGGGAATGCACGGGCTCCAGCAACTCGCACGGGACGCCGCCATTCTTCTTCTGTGCAGGTTTCAACCAAGCCAGCTGTCGAATAGCTTTCTCCTCCGACGTCATGTCAGACATTATGGTAAGATCTTCAGGCGGTTCCTGCCTGTTCCTGAAGTAATCTCGTGGAAAGTAACGTTCCATATCCTGTCCGAACTTTTTGAGTGCCTTGTGCATCATTTTGCGCTTGCTTTCTACTTGTTCGGTGTAAGATTGCCGCCATAGCGGACTGACTTGATCTGCGATTCGCTCCTCGGGTGTGCGTGTGTCATTGGCATCCTCCCTGCCTGCTGCAACATCACGTTGCGATTTTCCCTTCATGTCTCGCATGCCTTCGCGCTCCTGGAGGTTCACAAAGGACACCTCCAACTCCTTGTCCTTCATAGGCTTCCCCTGCAGCTTCTCCATCGCATCCTTCCGCGCCTCCTCCGTCTCGAAAGCCAGAAAGCAGTAGTTCCATGTTGGTGCCTTCTTGCACTGATCCAAACCCTCCACTCCGTTTGCTCTACAGATTTTCTCAACGGCCTTGCGGTCGGCATACTTAGGAAGGTTGTCCACGCGCAAACGGAAGCGCGTCGTTGCGTTCGAGTCGGTGAGTGCGACAGCAGGAGCTTCCACGGGGGTGCTTTCTGGCACGGATGCGGGAGCGCTTTCGGCTACATCCTCGATTTTGACCTTCTTGTTGTCGGGAGCAAGGACTCCTTCGGTGAGCGTTGGCTCAGCACCTGGCTCAGCCTCGACCTCTGTCGCGTCCTCGTCTAGTTCTCGTTTCATTGTGCTCCTGTCGACGGAAAGAAGCCACGCTGTGCGCTGAGTCCAGTGTACTGTACTCCAGATATCGGTTGCCAATACAGTTGCCCTTTGCCAAACGCAGTGCAAGTGTTTGCAAAAATGATGAATATGTCAAAGAAAAACCTCAGAGAAGCAGGACATGCCTTACGTTGCACGTGACCACAAGGCTAGATTATTTTGCTCAGCGCCCGTAACATTTTTACGATTCGGTTTAGGCTCTTTCCCGGACGCAAGGGCGGCCACGTCTCAATACGTAGCGATCGGGGACTCGGCAAGGCAGTGTCAGGCAACCCAAAGGTTGTTTCCAAGACGCCTGAGTCGTCAGAGCAGCTTGAAGCAGCTCGCTCTATCGAACGAAGCCGGAGCGTCAGCGCTCTGGTCGGCGCTCAATCAGAAAAAGGCAGAAAGAAAGCTGACTTGAGATGTTCTTCCCACAGCCTGGACCCCTCTGTGTCGATGTGAAGCCGGCTGTAGCATGCCACTCCCCTCGTCAGTTCCCGCTTCGTGTGCAGTCGCTGAGGTGCCTCAAAACCGCCACAGCTCGAACTCCGCGACGCGGGATGGTAACGACATGGGAACCATCTGGGTTTTCGTCCGCACCCAGGTGGCCCGCGCACAGCCGGCAGAATGATATTGGATATAGCCCTCAAATGACCGCACGATGATTCAAGGGACTTGGCGCTGCGTACAGATACGGGGCTTACATTTTGTCTGCGAATTTTCCCAAACCGATTGGTTTCTCACGGATTGTGATATTTCATTCTTATTATGCATCGATGTGGGTATGAACCGAGACGCCGTGACTGTACATATTGTGGTCGTTTCTCTGCTTCCTGCCCCTTACATCCCACTTCCCAAGCAATTCCTCCTTTCCAAAATCGTGCGCAGGCACAGAAATCCCGTCAATGCCTTCTTCTAACCCTCATCACATAAATGATCCTCGACCTGAAATCCCCATACGTTCAATCCCACCCAAACCCGTCCTCATCATCATCCGCAAACTCCATCAACATGCTCTGAAGTCGCTGGCACGATCCCGGTGTAGCCAGCGGCGTGTTTCGAATGGCATTGTTGTGATTACGGATGGTACTGGGCGTGACCGACGGGTGCAAGCGGCTAGGTGAACGTTGCATCGCGTGGGCTTGAGGAGTCGTGCTGGGAACGTGTAACGATCCTGCATTCCCCTGCGATCCGCGCTTGACGCTGGGCGACCGATGGACATCGCTAGTACGCTTCGCAGTCGGCGTTGTCGGGTCGGACGGCGCATTCGGCGTACAGGCTGACTTGGTGCCTCCGCCGCTGGCCCGTCTCGGTGGGGGTGTGCCGGCCTGGTACTCTCTTCTCAACTTCATCTGGCTTACAGTCAATCTCGAACCCGAGCGCGCCTTGGTTGGAGTAACGGTCTGGTACGCAGGACGTCCCTGCGCATCTTTGAATAACCCTGTGGTAGGAACCGATGGCGACAAGTCATCTCCATCCAAAGACCTCTTTTTCGTCCCAGCCGGTGTACCAAACACCGGCGGTCGCGGAGGCAACACGCCATCACCTGCATCCACAGGCCTCTTTCTGCTACCAGTAGGAGTGCTGAACACCGGCGGCCGCGGAGGCAGCTCACCGTGCAGACGGCTCATCCTCCTTGCGGACTTTTTAGGTTCAGGCGTTACATTGCCTCCCGAAAGCGGCGCGGTTCGTTTTCGTGGTGTGGGCGATCCAGACGCAGCGCCCAGCGAGCGCTTGGGTCTGGGTCCGACATTGTCATTGCCTGCGACGAGGAACGGATTCAGCTCCGCATCTATAGCGGCCGGTGAAGCCGTGTATTGCGTGCTGCCGAATGAATCGCGTTTCAAGGTGGCAAACGACGATAAGCGTTTTGCCAGAGGTGAGCGGAAAGGTCCCTGTGGCGAATGTGGAATAGCGGTGGCCTTTGCTCGCGACGGGCTGCCAATGCTGGTATTGAAAGGATTCTCAATATGAGTGTTCTCCTTTGCTTTACGGCCGAACACTTCCTCGTCAGGTTCTTGCGCGGCGTTGAATGCCTTGTTCAGTTTCGGTTTCGCGAATTCGGCAAAAGGCCGCGGAAGCGAGCCTGTCCTGCCCGCTGCGGGGTTCACATCCGTCTTGCTCCCCAGTGCTTCCATGCTCCCTGACGACACGGAAGACCACGCGGAAGACGACCTGCGAGGTGGCTGCGTGAATGTCGCTGAAGGAACTGATCCCCGCGTCTTCCCTGTACCGATTTTCACAGAAGCTATCGACGATGTTGGCGATGACGGCGCGTCCCAAAAAGGATTATCGGCATGTTCACTAAAAGCGGGCATCGACTTCGTGCGTTGAGCCTGGCCCAGAGGGTCCATGCCACTGCCTTTACCGCTTCTTCCGGACTTGCTGATGGGCCCCGCGCAGATAGAGGTGGCAGTGCGAGACAAGCCGGGATTTGTGGCATTCTTCGTCGTCAGCGAGTAAGTCGTGCTCCGTCGGCCAAGAGGCTGCGAACTGCCAGTGGGTCCCGAGTTTGACGCCGTAGAGGACGCCGTTGAGGACCGTCTCAACTCTTTCATGAAAGCCGACTGGCCCTGCGCCAACGTTGCCGACTCCTTTTTACCCGCATCTCTACTGCTGCCATTGGAATTCGATTTCGGCATGCCCGCAAGGGAAATCTGCCGTTTTCCCAACCCTCTCAGAAAAGCGGGCATTGCTGCCGCCCGGCTGGTGGTAGAGGGTTTCGCGTTCGCATCATTGCTGACTAGCACCCCTCGTCGGCGCTCGTTAGCTTTGCTACTTCGATTGCCACTTCGCTTGACGCCACTCATTCCGCTTCCAACTTTCGTCTCGATTCGACTGCTGCCCTTGCGCTTCTTCTTGAAGAAAGGGGACGGGGGGACCGGATTCTGAGTCGAGGGGTCCCCACCGGCTTTGATGAAGAGTGACTTAACAATGTCCGGGAAGAATGAATTGTAGCTGTTATGAAAACAAGATCCGAATTGTAAGACGCTTAGATTCCTAATAGAACAGGATACCTGCACCACTTACTATTTAATAAGCACGGGCTCCACAAATGTCTTCAACAGGGTCGACTCGTCGGGTCCAGAATCGAAACTGGTTACCGCGTTCCATATACATATCCGATCCATCAGCTCTTCGATCGCCTTGACAAACATTGCTTTGCGGTCCACGATAGGCGTTGCCTCCACAGCTTTCGTCTCCTCGGGGCTATCGTTCTCCTTGGGGTGATTGTCAGCAGTCTCGGACTCTGCTTCTGGCACAGCCGTTGGTCGCTGTTTCGGCATATCGCTTTTCCGGCGTTTAGGAAGTCTGACTATATAGCTGTCTAAGGCGCTTGTCATCGATTTGCGCTTGCGTTTTGAAAGTGATGGATCGGTCGTTGTTGAAGGTTCCGCGGGTGGGGGTTGTGGAGATGCAAACCAGTGCGAAATGTCGGGGAGTTCGACCTTGTCTTGAACGTGAATGCGGAGCATGTCGAACAGGAGAACGAGCTGCAGCTTTGCTCTAAGCGACAGAAATTGTGAGTCGCATGCTGGATTATAAGCCAATTTCTCAAAGCGGTCCATACTCTTCTGTCTTCATCAGGGTAAGTTTGCGTCTCAAAAGCCTAGCCAGGTCAACCGTTGGGTCTAGCGACGCCGTGTTGGATACGCCTGCCCACCACTTGGTGAGCATTCTGGCCTCATCGGGGTCCACGTGCGGGATTTGTACACGAGCTGGATCGTCAGGCTCCGATGCTTCGTTTGCTGTTCGTGACAATAGTTCGGATATGGATCGAAATCGTTGCTCTAGAGCCGTAACGCCGCGAATCGTGGACCTCGACACAAATTCCAAAAATGTATTCATCGCTGCGCGGTTGGCCCTATTGTATTTCGAACGGCTTGGCGATGCCGGCCCGACCGTTGTGAAAACGATGGACGCTATCGCCTCGTGAACGTTGGACAATGACGTGTCCATGAATTGTGCTAGGGAGTTATGTCCCAGTAGCACGTCCATGTACCCTTTCTTCAGTGCAAGAACGATATCATCCACCGAGACACAGTCACCCAAAGGCCTTCCGGCAGTTTTGGACTTGCGGCACGAGCGGGGGGCTGGTAACGGCGACGAGAATTTCGGTGATGGAGGTGGTATTGGGGGAGGCCTTTTGGGTAGAAGCGTGTGAGCATCAGAATGACGAACGCAGTTATCATCCGATTGTTGGAACGGGCCATACCGTGCATCCAGCTCCAAGCGCGTGCGCAGTCTTTCGTCCTCCATTTCGGGATACCAGATGTCAAATGTAGCGGTGCAGAGTTGCTTAACTGAGTCCCGAGCTGATTCCCCATTGAAAATCATACTGTGGATTTGTTGATCGAGTTCATTGCTGTACCACTGGGAGAGCAAAGTATCATCCACGGTTGCGCCTGTGTGATTCGAGAATTGGGGGAAATCAATGGCTGACGACGCTTTCTTGCGGAATGCACACGCTCTCCTACCATAGCTGAGACAGTCCTCTGGAAGGTCGCATTGGCCGATACAATCGTCTTCCGAATCTGGTTTGATCAATCGCAGGACGGCGAAGCCCGGCATGATGGGGATGATAACCGCACAGCGCTCTATCGGTTCCAGGTCCACTTTTTCGGATGGCGAAGAACTTGGCGTTGTGCGGTCATTCAAAGCCATCCCTTTCGATTCTGCAGCGGAGGTGTCTTCCATACTGTTGGGTTCAAGATGTACCTGCACCATCAACACTTCCTTTTTTGTGTACTGTACGTCCCAAAATGAGATAGTCCCAGCGGTGTCCAGCAGCGGCGAGACGCATTGGTATGTTTCCTTCTCCATCCATTCCGCGTCGAGCAACTGGGCATGAAATCGATGCACTATTTCCATCTTGGCCCCGGCGAACGGTAGAGCTTTGATATTCGCAGTGCTGGGCAAGCTGAGCGATGGTCCTCTCCCGAGCAATTTGCGTTCTCCTGTAGACGGTTCGTCGCCGCTATAAAATTCGTGTGAGAAGAGCACGAGTGAACGGGAACAAGGGCGGTGTACATGTTAACATACCCGGCAACATGTGTGATGACTATAGGTACATGAGGTTGCTCAGTTTCTACCAGGGTGTGAATGTTAGCACAATGTGGTACGTAGATTGTAGCTTCAGCACCTTCCCACAATACCTGCATATCCATCGATGAGCATTCCCTCCCACTGTGTCTTGAAGGCCGACTTCTTTTGCGAGAGAGGTAAACATCGCCGAGTCGTCCCTGCGGGTTTACCCATCACGAGCTCCTTTCCATATGCAGGGTACAATGCCTTCTGCCGGAGCACCTTCATCAGCGTCGGTAAAGGAACGCCGTAGATGGCATCTGTCATCAGAGCTCCGGGCGCTAGGACGCCACCCAGGGCTGCAAGAACACACGAGAGAGTGGATTGAATCTCAAAGTTCTACAACTTGGTCGTTCAGAAGGTTTTCTCGGTGGGATGTGTTTGTAGCGGGAACATACCTTGTTGTCCTCTATTTGCACACTCGGGAGGCTCGGAGTGGTGATCCATGATAAAGCAGCCCGTTTCTCCAGGAAAGCGCTCCACAGCCCCCCACCAAGCAGATGCTGCTGCATCACCTCCAAGCACCGCGATACTCCGCATTCTGCACCGCCAAGTCCGACATACGTCCGCAAGTCCGCAACTGTGCTCGGTAACGCCGAGATGAAGTACATATAGTTCCGAAGCCTCACAGGAGCCGCGCCATCCGTCATCTGCTTCCTCGGTCTCACGGGAGATGGTAGAACCATCGACGAGCCTGACCCTCCCCAGTCCCACCGAAAATCCGTCAACGTCTTCCGGAGTGTGGTGGAAACCTTCTCAACAAACGACGGTGATGACTCCCAGGGCGACCGCTCCTCCCCATCCTCCTTCTCGATACCACTCTGATTTTCGAGCTGCCCGTTCAAATCCGCCGCAAACTCTGCCAACGTCACAGGAATGAACTCTCGCGCGTGCTTCGTGACGGCTTTATGGAACGTGGAAACTGAGCCAAGGTCGAACAGCTGGTAGCTCCATCGAAAGCGGGGATCCACATGGATATGAAAGTATAGCAGTATCCGTAAAACTGTTATGCGAATGAAAGTCTCGAAGTCGGGAGGGGACTGTGCTGTGCCACCGGCCTCCGATGTGGTGAGAGTAGAAGAACCGGTATCTATCACGAAGACAACGTTCGGAATGGGCCGGTCGCGGGAGGAGGGCGACCCGAAGGACTGAAAGGCAGAGTCCTGCGACATCCTAGGTGTTGCTGCAAGCCAAAGTTCCCCGTGCCATTAGCGGCCCTGAGAAGACGCTGTTCCAGGGCGATTTTGTCTTCCCTTGTCGAACCCCCGTCCTTTTCCGTCTCACCAGCTTCTCCGTAACGCTTGGAGGGCCTAGAATAACGCACACCAATATCGCCTTTCACTTTCCGAATTAGCCTCTGATGGGCCTAGTCTTGAGACAATTTCTGCGTATTCCCGGCGCTTGCCCTGGTTCGAACTCCAGATCCAGACAGAATTCAAAAGGAAACGCGTCACATTCCGCGTCTGTCCGGTGGCCTGGACAATCTTCCGAGACTCAGATTCACGAAGCATCAGGGCGAGTAAGAGCACATCAAACATTTCTCTTTCCAGAGCGGTCACAGCACGGAGGGGAGCAGTTCGCTCAAAAATCGAATAATAAAGCTGTGCACAGTCATCCGATGGAACGGTTTCAACCTCTCGTCCTATATACACAGTGCCGTACGCCGACATCGCCAGGGGCAAAAGCCCAACGCCGCAATCCCTCGCCTTTCTCTCCCTCCCATAGTTATCCCACACCTCAAACGTCCGACGTCTCGTTCACCGCATAGTCCTCAACAGCTTCATCCTCCTGTCCACATACTGCAACACATCCCTCCTCACCAAGATATCAATCGCCCGATCCACAGCAACGGGGCTAAACTCCTGAGCCAAGAACTCATCCTTCACGACCCTCAGACTGACTTTGCTCCCCGGCATTAATCGTCGCCTAATCTGCTCTTCAATCCTCATCACCTCCTCCGAGAACTTAGAGCGCGAGTCAAAGCCCTCCACGAGCCCGCTTTGCACAGCGTCCATCGTAGAGTGGTTAAACAATCGCATGGCTTCGTCGACGTGTTGCTCGGTGGCTACGGTTGAGAGCGTGAGTTTGGCGAGGGACTCGGAAATGCGGATGATGGCTTCGAGCTGACGGACTGTGATCGGGACAGCGGACTTGGCGGCTGGGCCGTTGTCGGACGCTACTGACCGTGCTTTGCTACGCATTTCGACAAAGTGGGAGCTGAGCTTTTTGGCGGCTTCCTCAGTCAGGCGAGGGGCGCATTTTCTGTGGTGTCGGAGAGATTAGTCCCGGGCTCAATGTTGATTCCGCGTCCACGCGACCCCGTCTCCTACGTTTTGCAATAGCTGATGTAACTCCTCATCTTCTGGATGTTGATGTCACCAGCAGCCTCACGCTCCTTCACGTGCGTGTTCATGTGCACTTGCAAAACATGCCTCGCAATTGTCTGCGCAAGAATACTGTTAGCCCTGCGTCCGAAAACAATCGCATCCTTAACGACATGAACTCACCCTATCCCTCGACTCATTATGCTCATCCTTGACAATGAAAATCAAATCAAAACGCGACAAGATAGTCGACTGGAAGTCGATGTTCTCTCCAGCACTCTTCATATCATCGTATCGCCCAAACACTGGGTTGGCGGCTGCCAGCACCGAGGTCCGCGAGTTGAGGATCGTCGTAATGCCGGCTTTAGCAATGGAGATGGTTTGCTGTTCCATGGCTTCGTGAATGGCCACACGGTCTTCTTCACGCATCTTGTCGAACTCGTCGATGCAGACTACACCGCCGTCTGCGAGGACCATGGCGCCGCCCTCCAGGTAAAATTCTCTCTATTTGGGAGTTGAGTTGGTTTTCTGCCCGTACATTGACATCCTCATACTCCGTATGACTTACGCTTCCCGGATCACGGATAACGGAGGCCGTGAGACCCGCAGCACTGCTTCCTTTTCCAGATGTGTACACTCCAATAGGAGAGACCTTTCCAAGCTCGTCAGCCATCCCAGTCTTAAAAAGCTACCTTACATCCATTCTCAGCTCTCACCTTCTCCACAAACTTCAGCAACTGCGATTTTGCAGTTCCCGGGTCTCCCAACAACAGCACATTGATGTCTCCTCTTAACCTCATTCCGTCGGGAAGCACCTTCTTCGACCCGCCGAACAAGAGGCATGTAATCGCCTTTTTGATATCTACACGCGAAGCTCGTCAGCTTGAATGCCTCTCAAGATCACCCTATTGCCGCGTACATACCAGCATGTCCGTAAATCGATGGCGCAATGCTTGAAGAGAACTCCTGATACAAGCCCTCCTTGCGCGACATTTGCAGGAACTCCTCTTCCTCTTCTTCCGTGAAGGTGCGCACTCCGCGGCCGTTTCCGTCCATGTCGACTTGCATGCCTACTACGCGGAGGTATGGGGATCGGACGGCTACCGCTCCGGTGTTTTTCTACTCACAAGACAAATGTGAGCTATAATCCGGAGACTGACGTTTGGTTATATACGATGGGCGGGTCATACGTTATTGCGATTCTGATTGAAGATCGAGAATATCCCAGTGACGGTAACGCGTGTCCCAGGAACAACCTTATTTGTCAGATGTCTGTGCAAAGCGTATGGTGAGCAGACACTCTATAGGAAACCATAGGCTAAGTCGACGGCGAGCCCCCTCACCGATCTGCGCTGAGAAGCAAATGCCGTGGAAGCTCTCCAACAGGCACCATTCCAGGCGTCTCCTGCAATTTCAACGTCTGCTGGTCCACGAATTTACTCTTGTCGTGCACGATAATGTACGGGTCCAGTGGACACTGGTTACTGGAATTCCCGTCTCCCTCGCTGCAATTCACCAAAAGTGGTCAGCCCGTGAACTGAGACCCGTCTGCATGTGCCCCCCCTTGAAGCCTCACCTATCGCATTTCCTCGGCAGCTGGACACCGGCGAATCCTCCATTCACGGGCAACACCTTGTTGTGACGGCAGGACCGGCACATGATGTGGACATACGTTGCCTTGGCGGCGAGTGTGGATGCTGAGATGATGATTCCAGAAAGGCGGACGACTTTAGAAATGGAGAGCGCCTGTGTGAATGACGAGTGGGAGTCAGCTTGCGAACACGATGCCACATCGTTCGTGGTCCCCCAGCCCACTTACGTCCAACGATCGGATTGGCAGAGGGTTGGCATTGGAGAGCAACATGACTTGACAATCCGGGAACTCTCCAGCCTCCGTGGCATAATTGTTCTGCTTCGCTACAGTCTTCACGGCATCTTCAAACTGAAACCCAGAAGTCAATTCGTCAGAAACACGCCAAATCAACCCGAAGCTCAGCCATCTTCAATGCTAAACATACCAACGCGAGATACTCAGCCGGCTTCTCCTTCAACTGATTCGTCAGATCCTCGTCATAGCTCATCAGATGCGCCATATCGACTTCCAGGAAGTACTGCTTGATAATCAAGTTTTGGCGCAGCTGGTCTCTATCGGCGTTCACGCAATATGAGTAAGGTTCTCGAAAGAATCGTATGCGTACGAATGCCACGAACCTGTAGATATACACATTATCGATACAAAACGTCCTCAGGAACTCCACAAACTTCTTCTCGATGGCGGCACGGGAGTCGTCGCCTGAGGAGTTGGGGTACACTTGGGTGTTGAACACTCGTCCGGCATCCCAACCGAATGCTGCTGCCATGATGCGAGGGTCGGGAATTGAGGGTACTGAAGGCTTATTTGAGGTGGCCAATACGACAACGAGTGGCTTCCAACGAGGCTCCACTTGACGGGTGAACGAGAAGGCGATTGAAGAGCTGAAGTCCGTCTGTGCGCAAGCCGAATGGAGACTTGACGGAAACAAGCGTTCAAGCCAAGAGAAAGAGATCGTGTCCGAAACGTGTGTCCGAAATGGAAGGGCGCGAAATGTCCGAAACCTCGGCTGGAGCGTTTGGCGAGCCTACAGTATAAAAAGTGTCGTTTTGCGCAAGACGCGATGGCCCAAGTCGTCTAAGGCCGCAGACTAGAAATCTACTCGGAAACTTCACCTTTACTGCAATCGACCTTGAAAAAAGCAATGTCGGAGCCCAGACAGCGCCCATCGATTCTCATTCCTCCCGACCGTGAAGGGGAAGGTTTTCATCTGGCCCAATTTTGGGAACATGAAACAGCCTTGCGCTTCCAGGGCTCGGAAAGTACCCTTCCTTTGGACTGGAAATTTGCCTACCAGTATAACCCGGAGAAGAAAAAAATCACCTACAACGAGAATCACCTGAAGAAATGGCACCATGCCGCGACAGAACTGAACGACTATGATAATCCGTACGTCACCTTGATGATCAGGGGCCCTAAGGATCTCGGTCCACAGCTCCAAGCGACGACAGTCATGCTTCGCGTATTGGGACCCACCGACGATGGGACCACCAACCCCCCAACCTTCCATGGAACGGCGTTTTATGTTGCACCCACCATGTTGCAGACCGCCAGACACAATATACAGCCCATGGAGAATGTACGGCCGCTCGCCTGCAATTCCGCACGACCCATAACACGTCGGACAGCAATTCGATCTCGGCAGGCTTCAAGGCTACTCCTATTCGCCCAGCGGACGACTTGGTTGATTTGCCACCTCATCTTCATCACATGCTCCCTCAAGCCGAAGGTGTAGAAGACAAGGATCCAGTGGATAGCTCCGGGTTAAAGTATCAGAACGACTTTACATTTTTAAAGAGTAACCGAACGGTTGGCCAAGTTTTGGTCCCAGCATGCTGGCCGATGCATACGTGGTCACTGCTGGATTTCCTGGCGCTCCAAAAGAAGAGGACGCAGTGGCGGCCGCCACAGATATTGTAGGCGAATTACGCTGCCAAGATGTCGATCAGTATATCAAGGCCGTCATGGGCATGGTTACCAAGCTGAGCCGTTTGTTTCGTGAAGATGTATTGAATGTTTCTCCAGGAGCGGTCGTTCAACAGGGCTTGCGAATCGCGACACACGATTGTACAACACTGCCTGGCTTCTCCGGCGGCCCTGTTATTCTGATTGCCTTGCCTGGTGTGTTCATCGGACAGCATATTGCTGGTACCAATGTTCCGGCTGCCGGGCAGAATCTTTTCTTGTGCGCAACCCATCCGGCTTACGTTGCCGAGTATGTCAAGCACGTCCTTCCCGAGCTTTTCGAGGCCCTAGAGACCAATGCTGGACTCCTCATGTCGATTCAGCAGCGGCACTTTTCTGATTGGTTGAAGGCAACCTGCGGTGCGCCTGACATGGATTTACTTTCTTGCATCAAGTCGATATTGGAAGAGAGCACGGACGGGGGGCGGGGGGGATGAACCCAACCCTACGTAGCTTTCAAAGTTAACCCAACTCATTGTGTATGGAGGCGTGTCTATTGGCATAGCAAAGCGTATGAGCGAATTATTGGAGAGCTGTATTGGCATTGGGAACGGCGTAGGCATCAAGTATCTGTATTTGCTACAAAAAAAGACTTCGCGGTGGTGTGAGACACACAAACCGAGATGTGATTAGCGAAGTTTTGGACGGCGACGTGAGAAAAAGACGGGAGATGGAGCTGGGGGAAGGGCGGAGATGAGCCCGGAAGCGGGGTGATGTGGGCGAGAACATCCCACGCAGAGGGTATCTATGACCGTAGGATATGTCCCCTTTTGTCGACGCCGTTTTTTTTCTCACTCGATCTCGACTCTTTGGGTGGTTCCCAATTTTTGTTGTATTTTCTGTAACTTGTTGTGTCATGGTATCATTCAGGGCATTCCCTATGAACTATACCCTTTGTTCGAACGATCTTGGCAGTTGCTTGCAGCATCGGTTTTACCGGGCGTTGAAATTTCTACTTTTTGTGTAGTTTGCGTGCGTTGGTTTTGTTGTTTGAGTGTGGATTTGAAGTTGAGACTCGTGAGGCAGCGAGATGCATTTCCCTTCTTCGCAAATCCCGGAGGAGTTCGGTTGGCCAAATTGACCGTCCATGAGCTCGTTGACGTATCATCCATCGTTTGTTTTCAAGATGTGATGTGGCTCCCAAATCACGCAACCGGATGTCTCACATTTATGGATTCATGCACTATGAAAAAGATACGTACGCTATGCAATAATTTACCTAACCTAACTACAACCTCCGTCCTTCTCCCACACCTTACCCCTCAAACTTCCTCTTCCTCCCCTCCTTTTCCTTCTTCTCCTTCTTCTCCTCCTTCTCCCCACTCTTCCCCTTCTTCCTCTTCTTCGTCGCGGAAATCGCCTCCAAAACCGATACGATATCCCTATCCTTCTTCAGCTTCTTCGACTGCGGTGTCGCCACAACATCAACAGCAGCAAGGGTGGCGTCATCACCATCGCTGTCGTCATTTGATTCTTCTTCAGCGTCAGAGTTGAACGTGTGATGCCCGTCGGCGCGTTTGCGTTTCTTGCTCTTTTGGAACAGGTTTTCGATCTCGTCTTTGGATTCTTTGGTTATTGCGCTGGTTATGACAGCATCGGCGGTGGGGTCGGTGGATGTTGGGGCGTCTTCGTTGTCTGAGAGGGCGAGCTGTGGATGCAGGAGGCGGGATGTAAGTATGATATGGCAACGGAGGAATGCTAAAAGTAGTTGAGGTTACCTTTTCGATCTCCTCATACTCCTTAGCAGCGCCCGTCGCTTTACTCTTCTTGCTCTTCTTATCCTTCTTATCCCCCTTGACGATCTTCTCCTTCTTCCCGGGCAGCACGACGCCCGCGTCACCCACACGCCCACCAGTGAATCCAAGGGCTGCCATCCCCGCGTCGAATTGGTGCGTCGTCCATAAGGGGTCAGCTTGCTCTTTTGCCTTCTTCGCTTTCTTCCCACTTTCGTCATTGCTCGCAGCCCGCTTCCCCGCATCATCATCATCCAAAAACTCCTTAAACATATCCCGTTTCCGCTCATGCCCCATCTGCCTCTCCACCCATTCCTCCCTCCGCTTCCCATACGTCTCAATCTTACAATTCCTCAGGACAAACTTCCCAAAATGGCTGTTCTGCAAAGTCTTGGTATGGTTATACAGATCCTCGGCAATCTTCTCCTTCAGACCGATATCCGCAACTGCCCAGGCCTTGTCGACGGTGTGCGAGCCAAATTTGTCGGCGGCGAGGGTGGCGAATTTGCCGAGCCAGGAGCGAATGAGTTTGCGTTTGGCTTTAAGGTTGATGGTGGAGGAGAGGAGGAATTGTTCGAGGACCCGGGATGAGGTCGGGGAGAAAGCCCAGTTGCGGCTTTCTTCGGGTGTGAGGGACATAAAGCTGTGGTTGAAATGGAAAATGATCCGTGAATACATTCCATAAATCGCATATATGGGCACCAAACGAAATTTACCTGTCAATAACCATCTTGTTCGCATCCTCGTCAAACAGGAGAAGATTCTGCAGAATCAACGATCCGTTCGTATCCGCTTTCGCAGCTTCACCCAACGCGCCATACGGCTTCAAGCACAGAATCAAGTTCACCAACTGCTTCCTCTGTTCCGGAGCAGTAGCCTTCAAAGCGTTAGCGACAGCCTTCACGACTTCTTTCTGACATTTCCCAGTCTGGTGCTTGACGCACGCTTCTGCCACCTTGACGACGACACCAGGTCGCCTATGTGTGAACAGCGTTGGGAAGAACGGGATGAGCTCGTCGAGCAAGACCTCCAATTGGGTGCCGTTGCGCGTATGGCAGATCAGCTGTTGCACGACAAAGTTGGCGACGGGGTGCAAGCAGAGTTCTTCAAGCTGTCCGCGGAAGTAGGTGACGTAAAGCTGGTGGAACAGGTGTGCGCTCGCGGCGGCGAGGAGCTTCTCTACGAGGTGAGACCCGACCGGGTGACGGATAAGATCAACCATGAATTGCCGCTCCTCGTCTGTCTGCGTGCTCAGTTGGCAGGTTGCAGAATCCTCGACCGCGAGGAGGGTGCTGATAAGGGATTCGGATGTGTCGGAGAGGGAGATGAGGAGCTGGAGCACGGGGTTGGCTACAATATGTGTGGCGTAGGTCCGCAGGCCCATGATCTCCATCTGTTCGGCGACCTCACGCGTGATCTCCTTCAAGGCCTCTTTGAATTGCGGAGGCACTGTGCGTTTGACGGACACGCCGGCGCGACCCGTTTTCGGCGCGTTGGCGGGATTGGGTTTCCAAGTATTGTTGTGCTCGGAGTTGTATTTTTTCGATTTCTTACTTCTGCGTTCGGCTTCGCCTTGTGCTAGCGGATCGCCGGACAACAGGCAGAGTACGGCCCGGACCAAGTGGGAGGCGTACGCGTCCATCATGAGGTCCTTCCATTCTCCTTTCATTTGCTCGCAGAGCTGTTCGACGAGCGTGGTCATCGTCGGTAGAGTTTCCAATGCAGCTTCGTCGCCTTCAGGCGCCTCGACGACGAATGTTCCCTTGATCTCGCGGTCCACAACATCAGCAGCTGCGTATATGAGTGTTTGACATACATGCGATGCGAACTGGTGCTTGAACAGCTCGATGAACTGTCCATTCAAACGGTCCGTGAACACCCGTACTCGGAAATCGTCCGCCGACCGCAACATCTTCTCCACGACCCTCGAGCAATCGGGATCGGCTGCGACAATACACTCTTTTCCGTCCATGGCCCTGAACATGGCGCCGATAAACAGAGCTTTCTCCTCCTCCGACTCGAACTCTTTGGTGTCAAGCTCCTTTTCCATGCTGAGGAAATACTGATGGTCGTCCGGTGCCATCACGCCGAAGAAGGGCTGTGGTGGGCGGTTGGTGTACTCGACGTCTTTCGACCGATCATGGTCCCAGGTTTCCCACGCTGCCTCTTCGGCTGCCGTGCGGCCTGAACCAACGGCTACCGCATTCACTCCAGTAGCTCCTTCCGCGACCTCCGCTTTTGCTTTTCCTCTCTGTCCTCCACGCCTGGTTTTCTTCTTTTGTGGTTCTCCAGTGGAAGTTGCGCCCGGTGGCGCACGGTCGGAATGCAATGCAGGCTCATACGTAGCTGTGACTGATGGAGCGTCGATATCGGGTTGCGATGTTACGACAGAAGCCTCCTGATTCATGTCTTCTACGGGAGCTCCTGCCTCTCGATCTTTGACTTTCTTTCCACCTCGCTTGCCCCTCTTCACCTTCTTATGCACCGCTTCGGGCATGACGCTGTTCTTTCCTGTTGTCGCTCAATAATCAGAACCTTTTTGAGGGCCGTTACGACAGGGCAAAAGTAGTCTATATGAGCGCTGGCTCGACGACCTCTTATACAAGTTCCGGTCCAATGTCGACGCAGTGGGAAGTTCAGAAAAAATGGAAACGGGATGTGCAAGGAGCCTGAACTTGACGTTTGAATTCCTCGAGTGCCGAGCTCCCGGAGTTCGGTGGAGCGCGAGGGGTGACACGGCGTCGCACAAGAGCAGTCACCGCGTTTCTCTCGCTCTCTGCTTTCTGCCATGTTTCGCTTTTGCTTTGCCCAGTGCTCAGTTGAAAGTTGACAAGTGGAAGTGACATTTTGGGCCGTTCAACAAGACATATATATATTAGTCGCACGCAATGACTAGATACAGGAGGACAAAAACACACAGGGGGTGAGTACTCGGTGGTCTCGCAGGCGGAAAGACGGGGAGCGTGAGGCTTTGGCTGTCAAACGTTGTTCAACACAGCGACCGGGCGTCAGTGGAGCATTTGTTATTCAAGTGGCGGGAAAATGCGTGCTCACGGGAAGGGGCATGGATGACGACTTGGGGAGCTTCGTGGACAGCTCTCTTACCAATAATCAGCTTGGAAACTCACATGTACTTTCCAAACCTTCGTCCCACTTAGAATTCGCGACGTAAAGCGAGCAAAGCGCACCCGTGCTCGTGTGAAGGATTTGGACCAGATACACGAGGACTTGGCCAATCCTGAACAATACAATAACGCCGAACAGGATGCTGATCTGCCGGGAATGGGACAGAACTATTGCATACAGGTGTGTATGTTTGTGGATTGTGGGTGGTGGGAACTATCAATGTGTGGACTACGGATGAGATAGGATTTTCAGTGGGACCAGAGAAGTGAGCCTTTGTTTGCGCGCGGGAACTTTGTTCATTAGCGCCAACGAGAAGGATCTTGGTTTCATGATTGACGATCGAGGAGAACGAAACAGGGATGGGAGAGCGAGGCCGATGGTTGGATCATCATGAAATGCCATGACGCACAACACGGATATTTGAGAGTGGGCTCCCGGAGTGCCTGTTACCCCACGCAATCACGCTCACCATCTCTCCCTCACCGTCCCAGTGCGCCCGCCACTTCACCACATCCGCCTCTCTGCAAGACCACTACAACACCAAACTGCACAAACGCCGCATGAAGGTGCTCAAAGAAGCCCCCTTCACCCAAAAGGAAGCCGAGGCCGCCGCGGGGCTCTTCACCGACAACGGGCCCGGAAGGAGGAAGGATGGCGCGGATGCTGGGCTGGTTCCGCCGCGTAATGCTGCGGATAAGATGGAGGATGTGACGGCGACGACAATAGCTGCGGGGGATGCGGGGAGAATACCGGAACATGCGACGGATCCGCCGGCGGCGGTGGTGTAGATTCTCTCTGCATCTACACGTGTCCTTTTCGACCGACAACCTTCGGAAGAATAAGCCCTTGCATCATTTCGAATCCATACGTAGTCTCGAACTATAGCGGCGGCAGCGACTCCTTCTTGTTTGCGGAACAGAAGGCCGTTTCCTACGTCATTCGTTCCGCCCCTTTTTGTAAACCTCTCTTAACCTTATGGTGACATGCTTGTATAAGCGTCGGCAAAGCGTCTTGGAACCCAACGGCTTATCCGAACGACCCGCTTCCAACGTCTTTGCATGTCTATTTAATTTCTTTTACTACAAACCACGAATGTTCTCAAATGCATGCACATTTCGCCCGTTTGTCCATTTATGCTTTATGCAAAACCGGGGAGCACCAGCGCATTTGAAGCTCCGGCTTTTAGTCTATAGATCTACCTCAGACCGGAGAGGGAAGTATCGATTTCGTCTGTAAGGGAATGCTGCCGGTCCATCTAACACAACTGACCCAAGACCCAGACTGATAATGAGATATTAAGTAACAGCGATGCGCACTGGGATTCTGGACAAGCAAATAGGGTAATTAACCCATCTCTGTCGTGAATCATTTTCGTCGCCCGCCCGCGGGCGGCTCCTACGTTGCCAGCGACACCGAACCCTTACTACTCGTCTAACCCGGATCCCGAATGTATCTCCATCTCCTCAGCGCCTGCAAAAAGCGCCATCCCCCTCAGCGCCGGACGCCATGATCGCATCTCAAATCGGCCGGAGGCAAGAGTGTTGCTGTCGCGGGCCAGTCGCGCGGACTGACGCCCACGGCCGGATTTCACGGGTAGATTGACCCTAAGCATCAATGGGCTCCCCTCAGGAATATCCTTGCTCCTCATGAAACTGACCGCACATCGACGAAGTAGCCCGAACTCATGTCCCACAACTCACGCATAACCCCACCGCCACACAGGTGTGGAATTTGTCCAGAGGCAGGCCATCGCGATGTGCTCCTTCATGCAAAGACTTTGAAATGATGGTCGAAGTTGAGACCTCTGCACAGAGGACACAATGGATAGGAGAATGAACCCTGGAATGTACGCACCATGTGCGATGTCCTCATGGGCCTCATAGCGCTCGGAGAGTGTGATTGCAAAGAGGAGCAAGTCGCGAATGTGATGTGATTTTCCGCATTGCGAGGATCGCTCCTCGCAGACGGTTGTGCACGGCCGCGGCGACAAGCCCACGACGTCTTCCTCCCTTAAGAACTTCTTTCCCCTGGGAATCCTTGTTTGCCCTCGATTCCAATCCGAAAGTTACGAATTTTCGAGATCCGACCTCTGCGCGGACAAGTGCTTCATGTCGTGCGAACTGATTGGTTAGTGCGGGTCCCACTATTGGTAGCAATCGATCGGGATTATTTGCTCGCGGCTTGCAGCTCTTGCAAAAGAACTGCTGACATTTGTTTATCAACATAGTTCGTCTCCTCTGCCTGCGCGACGGCAGTGGCGGCATCCTTTGCATCACCTGGTTCAACCAGTACCGCACCACTGCTTGCTCGGAAGACGCAGGATTCGCTTGACTAGATCCTATTTTATGGGGGTTCGGTGTGCCTCGCGCTTCGTACGGAAACGACGGATCTCATATCTTCTAATCTTTCCAACGGCGGTAGCTTTGAAAGGCAAGGTGGTATGAAAGGCACGGTGAAAGGCAAAGCTTCCTCCGACGCATGGGTGAGGGTAGCGATATAGATCGGCATGTAGCGCCGCCCATTTGCTTGCGCCTGTGTGAGTGGCAGCAATGTATGGTATTGGTCATTTTTTTGCGTACGCTACGTTCTTCAATGGGGCAAAGAAACCTGGAGCGTCGGCGTTTCGCTTTCAAATGGCTCTGTTTCGCCGACACGGCGCAGGCGTGGGTAAAACAAGTATCCGGCTCAATCATCAGGCACGATGATGCGAACACCCATCCTCGGGTGTCGACGGATTCACCCACTCGACCGTTAATTGACAAGCAGCGATCGGAGAAGTGTTGCGGGCCAGCGCAAAGTAGCTTCGCAGGGCAATTGATGATGTCCAAGTATAAAATTCGAATCCGCTCAGGACTGGTGCTGGTTTTTGGGGTACGTCTCCGACCTATGCACATTGGCCCCCGACGCGTGATTGTGTTCATGTCAGCAAAACGCGTCGCAAACGCGTTCCATTGCGGGGCCCCGACTTTCGAAAGGAGATTTTTCCCAGTCGCGGCGCCCGGGTGCTGGCAGCTCTCTATGTCGACATCTGTTTCCAACTTCCAAGTGTAGCATGCCCCTCTGCTAAAAAACTGTTCAGTGTACAACCGCTATTCGCGCTAAATGATTGGTCGTCGATGCCATGTATATTAGTCATAAGTGCGCTGTCGCTCCAACCTGTCGTTGTCGGCGTGCTCGATTGCGGGAAGAGCGTGTGGCTTTGGCGTTTGCTGTCGTATCAACCTCATCCAATTCAAAATTCGAAGGACTCTGGTTGCGGCGAGCCGATGCGACAGCTTAACCGGAATTGAGGCTTTCCATGCGAACAAAGGTGCCGCTTGGTGAACATCAGGTCCCACGAACCGTTCTCGGCTCTTTGCGTATGAAACCCGTAAGCCGGCCCGAACGTCTTTCCGGGCATTACGCGTGATGAGAGAGGGATACCAGAAGCCCGGCGTTAATTCTCAAGTTCTCATACGTGTCCAAAAACAAGCTCTCGCTGAGCTATTGAGGACGAAGCAGCTCCTCCGACGTTATCTCCATAGGCGACGATCAAGGAACAATGCACTGTAAAGAGAGTGGTGGCTTCGTCCATTTCGGCCATGAATGATAACAGACGGAGTGCGTCACGGCACAGGAGTTCTCGCGAGACGCATCCTTGTCAATGGATGCAGGACGGACCCACGCTCGTTCTGCTCGTTCTGCGAACTCCTTTGCAAATTTCGCACACCGCCGGATGCAAGAAAAGTCTTATTCCGTCCATCCCGCCATGACGCTCTGTCTCGAGCCATCCGAAACCAAGATATCGCCATCGGGCGACACCAGGAGGTCCGAGTCGGAGACAGCAAGTCCAACAACGAAATATCGCACCATGAACTCAACTTCGTGTCGAGAGTCACGCCTTTTCTTCGGTTGACGAGGGGCCCCCGAGTGAGTTGAGAGTGCGGCCGTAAGCCGAGTCACTTTGTGGAGTGGATGGATGTCCACGATTGGCTCGCCTTTGGGTGTCGCTGGTGGACGTAAGTACAATTCTCTTCGCCCCGGCGCTTCCGCGCTCTGTCTGCCCCACAACTGCTACAACCTTCGCGTCTCTAACCCGCAGAGCGAGGATGCAGCGGATGTCCACAGGGATCGACCAATGTTCAGATTCCTTTTGCTACGCCCCCTCTCACCTTAATTGTCTGAACGTCTCCGACATGCCGTAAGCTACGATATATATCCACCAGCGATACATCGGGAGGAAGGCCAAAGCCCACAGTGAACTGCGGTCATTCGCTCCCTTTGTAGGAGAGCAGTCCTGTATGCACTGCAATCAGCCTCTCGCGTCAATCTCTTATAGCGCTCGTGGGGACTTCAGGATAAAGGTTTCCTTCAGGCAAGTCTCACTCGCCCATGACTTAGCTTCACACAGCCCCATGCATGGGCGCTGTATTTCCATTTTGCGACGGAACTGGTTGCCTGTTTCTGGTCTTTAACCAAATATCCAGCCGAGGAGATCCATGTCCCGTCGGATATCACTGCGACAAGAGACCATTTTCGGGTCGCGAAGCCGTTTCGGACGCTCGCTCAAACTTGACCACGGGTGCGTCCTAAGGTTTCACCCGATTCCCTTCTTCAACACTAGGAAGTGCCTTCGGCTCGCCAAGGGGGTGCGTGGACATGACCCATAAGCAACAGTATCGAAACTTGCGCGGCTCCATTGGCGGTGTTGAGTGCTTTTGCTCCTCCTTGCAGTAGTAGTCTGGTAACCATCGCCTGAGATGCTCTGGCTGTCCAGTCTTTCCTTGTTGAATGTGTCCCAGCCACTGAAGTTAAGTACTCAAACGGTTCTACGTGTCGTAACAGCTCTGCAGTTGTCCCCTTTCGAAGACCTTGTAACCGTGTCCGTGTGCCGGAATGTCCTGCGGTTTCTGGGAGATCTTGACGAAGGGGGATTTGGGAGAAGACGGGAAACTGACGCGTTTTGGGAGGAGGACGCTGCTAACTGAAGAACACGCTGGCGAAATGCGGCTTAGTGTGGCGTAGTGATTGCTTTCAATTAAATGGAGGGTCACGCTCTGTGTTACTCCCACTCGCCGGTGACAAACCTCTGTGCAAGTCATGCTTCGCTTTGAGACGCGTCGACCACAATGCATGTGGGACTGCCTTCTAATACATATTAATTTGGGAGAAGCTCTTGGGGGCAGGGGCAGGGGGCTCCGAGGAGAGTCCCAGGATTTGACGATGCAAATGTTGGACATGTGTGCACAGCAAGCACATGCAAGATGAGGATCCCCGGGGGCACAAGCCATGGTCATGTGGGAGAGGGTCGATGATGATTATGCCCAAGATGTGCTGGGGCGGGCACAGCAACCTCTCGTTTTCCCACGGAACCAATTTGGCGATGGGTGGGGGGGGGGGGGGGGGGAAGGATGTTGAACAGGGGCGGCGGGCTATTATAACCCATGATGTTGCGAGTTCTATTGCGAGTTCTATTATTAAAAGTTGCTGCTCCGCATAAAACCTCCTTTCCACAGCACAGTCACCTCCTCTCTCAACCGGCCCTTTTCCCCACAACCCATAACGGCCGATCTCTAAGCTCATCGTCCAATATCCCATCCACTCGAGCATACTACGCACAGCCGACACACTCAACAAACGCCTAATTCCAAAACCATGGCTTCTCCTCACATTATCGTTGTCGGCGGTGGTCTAGCCGGTTTGTCCGCTGCTCACACCATCTTGGAGCGCGGCGGGAACGTGATCCTTCTCGACAAGAACGGTTTCCTGGGAGGAAACTCTACCAAAGCGACGTCTGGTATCAACGGAGCCAACACCGCTACGCAGCGCAAGCTGAAGATTCCAGACACCTCCGAGATCTTCTACGAGGATTCCGCGAAATCTGCCCGTGATCTGATCGTGCCCCCACTCACCAAGGTCCTGACGTACCAATCTGGCGCCGCCGTCGAATGGATCCAGGACAACTTCAAGGTCGACCTTTCGCTGGTGTCGCGTCTCGGTGGTCACTCCCAACCCCGTACGCACCGTGGAAAGGAAATGTTCCCTGGTATGACAATCACCTACGCGTTGATGGAACGTCTGGAAGATATCGCAAACGACACCCCTACCCGCGCCAAGGTCATCAAGAAGGCCAACGTGAACAAAATCGTGAAGGAGAATGGAAAGGTTGTTGGTGTGGAGTATGAGAGGGATGGCAAGACGTACAAGGAATCTGGGCCGGTGATTGTCGCCACTGGTGGTTACGCTGCCGATTTTTCCGCTACCTCTCTCCTTAAGAAGTACCGCCCTGAGCTGCTCGATTTGCCTACTACCAACGGAGACCATTGCACTGGTGACGGTATCAAGCTCACTGAGGCCATCGGTGGAAACACGTTGCACATGGAAAAGGTACAAGTTCACCCAACTGGTCTTGTTGACCTCAAGGAGCCCGACGCCAAGGTCAAGTTCCTTGCCGCTGAAGCTCTTCGTGGTGTCGGAGGTCTTCTCCTCGACGCCAACGGTCACCGTTTCTGTGATGAGCTTGGACACCGTGATTACGTGACTGGCAAGGTGAGAACGGCCAAAATTGGGGATGCTGGAGTTGACGGCTGAACATTTGGAACTAATTTCTTGATCCCAATGTAGATGTGGGAGAACAAGGGTCCCTTCCGGTTAATCCTGAACGGCAAGGGAGGAAAGGAGATCGAATGGCATTGCAAGCACTACATGGGCCGTGGTCTCATGAAGCACTTCAAGGGAGCCGACGCCCTCGCCAAGGAGATGGGCATCAACGTGAAGGTTCTGGAAGAGACCTACACAAAATACAACGAGATCGCCCGCACGAAGAAGGACCCCTTCGGCAAGAAATTCTTCCACAACGTCCCCTTCGTCCCCGACGACGAGTTTTGGGTCGCCATCGTCACCCCCGTCCTCCACTTCACCATGGGCGGAATTCAGATCGACGACCAATCCCGCGTGCTGGGTCACGGCGACAACAAGCCCGTTGACGGTCTCTTCGCCTGCGGTGAGGTCGCCGGCGGTGTGCACGGCGCCAACCGTCTCGGTGGATCCTCCCTCCTCGGATGTGTCGTCTACGGCCGTGTCGCTGGTGCCACCGCCGCCACTTACATCCTCGAAGAGCTGTCCAAGAACAACACCGCTGCTCGTCGTGTCGGTGGGATCGCTGGCCACCTTGCCTCTTCCCCGGTCTCCATCTCCGTCAACGGCCTCAAGATCACCCTCGCCGCCGACGACGGTTCCTCTTCCTCATCCGCCTCTACCGACGAGGGCGCCGCATCGCAAACCGAGCCCCGCCCCACTGAGGCCAACACTGGACCAGAACCCAAGGGCAAGCCAGCTGCGAGCAAGGAGTACACGCTCGAGGAGGTTGCGAAGCATAACACGGAAAAGGACTGCTGGGTTGTTGTTAACGGCCAGGTGCTGGATGCGACCAACTTTTTGCCTGACCACCCGGGAGGCAAGAAGGCGATCATGCTTTACGCTGGTCGTGATGCAACTGAGGAGTTTAACATGTTGCACAAGGTTTGTGAATATGCTTCCAGGTTTCTTCCTTCCACTCTCTTAAATCCAGTACTAACACGGTTCCCCCCCTAGCCCGAGGTCGTTGCCAAGTATGCGCCTGAGACAATCATTGGCACACTGAAGAAGTAGAACTCTTGGAACCCTGCTTGATACCCCAACCCCGATCCCTCTCCTTTCCCTGCACTGTCCGTTTCCCCGATCTCTTTGCTGTTGTATTCACGTTTCTTTGTGCTTATGTATCAGTATAGCTGCCTTATCATGGTTCGAATCAAAAATTTACACGAAGAATACTGTCCCAGCTACCTACTTGAGTCCCGTACCCAAATGCCTCTCCGTTCGTCCAGGAACCACCACCTCGTTCGATGCAAACCTTCATCTATCGTCACCATCCAAATTCCCCTACAAAAACCCCCCCTTCTCCAAGTAATCCAAGCCCATCCATGCCGTCTGCACACTCGGCAGCATCATCTCCCCGCGTAATATGATATCTTTCAAATCCCGGATGTCGACGTTGCGCCGGATTTCGATGAGTTCTACATAAAATATCGCGTTAAGTGAGAAATCTCTCGGGGTGATGTTGGAATGGAATGTGACTACGGGTTACCTTCAGCATCCCTCGCCCGCGGATGTTCATCATACACCGGGTCAAGCACCAAAAACGGAATAAACCGGTTTCGTGACCATTTCACCTAGTCGTACCCCATAGCTGTCAGTTCTACACCCTTGCCGGACCGCGAAGAGCGATACTGAAAGGGGAAGCGGATGCACCAACCTCGCCAATCCCGTCATGATCCTGTGGTAAGAGGGAGATCCATTCTCCGCCTGTTAATCGCATTTCTTCTGAGAGTTCTTGTTTTGACGTATCCAGAATCCTACACCAATGAACATCAGTGACACATATATTTCAAACCCATCTGCTGTATGGCGGGTGTGAAAGACTCACGTCTGATGTTTCTTTTGATCAAAACCTCCCGCCGCAAACGTGTATTTGAGGTCGTTGGTGCCTTGTGCGTATTCGATTATCAGACACGTTGTTTTCTGCAAAATCGGTGGTCTCAGTATCAGGGGTGGAAACGGGAGAGGAATGGTGGGGACTTACTGATTGGGTATCGAACGGGAAGACGACCGAAAAGGCCGGGTTGGGCGTATCATGTCCAACTACATCCCTACAAAAAGAATCGCGTCAACACCCCCTCCCCGCCTCCCTCCCCCACCCCAACAGCCCCCATCCCCGCACACCTTACCAGTCAATAACCCGCCCATCAGGATACCGCACCTTCCTATTCCACACGGACAGGTACCGTCTATACGCCTCTTTCTCTTCGACGACGGGGAAGCGTTCGTCGCGCAGGATGAGGGTGTGGAGGTCTATGAAGGATTGACCGGGTGGCGGGAAGGTTGGTTTGGGTGGGAGGGAGGGGTTCATTGGGTGGGGTTTGTGGGTGGAAATGCGGGATGGGAGGCGCTTGAGGGGCTGGATGGGGAGGCGGGGGGGCATGCTGGGAAAAAGTTCGTGAGTTTTTGTGATATGCAACAAGACTTGGGAGAGAGAGCGGTCGTCTTTTACCAAGGGCTAAGTAACTGGCGTGAAAGAAAGAAAGACGGAAAGAAAGACGCTGCGAGCGGACTTTCTAGAACTCGTGCAGGAATGGAGGTGACGTGTGCGAGATCGGCGTGTCCAGCCTGTCGGACACTTCTGTGGGCGTCCCCTTTTGCCCTCTTTCCCGAGGTGTTCTTTTTCAGAAACGGACGCCTGTTTCTTTCGGCAAGCAAGCAGGCCAACTCCTTCACTCGCCGCCCTGACCCTCCCACATGTCAAACAGCACCACCCGCTTCACTCTAGTCGCCGCCGCCCTACGCAACGGCGGCGGCATCGGCGTCAACAACTGCCTGCCGTGGCGAATTCCTGGCGACATGACCTTCTTCCAGAAAGTCACAACCTGGCTAGGACGGGGCTCGTCGCAGCCTTTCACACACAACACAGAACATGGCGATGCGACGTCTCCTCTCAATGTGGTTATTATGGGACGCAAGACGTGGGACTCGATACCGGCGCGGTTCAGGCCTTTGAAGGGGAGACTGAATATTGTGTTGTCGAGACAGTCTCGGCTGAGGGATGCTATCCGGAGGTAAATTTCGAAGGAAGACATAGGTCTGAGCCTCTGCGGTACACGACGTTCTTCCTGGACACGACCTTAATGTAACCCACCAGTCTCGCCCCGCAGTTCCAGCATCCACGACAGCCCCGCGTACAGCTTCCCTACCCTCGAATCCGCCCTCGCCTACCTGCAATCCATACCCCATAGCGCCATCTTCATCATCGGCGGAGCCCAACTCTACGCGAACTGCATAACCCATCACCAATGCGAGCGGATCCTGCTGACAGCCGTCGACCCACCCAACCCGATTGAATGCGACGCGTTCTTCCCGGAGATTCCTAGCGATCTGTTTAGATTGGCGAGTGGGAGAGAGTTTGCGAATGTGGTGGGGCAAGAGTACCCGGACGGGATTCGTGCGGAAAACGGGTATGGGTATGAGTTCCAGATGTGGGTTCGGCGCGATGATGAAAGGCAACGAACTGCCCGAGCGCCGTCAGAATTGCCGGTAGATCTCGCAACGTGCTCCTCCGACCGAGCCCACGGCCGAACAAGCCGACACCCCTTCCCCGACCCCTCCGTCTCTGCAATCACCCCAGCGTCACAGACCCCACACGGCGCATCCTACTCTCTATCAAACTCCCACCCATTGCTCTCACTCCAAATCGACCCTTCGCTGGTCTGGCACCCCTCCGACATGTCCGTGCCGTCCACCATCCTCCCCAACGACCTCCTCCTCCTCGGCGGCGCCAACGCTCCGCCAGAGGGAGCTTACACCCCGCTGTTCACGCCGGAGAAAAGTGAACAGAGTTTTAGGACTGCGAGGTCGTCCGCTGGTAAAAGTGGGATACCTTCACCATCAGGAAGTGACCATCGCCGGGAGGAATCGACACCGTGGGAAGGCTTCAACAGCACATTGGGCTCGACACCCAGTGAGCGGGCTGCCCGGAGCGATTCGTCGAGGAGGGATCATGACGGGGATAGAACAGTCACCTGTGAATCGAACTCGGTGTATGATTCGCTGATGATGCGTGTCCAGGAGGTGTTGATGCTCGAGGACCAGGAGAGTGCGGATGAAGAGGTGGTGGTGGATCCGGAAACGAGTTTGTTGCAGAAGGTGCACGAGATTTTGCAGGGGGGTGAGGGAGTTACTATCGTGGGTATGCGAGAGGGTGCAGTTGCGCAAAGGAGGTCGAATCAACAGCCGATTGCCCTGGATGTATCTGGCCATCGAGACCACTCCGCCCGTCGGGATAACGACCAAGGAGATGAACAACAAGACGACTTCCCCCACTCAGACCCCCTCCCCGGCCAAACCAACATCGACTTCTCCCTCGCGGACGGCACGATGGCCATGTCGGACGTTGCGGCCGCCGTGCATGCCAAAACAACGGTTAGGTCGAGACAGCCCACGCGGTACGGGGAATGGAATGCGCTGCGTGAGTTGGGTGGTACGAGGCGGGATGTGGGGGGTAGACCGGTTGTGGGAGGGTTAGCTGGTGCCCCGCCGCCACCTGTGAGAGGAACAGTGAGGGAAAGGCCCGTGGATCCGTCTATATGGGTGCCGCGGATCGAGTATGAGTCGTTTGTGAGCAATGGGGGGGAGGATAGTGTTGCTGAGGTATTGTTGCAAATCAGAAGAGTTGGGTCTTGAACTTGGGGTTCGGGCGGGGAACTGATGGTTTTCTTTATGATGTTTGTAGCATGAACTTGCCCCCATCTTGGCGAAATACGCGGCTATCACTGCGGCCGGCCGGCGGCAACCGTCCTTGTATCAACATTCAAAGCAAGTGTTACACCAAAACCATGTTGGGCAGCGGTCAGCGGGACCAGCCGGGCAGTTCCCGCCTCACGAAATCCACCGCCCAACCTCCCTCAGCAGTGACGAGGAGGACTACGACTCGTACACGGCCCCACCGTCCGCCATAAATCTGACCAATATGGACAGCACAACCTTCGCCGACCAGCTCTCCCTTGCGAGTATGGAGTATATGAAGCGGTATGGGCTCGCTGGGGCTGGCGGTAGCGGTGCGCAATCGGAAAAATTGGGGAAGGAGGCAGCGGGTACAAACGCATCGGTGCAAAGATTGCGCTCGGTGCAACGTGAGCAGCTGAGTAAAGTGTTGGATGTGGAGCGGATTAGGAGGTTGCCGAAGTTGGGGATGCCTGGGCCGAGGAGGGGGTGACGGGATTCATGCATAGACTAGCGTGGTCATATCTGCATTTCATGTACTGCAGTCCGCCCCAAATCTCCGCTGCTCTATAACTTCCATAAAAGCCTGGTCGTTGCCGTCGGCCATCCAGAAGTCTTTGTATATATATAATTTCGCAAATATCTCTGCTGCCTCTCCAGACCCCCGACGAGAACAATTCAGCGGAGAGAACCGTCCTTTTTCTTCACGAATAAGACTGGCGCACCGACAGGGGACTTTGAGGGTTTGATGAATCCTTTGGCAAGGTTTTCTTCGAGGTATTCGCAGAGTGCTTTCATTTCTGGTTCGCTGAGGTTGTAGATCGGGCCGAAAGGTGGCTGCTTGCCTTCTTCCAGATCGATAGGACAGTCGTAGGGCCATTTCTGAGCCTCAATGATATCCACTCCGCTTCATGACGTTGGATTAATATACTGTATATGTACAAACCGGGTAACGCGCTTCCATGCGATTACTTCCAATTAGAAGACGCAGCCTCAAGGAATCCTTTCTCGATGAGCTGGAGCATATCTGCCTGATGCGGTAGGAGCTGCGTAGGAGAACCTTTATGTTGGATGCCTGGTGACACAAAAAGAGTGCTCTTCGCCAGATCTGCTTACCTTGAAGACCGGACGTTTAGGCGCCCCTGGGTCTATTTTCCCATTCTGAAAGAAAGGATGTTATGAGTGCTTAGCGACTTGTGAACATTTTTGCGTTGACGAGAATGCCGGAGCTTGAACGGTACCTTGTGGCTGGCAGAGTATGTCCCCAGATCCTGCTCCCACTTGGCGAGGGCCACCCGATGCACTTTCCGCCGTTGAATCAGGTCTGTTAGGACTACGTTGCGCTTGATGTCGCTGGATAACACGCATAAACGTTATATCAGTGCCTCGGCTCATATGAGGGTCTTTCGAACTCGACGGACTCACCCCGTAACATTCAACGGAATCTTATCCCCATGATCATCCTTCCTCGACTTCCCCCTCGACCTATGCGTTCACACCACAACCCATCAACAAACGCACGCTTCCAACCAAGAATCTCCATCTTACTGACTTCTTGCTCTTCCCCTTATCCTTCTTATCATCCGCATCGGCGCCCTTCCGTTGGTTCCACCACGCGGGTTCGAGCTTGTCCCAGTATTTGCACACGACGTCCACTTGCGCGTTGCGGATTGCGTGCCAGGCTAGGACGATGTTTTGGGCTTTTACGACTGTGAGGAGTGTCAGAGACGATGAGATGTTGCGGGTTTGGATCGTGGTGTGGGAGGGGGAAAGGGGTGTACGTACCAGAGAATCGATACTTCTTGACGACCTTCATGAGACGGGACACGTCGTAGACGTCGCGCAGGAATTGGCGGATCGTGTCGGCGGCTAGGTGCCGCTGGAGCTCGCGGCGGCGGGCGACGTATTTCCGGAAGACACTGTCGAATGGAAGTTGTGAGATGTCTGGTATGCGATGACATGAGCACCAAATCCCCCCGGACGTACACGGCGATCTTCGCCAACGCAGTAATCTTATCCGCCTCCTGCTTCTTCCGGATGTATCTCCGCCACGTCCGCTGGATGAGACGTGCCAAGTGGCCATGGAGGTAGTTGATTGCGCGGCGTTGGCGTTCGGTCTATAAACCACCGCCGAGAATGAGTAAGCTTGCGTATGGTGACCGCCGGACATGGGTAAACGAACCTCGAGAACGATCTGAATCATCGTCATCCGGCTAGCGACGGCGGTGAGCATGAACCACTTCTTTTGCATGGCTTCGCCTCGGCCTAGTTGCTCTTTTTCTTTTAGACGTAACGCTTCCTGCGATTGTCGATGTGTACCATGGACCGGTCAGAATGCTGTTCAATCAGTTTATGCAGAGTTGCTACTCACTACGGCCGTCTCTTTTTTGGCCAGAGCTGCCATCTTCTCTCGCCATTTTTCCAGGTCCTGTGCTCGCTTCCGGGATCGGATCTCTTGCATGTGGTGACTTCTTTGCTCTCTCTGGGAAGAGAGTGCATAATCAGTCACGAACTTGCCAGCGGGCGGATTCCAATGCGTTGCTGACTTACAGCGCTTGCCAGCCTTTGCCGCCGAACTTGAGGCAGTTGCTCTTGCACTGTTAGCTTGTTGGCTCGCACCATATCCGCTGGAGCCGTTCGCGCACGATTCAAGTCCATCGCTCGGTAATCCGCTGTATCAAAACAAAAGTTGCCTCTTTAGTCATCATAACGGCCTCGTCGAACAAGCCCGCAATCCTCAACTCACATATCCGATTCTGGAACAAATCCCACTCAGACTGATTCGTCTTCAGCGTCTCTATCCGCTTCTCCAGTTCCGCTGCTATCACCCGTATCGGCTTCCTGCCCGCCAGCGTCTTGTTCTCGAGCTGCATGTCAAACATGGGCGATTGGTGATGGGTGGCGGTGGTGGGCGATTTTTCGGCCTTGCGGCGCTTTCCGCCTTTGTCCAGATCCCCGGCTAAAAGGGAGGTGGTGCTCTGTGTTCGGTCGTCGAAGTTCTTTGCTCGCTCTATGCATTCATAATGAACGTTTCTGAGTTCCCGGTCCTGGAAAACGCAAAGCCTGAGTTTTATAACTCACCAAAAAGCTTCTGAATATCCAGCAGGTTCCTCTCGAACCCTCCATGTCTATCATCAGTATCGAAACTATACAACGCTCTATCATGTGCCCGGAGGTTCCCGCGTCCATTCCCTCCATATCCCCGACCTTCCGGCCCCATAGCCTTGTTCAGCAACCCGATAATCGCGTCCAGTCTCACGTTCTGCTGCAAAATCGGGGTCGAGATCGTTGGCATCCTATACGGCCCCCCCGTCTCTGGCGGTGGTGGGTACGGAATCGTCTTTGCGCCATTTGCATCGTCGCTCCATATGCTCTCGCTCGGCTGCGCATCTTCCTCATTTGCCGATCGCTGATGTTGCGATATCCCCAACGCCGCAGGCGCAATCAACGCCTCTAGGTCCCGTTTCCCTAGATTCGTGGAGGTCCCACTTGCGATAAGTCGTTGGACCAGTGTTTGTACATCCTGACTGCCTAATTGCATTTTGTATATCGACCCCGGCCGGCTCCTCCGCATGCGTCCGGGCAATTCGCCCAACATTCCGGGAACTCTCGTCGCCCCGTACCCATTGGCGGGGGCATCGCGAGTCGGGCTAAATGCCGCCAAAGGGGTTTCCCCGGACTTCTGGGCGGTGACGCCTAGAGGTAATCGGTAGGCATTTTGATCTATATCCCTTGGGTTCTCATTCTGGGTCTTGTTTGCAGCGTCCAAATGCCGTCCGCCTATTTGAGGGAGATACGCCGTCTGAGAGACTGCTGTCATTGTGAATCGATCTGCGGGTTGAAGTTAGGGCTTGTCCGTCACATTGAAAACATATGAGTGTATGCATTGTTTACTCACAGTAACTCCAATGAACCAGCGGGCTGCAAGGCTTGCTTGGGATTTTCTACTGTCAATATATATACAGTCTGCCGGAAAGTTGGTTTTTCCATGATGACACTGATGCGTTTCGAGATGCCCGACGAGGGAAAGAATATCGACACCGCGAAGGTCTGATTACATAAGCACAATGAACTGCATCTGACGGGGCCTCCGAAAAAACAGAATTGAGAGGTTTTGTTCTGTTGAGGAGGGAATACATACGATCACATTCCTCTGCCTTCCGCTGAATTGGTAAAGAGCTTCATCATATCATGAACGTACCCGAAAGCCATCGCATTGTCTCCTCCAAAACCGTGTCCGAACTCTGGAAAAGGCGCCACGGACGGACGTCCTCGAATCGTCGGAGCACCCCCACCTCTTATCGCCAATAAGCTTAAAACCGTTCTTTTCGGGGTTCACTCAGCGAATGATTCTCCTTGAACAGAACAAACTTTAAATGGCGGCACCAAGAAGGCGGACATGCCGGAATTAGGATGTTTTGTCACCGGGACTGCAGGGACTGAAGCCGCATTCTGCACATCCTTGAATCCACCTATTCCGGTTTCTTTTGTCGGCTGCTCTCTATCAATTGCGAAGAATTAAGCTCACGTCAGTTCGCTGGACGCATACGACGGCGCAACGCGGCGAAAAAGCAAGGCGCATCCTGCACATTCATACTTTTTGCAGAGCGCTACTGCTCGCGCACATTTTTTTCTGTTGACCAGCCTTTTAGGGCTCTACCATTGGCTGTAGTTGGCGATCGGCCACTGTTGATAGTTTTGGAAATTTCTCGTTTGACGCTGGGGACGAAGGTAGAATCAATGCATCATTCGGTCGGGTTCGGAAAGTTGCGATGCTGATTCTTCTGACTGTGCTTAGAATTGGACACGAGCAACCTGTCCCAGTTCCTTTGTTGCAATATCGATTCCCAATCTACACCAAGAGCGAATATCAAACATTCATCCATAGCTGTGGACGCATCGCTTTCCACCACCGAGAACCATAAGCGATTCATCACAACCTTCAAATTCACCGTTGCTTTGTCGGTCGCCGATTTTGGGGGAGAGTTGACAGACAACCACCAAGCGTCAACATCGCATTTGGAGCTGGGCATTTGAACGGGCGCAGACTGCTTCAACATCGCCACGAATATCATCTTTCGACACGTGTTGTAAAGCTCAAAGCCCCAAAGATGGAGTACTACGAGAAAGTGAGCCCAATTGGGGAAGGCACATACGGGGTGGTGATGAAATGCCGACACAAAGAGACCGGCCAAACGGTGGCCATTAAGAAATTTAAGGAGAGCGAAGACGATTTACAAATACGGAAGACGGCGCTGAGGGAGGTTCGGATGCTCAAGGTATCATCCGAGGATAGACGCCTTCCACCTCTCAAACGCTTCGCTCTGTCTGTTCTAACTCCGTTCTCTCCGACAGCAACTCAAACACGACAACATAGTGAATCTCCTCGAAGTTTTCCGACGAAAAGGGAAACTCTACCTTGTATTTGAACATTTGGACCACACGATACTGGAAGATCTCGATAAGCGGCCGCATGGGTTATCTGACGACCGGTCAAACGGCACCGTGCGAAAGTGCATGTGGCAGCTGTTGAAAGCTATGGACTACCTGCATTCACATAATGTGATTCACAGGGATATCAAACCGGAGGTATGCCGATCAGACTTTTGCATCAATGCCTCCGCAGGAGAGGGAGAATCCAGGAGGAGGAATCCTTCCGCCCGTCCATATTCACTCACACTTCCCCGATTTCTCGTACCGCAGAACATCCTGGTATCAGTCAACGGCGTCGTGAAACTTTGCGATTTCGGGTTCGCACGAACACTGGCCGGCCCAGGCGCCAAATACACCGACTACGTCGCAACCCGATGGTACCGCGCCCCAGAACTCCTCGTCGGGGATACAGAATACGGAAAGGCGGTGGATGTATGGGCGACGGGCTGCATCTTCGCAGAAATCTTGACGGGACAACCGCTGTTTCCGGGGGACACAGATATCGATCAGTTGTACAGGATAATGAAGATTTTGGGTACGCCTGGCGGCATGTATTCCACACGGCAGTTGAGCGCTTGCTGATCGTGTGATCATTTATCGGATTGCAGGACCTCTAACGAAACGACACATGGAGGTTTTCCTCAAGAACCCACTGTTCGTTGGGGTGCGGATCCCGGAAGTCAGCAAAACCACCCCGATCGAATCAAAGCTCCCCAACGTCGCGCAAGATGCCATGTCATGGCTGCGGGTAAGACAAAGGCTTCTGCAATATGCTGGATCTCCGAAGCATCGGATGAGTCTACAATTCTTGTTCCCCATCTCACCATTCTCCTTCTTATTCCCGACCTCAGCAATGCCTCGTCTACGACCAAGACCAACGCGCAACCACCCGCCAACTCATGTCGCACCCATACTTCCGGTCCGACGGTTTCGCGGACGAGTTCGAGATGGAGCTGCGGCAGTTGATTGAAATGGATAAGGAGAGGGAGCAGAACGACCGTGGGAGGAGGAGAAAACCGAAGAAGGTGCGTTTGCAGAAGCACATATAGCATGGAATGAGGGGTTCCGGCGATGCGGGCGCCTGCCAAGCCCGGAGATTCGATACGGACGCCAACTAAGCTGTCTTAACACGAAAATTTAGCAGGCGCATCTGGACGGGCGAAATGTGGCAAGTAGGAAAGAAGCGAGGCAGCCGCTGGAGGACCTGGAAAGCAATAAGCGGCATGCGGGAGAGGACGATAGGTAAGAGCGGATGCTGCATTTCATCGCTCCATTTGCGAAAGTGGGCCGGATGCAATGCAGTCAACTCGACGATCAAGAAGGGATGCCGGAACATCGCATCGAGACACGAATGCCATATCTAACAATCCGATCAATCCTCTCATCACCCAGACAATATAGCATCCCCCCCATCCACGGCGCTCAATCCTACACAAAACAATCTTACTACACAACCGCCACCCCAACCCCTACCACCACCTCCACCATCAGCGGGCCACCCGCCCACCGCGACATCCTCTCCCGCGGCGGCGACGGCTCCATCCAAAATCCCAGCGGGTACGGCCCAACCACCCCGGGAGGGGGACCGAATACCGGTGGGGGCGGCATGGGAGGCGGAGGTTTACCGCCCGTGAACACAAACAAGAAGAAGGTGCCGCCACAGAGTATCTCGTTCCCGAAGATCCAGGCGGGGTTTGGGGTGGGTGGTGGGGGGTTGATGCGGAACAATATTTCGCCGGGGGCGGGGCCGGGGGTGGGCGGGATGTCGGGGTTTGCGGAGCGGGGGCCGGGGGTTGAGTGAGGGCGCTTGTCTGTGGGATAGCGCGGGGTGATACTTTGGTGTGGTGCATCCAAGCGTTCCCTTGCCGGCAGCGTAGACAAGAATAATGAGCGACCGTACAAGTGTATTTTCCTCCGTGCACTTCCCCAGAGCAGGAACGCAGAATAAACCATTTTATCTATCGGTTCACATCCCCTCCTGCGGGCTTGGTGCAAAGGGGTAGACACCTTCGTGTGTGTGAAATTTTGTTACAGAGTTACAGAGAGGAATATGTGCACTTCCCATTGAATAAAACTACAAAGACGGTCCATACTCCCGAATCCCCAGCGTCCATGCATCAGCCGCGTGATCTCACCTCAAGGGTTATTCCGCGCAGGCGACCCCGCCTCCCCCATCACCGCCGCGCCTTCCGCCTTAACCCGCGCAGCCTCCTCCCTCCCCGCCTTCAGCCTTTCATACGCATCATCCTTCTCCTTCTCGCGCTCAAGAGCAGCATAGCTCAGCGCGGTGAAATGCTCCATGTAGTATTCGCGGATGGCAGGGGTGCGGGTGTATGTGTTGACGAGGTTTGATGCGTCTAGTGGTGTAAAAAACTATCTTCAGAAAAACGCGATGCGACACCAATATTAGTCCGCGGGCATACCTTTCGCCCGAATGTAAATCAACGCATACGCATTCGCCGTCGATCCGGTCGTATCCGAAAACACCTGCGACTCCGGGACTTCCGTCACATCCGCGTCGTTGAATTTCAACCATCGATTTTGCGGCTCGTCGCGGAGGTAGATGTAGTAGTGTCCGTATGATGCTTCGCCTGTTGCGAAAGCAGGTCAGTACAGCGGATCGCGGGGGGGCGTACATCAGTTCAGGGGAAGATACGTACCCAGATGCACAAAGACGGCGTGGAGCGTATACCCCAATTGCTTGCTCTCGGCGCCGGCTTCGAGGAGAGATAGTTCTTGCACGAGCTCTGAAGAACGAAACGTAAACATCCTTGTGGACTTCAGGGTTACAGAGCAACGCAACAGCCGGGCCACTCTTACCAGTCTCAGAAGCCTGTTCCGACAATGGATACAGGCTCTGCGGTTCCGTCGCCGCATTCCTCTACCAACAAAAAAGTCCATCAATCCTCCATCCGTGTGCCCCTCCCTCCCTCCCACACCCCATCACACAACCCACCTGCTCCACCAGCTTCCCCAACGCCGCCCTAACCTCCCCCAACTTCCTCCTCCGTTCCCGACTACTCTCGACATTGGCAGTCATATACGCATCCAAAAAGATCGTCGAATCATATCGCATGTAGTCGTTCAGTTTATACGCCGTCTTCTTTTCGCGGTCGAATTTCGCGCGCTATGGGGATGGGCTGTGTTGAGTCATTAAGGGGTGTGGGGTGCGCTACGGGGGGTCGAAACCAAACGGGACGGATAAAAAAAAGGGAGTTTTTCGTACCCGTATTTGAAACATGAGGATGGGAGGTGCGTCCGTAATCGAGAGCTCGCGCTCCGCTTCAGTGTTTTCGATATCCACTTTAGCAACGTCGAAATAGGAATCGAGCGACGTGTAGAGGTTATCCGCCACCTCGATGATCAGGTGGCTGAATTCTTCGTTCTTGTTGCTTGTGCAGGGTTTGCCGTCTTTGTCCTTGTAGGAGAGGGTTTGGAGGGTTTTGCCGAATAGGAGGCTACATATGGTGTCCGGTTAGTGTCTAGGCCCCACATGAATGAAGCAGAAAGTGAGATAGCTAACCTCTTGATACAATTCTCCTTATCATTTTCCAGCAAAACCGTCTCCAGCAAGCCCATGATGTTGTCCATCGACTCTAAACTCTTCAAATCAGCCTCGCGCACCCAAAGCCATGCTTAAATACGCCGCACATACCACTGATATCCTGCTGCCCCCCCGCCAAATTCTGGCTATTCAGCGCAATCCGCGCCAACTCCCTCGGTGGCGCAATGCTCAGCCGGTCGCTCCATATCAGTGAACTGAACAGGTTTTGTAAAAGTCTAAGAACTGGGGTAGACGTTTGAGTACATATGCCTCGTTTCATGTGAGGATATTGTGACCCGCCCGCTCACATTCCCGCGCTTTCTTCCCATGCTCCTCCTTCCGCGTCTCCGGATCCGACGACAGCGAGCTCACCGACGCCTCCAGGTTCGTTCCGTCCGCAGGTAGCGGGGAATCAATTTCCATGGGCACCGGCGGCTCCACAGTGAATATCGCATCCCTCAGCTCGCGAACCGTGAACAGCAGCTGCAGCAGGGAGTTCAAGTAACACGTATTCCCAATATTTTCCAACCCGGCGGGTTTAGTCGTATCCTTCACATCCGGCAGCAACGCCTCCTCGGCGCGGGTCACGCCGTCCATCGACTCATACACCTCGCCCGTTTCCAGGAAATGCTGCAGGACGCCGCTGTCACGTATAAACGCGATGGTCCGGAGCGCCTCCCTGTACTCGATCTCGCGGTCGGGGCGGTCGCTGATGGCGGTAGCGAATGCGCTGATGAGCATATCGTCGGTCGTTTCGGGGGATACGCCCATCCCGATGGTCGCGTAGGCTGCTTCGACTTCTCCGAGTAGTGGCGCGCCTTTGGATCGCTCGATGGCGACCAGTTCCTGTAGGTCGTTGCTGTTCCGCGCCTGTGCGAGCTGTGCGACCGCGTCGAGATAAATCGTCATTCGCGAAGGATCGTGCGCGGTGAGGAGGTCGTAGAGCCAGCGGATGTTGCTGTCGGTGGCGTCACGGGTGGTGCCGAGGACGTTGTAGTGTTGTGCGAGGTCGTCTGCGGAGAGGCTTTTGAGGTAGGCGACCATATCGGAGCCCATCTCGCCTTGGACTTTTGCGCCGAGGTACTTTGTGATCAAGGGCACCGCGCTGAAATATTGTGGCCAGTCGTCGTCTAAGCCTGGGTTTCCTTCCTTTTTCCATCGCTGGAATTGGATCTCTTGTAATGCTAAGAGCGTTTTCGTCCTGTCTGCAGCGTTCACAGGAATGAACTGACCCTCTTCCCTATCGTAAGCGTATCCCATTTGTCCAAACACGCTTCGACTACAGAAGCATGAAAGTTCAGATCCCCATCGCTGATGTCCCCCAAATCTCGACCTCTTTCCCGCTCACCTATGCTCATCAACCCCAATCCACGCCGCAAAATTCTTATTCTGCGCATTCACCGGCCTCCTCTGCGTCCCACTCACAACCATATCCCTCAAATACCGCGACCACATCCTCAATGCATTCCGCTGCATCTGCGTCTCCCTCGTAGCATAGTACCGCAGCGTCGCGACGGGTATCACCGGCGGCCGGATGGTGAATTCAATCGGTCGATGACACTGACAGCATTCCGCTGTGTACTCCGCCTCGGACGTCGTTGTGGTGTCGTTTATCCCGCCACCGCCTCGCCGGGTGACTTTCACGACATGGTAGTGGTGGAACGGCGCGCCGTGGATGATGCATTTCCCGTCGGGGTCGGAAGCAACGGGAGAGGGGAGGATGTCGAGGTGAGTGAAGCAGTCTTTGCAAACGAACCAGCGGCTGAGTTCTTCTTGGGTGGGGTCGGCGAGGAGGACGGTGCGGGAGTCGGGGTTGATCTTGAAGAAGTGATGGAATGAGCATTGGGGTGACGCGACGGAGGTTGAGAGGAAGGAGAGGAGTTGGGTTGGGTCGAGGAGACGGAGGTCACCGAGGGCGGTTGATGGAGGAGGAGGGCCGCCGTTCGACATATTGTTGGGAGCTGTGGTGCTGACAGAACAGGTATGGTCTCTCTTCGTCGTCCCCGCCCGTTCAGTCAAGATCACTTGCTATCCCTGCAGGATTGCACACTTGGTTTCGCGAATGCTTCCGAGTTCTGTTTCAGTTCTTCACCCTGCGGGGTCGAAAAAGACCGACTTGGGAAGGATGTTTTATGCGGCTCGTCAAGTTTCCACGAGATGAGTGCGCTGTGACAAGCCGTACAGGCCAAGAAGACCACGTTGAGAGCGTTGTAGAAGCCTCAAACTGGAAGCGCCCAGTTTGCAGGGGGGTTTAGTTAGGGTTAGCGAGTGACGCTCGGTTGCGGACATCCGTTCCCTACTCCCAACTCCCACGTTTCTGTTCTTCCCATCTGAGTACGATCGAAGTCGACGAAAATAGGGAGCACTACCCTTCCACAGAGTCCACGCAAGCGAATCCTGCCAGATCTGGAGTTGATGTCCCACAAATCGAGCGAGAGAGAGAAAATGTGTTCAAGAGTAACGGTCTATATCGGGCGAACATCGTTGATGTACGCCAGAACGACCGTTCCCTCTTTGTGCGCGATGGTGGGAGTGAGCCGTTTGCATATGTGCCATGTGTATATATATTCTTCTCCCATTTGATGTATTCTACAATGGGAAAGGGGCCCCCCAACCGGTTTCTGCTTGATCCTCTCTCTATATCGTGCTGCTAGCAACAACCCAACTCAAAGTGAGCTACCCTCCGTCAGTCTCAAAGATCCACCTACAAGGTAGCCGCAGACGGCAATGCACTCCCAACCTTGACGAACCCCTTAACACCCGGCACCTTCTCCGGAATCTCGTTAACCAGCTTTACATCCACCAATTCCCTCAACCTCAACACATGTCCAGCCGCCCTCGGTCCCACCGCCCTCCACACAACCTGATGCCTCCTCAACAACCCCACCGCCTGCGCATGTTTCTTCGTATGCTTGCTCAACCCATTGAGTCCCCGACGCAACGTGATCTCGTAGTAGCGGTACGGGTACGGGTGGGCGGGCGTGCGCTCCGACTCTGGGATGGTGGTGGGAGCGATACGGGGTCGGGCGAGCTGTGCGGCGGAGGTGATGCCGGCGGGGAAGGTGGTGGGGAGTGGGATGGCGGTTTCGGTGTCGGTGAGATGGCGTTGGGGGCGGGGGGTGCCGAGCTGTTTGCGGATGTGGATTGGGGTGGCGGGGGTGTACCGTTGCGGCTGCGGGTGGGTAGTGGAGGATCTAGGGGTGGCAGTCGAGGTTGGCGGAGGGGCAGAGAGTTGGGCATCGGTTGGTGGTCGCGGTGTGAGCTTGGACGGTGGTCGCCTTGGGTAGCGGCTGGCAGCAGACGTTGTGAAGAGGCGGGGTGCCGAAATGATCCCAGCTCCTCCTCCTGATGCTCCTGCTGCCAAACGAGCGGTGCTGGCGGCCGAAGAGTTCAGCCCAAGGGTACGGGCAAGAAACGACATGGTTGGAAGTGAAATCGTCGGCTAGAAGAAGGAATTGACAGACGGTCGCCCCACGGTAAAATCTAGCAGCCGGCCTGTACTGAGGGTAGGCTATGCACAGTCCGAGAGGGCGACGAAGCGAAGCTGTGGTGGCTGCTGCTGTGGCTGTTGGTTGGAAGAGGCTGCGCCTTGTGCTGAGTGCGGAGGGCCAATGCCCGCTGGGTTGAGTTGGGCGGTGCGAGTCGTGAGAGGGGCCTCGTTTGTTTTTCGAGGGCGTCGTTATGGCCCTCGCGTCTCGACTCCATGTTCCAGCACTGGGCTTTTCCCAACACTCCCAAAACACACACAGCACCCAATACAAGCGACAATGAGCTCCTCCTCCTCCTGCGACGTCTGCAAGGCAAAAGCATGGAAGGTATATATCCACCGGAACTGCTCCCTCGCCTCCAGCCCCCAACGAAATCACCCCCTAAAATTCCCCTTTTTCCCAGTACAAGTGCCCCGGCTGTGCTCGCCGAACCTGCTCCCTAGAATGCTCCAAGGCCCACAAAGCCTCGTCCGGCTGCACCGGCCAACGCAGCAAAACCCACTACATCAAGCTGAAGGAGTACACGCCTAACGACATGTCCAGTGGTAAAGTGCCCAATATAACCCCGTCCCGGGTGCGCACTCTTTTTCTTCCCTTCCCCAAACTCACATCAAAACCTCTCACCCAGACTACGTCTTCCTAGAAGACATCCACCGCACGGCGGACAACGCCTCCCGCGAAAACACCCGTCTCACAACCTCCCATCGTCCGCATTCAATCCGCCACCAACACCTCCTCCGCGCCTGCCGGGCCACCTCCACCCAACTCACATTCATGCCCCCCGGGATGCACAGGCACGACATCAACCAGAGCGTCTACATCACAAAACATAAATTCCTCTCTTGGACCGTCGAGATCATCTTCCCTGACGCCCTAACCATCCCGGACTCAAATCGGGATAAACCCGTGGCGGTATTGGAACACCGCGTGAAAGACACGACACCCGTGAAAACCCTCCTCACCACCGTCCTATCCCCACACGAGGGTAACGCACTCCTCCTCCACCAACTCGCACCGTACACGGCGAAACAGGCGGATCAGTTATTCGTGTATCTGAAGGTGGAGGGCAGGCCGGCGAACGAGAGGGTTTATAGGGAGGTTGGGCACGGGGAGACGGTGCGGGATGTTTTGTGGGGTGAGAGGGTTGTGGAGTTTCCGACGTTTGTTGTTTGGTTGGGGCCGCCGGAGGGTGTGACTGTGTTGCCGTGTAGGAAGAGCAACACCGTCGTCATACATCCCGATGGAGTCGACGCAAAGCGAACTGGAGACGCAGAGGTGGACGATGGAGAGGTGGGCTCACCCGACGAGGGGATGCGCGACGACCCCACCCTCGAATCCGACGGCGCATCACCACCACAAGCAGAACCGACACCATCACCAGCCGCGATATCAAACGCCTTTGCAGCCGATTTCGGGCCTTAGACCCCACCGAGGGCGGTCTCGGAGTCGCGCGCGTGGGATCATGACCGAAGATCACGGGGTGACGGCCTGCTGTACAGATCATATAGATAGATTGAAAGGATAGATGGGGAGTCTGTAGGATAGGCCCCCGTAGAGGCTGACACTTCTCTAGGGTTGCGTACGCAGCCGGGGAGCCAGAGGGAAAAGTTTTTGGAAACGTGCGGATATACCTTCTTTTTTTTTTTTTGGCCGCGGCGAGATACAAATCATGGGGGTCTTTTACCCAGATCCGTCATGTAGTAGCATACTGGGTCTCGAGTCCTCATCCTTGCACCAAACCCACATCATACCACCTACACACTCAAAACAACAAAAGATACATAGAAAAACCACAAAATACAAGTCCCTCCAAATAACATAATAACATAAACAAAAGTAAAGAGCTAAGTTACTATTCACCGAGGAGGGTTGCGCCTGTTCGTTAAGAGTAAGGGGCGGGCTATTGTTTGTTCTTGCCTCCCCCATTCCCTCCCACTTTCTTAGGAACCCCCCCACCCCCCCCCCCCCCAACACTCCTTGTTACCCAACCCATAAACCCTTTCCATTACACGCCCCTGTCCCAACTTCAGTTGCCCTCGACACCCGCCCCTTCACCAGCCTGCACCAGATGCGCACCGGCACTCCCCACAACCACTTCGTGCGCCGCCGCTACACCTCCAGGCAAAACGGAAAACATCTGCGGCGCCTGTTCTTTGAGTTGTGACACAGGTGCGGGTCCACCTCCAGGCAAGACAGAAATAGGCTGTGAGACGGGCGGGGGTATACCTGACCATTGTGGTGGCGTGAATGTCGTTGTTAGATTGGGTGGGGGTGGAATTTCGGTTTGCTGCTGTTGGTGTTGTTGCGGTTGGGTGGGTACGGATGGTCCAGGTTGAGCCGATTGGATCGGTTGCCTCGGTGTCGGTTGGAGAGACTCCACCGTCTGCTGTTGCTGTGCGGGCTGAGCCGCAGGCACGACGGAAGCAGGCGGGCGAGCCCCAATCCCGGGCGGACCAGCCGGATTCGGCGGACTCCCCAGCGCCCCCACATCCCCAAGTCCTATTCCTCCACCCACCACCCCCTTCCTCTCCCCCATCCTCTCAACCTCCTTCTGCCCCCTCTCATCCAACGGCTGGCTTATCCCGCCTCCATTCATCCCCAACACCCCGCCCGCCGCATAACTCTGATAATACGCCGGTGCAGCCGGGTGAGGGAGACCTAGGGCTGCGCCTTGTTGCGTTATTGCTGGTAGGCCGGCGGTTATGGATACGGGGTGAAAGGCTGTGTCGGGGATGAGGGGAAGGGTCGTTGCTGTTGAGTGGTTGAGGGGCACGACATGGGTGGGGGGTATGTAGGATTGGGGTGTTGAGGTGCCATTTTGGCTGTGGGGGCCAGCGGCGTGGGGTTGTTGATGGGTTATGGGTGTGCCGTTGAACTGCGGTAAATGTGACGCGGTTTGCGGTAAGAGGTCTGCAAAACCGTTCGGTGTACCCAATGCCGACAAATGAGACGTCGTGGTCATGACATCTTCCGTCACCGGCGTGCTTTCGTCGCTGCTGCTGTTGCTCAGGGATGCCTTGCGCTCCTCGCAGTTCTTGCAGACGAAATCGAGCTCTTCCCATTTCTTGATGTCGACGTTGCCCGTGTCGCCGTTGGCGCGGGCTAGGCAGGCGATGTGTTGCCAGACGTTGCATCTGCCGCAGGCGATCATTGGTGCGCCATCTGAGAAGTTATGATTCAATGAGCATGATTGTGAGTTATAGTTCTCATATCGAGAGTTGGCTTACCGTCAAGATTCTCCCCATGAACCCCACATATACAATCGAAGTACCATCGATCTTCATCTTCCTCCTCCTCCTCCTTCTTCCTCCGCTTCTGTCGCGACGAGGCTCTCGATTTCAGCTCCGCAGACTGTGCGGCCGCAACCTCATCCAGCGTCGGCATGGGGCCATCGGAGACTCTGGGTATCTTGCGCAGCCGTGATTCTCTTTCCGCTATCCGTTGCTCGCGGGCTTCGATTCGCCTTATTCGTTCCTGCAATGGCCACCAATGTAAGAGGGGACAGTGCGCGATTGCGCTTCGAGTGAATGTTCAAAAACGCACCATTTCCTCCTTCGTCCGCTTATCCGCTTCCGCCCTCTCTTGTCGTTGAAGCTCCCTCCTCTCTTGTGCCAGCTGCTGCTGCCGCTTCTGCTCCTCCTGCTCCAGCTCCCGCATTTGCAGCCGCGACGACCGTTTACGGTTGGACATTGCTTCTTCCACTTTTTTAACTTTCTCTTTTGCTTGCAGGTCTGGTATCACTTTCGGAATGATCTCGTCCCTCAGGAATTGGCAGAAATCCTTTTCCAGCAGGCTCCTAGATCTAGCGAATCTGTCGGGGAAAGCTTCCCAATCTTCGATCGTGGCACATTCCTAGGTGGGCGTCTTAGAGGCCTTGCAGTCAGACCAGACATCAACATCGTTTAGATCAAACTCACCAGAACCCAACCGGATTCCTGTTTGCCGGATTGCCTCCGCCCTTTCTTCTTGTTCCCTCCTTTGGCTGGTGCCGCTGCTGGGCTTTCGCGATAAAGCCGATTGTCTATTGTAACAACGTTAGCAAAACGATCTTACTCCATCGAGCGAAAGCAAACTTGATGCCGCACCGTCAAAGAGCCAGTATGTATTCCCTTTCGTATCTGTCCCGACAGGCTCTACTCTCTACGCCGTCGAGATATATTGTGAGATAACAGCCAGGGAGATCCGACGGTTTACGAAACGGACATCATACCCATTCCCCTTCATCCTCATCCCCAACGGCGGCGCGAAATCTATCCGTGTTATCCAACTGCCATTCGCAGAGGTGATAGAGTATGAGGACCTGCAAAAGTGAGAACTCGTCAGTCTCTGCAGAGTTTCCACCGGGAACCAACGATAATCTCCATACCCTTTCGCGAAGAGGCAGGTTACCGTACTCTGCGTCCGGACCACTGAGCTCGCACTCAAGCTCCCGTTTCGTGTATTCTCGTACAAGGTATTGCTGCCAGCTCTCGTATCTGTATCGCGTGGGAATCGGACTGGTTTAGGAGCTCGAATACAGAGGGCAGACACCGCAAAGCATAGCTATATGTTGCCTTACGTGATGAGTCTTGAGTTCGGGGGACCAAAAAGGGCTTTCAGCAAGCTGATGTGCAAGACGGCGAGGTTGTGGGTCAAGGTGTCGCTAATTAGCTGGTTCTCCAGATCCTGCACCCTACAACGTTAGCGGGGAAGACCAGCGAGTTTTGTTGGGCGAAGAGCAATCGTTCCCACCTCGGTCTCGAAGCCCTCCACCCGGAGGCCTTTACTGAATAGGTGCAGGAATTGACAAACGGAGGCAAATTCCCAGTAGCTGCGCAGCTCGGTGAGCAGGTCTGCAGGGAGTTTGTTTGCGAAGTTAGAAAGGGTGTTGGGGGCGACGTGGGAAAGTGCGGAAAAGGAAGATGCAAGCAGGCCGGGTGAGGAAACGCCGTAAGTTACCGTTCTGAGTTGTCATCTTGGAGCCACGAGCGGAGGCCGGGAGGGAGGGAAGCGCGCAGAAAAGGGCGAGCGTCCGAAAAAGCGCTGTCAATGCTCACAAGAAACAGGCCGATCAGCTGCTGCCCCTTCTAAATACTGTACGCACAGTGGCAATGGGCAGGGCGAGAAGCGGCAAGGTACAGTATATGTTGTATGTATATGGCGAAGACGACCAAAGCTCGGCTAGTAGGTATGGCCGGCCGTATGGGGGGTTTTGAGAGGGCAGTCTGCTGAGGCTATTGCAGCGGGGGAAGGGCGACCGACAACCGAAAGGGGAGAGAGAATGCACTGAGGAACACGCTTTTCGGGGGCGGGGGGCAAAGTGGGGCTTGCGCGTGTTCTCCTGTAGACACGCTATTTCGGGCTATTCATTGCCTATGGCCGACACAATACACGCGGCGGAAGCTCCAGCTACTATCACAACGCTCCAAAGGACTTCAAAGACAACCCCACCCGCATACTTCTCTTTCGGACGCTTTGATATGCTGCTGTTGTCTCGGTCCCCCTGTAACGTGGCTTATACGATGGAACATTCCTTTGGACTCCGTCCCACCTCATCCGACGTATGTATGTATGTACGTGTGCGTCGTTTCTTCTCCCTCTCTGGGATAAAATATCGTCGGTAGCGTCGATAGGACAGTAAGAACAGCGCGAGGCCGATCGCCACCACGCCGCCGGAAACCCAGCAAAGATGGCTGACGACATTTCCACCGACGACTCCGGGAACTTCACCTGCACCCCCGAATCGCTAGCAGAAGCGATCGCGACCGCGCACCTCGCAGACGAGTCGGCGTCCAGCGATAATCAATACTCGGCGTTTCACGCGTTTATCCCCTTCCTGCACGTCTTTGCCCTGGCGCTGCTGTTAGACCGCTTCTGGATGCTGAAGAACAGGCAAACCCAGATCTTCTTTTACGTGTCGGTGGTGTCGAACATCGCATATGCGATTTGGACGGTGGTTGGGTATCAGGTGTTGTGGTTTTGGACATTCGAAGGGACCGCCCTCTACTACATCGGCCGCGCCCTCACCTGGACCACCTTCCAACAATCCGTCACCTACCTCAACTACCTCCGCATCGCCGACACCCTCGAGCGCCTGCACGCCCCCTGGGTCCGCCGCATCTCCCTCATCTTCGTCTTCGCGATCACCCCGCTGACCCTCATCAACGCCGGCGAAGTCGTCGTCTACTTCATCGTCACCAAATCAGACTCCGCCTTCCAGTACGGACAACCCCTCCGCTACGTCGCCTGGCTGTACTCCTCCGCGGTCGACATCGCCATCGGCACATACATCGTCCGCATGATGGTCGCCAACGCGTCGGGCGTCACCACCGCGACGACGACCAGCGACGGGAAGAAACCGTTGCTGCGCATGCACCACATCTACACCATCTCGACCATCTGCCGCATCCTCCTCTTCCTCACCTGCGAATACTCGTTCCTGATCGCCGAGGACATCGTCGCGGATTACACCTCCATGCGCTCGTTCTTCAAGTGGGATATGAGTCTGGGATTGAGTGTGTTCAAACCGTACCTGTTGATCACGGACATGGCGAGGATCAGGGCGTTAGGGGACGGTGAGCCGGTGCAGTATGGGACGCAGGCGGAGTACTCGGAACCGAGAAAGTCCAGAGTCATGAGGAGTGAGGTGCGGAGTGAGGTCGACCAGATCATGGAGATGGAGGAGGATGGGGGTTTGGATACCGCGGCCTTGAAACCGTAGAGATTCGCCGGCAGACGCGGATACCCGCCCCCTGAGCACATCAGAGGTGCCGCCCTGGGGACACGCGGTCATAGCCGGCTAGACTCCTAGCCCTGGTGGAGTGGGAGTGGTCGTCGCCGGCTGGCCCTGGCCCCGCGGGAACCATCCCTTCCCTCACCTGGCCCCGCGAGCATACCAGCGATAGATCCCGCATTAGAGCAGTCCCCAAACCCCGGTTGTCGTGGGGATAGAATAAGATACCGCGCGCGAGGGGCTTCCTCATTGGTGTACGTAGTCAGACTCGGGTTTTCGTTGGGGGGGCTCCCGCAAATGATAGAGTTGCATCCCGATTGCGAAAACTGAGCATTGGCTCCACTGACAACATTTACACCGGGGGGTATCGGTATCTATTTCTGATGGGCACAAACAGGGGCATCATGCAAAAAGTCATCTATGCGCGGCAACCGTAAAGATAGCCCCCGCGCGCCGGGTTATTGGTTTCTCACAGGTTAGCCTTGACCCAGCGCACGAGCCGGCGCGTGTTGGCAACAGCCACCCAGCAGACGAACGCGCGGATCCCGAACGCGGCCGCGGCGGAGATGCGGATTGCGTGGTAATATTCCAATTTCGTGCTACAAAAACAAGCATAAACCACACCTCAATCATCAGCTTGCGCTCACCCAACCTTGTACCCCAAACGCCCCAAAGTCGTAGGGTACTCACCGCACAGTGACAGCAACCGCCGGCTTCCTCCTCGGCCGTCTCCCCTTCCTCCCCGCACCACCCACCACCCGGCCCGCACCCAACCCCCCACCACCCTCCCTCGCCAACACCCCAAACACCCAATCCACATCCCACAGACTATACCTCGGCGCCCCCATCTCCACCAACGCCACTTCCGGCACGTCATCCGGCTGATGACACATGTCGACCAAGTCACTGGTCATCCAGAGGGTTAGGCCCCACAGGAGGAGGCGGGTCGGGGTGGATTGGCCGGGGAGGGGGGGGCGGTGGGGTTCGGGGTGAGGTGGGGTTGGGTGGTAGCCGTACGAAGCAGAATGTTCGATCCCGGGGGCGGTGTGGGAGAAGGAGGGGCGTGATGTGGGGAAGGCGGGTGTGAGGGGTGTTGCGAGCGGGGTGACGATCTCGCCGACGCGGGTCGGGAGGAGGATGCCGGACCAGGAGTACGTGCCGAGGAGGAGCGTGAGGGATTTTTCGAGGCCGAGGTTTAGGGTGCGGCGCCAGGTTGGCGTTTGTGCGGGTGTGGTTGGGACCAGCGGGCCGGATTGTGATGTCCCGACGGGCCCGGGAAGTGTTGATGGGGGCAATGGCTGGGTGTGGTGGGAGGTGAGGGCGGCGAACCAGCGTGCCGGGAGGAGGTTTCGCGCCATGGGGAAGGTGATTGCGCGCCATCGGCGGGGGTCGCGGGCGGCGGCGAGGAAGAAGGAGAGGGGGATCCAGTGGATCGAAGCGATTTCTTCGGGGAGGAGGACGAGTGGAGGTGTTGAGGGTGATAGTTGGAGGTATACTAGATATTCGCAGGGGACGAAATCAGTCCAACTTTGTGCCAGACATTGCAAAAAATAACGAGGGTTGTGCTTACCGAAAGGCGACAGCAGCAGCACAGCCTTCGCGCTCGCAGCCGGCTTCACATCCCGATCATCCAACGCGCCCAGACACAAAAACTCGTCGGTGCTAATATCCAGTCCAATCTCCTCCACCGTCTCCCTCTCCGCGGCCTCCTGCTCCGTCTCATCCGGGTCCGCCTTTCCACCAGGGAACGCCATATGCCCGCTCCACCGATCCCTCTGATTGACCGCGCGGCGCACAAACAGGATCTCCGGCTCGCCGTTTTGCACCCATTCGAGGTTGAGGAAGGCTAATGGGTCTCGCGTGGGATTCTTGTGGTGTTGTGGGCCGACGACGCTGTTGGGGCGGACGCGGATGATGATGGCCACGGCGGCGCGGCGAGGGGAGGTGCGGGCGTTTGTGGTGGGGATTTTTTGGACGGGGAGGGTTTTGAGGTTGGTTATTAGGTTGACGAGGTGTTGGTGGTCGGTTGAACCTAGTCGTATCACTTTTGACGTTAATTTCGGCAATCTGTGGACTCCGCAGATGTTGAACAATTCGACCCCAGCTCCATCTCCATCGTCTTTGCACCGTCCCTCTATGTCCTCAAAGCGCTATCCGAACAGCCCCCATGCCTCCCAACCATACCCTCCGTCCGCCGTCCGTCCATTACCTTGCTTCGTTGGAGGTGATCGCCCGCTCATGGTGTCGACGGCGCAGCTGGTCCTGTTATTCGCCTCCTTTTTTCTTCGCTGCGAGAGAGGGTTACTAGAGGCCTGTTATGGTCGACGTTGTCTAAGGTGTTGCACTCTGTATATACGTATATTTCCGTTGCACTCTGTATATACGTATATTTCCGTTCTGGTTGTGGGGTAACTGCTGGTTGGGGTGGTTGTTTATGCGCCTGACCAAGCTTCGCGTGAGGGACGGAAACCCCCAGGGAAACCCCCACAGCCAGTTCAACCTTCCCGCAGCACCCGCAATCCCCAGCACCCACCCACACCCAGCCGTCACCCGCTCTCGCTATCCAGACCCCCCTACGGCAGCCGTCCATATAGCCTCCGCCAGTCAGCCACCCGCTCAACTCCTCGTCCCGCTCCGGCTCAGCTTCCAAGGTCCACAAACCACATAGAGCGGCAGAAGTAGCCCCAGAACCCACCACCCACACAACTTGAATCCACTAGCGAAATCCGCATATACGCTCCACCCGCCATGGCATTCCTCATAAACGGCCTGCTGAACTGGCTGCGGAGTCTGTTCTGGAAGCAAGGTGAGAAGGGGCTTTCAACGGGAAGACCTGGTGGGGCATGGACGGGTTCGGTCTGTGCGTCAACTTGTCGGGATGGGGGTCTGGTTTAACACGTTGCGGTTTGACAGAAATGGAACTGACGCTCGTCGGCCTACAAAACTCGGGGAAGTCGACGCTAGTCAACGTTCTTGCGGTAAGTCACCCTCTTCATCCCTCCACAATGCCCCACTCCAACTCACAATGTGATGACTCCACAAACAGAACGGGCAATGCACAGAAGACATGATCCCCACGGTCGGGTTCAACATGCGCAAAGTGACGAAAGGCGCCGTCGTGATGAAGCTATGGGATCTGGGCGGGCAGGCGCGGTTTCGGAGTATGTGGGAGCGGTATTGTCGGGGTGTTAACGCTATTGTGTATGTTCGCCCCTTTCCCATTGATTTTCTTGCATATGAGGAATGCTGATTTGATTCCTCTGGGATTCATGTCAGATTCGTGATGGACGCAGCAGACCACGACAAGATCCCCGCCGCAAAAGCCGAGCTGCACCAACTGCTCGAGAAACCGTTGCTGGCCGATATCCCGGTGTTGGTGCTCGGGAACAAGAACGATCTGCCGAATGCGTTGGGGGTGGATGAGGTTATTGAAAAGCTGTAGGTGTTCCGAGTCACAGGAGACAGGAGTAGTGAGGGGGATGATGACTGACGCTGGCTTTCTTGTTTGTAGGGACCTCCGATCAATAACCAACCGCGAAGTAGCCTGCTACAGCATCTCGGCCAAAAACTCGACAAACATCGACATAACGATGAATTGGTTGATCAAACATGCCACTTCAGGGTCCCGATAGAGCAAAACCCTATCTTCCGATCCCTGCGATGGTGGCTGAACTCTCTCTCTCTCTTTTTGATTCAATCCGCGATTTTTTTTCGTTGTTTCTGTTTCTGGTTCTTTTGTGTTCCTTCACATTTTCCCCCTTCCATCCCCACGGGCCCTGAATGTTTTCTATCGTATTTTAGTAAGGGGTCTTCAATAATGAGAACGTAGTCCGTAGGTGCTAAACATAGCCGGTTTTTCTACGAACGGGAACCATTTTGTATTGATTGTGATTTATCTCACATGCCCCCCTCGCTTCCAGATTCCTGGGGCACATCGACCAGTGATGGGTGGGAGATGGTTACTGTGCGCTCAGCGTTGATGAGGTGCAACGCCCGTCCAATCCCGTCTCGTCCCGCCGGTCGGCCCATTGTCTATGTCGTTTTCAACCTGTCCCCATCAGCAGACGCTTCGTTCAGTCGTTGTTATCCGTCATAATCGCGAGAAACTCCTGTTCATTAACTAACATCGAGAAAAACGGACGAATAAGCAAAAAAAAAAAATCTCCAGCAACCCACTCAACCTCTCGCCACTCCTCGCAAGCACTCCTGGCAAAAAAAAACCACGTACTCTCCCCATCCTGATCCAAATCAAACTCATCAATCATCGCCTGCAACTCATCGTCATCCAGATTCTCGCCAATCTCCTTCGCGACGCGCCGCAGGTTCCTCAATGTAATCCGGCCCGTGCCGTCGTCGTCGAACAGCTGGAACGCTTTGCGGATCTCTTCGATTGGGTCTCGGGATAGGATCTTTTCTGTCACTAAAAAAGAAATACGAAGGGGAGAGGGGTGGGTTAAACGCGTGATGGTGCGGGACGTGGGCTTGGGAGATGGGGAGGTGTACTTACTGACTTTGTTGAAATCGTCGAAATCGATCAACCCTGTTTGCCCGTTCTTTTCGTACTCGCGCAGGATCTTGAGCACTTCTGGTTTCTTGACTTCGAAGCCGAGCGCCCTCATCGCCACCTGTCCGAAAACAATCGTGCAGAAACGCGGCGGGGTCAATCGTGATTCCGAACACCTCCACACCGATAATGGAAAGACTTTTTTCATTACGATAGTGTCTTTTTCGGAGACACACCTTGAGTTCATGGTAGTCCAGGGCGTTGTCTTTATCGGTGTCGAAGAGCTCGAATGCCTCTTTGATCTCCAGTTTCTGCTCCTCGGTGAGTTCTGGACGCGCTTGGCGGCGTTTTGTTTTCGGGTTCGGGAAGAGAAGGGACATCTTTTGCGAGAGCTAGGAGTGACGGCGGTAGGTAGGAAGACGGACGAGGGTGGGTGGGTGCTGTGCTGCTGCCCGTGCCGAGTGTGCGTCCTGGGTGCGATTTGGGGGGGGGTTCTTTCTCGTTGGGGAAGCAGGGAAGCAGGCGAGGGGAGTCCGTGAGAAACGCGTCGGAGTGTCGCCTTACAATACTGAGTAGTGTTCTGTGGGCTTTCGGCGGCGGTGGGACATACAGTACTATATATGCAAGGGTCGTCGGCCTGCCCACAACCGCCAACAGGAAGGACGTCTTACTCCGACTGCCACAGGTCTCAGAACTTGTAAATCCTCTGTTGAGAACCCCTCAGACGAAGCAGGCGACGTAGATGAGAAGTCCATCACATTGAGCACTTCGCCCCCACCGATACCCATTTCGCCTTCCAAACCCCCCCCACTCCTACAGCCATCCCCCCCACAATGAGCGACCGCGCACTCAACACCCGCCCCGCCGACAGCACCGTCTTCCAACGCATCGCCAAAGCGCGCCCCGCATCAAGCACCGGTCGCGCCAGAGCAGCAGCCGCTCAACAAGGCCCCACACCCACCAACGCGGAGGGGAGAGTGAGCACCGCCCAGCTGCTTGCCCGGTTTGAGCAGACGTCGGATGACGAGTTGTTGGCTAGGATTATTGCGATTGAGGAGGATGAGAAGATTGCTAGGAAGTGAGTTGTGGTGGGTCGGGGGTGGGAGGAGGCGTGTGGTTTGAGGTCGGATGGGCGGTTGGGATGTTTCTCACGCGAGCGAAGCGAGCGAGCGGAGGGAGTTCCCATTGCGCCAAAGGCGCTAGATATATTCAGATCCCCGTTATCGCGGTTCTTAGCGAGCGCCCGCGAGCCTCACGCGATCGAAGAGGGCGGGCTATCGTCCAACCCTCCATCGCCTCGACTCGCGGTTTCTTTATCATCCAATAACCGTCACCCTCATTCTATGCAATGAAGAATCCAAGAAGACCTAGCCCGCGGCATCGAACCGCAACTCCGGCCCTTCAGCGGGCGCCCCGGCGGCGGCGGACCGTCCCAACAAAACTCCCGTTCAGACTCCCATCTCAACAAAGTCGGCTTCACAGACCCCATCGACGATGCCGGTATCGGATCACCCTTGGCGTCGACAGATGCACCGATGCGCGAGTCGATTAGCAGGAGTGGTGGGCTGCATAATTTGAATGAGGGCGAGGCAAAGCCGCTGGTGAGGGACCGTTGCTGCGGTGCAAAAACTGTGGGAGCCCCGGATACTGATTTGACTTTGATGGGTAGGCAGGGCGACGGGCGTCGGCGCTAAGAGGATCGCTGGCTATCTCCGCCAACCAATCCACCAACCTCGCCTCCGACGAGTCCCTAAACGCCGACGATGATCACCATGACGACGACGACGCATCCCATCCCCACCCACCAGCCACCACCAACTCCTCACAGCCAAACACTTCCCAACGCGCAGATATCCCTCAACCAAATTACACATCGACCCCACCTCAACCAGACCGCCTAGAGTTCCCAACACCCAAATGGGACACGACGGCCAGCGAAAGCGACGCGACGTCGGAGAAGGGGTCGGAGCAGGAACAGGGGTCGGGTGTTGATCCTGCTCCCGCGCAACCGCCGGCGGCTGTACCACGACATCGGAGTGCACGACCGGAGAGTGCGCGGAGGGGGGTGCCGAGGCATCAGAAGGTGTGTGCTTTACCCTCACATCTCCCCCACCCACATTTGAAAAGTCTATAAAAACTTGTGATTTTTTCTCAACGGGGGCAGTTATTACACTCCGAAAGCGACGACGAAGACAATCTCGACAACTACATTGGCCAAACCATCCCCTCGGATCCCTCCGCCACCTTCTCGGCACTTGCGATCAACGACCGGGGTGATTATGCAGAGAGACCGGATCACCCGGCCATGCCGCCGCGGTTCGATAGTCTGCTGGATGGGTCGCAGGGGTTGGGGCGTGATGATGATGGCGATGAGGATGATGATGAGCGTGATGGAAGGTGAGAGCTCCCCCCTATCCACGCCCAGCCCCTCGCGACCCAGATTCTCACGCCACGCCATCTCTAGCCGCCTCATGTTCACCGAAAGCACCTCACCACCCAAACGGCTCCCCGCGGCCAAAACCCGCGAGTCGACGACACTGGACGCGGAGTTGCAAGAGTTGTTCACCTACATCGACGCATACCAGCCCCAGGACGTCGACATTGTGCAGGAACTCAAATGCTTCATGCCGGAGTATGTCCCGTGTATTGGCGATATCGATCCGATGATCAAGGTGCGTCGTACACACACACGCATACACACATCGCGTCCTCTCCGCCCCACGTATATACTACACGCATGCTAACGCTGATGATCCACAAAAAGGTGGACCCCCCTCCCTCGACATTCCAGCCCCCCTCCCTCGGCATCACGACCCTCGACGAACCGACGCCCGACCAATCCGACCCCGCCGTCCTCGACCTGCATCTCCGCGCGCACCACAAATCCCTCCTCCCCAACACATCCACGCCCCTCACCCCGACCAAGATCCGCGCCATCGCCGTCTCCCCCTCGGACGCACCCCAGGCAACGAAACAGCTGAACCAGTGGATCGGCGCAATCACCACCCTGCATGCACACACGCCACCCGTCAGCGTGGCGTACACGCACCCGCAGCCGGATCTGGACGCGTTGATGCAGGCGTGGCCGGCGGAGATGGAGGGCGCGTTTGCGGCTGCGGAAGGGGTGCCGGATCCCGCGGTCGAGATGGACGTAAGGATGTATGCGAGGTTGGTGTGCGGGCTGGTCGATGTGCCGGTGTATCTGGGGGGTGCGGGCGAGACCGGGAAGATGCGAGGGAAGGGGAAGAGGGCGCATGTGGAGGCGCTGCATGTGTTGTTTGAGCTGTATCGGGAGTTTAGGGATTCGCAGCATTTCGGACATCGGGAGGCCGCTGCGCCGACCATGAGCGCGGTCGGGTTGCCGCCGGCGGAGGGCGGGAAGGGAGGTGCGCAATAGCGGCAAGATTGATTTTTATTTTTTTTTTGGGAAAGGGAGGGTGAAGAGACGTCTTTTTTGGAAGGCTTTTGTATACACTTCTGAGAATCGTATTATAATCCATAATCCGATATCCAAAAAACACAATGCGTGTGTAAAAGTGTCGGTGTATGATGTCAAACGTCTCGCTGCAGAAATAACCCCAAAAAAATTATGACAAAAAAAAGTTGTCCGTTGCAGTGTGAGATCTGATAACCCCCGCCCCCCCTTTCCTTCCCCCTCTCGCCTCTTCCCACGAACCCATCCAAAATCGCGTACTCCAAAAAAACAGCCCGGTCTCTTAATATCAACCTCTCGCGGAAGTCTCCCAAATGTCCATGCATGGTAACCCCATCACAAAGCGGGCGCAAGCATCCCCGGATCCACGTTCTCCCGCGTCTCGTATGCCAAGAATCCCTCGATATCACTGTTTCCAAAACCGGTTGGTGTGTCAGTCGGGCATCCAGAAACGTGACATATGAGAAGCACCCACCTGAGCATCTTGACGACGGTCCCGCCGACGCCGCACGCCAGTAGATCTGAGCGGGGAGGGATGATGAGATCCGTCCGCCGCAGCGATATGATGTGATCTCATGTTGGCGCATACATACCATCGAGTGTAATCCGCCTCGGGTCAGATGGGTTGACCATATCAAAGATCTCGTTCTGACAAATCACCCACCCATCAATCCCCTGTTCGTTTTTTCCTGCAAGACAAGATACACGGACACGCATACCTTGACATCCCGAATCCCGATCGGGTCGTGGCCGCCCGCCATCATCCGCTCCACGACCGCGTTGAAGAAATACATGACCGCCGGCCCGTCGATCCACCCCTCGCCCCGCAGATCCAGGAACTTGAAACAGTACGCGATACTTTCGGGGGTGTGCGCGTTCTCGGTGGCTAGGGCAAAGTCGAGGAAGTGGGGGTATGTCTGTGAGGGGTGAACGTAGGGGAGGGCGTTAATAGGGGCTGATTTGGAGGTACGGCGAGTGAGGGTGGCTGTACCATGCGTCCTTTCAATAATGGCGTCTCTGCAAGAGACATAGTGGGACGAGTGGGTGATTTAGCGAAATGTATGGAGTCGTGGTTGATACCCACAAACGGACCTTGAAACACCCGATCCAAGAAAACCGGCGTCAGACTCCCGCCCTTGTATTTGCTCATCTGCACCCTATCCAGTCCTTTATCCTTGAATTCGGGGCGGGTGGGGTCGTTTGTTGGGTTGAGGTTCAGGAATTGGCCTGGACATCATATATGAGGACCCGCTGAGTGGGGATGAATGGGTGATGTAGAGTGGGAAGGGGAGATTGAAAACGCACCGTAGACACGTAAAGCGGATAAACCTGAGAACCAGTTGGTGCGCTTGAACTCCTCGGAGAGTTCCGGGTCGCGGAGCTCGAAGAGTTCGGTGAGGATTGGGGAGAGGAGGAGGGTTTGGATTTTTACTTTTCCTACAAAACATAACTTCATCAATGGCTCCATTTCGTTCCATGAACGACGTGGCGGTGATTGTTTTACCCCTCCGCTTCGGATCCAAAAAGAACATGAACTTCCTGCTCGCCGTGACGCAGTACATCTTGAAGAAAGTGGGCGGGATGTCGAGATGCAGCGAGGGCATCAGGTCCGCGATGTAGCCCTGGATGTCCGGTTCCGTGAGGTAGCCGTCGTGGTCCGTGTCGTAGACTGAGAGATCTGTGCGGGCTTGCAGGAGGGAGACTGGGGAGTGTGCGGGTTAGATGTGATGCAGTGAGGGATGCTGTGGTCTTTGATGGGACAGCTCTACGGTACCTTGGCGAACGACGAGATTGAAGAACTGCACGATCGCGATCGTGTCATCGCCGACTCCTTGCAGCAATGCCAGGAAGATCGAGGGTTGGAAATACGGATGGAGAGTGACGGGCATGACTTGCTTGAGTGCGACGAAGCCCCGGTAACTTATGCGCTGTTCGAAAGATTTTGTTCCGTAAGCCAGTCAAGTCATTAACGAATCAAACCCCATCAACCCATCAAGCATCAACCACTGAACGTCAACCATCCAGCCACTCTTCAACAAACACATGAGTGAGGGGAGCCTTTCGTCCTTTGCTCGTTGCAGACAACCACCATCGCTCGCTATCGCTCGCGTCCGAACTCCCTTCGCCCGCCGCAGACACCACTCTCGCTCGCTCCACTAGCGTCCGGACTCTCTTCTCCCGTCACAGACAACCACCACCGCTCGCTTCGGTCGTCGCTCGCTCAAGCTCGGTTACCTTCTCAAAATCCCCAACGTCCTCATTGTCATCTCCCTTCCCATCAGCCCTCTCCACCAGCCTATCCCACAACTCATCAATCTCCTCATTCGTCGGTAGTCTCTCCCGCTGCCTCTCAATAAACCGCAAGTATGCCGCTCTTGCCAAATCTTTCGCTAATGCCGAGGTGTGCTTTTTTCTCTAGGGGGGGATTGGTTGGGGTGTTGGTGTTTTGACTGTTCTTGAGATAAGACGAGGGCCGTGCTCATCTTTTGGGCCTTACTTTTCTGAAGAAGCGGGGAATGCCTTGCGGTGGCGTTGGAGCCGCCGCTGTGGGGGCGTTGAGCTGTGGTTGGGGAGGTGTGGAGCCCTGTGTGGAGCCACTGCGTGCGTATTTTGCGAGGAGTTCATATTTCCAGTTTGTGGGGGTGGCGCTGACCATCCCCCCTAAAAGCGTGTGTACGATGGCTGGCGATAGAGAGAGAGGGGGCCAAGCCAAGAGGGAGGGAGTCTGTGTAGGAATACCCCCAGCGAGCGAGCGAGACACTGTGTGTATGTGCGAACAGCTGAGTTTGAAAACGCAGGTTGGGAACACGAAGCGAGAGGTGGTCCCCGCGCGCGGTTGGCCCCCTCTCTAGATCTAACTGCTGCCATCACAGACTCCCTGACCTTAACTGCTGGAGGTTCGTTACACTTCATATATGTACACACACCGTTGCAGGCCAATGCTGCTTCGCTATCTGATTCATCCATATTCGTAACCAAACCTCTCTTTCCATACCGAGAATTTTCGTCGTTTTCCCTCGGTGAAGACACGTTTATCGATAAACGCGCTGTTCTCGTTCTCTCGCATGAATAGAAGCACATCTTCAATGGCGGTCACCTGTTCTGACGCTAATCGGGTAGCCATGTTCACGACGTAGGTTCGAAACGCATCTGGAATGCTGGTGTTCAACATCATTCCATCCTGAATGTCGGTATCCATGAGATTCTCAAAGCAGCGAGGAGACAGCGCATGACCTCTAAATCCATGGCAAACCACATAGCGCTCGGAGTTCGTGGGGCGGCTTGTGCTAGGCTTCATTATCTCATAACTCTCGTAATGTTGACATAGAAGATACAGAATACTGAGCGTCGTCACTGTGAACGTATCAACACCTTGAGGACGCTTGTTCCACCGATCCTCTGTGTTTGCAGGATACAAAGGACTTCACCAAGTATGAGCTTGTAATGAAGCACCTCCTTCTCATTATACTTTTCCTCCTCGTCGAAACCGCCGTCCGCGTTACCAAATCGAATCCCTGTGGTGCGATAGATGAGACCATCTCCTTCAGGGTACAGATAGCGGAGGAAGTTGCCAGGTCAAGGTAATGAAAACTTGTCCCTGACAATGTGGTAACGAGTGGGCTGAACATCGGGATAGCTCTGCCTTTCCGTACCACCTCGGCGTAAGTGCATGGCGGTTTGGAGACCGCTACAGCAAAGCCTACTGGGTTTATCGTCTTGATGACCTGCACGAAGGACCCTGGTGCCTCTGCAATATGCAAAGTGACACACTCGGGTCTACATAGTTGCCGACGGAATGAAGCTAGCAGCTCCCAGAGCTTGTAGAAAGCGCGGTTCACTGCTAGCCGCCGAGACTTGAAGTCGTATTGATTCAGAAGCTTTCGAAAAAAATGCCAGCGTTGATTATTTAGCCTGTCTAATCGCTTGGTCGCTTGTTGAATAGAGAAGCGGGCGTCATCGGCCACTGACTGCGGACGTCCTGATATCCACGGTAATGTTGCCTGCATACAGTAAGCAACCTCGCTCGGAGCAACACTCATGGTCCAGGATCTGATTGCCTCCGTCCTCTCCTGATTCCACCGTACCGCGTTTCTGTACTGACGTGAGGTCGCCCAGAAAACCCCGTCGATGCATGGGTCATACAGTAGGCTGCCAGATATCAGGTTACGACGCCCCAAGGACACATCATTCCGAGCATAGCCACCGGCTCAAGTTGCCGACCCCCATGCAAACCCTTTCAGCACGACCGCTAGCCCAGGGCAGGACTGACAGCTGGCCGGTGACTTCTGGGGTTGCACAGGGAGGCTCAACAACCCGTCGTAACCTGATATCTGGCAGCCTACTGTAGGCTCTCAACGTCCTCAGGTGCGTGTTCATTCTCGTCCTGTTGTCGCCTTGCCGAACTGGCAGGAAAGCGACCTGCGCTCCAGCGAATTTGTAGCATCACGTTCTCTCTTCGCGGGCGGAACGTACAGTATGTGAACATAAAGCTGGATACACGCGTCCGAGTGGGCCGGCCCCCTGCCCCAGCCGCCGCAGTCGCGCACGGACATTGACTCAATCACTCGTGTATCTAAGTTTATGTTCACATACTGTACACACTGCTGCCTTCGGAAGATCCCAAATCCGAAGGCGGATGCGAAGCGGGCGGAATATTGTCGTCAACGGAGACCGTCGGATCGGGTTTCGTAAGTCGAGGTTTGCTTTTGTTCATGGACTCATAACGCGCCACGAACTGTCTCCAAGAAGAGTCGTAAATGTGCACATCCTCATGGTTCTTCCAAGCCTGCAGCAAATCTTTATCAACCGGGAAGGGATGGCATACTCGGACGTAGGTATCATTGCTGAACAAGTGATCATAATTGGTCAACAGGCTGGCCCTATCGTCGAGGGAAGGGGTGTTCCCCAGCGGAAAAAACTCTTCGCGCAAGGTGTCGCCTACTGGATATTTGCTGGGGATACCGGACGTTATGACGCACACTTGGGCTTCTCTATGTCTTGGTTCCGACCGGACCACCAGGACTGCGTGTCCTTCAACTTCGGCAATGTGAGCTGCCAATGGGTCCATGTCTGACGCGGTAGTCGTGCTATTGTCTCGTGACCGCCAGTCACTACTGTCCGCCCCGCCTGCCGTGGAGAAGCTGTATAGGGAGGGCTGCGAACGAGGAGCAAGTGTTGCTGGTGGGAAGTAGTATATGTTTCCAACTTCTACAGTTCTTCGGGGCATGCTGGATTTGTGCTTCGCAAGGCTTTTGGTTTATAGTCGCCACTCGGTGGGGGCGGAAGCCTGCGGAGGAAACGTTGCAGTCCAGTTGAGACGGATTTCGACTTTCACATGAGATCACGTGGTTTTATATACTTCTCCTTTCCGCAACCCGCGCGTACGGGACCATAAGAGTCTTGACAAGGGACTCCGCCGCCGTTTCGTCGCACGAGAGTGGTGGTCAAATAATTCTCATTGGCGTCGTGGGGCGAACCACCATCCCCGGCGCACGTCGTCAATGAGTGTCAGCCGTGGGGCGGCGACGGGCTAGCGGGCGGCGTGGCGGCAGGCAGGCGATGCGAGGTGCGGAGGTGCGGCGATGGCGGTAGCAGGCAGGCAGGCAGCGGGCAAGCGGGCAGACGGGCATGGCAGGCAGGCAGGCAAAGCGAACTCGAGACATGCTCGGTCGCGGCGGGCAGGGCGAGACCGGACATGTCGTCCATCCGCATGTGGGCAGGCGGTGGATGCCAAAGGGCAGGCAGGCGATCCAAAGATGTGTGCAGCAAGGTGTATTGAATAGATGACAACAGAACGAAAAAAAGGGGACTCACACGGCAGGCTACATACGTCCATCCTCTATCGGCTAAACCTGGTTGGGAGCACGCGCACGGCGCCGGCGTTCGCAGGCAGAAAAAGAAAAAACAACTTTCACAGAGTTGGAAGAGCGGGCCGAGCTGGGATACTGCGGTGCATGGGGTGGAGAGGTAGGCGGTTAGGCGTTTGATATGTATTTCGACTATGTGTTTTTCGACGAAGCCGCAGCTCTTTTTGAATTCGCTGAAGTCCCACAGCCTGCCCAGCGCAAGCCCTCCCTCCAAACAGCCGCTAATCCCCCGCGGATACGTACAAGCAACCTCATCCTCATCCTGGCTATATTTCGCAAACTGCGTCTCTATTTTCCCAATTCAGACGGTCAGCCATTCTCCATCCCAGGGCTCCGAACCCAGACTTCCGCCCTCCTAAATTCGCACCTGCAGAGAAGCTGAAAGGACATCGGACGAAGAAGGAGTGGATGAGTATATCGACGTTGCGGTTGCTCTTTTGAAGAGTTCAGGGGAGGGAGGGAGTGTGTACATACCGTTCTGCTGGACTGATGTACCAGTCAAAGTCCTGGGAAGGGGAGGAGTGTGAGCGAGGTGTCATAGAATATACGAAAGGAAGGCATAGAAGCCTCATAGTACTGTACGTACGACCATGTTGGGGTTGTTGTTGTGTTGTTTGTGTTGTTGCTTGTGTGGATGGGAGGGAGGGAGGGAGGGGGTTGCGGCCGCGAGCGAGTCAGACTATGACAAGGCCCAAGGAACGACGCGCTGTTGGAATCGGACATTGCTCAGTGTCATTCCTCAGAAGAGCCTGCGTATCATCCCATTGCCCTAGGCTACCTCCTCCCCCCCCCTCCTCCTCCCACAGACATACCATATATATCCAAGCTATGTACGCAGAACGAAGACCCACTTCCTTCGCCGCCGCAGGCCCCTCCCGCCGCAGAATATCAGCAGGTCCCTCCACATCCTCCCGTCCCGCCGGTTTCACTCCCCAACCCCCGCCAGCTTCTGCACGAGGCGGACTCTCCTATCCGGGATCTCGTCAGGCTACTACTGCTACTGCTGCTACACCTCACTCATTGGTTTCAACCGATGTCCCCAAAACTGCTGGAATCAGAGGTGCGGTTACCATTCCTTATCATCATTGAAGTCTGAGGGTTATTGACTGATGATCAAATCATCTCCTCGCGTGCCTTAGCGGTGGACGCATCCCTCGGCGGCCTCAACGTGCGCATCGCGAACCGGATTATTGTGACTACCACGCTGCAGAGAGCGCTGGCGGTGGATGCGCTCATTGCGGGGTTTGATGTCTGCTTGCCGGCGAATTTGTTGGCGACGTGTGTCGGCAAGATTGTGTATATTTGGAGACTTGATACGTTGACTATTCAGCAGAAGGTATGACGGGAGGGGGGTGAGAGATGAGCGTTGGTGGAGGATGGGGACACGCTCGCACTCACAGTCTCATTCGCACACACCCCTACCGCATCAAGTTCGGGAGAAACACAGGCAGTGTCCACCGAGGTACAGTTCCTCCTCACAATCTCCGTTTTTGGCCTCTACACTGGTACTGACCACCCACCCCAAACCAACAGAAAACATCCGCGACTGTCGCTTCGACCCCAAAGGCGCCCTCCTCGTAACCGGCGCCGACGACATGCGCGTCGTCATCTGGAACGTCAAGACCAGCAAGGCTGAAAAGTATGGATTTGAATATCACACATCTGTGATATGGATATTCAAAGCCTTAATGATTGCATGTTGATTCCAGGGTGATTGAAGCACATAAGGGCATCATCTACCAAGTCCGCTTCTCCGAGGACAGCAAACTGGTATACTCCTGCGGGGACGATGGACGGGTGCAGGTGTGGAACTGGCGCACGGGTAAGTGTGTGTGCCGCGGACATGGGTTTTCATCAACACAATTTTCCAATCGCAACCTGGCCACTGACACACACACACCCCCCTTATCTCCGCAACAGGTACCCTCGTCCACACCTTCATCCGCCACCCCACCTCTATCCGCTGCCTGGACCTCACCCCCGCGCGCCTCATCACCGGCCGCGCCGACGGGCACGCCTCCGCCTGGGACACCACCCACGAGGTCCTCATCGACAGCATCGCCCCGGAACCCCACTGGCCGGAGAAGGAGACACGCACCCCGGAGGACATCGATGAACGTGCGCGACATACGGGCGCGATCCTGGCGGTCAAGGCGAGCGCGAATGGAAGGTTGTTGGCGACGGGCAGTGGGGATTGGACGGCGAAGGTGTGGAATGTGACGAGCTGGGGCAGGGACTGGGAGGGCGTGTGTGCGGAGATCGAGGTGGGTTACATCGAGACAAGAGGGCTGGATGTTACATGCTCGTCCCTTCCCCGATGTGGGGCCCCTCACCAACACTACAGCCTTTCGATTGGGATTTGGGGGTGGATAGGAAGGCAGGAAGCAAGAACAGAAGATGGATGACATGATCAGGCTTGATGAGGACGACCCGATGTTCCAGGCGCAGATGCTCGCGGGTGATATGCACGGGTACAAGATCGGTGATGTATGTTTTTCCGACTCTTCCGGGGGGGGGGGGGGGAGGGGGGGGAAGGGGAGGGGAGATTCTCTTTCGGCGGGGTTAAAGACGGAGGCAAGAGCGGTGTGTTGATCCTGCCTGTGCCCGATTTTTCTTGGACGCAGGCACCCATCACCCTCGGATACCACGGCGACCTCCTCTTCACCTACCGCCACGACGGGCCAGTCCTCTCCGTATGCTTCAACAACACTTCCAGGTAACCTCTCCCCTTCCCCCCACCCCCACCACTCCACCACACTAACCCCCCTTCCCACTAGCATGTTGATCACAGGCAGCACAGACGCAACCTGCCGCCTCTGGTCCACCCGCCGCGGCGACCTCCTGTTCCAGATCAACGTGCCCGCACCCGTGACGGCGATCCACGTGGGCGAGGGCGGGGACATGTGTTGTGTGTGTCAGAATCGGGTTCTGGTAAGTGGAGGAGGGTCATCGTGGTTGTTGTTACCCCGACGGGGATGGGATGGGAGATGATTCAACGGGTTGTTTTTTTTTCTTAGTTCTTTGATATCAAAACGAATGCGAAGGATGAGGATCTACCTGATTATTGGTACGGGTTTGTTCTGCATAGCACCTCACTTCCAACGTGGTGGAAGCGAGGAGGTGTGCTTGTTAACATGGCTCGGCAAACTCATACCCGCATCTCTCACGCAGGCAACGCCGGTCGATGGAACGCCTGATTGAAGAATCGCTTGACGACGAGACGCGGGCGGCGATCCGGAGCGCGCGGGCTGAGGGTCACGCTGCTCAAGGGCAACCACCGGGGGTTGAAGGGCGGGTGATGTCTGCGGAGGATGCGGAGTTGGTTGAGGGGCTTGTGGAGGAGATGAAGGAGGGGGTGGAGACCACGCGTGAGTTTACAGGTGCGGGGGGGATGCGGTGGATTAAGGGATGGCTGAACTTTTTTTGGGGTGTTGATAGGGGTCACGATAGCGGAACTGCATTCGTTGATCAAGCATGGACTTGTGGCGCCGAGTTTCTTGAAGACGCTCGTGGAGCAGTTCCCGAGCGTTGATCCGGCTGTGCTGGAAAGTAATATGAAGCGGGTGCGTAGATCACATCCATATCCCCATTCCTCTGCCCCTCCTACCTCCAATCCCTTACCCGTCTTCTATCCCATCCCACTCGCACTCCCTCTTTTTCTTTCAACGCCCTCATAGAAAGAAATCCCCCCGCAAACCCTCCTCCGCCTCCTCCTCCGCACCCCCTACCACCCGCGCGACATCTTCACCGCCCTCGCCAGCACCCACGCCGACGCACTATTCGACATGATCCGGCAGGGGAAGCCGATCGATGAGGCGTTGGCGGGGATGGGGTTCAAGAAGCTGGATCAGAAGACGTTGACGGCGAGGGGCGGGCTTGGGGGTGGTGGTGGGAGGGGGCTCGGGGCCGGGACGGGAGGGGCAGAGGACGGGGGTGTTTATTTGAACTTGAGGGATTTCAGGCCGAGGAGGAGGGGGGCGTGTACGTATCCCCCCATCTCCATCTCTTCCCTATCTTCGCCCCCCACCGCACATTATGCTAACCGGCGGGCTCTCTCTGAAACCAGACCCACCGAGCGACCCGCGCCACGGCTACGCGCGCCCGGGCCAGAACATGCCGTCGTACCTCGGCCCCGCGCGCGACATCTACTCCGACGGGATGCGGTACGAGAACGAGTACGACGAGGACGAGGAGGCGTATCTGCTCGAGGAGGAGATGCGGGCGGCACGCATGGGGGCCGCGGGGGCGATGCCGAGGGGGAAGGTGTTGCATTTTATTCCGAGCGAGCAGATGAAGCTTTTGAGAGGTTTTTTTGTGGTTTTTGGACAGTGTGGCGGGGGGGGGGGGGTTCTCACATGACGGGAAACTGATCCCCCTTGCGTTTTCGATTAGATTTCCAGGCGAACAGGGACCTCAAACCGATCTTTCTGCGTGACCTCGTGCTGGATCTTAGCCCGGACGCGGGGTATCCGAATTTCACGACGGCGGATGAGACGAGGGATAATCGGGTGCGTGCTTGGACCCCGCAGATGAGGGTGGCGTTTGCAGTACGCAGGAATCTCATATCTTCCTTTTTCCAGCCGATGATCGCGCATCGGACTGTTGGCCAGTCTGGCATCCGGTTTAATGATATGTAAGATCTCCCCTGCACCCATTTCCAATCTCCGTCACAACAACACTCCCGCTGCCCCATGTCCATCTCTGACGCTTTGAACAACTTCCAGGTCAACCTTCGGCCGCATGACACGCTCAAAACTGGCCCAGCGCGGTGGGTGGGGGCGGCAGCACGATATGCATGATGTGAGTACAAAAAAAAACAGAGGATGTGATATCTCCCATCTGATAACGACCGCTGATCGATTTTTTTGTTTTTTGGGCCCCGCAGTTCAACCTCCAAAACCTGCCCTTACCCCTCGACCTCCGACCCGGGCGCGCGGGCGGGTCCAGCTCGCGGACGCTGTTCCAGCCGTCGAGGTAGAGTTTTTCAGACATGCACACACGCAACACGACGTACAAATGAGAATAATGGTGGATGGATATACTGACTCGCTTACGCTTCGTAGATACGTCCGAGCCCGCGGGCTCAACATCAGTTTCCAGCCGCGGCAGTACGGCGGGCAGCAGGGCGGGCAACGGTTGCGGGGACATGTGTACGCGCAGCCGATTGTGATGCGGCATGCAAGGGGACGGGTTAGTTTGCGGGGGGTTGTTGTTTCGGGTGCCTTTTTTTTGGCCCATATCTGATTCTTGGTTCCAGGAGGCAAGACCGCAGCAGTTTATTGTAGGCAAATCAATTAGCATGCGGGAGAGCAATATTGATGAGGAGGGGGAGGAGATGTGATGGGGAGGGGATACGTTGGGCGGATAGATGATGGCTTGCTTGCTACAGCACAATGCCGTTTGTATCATGTTGTTGAGAAGGTCTGGAGAGGGCGCCCTGTGCTTATTGGCAAGTGCGGCAACAAAACCTGCATAGCAGCGAAAGCGTCTTGCATTTTTTTGTCTATTGTATGTATTTGAGGAACATCATCGTTTGCCTCAATAATTCAGAATACTGTACAATGCGACGTGTGTATTTCGCGTTTTGAAGAACGTAATCGGCGAGCGCATTTTAAAGGGAGGAAAGTCACGTGGGCGATTAAATGTAAGTTCTTCTTTTCACCGCCTCACACTGCCCGCACTTCTCAAGCGCCCAGCTCGTATTTTTCGGGCTCCATCGCAACCAGATTTCAGCGATAACACAACACCAAAGACCGACCCCTCCCACCCTCATCGGAACGACTTGCGCTACCGCTTACGTGGACCAACGACACCTAAATCGCTGCCCGACTGCATACGCTATTTCGGTCAGTTCCTCATGTCAAACGCGTGCGGACAAGCTGTCAACCCTTGTCAACATAGTCCGGAACGCAACGTGCTGGGAAAGGATATGAGGTGGGCACTGTCCGGGCGGGAAGCCGACGGGACGGATCGTACTTCTTATCGGTCACAGGGTGTGTCTGTTCCGCCGAATACCTCTCAAACGTGGTTTTGAGCAGCAAACCAGAGACTTGGGATAGATGGATGTTCGCAGGCAGGGAGGACGGCGGCGTATGGAAATGCATGCGATCGATCAACAGCGTCCCGTTGATCTGCGGTCGTTAACCATCTCGGTCCCAGCGGACAAGAAACAACAAATTCTTGAACTACTCGCCGCGATCGCCGATAAACCCGTCTGCCCTGCGAAGGATTACAAGAAGCTCGTCGGTAACCTGGCGTGGATATCACAAGTCCTGCCAACATCACGCACATACCTCGGCCGACTTTGGCGATACGGTGCCGTGATCGAGCGCTTCCAACTCACAACCGCAAAAATCTCCAATGACCTTATGCAAGGCCTCAAGTAGTGGGCATATACGTTACTCCACTGGGCCGGCGTATCCCTGATTATAGACCAGAATGGGAGTCGCAAGCACTGCTCCAAGCGGCGTCAGATGCATCGCCTGAAGGTTACAGCTTTTGGCTCCGAAGGTTTTTATTCTGTGGACGCCAACCTACCCCAGTTGAGCTAGCAATGAGTTTATCCGGAAGACAGTGAATTTCGCCGATATTTCGCCGATATATCCGACGGAGAGAACTATGAAAGAATACGTTTGGATTCGAAGGGCGTCTTTGGAACGCCGGCTTTCGGTGGTTGCAAAAGTGGATTCCATGAAGTCAGGACTCCTCGCTGTACCTCGAGACATTGCCGACATGCGGGGATGGATGTCCCTTGACGTGTGCGTTTGCGCCATCCAGCATTTGGGAAGGTATGCCGTGCGCTGCCGTGAGGCCAGTGCGACTTTCAACATGTCACGAGTCCGGCGGCAGGGACGGAATACACGGCGCGGTTTCTAACTGTCACGGGAAGGCATCTGTACACGAAAATGACCTTATTGTGAAGAATGGCAACCTCACACCTCCTCGACCGCCGGTGTCATTGAGTTGAAGCCCTTGAAGTTCCTCCTGGAAGCGCTCGGTATGTGTCGGTTTGTTGGCAAATCATAATTATCGACTACCATCACGTGGGTGCCCATACGGACGGCTAGACCTTTGTCATTCAACTCCGCACGAGCGAGTTGTATTGGGAATAAGTCTGCTGGAAGCATAATAGATATGCGGAAGTGGATGTCGAAATCAGCGGGCGCATCCTTCCATGGCTTCGTATCGTAGTCTACCTGGTAGACTGTCTACGATTCTTGTTGCATGGTGTGTTGTGGATGCGAAGCCCCTCAGATCTCTTGATATTCCGCGGGCCTTTCGGCTATCACCTTCGGAAGGAGAGAGAATATCGCCGGAGCGCGGACCCAGGTCGTGCGAAAGTCGTTTCGGCGTATGTTTCCCACGTCGGCAGCGGGTTCGACCTGTATTCGCGGATCCACCCGGACGACGACCGTCTGAGACATACATTTGTCCTTCCATGAGTTTGTGTTCATTACTGAATCGAAAACATTCCATTTTGAATCGTGCGAGTCCCAAGATGTGGAATGCGGATCAGACCGCAACGCTTTCGATGACGACCATTGTAGATGGAGGAAGAATGGGAATAATCGACCGAGGACGAGAAACTCGTTTCTGTAGGCGTTCCGCGACCCCCGAAACAATCATCAGCAGCCAGCACCGCCCCCGCAGTCCCAGCTCGAGCCCTGTGGTCTTCTGATTGAGATGGCGACGAGTGGTGGATAGATTGAAATCACGGCGATCTTGAAATGACCTTCATAGCCCCCGGCATTCTCGACTCAAATTGGACGGGGTTCAAACGACCATCTGAAATGATTAACGGAATGATTGTCAAGGGTGGTTCGACGATGTGGTATGCTGGATTCCTGAGACATACCACATCGTCGAAGCATGCTTTGGCATGGCTGCGAATCGGGTTCCGTGCGACCAGGCGTGTCACCTGGCTCGTTATGTGGAGTTCGCCTGCCCCTCCTCTTTTCGTTCTTCTCCACAAATCTGCGGCAAGCGCAATGCCCAAACGAACATCGGTATGTGCAAAGTTGATGGCCCACAACCAACCTGGCCGAATCCCGGTTTCGACACGCAAGTGCCCCACGATGGTATGCTAGTTTGCAAGAATGGGACGCTTCTTTTGCAGATGGACTGTTGGACGGAGTACATTCATTTCAAACACTGGCGACGTCGTATCTGGGGGCCGTGCGCTGGATCCGATACATCGAGCTGCGGGCCTCGTTCAGTACCTGTCAAAGGAAACGACGGATCGGCCCCGTACTTGCCAACTGCCAGCGGATGAATGACTTGGACCTCAAGTTGACCGTCGCTGGGGCGATTGGGAAAAGGTCGTCAGGGTGTTGTGCGGTTTTGGGGACTCAAGTGAAAGCGCGCAGAGGGAATCAAAATGGAATGCCATGCGATTATATCAGGACAACGGAAGCCCTAGTTTCATCCGGGTTCGTCTTCTCCTTCCAATGGTGGAAGAACCTGAAAAATATCGGATGTTCCGATTATCTTTCCTGCTAGCTTCAGGCGGGTCGCAGCAACACTGGTCATATAAGTGCCGCCGCCATCGCTAGCTCCATTGCTTTTCGGTTCGCCATCTTGTTATGCCGCCGAACGTTTTGGAAGATAAGGGCCAATGGGGAAAGAATATCCGCTCAGAACGCATTCGAGCTCGAAGGTGGTTTCCTGCACCATCGTGGACACTCAACCGGCGTTTGTATGAACTTGTCGCAATGATCTCGAATCCACACCTCGGGACCACGCGTGCTACAACGCCCACCCCGAGAGGCGCCCGCAGGGCTCGGGCTACCGCCGACCACAAGGAGCGAGACGCTTCCCCGTCGCGGCGGTCGCACTCAAGAATAAAGACTTACCCCACTTCAGGGAGGACCGCCCGGGCGACGTGGTTTATGCAGCGGTGCAAGATTACAACGCCCGTCAAGGGGTCGCGATCCAGCCTTCTGAATTGCGCCTGAAACTTTGCCGTGATTCCCTTGACGCCCACCCGTGACATGATCTTGTACAAGCTTCCACTGAATCCACTCCCCGAGCCCACGATGACCGTCGCGGAACTCGAGGTGGCTGACAAACTCCTGATCGCCAACGTTTACCGTATTCCGTTGACTATCACCGTCACCGCACTACGTCCCTTAACGCTGGACTTTCCCAACCAACCCAAGATCGACCAGTTAGCCCGCGGCATTCAAGCCGGATTTCCGATCCAATACCAAGGCAAACGCGAGTCGCACGACATTCACTCGAACCACCCGTTGGCAAGATTCCGCAGGGAACCTATACAAGAAGATATGACCAGAGAACGTCAAGCTGGCCGTCGCGCTCCGCTTCCCGAGGCGGTCTTCATGGATCTGCCGTACGCGACTTCGGTGCCCTTGGCCGTGGTAACCAAAGATCGAGACGAAGACGGTACCGTGGTCAAATGGCTGGGCTGATTGATGTCTACAGGATCAACCGGCTGCGTCCCTCTGACCAGCTTCTTCAACTGATTTGGTGGGTGGGCGTCACGCCCGATTTTGGCTTTCCAATTGTTCTGGGAACTCGCAATCAGAAGGGAAAACATTTGGTCACGTCGGGAATGCACGTTAAATCCGCTATCCCTCTAGGGAGCTAACGGCTATAGCGCTAGTATTAGTCTGCCAATGGGTGGAGACCTCCCTTTCTTGTGCATTATATCTCTTACCCGAGCGATTTGCCGAAGCGCTCGTGATCCCGCCCCCTGCCCTCCATACACTAGCTGCAACCCTACATATTATACTACGCTCTATATGTCCTCCGATAGCCTAATCTCCTGTTTGAGATGCGCGGACAGCTCTGCTGATAGTAAGTCAGCAAGTCGTTCCCCCGTCCGTAAGTACGTCCAATGTTTCGTTCCTGGGACATAGTCAAACCGCTTCGGGCCACTACATGTACAGAAAGAATCCCAACCGTTAAGGTATAAAGATACGCATTATCAGAACATTTGAGAGAACGTACCTTATTGGCGAAGAAAGCCATATCTGTTTATTTGGTGGTTGCTTGTTAATAACATATGTCCCCATGTCGCCCAGGGACAGATTCAGAACCCCAGCCTGGGGGGGAAAAGCACAAGGATTGAGTGCTTGCCTCTGAGTAGGGTATGCTTCCTCAACCAAGCATCTTACCGCTACCACAACATCAAACCCATTGATGTTGGCTTCCTCCCCTATCTCCTCTAACGTGTGCTCCAGATATTCCATGACGCCGTCAGCTAGCGTGTGGTATTCGCGATCTGTGAGCGGATGTCTTAGAAGTGGAGGACAACCTGCCAGCGTCAGAGAAGTAGGTCTCCATTTGACCACGAGTACCATGAAAACCGGAAGCATACATACGTATCATCGATTTGATTGGTTGGGGGAAAGGGTGCTTTATGGCGTATTGGTGTCGTTGAGAAAGTGTTCGCATTGGCTGCTAGTTGGTGAGCGGTGAGCTTGCCATAAATGCGATCACCACACGCAGAGCATCGGGACGCCGGCGGTTTGACGCGCCACGAGTGTCTGAACACGGCGCTGAAAGCTCTGCTTATCCGCTGGGAGGCCATTGTCGTGGTAGGTGATGACTGTGGGCAGTTGATGTCGAAAGAATGGCCGGAGGGAAGCAAGTCTCGGGTGCCCAATCGTCCCATGAAGCGCAACGGGAGTTACTGGACGCGCAAGCCCCGGCGATGTGTGGACCGAGTCAACTCCGACGCACAATTTCCGGTGATAGACTGTCGTGAGCATCTCGGCACGCTCAACGACGGAGTCCCGACAAGCACTACTAGGGGACTCTCAGAACTTAGGATTTTACCAGCCCTGAGAGATGCTTCTCCTCGTCGGTGTTGGTTGCGGTTACCGACGTTGTGGGTGAAATTCAGGTCAAGACGAGGCGGCGAAAGGTATATGTCTGGAGTGGGATCTCTCCCATATATCAGGACAAGACTGTAGTTCTGGTGGTGCGGAGACTGGCGGGCGCCATACACGTCGGCGATATGTCTTTTGGACCACTCGATTTGCAAGCGGTACCAGACATGGAACGTGCCGAACGACCAGAAGGACTAGAAAGAGACATGCGCTTTTCGTCGGGTGGAAGTTCTGTGTATTGCGATACACGAAGGAGAGCTGCGGCTCGGGTAATACTGGACAAGTCTGCATAAAGTATGACCTCGTCGCCGAGTATCATTCTGGCGGACAGCCTTGGACACCACGACAACTCTTCCAAAAACTGGGGCCGTAACAGACTATTCGGAAGCGGGTGGGGAACTACTCGGCCTCTGAGGTTCTGTTTCTTGCAGGCCTCGATGCCTTTGTGAATGCGGGACAGGTTTTTCTGAACCGGCAAGCGCGGGCGGGGTGTCGGTCATACGATCGCAGGAAAACCCGACCACTCGGTGACGCAACCGAACTGACGACGCACATCTGCGGGCATTTCAAGAGAGCGACCAAACTGGAATGAAGCGATCGAGTGGGTCAGACCCCGCATAGTATGTATGCTTGATGCTGAGTCAGAAATGTATCTCCCACAAAATGCCTCGTATGAATTGTACACTGTAAAAAACGGCGCAAACTACGCCTTCCAAAAAATGAGAACCGCCATCCTGAACCTGTACAAATGGATGCCTTTCCACTACAGGCCAACCGCCACGCCGAGGTCGGCATTCCCATGCCTCTTCCTTTTTCCCAATACCGCCCTCATTCCGCCTCCTTCCTATACCACCATTTACACCACCTGCCCTCCTCCCCCTCGCTCTCCTCCACATATAGCCAATCCCATCCCCACTCCTCCTCCCTCTGCCCCATGACACTGCCATGCATCACCTTCTCGTGCTCATCATTGACGTCGAAGCCATGCGTCTGCAGGGCCTGGATCCACGACCGGCGGCTCATTTCTCGCAATTTCTGCGAGAGAGCGCGCGCGAAGACGTCCGTGGGGCCGAGGAAGTGATAGTCGAAGAGTTTGGAGACTTCTGGGGTGGGTTCATTGTTGATGAAGATAGTCAGGGATGGTGTGGCGGTGGTGTTATTTGTTGTTGTTTCTGTTTCGGCCTCCACATTTGTTGTTGCGGATGTATGCCCTGTTGTTGGAGAATCTGCTACAGCCGTTTGGGAGATGGTAGCTGTTTTTGAATGGCCGTTACTCCCGCGACGACCCTGGCCCCGAACGGCGTCAGAGGCGGTTTTGACGAATGCTTTGAACCCGGGAATGCGAAGACTCGTGCCTGCGACCATCAACATGTCTACTTTTCCTATGTCGGCATCGATCTTGGATGAGAGTTCTTCGCCTGTGTAAGGACCAGATAATGAATGGGAAATGGCGGCCAAATAAACTTGCGAGATCCACGTAAAACAAAACAAACCACACCCGTGCTCCCCTGCGACGATCCCTTGTTCACCGAAACATACCATTCCAATGCTCCTCCCCATATCTCACAATCGCCGGCAACAGCACCGGCACACGTCCACAGCTCCTCTTGCCCGCCTCCGTCCGTGCCTCCTCGAACTTCGCACAGCTCGTGCAGAAGGGTAGCGGGCCTTTGTCGAAATCTTGCGCCCAGAACTTTTCGTAAGCACAGGGGAGGGGTGTTTCGAGCGAGCATTTGGGGCAGCGGAGGTGGTCTGGAGCAGAGAAGGAGGAAAACATATGTGAAATGTTAGGAAAAAAACTTGACCCTGCTGACAAGAGGAACATATCGACACCGAGAAACGTACATAGATCGCCATGCATCTTCACCAGCCTGTCCCCCAGTCCAAGGAGTTGATCGAGATTGTCTGCGAAAGGCGCACATCTCAGTACACACTCCTTTGCTCCACGGCACACACATCCACTCAAACCGCCCCAAATCAACCTACCGATATTCTGCGAATAAAGCCTCAACAAGTGCCCCTCCCCCTCCAAATACCTAACCATCTCATGAAACGCCGTCGTGCTTTTCTCGCCTCCAACCGCCTTCGCATGCATCCCCCCAACTTTATAGATCGCCCTGGCTGCCTCCTCCGGATGGTCAAAGAACCCATTCGCATCTAGACCCTTCTTGACTTCCTTGCCCGTCGCAGTGTGGTAGTACCCTTCGGATGATCGGAAATCGGAGATGCCGGCGGCGGTCGAGACGCCCGCCCCGATGCCGATGAGCAGGTTGCGGGAGGACCAGACGGTTGTGGCGATTGTTTGGAGGTGAGTGGTGAAGTCGGAAGAGGTGGGGGTGAAAGTTATGCAATTGCCCGTTGAGGAGCGGCGAGGGGACGGGCTGGCCGTACTGGAACGTGGGGTAGCGCGGCAGGGAAGGTTTGTTGGCGTCGGGGTTGTGGGGTGCCGAGGAGCTCGTCTGTGTGGCTGCACATCGACTGATCCGTTGGATGCCCGCCCAACTTTCCCGTCCCGCATCAACCGCCTCTTCGGTGTTGCTGGAATCTCAACCACAAGCCCCGGACCGCCCTTCTTCTCCGCATCAGACTTCGCAGAGGAGATGGCATCCGATTGGCGCCTCAATGATTTCTTGTTCTTGGATGGAGACGTTTCCACCTCAGCAACAGCCTTCGCTTCACCCCTCCCCTCTGCAGTGACGGTCGCAGAGGGGATGCCCTCCGACCGTCGCCTCGGGGACTTCCTGATCGGGGATGGAGACGTCTCCACCTCTCCCACGCCCTCCCCCGCGCCCTTCTTTTTCACCCTGCGCGTCGCAGGAACCGTCAGCTTGCCATCTTGTAGTTCTTCACACAACGTGCGCTTCACACGGCCTTTGCAGGTTCCACTCCCACAGACATCGCAAGTTTTTCCTTTCTTCACCATTCGGAGCGCGGCCATCCGCTTTCCGCACCATTCTGTACACAAGGCGCGTATCATACGGCCTTTGCAAGTATTACTCCCACAGATAGCACAGGTCCTTGGTTTCCGCTTTGGCTTGTCATCGGTCGTATCGAGCTCTGATGGGCTTTGATCTTGCAAGCCAGAGATCTCCGCGTCGTCAAGCGCCGCAGGGGAGATACCCGCCAAACGTCGCCTTGCTGATTTCTTGATACTGGGCACAGACATCTCTACCTCTGGTGATAAGACTTGTAATGCTTCACATACGTTGTCCTGCCAACGACCCCTGCAAGTTGCACTCCCACATTCAACACAAGTCCTTGGTTTCCGCTTAGGCTTCGCACCGACCGTACCGGGTTGTGAGGGGCTTTGGTCGTGCAAGGCCGAGGTCCCTGCTTCACCCGCCTCTGGCGATGCGGCCACGTCTCTCATCTCGCACGAGGCGCGCGGCCAATGGCCCCAGCAGGTTCCACTCCCACATTCCCGACACGTCCGATTTCCCCGTTTCCGCTTCGGATTCTCATCGGTCGTGGCAGGTTCTGATAGGCTTCCGTTGTGCAACCCAGAGGTTTCCGCTTCATCCGCCTCTGGGGACACTGCGACATGTTTTTCTGGTCGCTTTCGAGACCTTGGCGTCGTCTCGATCACAACCACAGGCACCTGGTCGCGTTTCGGCGAGATGAGGAAGCCCGTTTTCGATCTGGTCATCACGGACGTCGCATCGGCCACGAAAGCGTCCTGGCCAGCCTCCTCATCTGCGGCGAATGTGGGGTGGGATTTGCGTTTGCGTTTCGTTGAGGGGGTCGCGTGTGCTAATACGGTTTCCCCGACAGCGTCCTCGATTGATTCGGACGCGGTTTGCGGTTTACGTTTGCGTTTCGTCGCGGGTGTCATGTTGCCCGGTTTGGGTATATGTGATTCGGCTGAGATATATGTAGCTTCTCCGCCCGTCGTACCATCATGCACATTCGCTTCACCATGGGTAACCGCATCCTCTTCCACTTCATCTTCCGTTACGTCGCGCACGGGTTTCATTTTCGCCCTTGATGGAGTTCGCATCACTTTTTCGCGCACCGTGTCGTTCGTCTCGGGTATATCGTCGGCCGCGTCTACGTGTGCATCTGCGGGGTGATCTTGTGAAGGCACTGGTACGGCATCATCATGCGGCTCGGAATCCGGTTGCGTCTCGACGTCCTCCATCTCAGCGCTGTCTTGGACATGATCCGTAGCCAGTGTCTCACCCTCCACCTCATCAACCACGCCGACGTCACCAACATCCATTTCATCACCAGCCTCCCCCTGATCTTCCACAACCGCCTCAACCTCACTCTGTGCAGCCTCAACACCGATACTCCCATCCCCTTCCACAGCCCCAACTCTCCTCTTATACCGCTCCAACCACCGCATCAGATCCGTTCCGTGCGGGTGTCGACTGCTGTTGGCTGAGGTTTGATTCTATCCCCCCAAAGAAGTCCAATATCAGAACCAAATGCCCACAAATTCGAAGAATTGCAAATAACATACCACATAATAAACAGCCCCATACGCCTCCAGCCCAGCCTCCTCCGCCACTGTCGGCACTATCCCCTCGACCGAATCCACAACCTCCTCCGCAAGCGCCTGTAATCGCGCGCTGATCGTCGTGCAGAGGTATGGCGGGAGGCCGGTTTTCTTCAGCAGGGGTGTGTATGTGGTCTCAGGGGCTATCGGTGCGGGTGGGTATATCGCGTATTCGGTGTCGGTGGTATCGCTATCCGACGCGTCACGGTAGGCTTGGGTATCATGATAGTTAAGCAGCTGTTCAGTGAATTCTTCACCGCCGTCTTCCACGCCGACCCTCGGCCGCCAGCCCCACGTGCCATCGGTATCAACCTCGACCGTGAACTCCACAAGAGTGAGTCCGGATACCCTCCCCATCGCGTCGGTGTGTAGGCGGTAGAGTAGGTGTTCGTTTTGGGAGTCTGTGAAGAGGAGCCAGGTCCAGTGGAGGTTGTCTTCGAGGAAGAGGGTGTAGGTATCTGGGGGGCGGGTGAGTGTGATTGTATGGGTGGTGGGTGCGGATGGCGGTTTGCGGCGAGCGCGCGGAGTGGAGGGTTTCGAGGGTGTTTTTGGTTTGACCGGCATGCTATTCATCGGCGGCGGTGTCGCCTCGCTTCCAGCGTCGACAGCGGTACTCCGCTCCTTCGCCAAGACCTCCGCCGAAGTCGGGATCCAAACCCCCTTATTGGCTCGTCTCCGCCACGGGAGCAACGAATACGCGGGTGCAGACGTACACTCCAGGGACGACAACGACAAGTCCGTCGAATCGGGGCCCGATCCAGCGAGCTGACTTTCCGATGACCCGCGTCTCGCTATCAACGCTGCCAGACGGTTTCGTCGTATGGCCGCTGGACTCTCTCTCGGCAAATCTCCTCCCTGCATTAACGTGGTATCCGTATTCGCGGTAACGAAAGTAGCGGGCGAACTCTGTCGCGACGACGTGTCCGTTTCCGCGCCCTCCAAAGGCCCATGCCCCATTTTCCTCCGTTCGGCCGGTGAACTTGTCGATTTCTTCGGCGCGGAGCTTGTCAGTTTCCCAGCTGCAGGAGAGACCGTGCGTCGCTTCGCGGGTGACGTTGTCGATTCCTCCGTCGACCCCGGTGCCGGTATCTCCAATCCGCTCGTAGCTTTTCCCAGCACTGTCAACTTCCCAGCAGCCTGCAACATCCTGCGACGTTCTGCTATCGTCCATTCTTCATCCGTCATGTCTTGCGGCGCGGAAATGAGTCTCGCCTTCAGGTTGCGGGCTGCAGGCGAGACCGTGCGCCGTTTCGCCGGTGTCCTCTCCGAGTCCGTTGTAGACGATAACTCCGCTTTCTTCCCCACAGAAGCGGGTTTCCCAACCCCAAGCAATTTCCTAGCAACAGGTGAAGCCGTACGACTCCCACCGCCGCGCTGTTTCGAAGAAGTAGACGCGACCGACTCGCTCCATTCCTCGTCCGAGTGTCGTGACAGCGTGCGTTTCGGGAGTGGTGCTGGTGTGCCGTGAGTACCGTTTGGGAGGTGTCGTCGTCTCTGTGGAGCATATCCCCCCCCACTCCCCACCCCTATCCCCTCCCGGATCTCCAATCCACCCGCAGCCTCGCTCATCCCGCCCAACCGCCCCAATGCATGTTGGCCCCATTCCCAATCATAGACCACATCCTCCACCCCAGCATCTACGGTCGTCGTCGGGATATTGAAATCAATATCGACGGTACACCGCAGCCCGCCAAACTGCGCTTCGGGGGCCGGAGTCTTTGTCATGTCGCGGAATGTTATCTTTGGCGTCGGTGCTGTGGTGCCGTTCACCCTATCAAAAAAAGTATTAGAAACCTCCATATGTCACATACATCAGTTCAAGCATGAAAACAGGGCAAAAGACAAACCTCGCCCATTCCGCCCGAAAAACCCCACAAACAACCCTCCTAAACACACTCATCACATCTCCCTGCCCTCCCTCTCCATCCCCGTATCCCTCTCCGCTGCTAGCTATGCTGGCTTTCGGCTCGGAACACAACGCCAACGTCCCGACCAAGAACGCACATCCGGCGTCCGTCGGGGTTTGTATGATCTTGAATATCATGAAAGGTTGGGCTGGTGGGGATGGAGAACGCATGCTGCCAGGAGAGTGGGGTGGCAGGGGGCGTGTGATTGACATTGTTGCTTTGCAATGTGTTGGGAATTGGGGTTTCGAAATTAACCGGAGTTCAGAGGTGGTTCATGAGGCTTGCACCTCAATGTCGAGGACTGCCTGCTTTTACGGACGTTTTAGTAGACTGACGAAGGGCATATTCTTGTTCTCCAGGATGGCGGGTTCCTCCTCCTGGGACATAGCCTTGGTGTATCCCGTTATAGTGAGCCCGGTGATAGTGGGCCGACGTGGTGCAGAAAGTTTTCAGAGTCCGACTGGGCAGACACGCTGTCCTCACGCCAAACACGCAAGGACTCGTTTAAACACCTAACCTACTCAACCCAAAAAACCCCGGTAGCAAGCCCAAAAACCAGTCTGCTCACTATTCGTCATCTATTAGCGGTCAAAACGAGACCAGAAAAACATCCATCTATCTACACATCCCCAATACGCCGCTTCAAAGAGCCCTACGGACAGTAACCTACGCCTATCATCAATCACCCATGTTGCAAAGGGTGTGCTATCCCGAAAGCGCTGATGTCCTCCGCTCCTTCAATTGTTGTCCTTATGCACATGATGACTGCAGAAAAAAACCCCCAGTATTAGTAAAACCCACAAAACACGGTCCCCAAATCCAGAAGAGACTTACCAATGATAACAAACCCCCCCATCCCGCCCTTTCCCCCTTCTATACTCACTACACCCACACGTCCGACAATTATTTACGTCACTCACATCAATCAATGGGCCCGCTTCCCCTCCCCCTCCTTTATTTATCGTCCTCGATCTCCGTAACCCAGCCGACGATGACGGTGTAGTTGTATCGTTAGGGATCCGGTCGAGGAGGGTTGGTCTGTGATCCGAGGACGGGGACAGGAGGGAGTCGGCGCGGGTGGGGTCGCGCTGTTTGGTGCGGCGGGTGGAGGTTGGGGTGGGGTGGTCGGCGGAGGTGTGGCGGTCGCGGCGGCGATGGCGGTCGGATGGTGGGTCCGGATGGGTGGCGGGGGGGTGCGTGTGGTGGGATGTCTGGTGGTGGGACCGATGTTCACGTTCGCGTTCACGTTCACGTTCACGTTCCCGCCGCCGTCGTTCTTCCCTATCCGCATCCACATCTCTGTCTCTGTCTCTGTGTTCGCGTTCGGATACCTCCCCAGCTGCGGGGCGTTCCGATCTGCGTACTCTCGGGTGCTCACCCGTACTCGCACTTTCTCCATCCCTACGCACTCCTCTAGAAGTCCCTTCGAACAACTTCCCCAACGGCTCCGAATCCCTATCCGAATTCTCATCCCTTCCCCCACGTCGTCTCGCACTCCCACCACCCTCCCGTTCCGACTGCGACGTCCCCTCCTCCTCCCCGCGTCTCCTCCTCCCATCCGTTGTATGCGCCCTCCTCGCCGTACTCCTCGTACTCCCAATTGTCGTACTGACCCCGACCCCGGCCCTACCAGTGTGCCGCATCTGCCGCACAAGCAACGGCTCCTCGTCATCATCCTCCTCGTCTCGCTCATACTCGTTCTCCGTCCTATACAGCCGGTGATGCGTCTCATGCTCTGATTCACTGACGGAGGCCGAGTGGGTCGGGTCGGTCTGGGTGCGCAGGAGGCGCGGGCGGGGGTGGGGGACCCGGGCGGAGGGGTGCCGGTAGAGCGCTGAGGAGGCGGGTTTGGGGGGTTTGGTGGTGTCGATGTTTAGGAGGGTTGTTGATGGGGATTGTGGGGGGTGGATGAGGGTTTTTTTGCGAATGAGGGGTTGGGTTGTGGAGGTTAGCGTCGAGTCCGGTTTATGCCCTTCGTTTTGATCCAATTCGACCAACACGCCTCCACTCGTCTTCAATCCCGCCGCCGCCGTCGTGGCAGTCACCCCACCCTTCTCCCTCCGCTTCCTCGCCTTCTCCGAAACCCCCTCCAAATCCACAAACAGCTCCGGAAAATCCGCGAACGTCTTCTCACTCTTCGCCAACCTAATCGCAAGCACCCAATCATAGAACCGTTCCTCCTTATCCACACACAAAAACCGTGCATAGTCCTGCTTATTCTCAAAAAGCGAGATCGAGTCCGTCGACCGGAGCGCGAAACAGAACCGGGTCGGTTTCTTCTTCCGCGCCTTTGTTGAAGACAAAGTGTACACGTCGTAGTTGCTGAGGCCGCAGAACAGGGTCTCGGACGCCGAGGACTGGTCCGCGTCCTTGTAGTAGTACAGGTTGGCTTCGCGCAGGGCGAAGAACCGTTTTTGCCATTTGCCGGGTTTACTCTCCATGTGCATCCACCCCTGCACGCGGGGATACTTGCCCGCAATCGATTTCGCCGAGACGGTGTTCTTGAACCCGTATTTCTTCATCACGATCGCGTTACCCGCGCCCTTTCCGCTGGTATTATCCCACGCGGAGATTACATCCGTGACGATTTCCCACTCCCTCAAGGGCCGCTCTATCCCAGAATCATTGCACAGCTCAAAGATCGTCCAGTCCGGTGACGCGTCCTGGTGGAAGCGGGAGACAACTTCGTCAATGACTTGTTGGGCGGACATGAGGGAGGTGAGGAGGAGGGTTTTGAATGTGCGTGCGTCTTCGATGTAGATGCGGGTGGTGATTTTCATGACGTTGGCTTCGCTGAGTTTGGCGAGGGCGAGGCGGGTTTTGTCTTCTGCGCTCGTAGTTGTCGTTGCTGCGTCTGCCGGTCGTGCTGTGTCTGTGCCAATATCGGATGGATTCAGAATGGGAGTATCCTTCATGTCGGCTTTGTCAATGATCTTGCGAATCATGTTGCTAAAGGGGTTACTTGACGATGTGGACGTGCTCTCAGTGCCTTTGCCTATCACCTGAGGAACCGCGGCCGCTGGAGGAGGCGATAAAGCGGCTGTGCTAGCTTCGATCGCCCAAGAGGGGGGCGCCTTTGTCTGGATATTCCTCAATCCAACCAGCGGATCTGCAGGATTCGGTGATGCTGGAACAGCCGGCTTCGGATGTCGAGAGTTCCGAGTCTTGGTGATGTATTTATCCAATGTGACCAGCAACCCGTCGATATCCTCCTCCTGATAATCCGCAATCGTCGCATTCTCCAGCCCTGGCTGCGGGTCATAATCCTCTTGCGTTTCAACGGGACCGCTAGTAACGCCCTCTTCACTCCCCAATCCGAAACTCATATCAGCCTCTTCCTCCTCAGTCGTCAACCCGCACAAATATAGCCTCTTCTGCTGTTTGACGCTCAATTTTCTGTCCAGTTCTCGATTTGGCGCTCGTTCCGCAGCATGGTCGTCATCATCTTCCTCCGACTCTGTCCCAGACGAAGATTCCGCCGACGAGGACCCATCGCTATCATCTTCAGTCGGAGACCCGCTTTCCGACTCGTCGTCATAATCCGACATACCCTCGCTTCCGCTGTCGCTGATATACCCTGCTGCGGACGCCGCTTTCAAGTCCACATTGGGGGTCTGATACCCTGTTTTGAGGATCGATGGTGGGCCTGTGAACGGGGAACCAGCCGGAAGCCGTGATACGTTGCTTGTGGGGTCTACGCCATTTTGCTTGCCTCCTGCTGCTGCTGAGGTGAAATGGACCCTGCCCGCAGAGTCCGGCACTCCATTCTCGCGAAGTGCTAGAGGTCGAATGTCGTTTCCACCCCCACCGCCGCCGACCGCAAGCCCGCCCACCCCGCCCGCACGTACTTCCCGCGCTTTCCCCTTCAGTCCCTCCTCCAGCTTCAATTTCTGCAACATGACGGCGGAGTAGTCCACCACAGGCTTGGGAACCTCGGTTATGGAGTCTCTGCGAACGGGCGGGTATGGGCGGGGTGCGACGACGGGCGGGGCGGGAAGGACAAGGTAGGGGTCGGAGGAGGAGACGGGTTGGGCTGGGAGTTGGGAAGGGTTTGGTAATGGGCTCAGCGGGGTGTTTTCCCCACGTCGTAAGGACATTATGGTTCTGGGAGGGTGTTGACTGGGTGTGGAAGTACAGCGGGGTCCCCTGGACTGCTACAGAGCGTAGCTGTAGGGCGGCAATGCGGACCCTTTGCTGCTGGTTACGGAGTGTCGCTAGTGCCGCAGCCTTGTGTTTGGTGTCCAACGTTGTGAAGGTTTGTTGTTCTCGCACACCGAAAGCACATCATCAGGAAAGGGAAAGACGCGCAGGCGCCTCTGAGTGCACTATGAAAATGCTTATTCCCCTGAGAGACCTACAGTACATACGTCGAGTCGCAGAGATTGGATGTCAGAACAGTGCCAGAGGCTTTCCTCAAAAGGCAAGGCACGGCATGAGAGCAGCACAAAGCGCTAATGCAAGGTATAATAACCAGACGTTCAGAACGATGTGAACTTAATCTTCGCCGTCAATGTCCTCGGGTAGCATGGGTAGCTAATCTTTTGATTTGCGAATGGGAAGCTCCATCTGGCTGTTTGCGGGATGCACATGACTCCGTAGGAAGGGAGCCATTATACTCTGCAGGACATACATCTATGAAATGCCCCTAGTGACACCTGCTCTTGATTGGATGGCGACGGCTTCCTAAAGCAGTTATCTGTATTACGTTGTCTAATCAACGGATTCCTTACGGTCTGTGGATCATCTGATGGAATTCAACACCCCGCATCACCAAACAGTGGTGGCTCTTCCTTCTGTTTGTCACCTTCGTCGATGGCTGTGGGGCTGGCGAACAGAAGCTTTTCCGGAGTGTTGCGATATATGGCCTTGACATAATATTGTATGTCGAGGTGTCCGACAAATATCCTTCAGGTCACTGACTCCGACTTGACAGGCGCTGTCAAATTCCTTCACTTGCAGTCCCGACGACGGCTTCTCCACCTCTCAACGTTAGCGACTGCCAACGGACTAGGTGTAAACGATGTCATTTCGTTGAGCTACTGTATGTTCATGGGCTCCTTTTCTCTGTGCAACAATTTCTGCCAACCCCGGTGAGAGTAAGGGAACCACGCCTTTATCGCTTCTTCCTGCGAACGTGATTAATGTGGGGACTGGAAACATCATTGGGTGACAGACGTCGAAGTTTTGATGGACCAATAGAAACAAAGCACTATGTACACAGATTGCACAACAAAGGGTATACTTCTCATTTACGCGACGGCTTGGCCCCACCAGTTCGTTATTTCCCACATCCTTTTGCCCTCCCGGATGTACACCTTTTCCTTCATGGGCTAATATCCATGGGCAACATCGCCCAAATAAGTTCACAGCTCCAGTTCGCCCGTTCCTTTACATATCTCCCTCCAATCCTCTCATCCCCACGGCTCAAACCCTCAGTGCTTGAATACCACAGCCCGCGGATACTGCCACCCAATCCGGCGCCGCTGCGGACCAGCTCATTTGGCTGATCGGTTCGTCGGCAGAGTAGGCAAGGATCGGGTCTGTTATGATGTGTTTGTTGTTGCCGGACGTTGACGGGGTGGTTGTTGGAGAGGACGCGAGTTTCGATGAGGTGGGGGTTGGGGCGGAGATGTCCCATATCAGAGCTTGTTTGTCGTCACCTTGTTGTATGGAAATCGATATATCAGGAAAACCATATTTGAACAATCGCACATCTCAAAACGCCACATACCAGTACTACACAAATGCCCCCCCGAATGCGGCGCCCACCCCACCGCCGTCACCAGGCTTGCATGGCCCCTCAGTTCCGCAACGGGTATCGCCGGGACGCGGATATCCATCACCAGTATCGCGGAGGAGTCGGTTTGGAAGGTCGCGATGTAGCTCGGGTCTTGTTTGTTCCAGGCGAGGCGGAGGAGGGGGAGGATTTCTGTTGTGTTGGAATTTGAGGAAGACGGAGGAGAGATGGGGATCCGGCATTCGGAGGGAACGGGGCCAGCTTCATAGAGGATTGTGGAATGTTCGAGATTTCTGTGTGATGGGTTCGTGTATGAGATGCAGCGGCTGGGCACCTCTTATCTCCCGCTTGTACATACCGTAAATCGAACATCCTCAACGACCCATCCGCCCCAACACTCGCAAACACATCGCTCCCGCGCGAAAACGCCACATCGTACACCTCCCTATCGTGCGCGATCAGCTGCGTTTTCGCTTGTTGTGTCTACTCGTTGCATAGTCGTCAGCAAGCGGAAATCAAACCCACTGTTGAACGCGGAACACGGAACGTTACCGAGATGTCCCAAATAGTACACGTGGTATCAATACTGCTCGTGATAACCATACTCGGATCCGTCTCATTCCAGTCCATGGACGTTATCGGGGCGTGGAATTCTCGTCCGCTCTATACACCGGTCAACGTCAACCAATACAACCCCTTCGCATACCCCATTCCCAATCTCTCATCACCTACCGAATCAGTCCTCCGTTGATTCTTCAACACAGCAACAGGCGCAATGACCTGTCCACCAGGCGGTCGTCGCCGCCGCTGCGACTCGTGGTCGGGATCGGATGAGGAGGTCATTTGCCAGATGCGGAGGAAGTCGCCGGTTGTTGCGAAGAGGTCTGGGGATGTTGATGACTGATAGAAACACGGGATGTTAGCCCGTTTGATCTTCTGTCGCGCGAAACGCATGGTATAATATCCCGAACGTATAAAGGGGAAAGAGGAGAAACGTACCCCGCCTCACCTATATACGCACTTTGTCAGGACTCCACATCAGTTTTGTGCACGGGTACTGCTGCTCTATCTCGTCGACGCGGACGAAGTCGCCGTCGCGGTCTTCTAGTTCGATTACCATGATCTAGCAGTGGAAAGGGAGTCAGTGAGTGTTGCAACAGGGTCTCACCAGCTCATGATGCACCATAGTCCGGTTGGAAACGCTCTCAGCGAGAAGGGGCGGCCGGTTCCCCCACTCCCATTCGTGCTGAGAGGTCGCTGACGCGCCAGAAACTGCATGCCCGCCATCCGTCCTCAACCCCATCCCTGTACCCAGCCACCTCCGTCCCGCCCATCACCATCCCCTCCCCATCCGCCCATCGCCCAACTACGTCCACCTCCACCCTACTTCGTCCCAACTCTTCCACCCTGCCAGCACCTCACCCCTCTCTCTTCAAACCCCTTATCCCCAAACCAACCTTATTCGACCGATCGGGCACAAAGCTCCCCAACCCCATCCTGAACGTGCCCGGCCGCTGCGACCAGTTGAGCCCGTAGACCGGCCATGACGTCTTGTAGCTGTAGAGTTCGCGAGGGGTCTCTGAGGACATTATTGCAGGCGGGTGGAATGTGTAGGGGGATGAGGAGGTACGCCGTTGATGGGTGGTGATGTCAGAGAAACACGGTGAGAAATGCGTTGGAAAGTTGAGTTCTGAAGGAGACGCCAAACCTTCCGGCGTTGCTCTCTCACAATCCAAGCAGCCCAAATCATACAATACCCGGAACCTACACAATGTCCACCCCCGCCGCCACCCCCCACCATCCCGCCGACTCCCTCTCCTCCCGCCTGCACCTGTCCTCCCTCTCCTCCTCCCATCTCGAACACAATCGCGCCCCACCACCACCCCATCAACGCCCCGCAGAAAGCGAATCCTCCCCAACCTCCTCAGACTATTCAGACGAAGACACAGAAGACGGTTACTACTCCGACGACAGCCTGGGTAGTCCGTTCGATTTCGATTTCGATTCCACGCAGGCGATTGTCATGCTTGTGCCAATTTTGGTGCCGATGTTGGCGAAGATGGCCGGGCGGTATGGTGAGTTTTGGTTTAGGGGAGTTTTGTGGGGTTCGGGTTAGGGCGTGGGTGGAGTGTGAAGCAGACTGAAAGACCCCGCCGATAAACGAACCCTATGGACCGACCGCTGAACCGTTTGTTCTTTATTTTACCTCCTCATAGTGACGGTATCGCTGATGCGCAAGTACTTTGCATCGTGGACCTAGGATGAATCACACCATTTTGTTCCATACCCGTCCGTTCTTTTATTTTTGAAATCCTTTTTCGTAGCAGCAGCAGGCGTACGACCTACACATATGGGATCGCGATTATAAATAGCTGGCTAAGGGTCAGATTTAGATTGCATTTTCTTGGGGATAGATGTTGGGTCAGAAAACAGATGAACCCCGTGCACGTCATTGATGGCTATTGCAGATATGTATGCTATATGCAAAGACGCATAGGGAATGAGACATGAAATGAGAATATGATAATGCGTCGCGCTGGTTTGAAGTAGGTCCTACGAGACGCAGAACACACATACAAAAGGACAGGTATGCATCCGTTCATGAAAAAGCCCGCACCATTCATGGTATGCGAGAGCCAGAGGAGGCCTCGATCCCAGTCGTTCGCTGAGTGCCTTGTCTTGTTACGGAGAGAGAGCAACCTCGACGCTCGTCGTGATGCCACCCAGCTCAAATTTGTACCCGGATTGATGTGAATAACGCCATATTGAGTTTGTATTTGTCATAAGCCAAGATCAAGGTCCAACAAAACCGAAAAATGCCACAGCACTGAACGAAGGGGGCTCACAATGCTCTGCTGCCCCTCCTACCTCCTCCATCAACGTGTATCTGCCACTCTATGCCAACGTACCGATGTTGGGCAGCCCCATAAACTTTCGCTTCGAGAAGCACATCCACCATTTGCTCGGACGGTCGCCGTCGTACACTTTTGGTAACAGACGGTGCTTCGGTGATGCTTCATTGGAAGCAAAGGAACACAAACATCATATCGGGCTTTTTTGCGGGCGTGCGGTGTTACCCGTATATTGTGCAATTGCATTCGGGAAAGCGATAGTTTATGTGCGCTCATACGCATCCTGGATATACATCAACCGCTCCGCTGTGGCGAGCTGGCTGCGCCAAGTCCGGCAACCTGAAATTCATATAGATCCACAGATCTATTCAATTTGAGGGGGTACTGGATGGGTTAGATTTCAGACAACGATGGGATTCGTTTGTCACCCTAGCGCAGGATGGGATTTGGCCGGGACATTGGCATTGCCCCGCCTGAATCCCCAAGACGGACGGGCGGTACAGTCAACATGAGGAGGGGTGGTAACTTCTCCTTCACATTGACGAAGAGCGTTGTGAAATTCGAGGGACGTGCATGTGGAAGCGGCTATTTGAGTCACTTCGAAGTGAGCGAGCATGCTGTTTCGGAGTTACGATACCCTTCGACGGTCAGCCCCACAGCCTTAGAGATATCAGGAGATGCTGCATGGCTGCCGATTCTGAGGCATTGTGGCATATCAAAGGAACCCCGATATGATGCAAGTCGTTTTGCACGATTTTCCTGCTATACAACGATATCTCCCGATCGGTTCCCTAGTGGATGTCGCCGTCGACACTCTGACACCGCAGTTGCCGCCTGGTGCGGGCCGGAGGTATGTGAGTTGATGTGTCCGCACATTCACTATGGGCAATCGGTGCCGGGATCTAGATCCCCGACGTCGTGCGAGGGATTGGGAGTATTTCGTTCGGAGACACCGTTTGCAAAAATCGACAGCGCGCTTCGTCGACGATGAGTCACGGGATTATCGGTCCCCGACAACGGAAGTGGAGAGGAGCGGTTCGACAGCCCGTGGACCTCTTTCGCTGCCCAGCAGAAACCACTTTCCGAAGATACTTCCATAAACCCTAGAAAGCTTTCATACGCAAGCAGCGTCACATAGCCTGTCTTCCACCACGGTAACGTTTTTCAACAATGGAGGGGGATACCCCCCGAATGGATAACACCAACGCCCAGTGCGGCGCTGTCAGCCCTGAGGTTTTGGGATACGCACTTACTTTGTGTTGGGAAGCCCTGCGTAGCGTAACAGGGAAGGACTTGGGAGAGGAGAGAGAAGGTGTCTTGGTGGTATGTAGCTTCTTGATGTGCCCACCACAAAGACTATCACCACTTGCTCTGTTGACGTATGTGGGAAAGCAACGCTGCAACTTGACTGGTGCGTATGCACATGTTCTATCATGCAGGCCATCGATACCGCCAATACAGTCCTCGAATACCTGCCATTCGACAGATTCCGACACGACTATCGTGCCGAGTTAGTTATAGTAAACAAAGAGCCACCCGAAGCGGCAACTCTACGCGACGAGTTACTGACTATAATCTGCGCCAATGTTGATCAACAAACCTTAGCCTCGATGGCGCTCGTTAACCGCAACTGGAGCAGTACGGCGAATAGGATGCTGTGGAGGCATCCTCGTTTTCTGTGGTCAGGTCGCAAATCAGCACTCCGCCTTTTCCAGTTCTATACTTCTTTGGTTACTAGAGAAGGCTCGTTGGAGAAAGAAGCGAATGGTGCCGACTTTGACAAGCACTTGAGCCTCGTCGCAGCAACAAAGGCTCAACGGCGGCGCTCCGCCCCAGTAAAACGGCTCACCCTTGCATACTTTCAACCGGATGAACCGGATAGAGATTTCGTCATGACCACTCTGTGCCGTGTCCTTTGCCTCCTCCCGCGTCTGGTTGGTTTCGAGTTGGTGTGTTCGACGCTACCGGCTGGCTGCTTGTTTTTTCTTGGGCGCAAATGCGAGGAGCTGACGCATCTGGACGTTCTTCAAAGCAGTGTCGGAGCGGACTGCTTGCCGGGGCTCTTGGATTCCGCGAAAGCACGGATGATACATTTAAATCTGGCTGGGACACTTTCGCTTTGCCGCCGCATGGAGCGATTTGCCCGGGCCCTGGCAGCGTGCACGGAAATACGATCGCTGAGCCTTGCTGCCGGCCGTATGGACAAAGTGCTTGTCAAGGCCGTATCTTGCCTTCCGCGTCTCGAGGCTCTGGATGTGAGCGGCACGATTTTCGACGACGATCAGTTGGAGCTTGTGCTTTCCTCCTGTAGCCGAATAAACACTCTCATCGTCGACGGCTGCAATACCCTTACCAGCCGCGCCATCGATCTAATCGCCGCGTATGGCGGGTCGTTCACAGCACTGTCTGTCGCCAACTGCAACGGCAGCGTTACCGATTACAGTCTCCAAAAACTCGCAAAATCGCACCACGCAAGAACTCTCACCCGACTCGTGCTTCGCAATAACACCCATGTATATGATTATGCGCTGCAAATATTCGGCCGCTTCATTCGCCGCCTCGAAGTGCTGGATCTCGGCGGATGTCGTGATGTAACGGCCCCCGGGCTCTTATCCTTCCTCCAGGGAATTCCGGAGCAATCTCTTCCCCTCACCCGCACTCCTTGCTCGTCTTCATTGGAAATCGCTCACCCAGCGTCGCACTTCAACTCCTGGGAATCCCCCGCCGGCACGCAGTTCACCATGCAGCAGTACCCTACCCTGCGAGCCCTTAACCTAACCAATCTCGGCTCATCATTCACCCGCGCCGCCATGCACGCCATCTTGCACGCTTGCCCGAAGCTGACCACGGTGATGATCCCTGAGCATGTGCGCGGCAACGCTCGGACGGAGGTTATGAGGAGATGTCATCACAGTGGGAATGAGGCATCGTGTGGCAATTCGCTGTTGTTTCAAGGGTCGTCGTGGTTGCGTCGTGGAGAGATCGAGTCGGCGCCGAGGCCGGCCGTGCTGGCCGATGGGGGAGCGGGGGATGATGCGGTGGCGATGGTGCCCTGAAAGTCCTCGGCATTCGTTCGTCATCTGATCAAACGTTGCGCTACTTGTACGGGGAAATCGGATTTGGAACTCGGGGCGATTTGATATCTTCATCGGCTCGAGATTGGAAAAGAAAGTTGGGAAGTTGGAAAGTGGAGGGAAGTTTACGGCGTTTTCGGATAGAGGCACACATCTACATTCTATCAGGGCGTATGCGGAATCGAGAGAAATAGTGTCCGAGCTTCATAATTGTACCAATGTTTGTACTATGAAGTGCGTAGGCAATGCCCATTGTCATCAATTTGAATAGAAACCCAGTTTTCAAACGCAGGATAGAGGAAGATCCTTTCGACAATGATGTACCTTTGCGAAGTTATGCACAAGAGTCCACGTCGCACATGTGCGATGGGAGAAAAAACGGCATGTTTTAAGTATACAGTGATGCCCCATAGTGAAAGGTCTAGATGTACCGCGCGACAGGCAGTACAGACATGGGAGATGGTAAGCACAATTGCGATAAAGATAGTGTGGCATAAGAATAAGGTGTGTAAGGCGTTCCGTGCGATGATAAGTACAGTGCGGTTGAATTGTAAGGTGGTGGTGACATTGTTTGCGACGATGCGATAGCGCTGATGATGAGAGGGTGGTGTGCGAGAAGGTGGTTTGGTAGTGCTGACGGCTGACATGTGTGCTGATGCCCTCTTCTATCACCATTGTGCTTGAGCGTCCCGAATAGGTTGCTCGGTTTCGTATTCGACCTCGATGCGAGCACCTGTGTTGGTGATGAAAACCTCATATGAGTTTGCGGCCAGGAGAGCACCGGGTTCAGACCTTTACAGAAGGAGGCCAACTCACGTTTTTGGTCTTTCCTTCCCTTCGCCGTGGCAGGTTTAGACCGCTTCGCTTTTGGTGGTTGCGAGGAGGTTGTCGATGCCGCATCAGTTCCATCGTCACTACCACTCAGCTGGTCCGCATCATCCCCACTGTCGTCCTCCTCATCCTCATCGCTCACGAACTCCATGGTTCCAAATCCGTCTTCGAGATCCTCCTCCTCGTCACTGACATCTGACACGAATTCCCGCTCAAGATCGTCTTCGTCCTCCCGTTCCATCTCGCCCTCCAACTCCTCCTCATCTTCCTCCCAGTCCTCCTCATCCAGCTCGACTTCTCCCTCATCGGCCAGCTTATCCAAAGCACCGACGAATGCGGACTGCTTGTCGTTCACAATGGCATCCGTCCCATACACCCCCTTCTTCAACCTGTCGAGCAGCTCCTTTTCGATGTTTTGGTCCAATCGTGCCGCTGCTTCGGCTTTGGCTTCCCGTCGCGCTTCACGACGCTCAACCTTCTTCTTCACACCGATGAGTTGTGGGCGGGGCTTGAGTTGGAGCTTCCGCATGCGGATTAGGTACTGTGTCATTTTGGTGGCACGTTGTTTACATTTGTGAATTTGGAACTGTGGCCAATATATCAGTTCTTTGTCGATCTGTAAACAGGGTAGGTTTTAGTACAGTTGTCCGGTGAAGGTTCCTACGAACGCAAACCCCAGAGTGCTCTCGCTGCTGACAGACTCAGCGCGAGCTGTTGACGGAAGGGTACATGTACCCACCTGTTCTAGAGCCTGGGCATAGTTTTTCGACAAACGGATTCTCTCCCACATCTTGGCCGGGGTATGTGCACGCTCTACCGTTTTCATGTACAGGTATAGTTTCCCTTCATGTTCCCTGACTGTGGCATATCGCGAGTTGGCCAATGGGCAGGACTGCCGGTTGCAGAGACCCGTTACATTATATTCATTCCTGCAGAAGTTCTGTGTTGTCGTCCTATCCAGTGAAGTAGGGATTAGCAACATGAAAGTTCTTCAACTCCAGGGTCCTTGACGTACTTGACTTTGTACGAGCAAAAGTTATGCGCTATCGTCTTCCAAATGACTTCGTCGCACTGCATGCTGGCGATATATCCTTATTTCTTCCTCCTTTTGTTTGCTAATTTCTCGAACGGCTTTCGCCTGAATGCGAAATTTGGAAACTTGGTCTAATTTACAGCCAATTCGGTAGACTCCTGTTGTGCGCCGTTGTGCAAGTGGCTACGCCGTCACGAAATGGCCTTCCCAAAGCAAGCCCGTGCTACAACCCTGTTTTTAAAAATGAGAGAAGCTCGTCGCCTTCCTTGTTCGTCGTCGGCCGAATTCAGCAGGTTTTCTTTTGCAGAAACGCTCAGATCTGCAGAGGCGAAGATGACATTTTCACAGGAAAACACAGAGCGCTTCTGATTGGCTACCGCAATTCGCGGGATTCAATTTGGAAAAGGTCACGTGAGGCCATGCCCTGTTTGGCGTCCTTTTAGGTCTGCTGTTTCACGCGTTGCATTATGATGGATCCGGCTAATCGCGGCTATCACACATCCATCGCAGATTAGGAGGCTTGCCACATCCAAAAGACAACCGAAAGAAAACCACAAAAAGCCCCCTTCGGCCGCTTCACCCGCCTCGGAATCTACAAACCCGCCTCTCAACATCGTTTCTCACAAGTAGCACAATGGTACGTATCCTTCGCCTTGTGTAGCTATCTACCCGGCGGTTGTATGTTTCCGAGTGTGTGCACGGATTAGGAAGCGGTGCTTGAGATGAAGGGTGAAGGTTGATCTGTCCAGCAAACAAGCGGGTAGGCTACTGCTGTCACGGTTGACGGCAGCTGGAACTCAATCCTGCGGTGGAATTCCTTGGGAAATTTCGCTGCAGGAACCTTGTCATGTTAGCAGTGTCTTGTAATGCCAAGACTTCATTGTCTCGCGGATTTGGACCGGGATGCTGAAGTAGAAGGGTGGAAGTGCTGGGGAGGGCCAGAGGGTCAACTTACTGGGCGGTACAACTTCTTCATGGCTTAGAGCGATGGAGTGTGTCCGGATCACCCCAATCAGGCCTCGGAAGGACACGACTTCAGAATGACATTTCTTCGAGAGGAATAGCTATCTGACTTTCGTTCTCCTCACCCCCACGTCAGGCTGATCAACTGACAGAAGAGCAAATTGCCGAGTTCAAGGAGGCATTCTCCTTGTTCGACAAAGATGGCGATGGCACCATTACCACCAAGGAACTCGGCACCGTCATGAGGTCTCTTGGACAGAACCCTACCGAGGCCGAACTGCAGGACATGATCAACGAGGTCGACGCTGACGGCAACGGAACCATCGACTTTCCCGAATTCCTCACCATGATGGCTCGCAAGATGAAGGACACCGACTCCGAGGAAGAGATCAAGGAGGCCTTTAAGGTCTTCGACAAGGACGGTAACGGTTTCATCTCTGCTGCCGAGCTTCGCCACGTCATGACCAATCTTGGAGAGAAGTTGACCGACGAGGAGGTCGACGAGATGATCCGGGAAGCAGATGTTGACGGTGACGGTCAAATCAACTACGAGGAATTCGTCAAGATGATGGTATGACATTTTGGATGTTTTCTACCGCCGACGCTCAGAGAGCTGATTTTGACCGGTTCTGCGCTTGCCAGATGTCCAAGTAAATACGCATCAAGCCATCGATTCCGCAATACTGATACGAGGGGTTTTCAAGCCCTCGCCTCGGCATCACTGTCCACGGTGTCGGGGTCCAACGAAAACTCTATCTCGCGCAAGCCGTGATTGAGAGCTCCCCGTTGCATCTTGGCCTACACAATAATCTTGTAAAGAGCCGTCTTTCGGCTGTCACACCTACTTTCCGTCCCACCGTGCTTGGAAATCCTTGCATTCCGGAGTATCCTTCCTCCCCTCAACGCTTGTTTTGTAGTTGTGATGTTCCTTTCCTACTTATACAATACACCCCTGCTTGTCTACTGTGAAACTTGGGCATTTCCGACATACTCGGAAATAATGATTCTATAACTGTATGTTACACGTGGAGACCCTGAAGGTCATCATCCGGGACGTATAGAAGGATCGTTCGGTCGGTCTGAGGAGGCACGATTCCCTTCATACCGACGGCGATGTGCCGTTGCCATTCGTTCGCTGATTCCCATATGGGCTCTACACGTATCTAGAGATTTCCAACATCCTATATCCCGGCGCTGAGCAACTCACGCAAGCCCCTGCCTCTTCAGCCTGGCCAGCTTGACCTTCTCCCGCTCCTTTAGGTACTTCTTTTGCCGCTTCGGGATGCCTACTTCGTATGGTTCTATTCCGCGCCTGTTAGGTAACGATGGCGATAGAGAATCGCCAGGAATCAGCGTTTCGATTCTCCTCAGTGACATTGAAAAATCAGACATCTGCGGGGCATGTTCGCCATGCCTGCTCTCCTTTGACGTCTGCCTTTATGCTTTCTCCGAAATCAGATATGCCAGGCACTGAAAACTCACTTGTACCACTCCCTCCACCCCTGCAAATATTTGCGCTGTCCGCACTTGATGCCCAACTCGTTCTCCATCTGATCCGCCGTAGCCGTGAAGAGATGGCCCCAGTCCTTGAACTTGTCTGCATACGTGTCCAAACCGCGGCCGATGGCCGTCAGGAACGATTTCGGATCTGTGATGGAACCTGAAGGATAGGGCCAGAGTTCAGACGTCGAAGGGTCGTCGGCTTCTTCGCGCTCGTGAAGGCGCAGGTGATCATATTCCCACGCATGACAAAAGATCCAAAACGCACCTCTCGTCTCCGGAACAAACGACGCCTTCTTATTCCCCGCCAACGCCACGTACTCTTCCGCCAGTTTCCAGTTCTCCAATGGGGCATGCATCGTCTTCCGCCGGAACGCCGAAGGCACCACCGTAGGAGTCGGCTCGGCTGCTGGTGATGCTGCTGTTGCTACATGTCGTCGTTTCGCAGATAATGTCGGAAGGTAAAATGCTGTTATCGAGGCGGTCTTTGGGCGTAGTGGCCGCAGCGCCGCTGCTAGCGATCGGGTTGGGAGACTCATCATTGCTGTGTGTCGCTGCAAATCGAGACAGGATTTCAGTTGGCCAGAGACGTTTCTTTGCCTAACCCTAAACGCACCGAAAAACGTGCGAGGTTTCGAAACGTGCTACATCACGGACTAAAAACACCTTGAGCGCATTCAAAACAAAAGAAACAACTATGTACAAAGTGGCCTCCAGATTTCCTTTCCTCCTCCTATTGAGTCCTTCACCGATTTAATCCACAGTCCTTCCTCCAGAGGCCTTCTCCAGATTCGGATCCACATTGCAAAGTATTCGACATATTCTATAGTCCTTGTAGCGACAGGGGTCCCCGAGTTGAACGATTGATTCCTTCTTTTCGTCCGACACAATGACCGAAACCAAGATCACCGTCAGCGGTTGGTCTCGCGTAACCAGCTACCTTGCCGGAGCAAGACATGGGTGTAGGAATGTTGAAGGAAGGTGAGGAGCTAATTTTCGGCTGGCTGGCATGAGCGTGGAACCAGCACGCTCACTGTCAATGCTGAAGTACGGTTTTGATTTCTTGTTCGGCTGTGAAACGAGCAGCATTCTCTCTCTAACTTCCATGTCTACCTCTTCATAACTTCAGTACGTGCGCCTGGCTGGGCAGGACGAGCCATACATCCTCCGAACTCAAGTTCTCGTATTTGTGACAATCATGCATGAACGCGGCCATCTCGTGGTGGCGAAAGCCGGAGCACACCACCGAACAATCGATTTTCCGGAAGCGGGCAACTTCATTGAAAATGAATTGTTCGGTGGTGTGCTACGGCATGAGTCTTCACGTCCAACTGTCGACCCTTTCGAGGTATACGGTCAGTCAACCCAGTTTGAGTCTTGGAACTTCTTCCTGACCACGGTGTTCGCAGTTAGCAGGTCTGCACTTGGACGGCGACGTTCATCGCGTAACACGAACTTGGGTGTACGCTCTCTTCAACGAAGGTACTGTACCTCTCGGCGTTCCCGCTCATCATTCTACGTACGTAACGATGCTGAACATAGTTCCACCAGCCGGGTTTCTACAATCTATGTTCAATGATGTGGGACCTTGAACTTGGAGTGCGCTTTCGAGGAATGGATAAGAATCTGAACGGCGAGGGTTCGTGGGATGCGTAAGTGGACAGTAGAACTCCTGCCGTATGTCTTTTCCATTCCATCCTAGAACCCCTCACGCCGGATGCTTGCCACCCCTCCACGCCAACGGAGCACTTTTTTGGTCACCTACTTCTCCACTCCAGCAAATCCCCCCTTCAGCGAATTCCCAAATTGACTGCGTAGTGGTAAGAAAAGTTACTGTACATTTTGTGTACAAATATGTACAGTACATGTCCAAGGAGAATGGAGTCCATAACATTTCGGGATGCCGGCCGATCCGGCGCTGGCGAGCCGGGATGATGTCTCACATTCGTCTGGAAGCGAGCTAAGTATCGTGGCAGCGAGAGCGCCTCGTCCAGTTGTAAGATATCCGGATTGCCTTTATACAGGGTCGGCGCCCGGCTTCAAAATGTACGAATCAAACGAAAGGCATCGTGAGAGTGGGGAGGGAACTGGGCGTCAGAGAGGACTGGGCGTTGGGGGAGAACCGGATTTCGTTCTCGATGGGAAGCTAAATGGAGAGATGTAGTGAAATCCCATCAGCGGCGAAGGTGACGGGAACATATGCGACTATCCCAAGAGCCCTTCTCCCTCCGGCACAAGCAGGTTCTCGTCAACGATCAGGCATATGACATTCACAACTGTAATATGTACAAGATATTCTCCGACGGGGGATAGGGGATCAAGTTTGGGGGATTACGCCGCCAAAATGCGGGCGTCAGGAGAGGGAACCGGGGTACGAGGCGAGGGTCCTGCTACCTAACGAGGAAAACTGGCGGCATATCGACGGAATCCCTCCTTGAATAAATAGCGTTGCGACAGCAATTTCACTTTCGAGTCCTGAATGGGGTCCGAAGCTTGAGCAGGAACGAGGTAGGGAATAAATCGTAGTTGCGAGCCTACGCTTCGTCTTGATGTCGAAGCCCGACCCCTCACATCCACGCCCTAGACCAACACTTGGGTCCACCACCCGCCGGCCCTCCCTTCCCCTAATCGCTAAGTTTTGTTGATGGGTGTTCACCACCTGTCTCCACCACGGTTTCCGCCAAAGTCTCCACCACGGTTTCCACCAAAGTTACGGTCGGAGCGTCCCTGGCCCATAGGGGTAGCCTCGTTGATCTGAGAATTCCGTAGCAAGACCGCATAAGTGGGATATTTTTACGAGAAGATGTGTTTCCCGCTCATGATAAACTCACCCTCAGGTCCCGTCCCTTGTAGTCGCGTCCGTTAAGAGCCTCGATAGCCTTCTCAGCACCGTTCTCCTCCATCTCGATGAAACCGAATCCACGGGACCGTCCGGTGTTGCGGTCGATCATGATCTTAGCGTCCTTGACCTCGCCATACCTGCCAAACAGAACGCTGAGGTCCTCAGTGTTGGCGGCCCAGGGGAGGTTTCCGACGAAGATCCGCTTGGTGCCGAAGTTACGGACGAAGAGGGCGGTGGGGGATGCGAGAGTGGTGGTGCGGGTGAGCGGGGCACGGAGGGTGAGGAGGCTGCGGGCGAACATGTTTGTTATGTTGCGTTGAGGAGAAGGACGAGGTGGACGTCAGATCTGGAGTGGTTGTGGAATGCAGGAGCAAGCGAGGGAGGTAAATTCCCGAGTGTCCGAAGAAAACAACTCGGAAAAGGGGGGGGATCGGCGGATCGGCGGGCACGTGACTTCACGCGTTGGGCAACTTTGGGCAGCTCTCGTCTCGCTCCATGACAGGGTATGGAATGTGAGGACCAAGGACGAACAACCCGGGGCAGGCATCGGGGTCAAGTCGGAGCGCTCAAAGCTCCTTTCAAGGGTGGTCGGAGGTCCTGCACTTGGACAGCTTCATGCGTGTCGAACGTCGCGTTCCACACCTGGGGCCATGCGGAAAGGGGAGATCGGCTAGTTCGGTTGTTCCATCGGGTCCGAATGGATGTGCCGGCTATCAGGGTGCATCAAGCTATCTTGTCGAGTTGCCCAGGGTGGTGCCCTTGAGCGACCCCTAGCCACGACCACCAAGTAACATATGATTTGATGTGCAAAGGTGGATGCAGTCAACTGAACAAGGTTTGCCCCGAAAGGTAGAGCGTAAAGTCCAAGATGTCAAACGTATTTCATGGGTATTCAGTATACATGGCAGAAACAAAACGAAACTACGTAGCACTGAAAATCTGGCGAAAAGGCAAACCAGAAAGCACTGTCAACGAAATCCGCAAAGCGACCCGTTTATCGCTCATATCCCTCGGTATGCACGACTATTCTCCCACCCCGCCGCTTCCTGCACTCATTCGCAGCATCAACAACCGCATCAACCATCTCCCCAGGTCCACACACATATATGCCCACACTGTCCTCGTCCGCAAACTTCGCAATCGTATCCCTGACATTCGCCAGCATATCCAGCCGTCCGTCCCGCGAACTCACATTCAAGCTACAGCTATGCCTTCCAGCCTGCTGCAACACCTTATGCCTCTGCAGCTCAAGGTACGAAGAAAGCCTGGACGCGCCAGCCTCGCGAGCTGTCCACACGACATCAATTGACTGCACCGAGTTCTGTTCCAGCACGTGGTTGGCGATGGACAGCGCGCCGGGAATCCCGGAACCGCCCGCGATGGTAACGATATGTTGCGAGGAGAGGAACCGCGGGGGTAATTTACCGTGCGGCCCATCGATGAAGACTTCGATGGGCGCGTGGCCCTCGTCGTCGCGGCGGGACTCCCATAGAGCGAGCAGGGAGGATGTCCAGCGGTTCTTGCGGTCGGTGGGTTTGATGATCAGGGTGATGGTGTCCCGGGCGACGAGGATCTCGCGGGATTTCATGAAGCTGGACTTTTCGACTACGCCACCGGGGGAGGTAGGCGTGTTGGGGGTTGTGTTGTACTCGTCGTGGATGTAGTGGACTGACGGTGTGCTGGCGTTAGAGGGCGAGCCGTAGCTGGAGGCGATGGTGAATGGGTGCCACATGACGCGGGAAAGGGCGGGGATCTTGAGCGAGACCCATTGGCCGGGGGCGTAGGGGACGTCCCATCCCGCGATGTCTACGCGGATGTATCCGCATTCTTCGAGGGTGACGGAGGTGATGTGGGCGGGGGTGGTGCGATTGTACACGCGCACGGCCGCGTCGACCATGTAGAACAAGACGGCGGGCATCGCGAGGTGAAGCATCGGCGAGGCGTGGATGAACGCCATTGCGATGGCCCCCCATGCGAGGGTGTGGTTGATCCAGAACCAAGAGTAGTTGGCTCGACGGATCTTGGGGATGGAGTTGATGCCAACCCAGAGGAAGGTGAAGGCCGCGACGTAGCCCGTGAGGGTCACGGCGCCCCTGTAGTCAGCGGCTGGCTTGAAGCGGTTCTTGAGCTGTCCGACGAGCCCGCGCTTGATGTAGTTGGGGAGCTCGTGGCCCATGCTGTGCCCGAAAGCGAAGATGATGGTGAAGACACCCGACCAGCGGTGGAGTTCGAGGGAGGTATCGTAGTCGATCTTGAGGAGGGAGGAGAGGATGCCGCGACGGGAGACGGGCATGAGGGCGAGGGCCAGTTGGATGGCGACGGGATGCGCTGAGGCTCTGTAATGTGGAAGGCGGACGGAGAGTGAGTACGCTGTGGCTAATGCAAGAGCTATGATTCCCACGGCAGTACAAACCTGAACATATTGCCGCAGAAGATGTCAAAAGTAAACGGAATCACGATGTTCGCACCAGTCGTACCTGCGGCAGCAGGCTCATCATGCTCATGACGACGATGGTGGTGAGCGCTTGCAGCAGTTTCAGGATTAGCTAGGGCAGCAATCGCCGCCACAAGCCTGGCTTGATCGGCGGCACGCCACCAATAGGCGAAGATTCCGGCTTGTAAGGTAAACACCGCGGTGAAGACCATCAACCTCATCCTTGTAACTTGGTAACTTGTGAAAGGCAGACGGAAAACGATCTCGGCACCCCAATTGCGTTGCTGAGCAAAGTAGACAGCGACCGCGGTAACGACGAGCCATGCGTAGAACGTCCATATCGTGACGAGGTTCTGGTAAGCGTAAGTACCGCGCTCGGCGCAGGTTTCGGACCAGCAGGTATAATCTTGTAGTTGAGTGAGTAGAGCGACGGCGAGGATCGATAGAATTGATAGGCCGAGTGCCGCAAACAGGACCACGCGTTGTGGGTTGTTGCGGACGGTGGTGGAAAGGAATCCCATGGTGGTCAGTGACGGGGGAACTTGACAGGTTGGAGGACGATCGATTGGCGGATAAAGAGCCGGTTGCGCGCTGTTAGAAACAAAAGCGTGTTTTGCGGGATTTTGCTGACCAGTGGGGGCGGGGGATTTCGAGGGTACCTCACCGCTTTTATAGGCGAGGGATTTTTGCGGGTGGCGCAGTGGGAGAAGAAAATCGCCATTGGTGAAACGCCACTCGCTCTCCCATTGGTTGCGGACTCCCCAACTTATCATCAATCAAATTGCGCTGATTTGCCCCGAATCGACTGCCGTGTTTGACAGCTTGTCGCAATAAGAAGCGGAGAGCCTCCCCAGGTGTCAAGCCATTGCCATATGCTAATATCTCGGGTTGGTTTCATGCTGTTGGCGTCGCAGGGTCCGAGTTTCACAGCGCACGAGTAGACTCATTGTCGATTGATGGCAGGCTTGGCGCACGGGCCGGCGAAAAGAAAAAGGGCAAACCTTAAGGCCCCCAGATGAACAGTTTTCTTTTCATGCACGTCCTCCACTGAGTGTAAATAGGCAAATCGGTGTCGTGCTCCATTTGAGGACTTGTTTGCAATATTCCGGACAACTCCCGAAACAACACATCCTACGTAGTGTCAACCTGGATCATCGTGAATACTATGCCTTCATCTCCTGTTCTTGGAGAAGAGTGAGATGGAAATGATAAACCTCGAGTTCGAGTGCATCTCACGCATGGGGCCACCCGGTGCGTTTGATGCTTCCCACAACATCCGCACAAAGCGCTGCAGCGCGTGCTCGAATTCGGCACGCAGAGACTGAGCAATATGTTTTGTTGCCACGGAAAACAATGTATGCTAGTTACCCCACGGCTTGCTGTGAGTATTGCGATTATCCATCGGCCGTGAGAATAAGAGCGAACGCACGAGGGATGTCATAACTTGTACGCTGAGGATACCTGCATTTCCACACCGTGGGATAGCAGGGTTATCATACCATTCCGTAGCGGAGCGCTACAGTCACGTACGTGGGTACATTTGCTTTCCTGGGCTTCTTCCCTCCTGTTGTGCAGGACTTGGGATGCAATCGTGAAGTTGAGGGCTGGAGTTTTCGACGCCTTGTGAGAGTTTTGAGAGAATCTTCGTGTATTGCCTTCTTCCTTCGTTCCTCTTGTTATTCTGAGCAGCACGTACATGTACATGTACACTTAGAAGGTCCGCAATATGTGAAAGAGAGGTTGAGAAATTCTCGATTGGGCTGGTGAGATCTCGGAAAGGCCCATGACATGAGAGTGACAGGGCTTTGTAAAGTTTGAAATATCTGGAGAAGGTCGGCCAATCTCAGAGCATGTCATTATGAATAACTGTGGGGTATTACATATACATGCCTCACATCCAAACAGTGCAAACCGGCGGCGACCGGGTGAAGTTCTTAACCAGCGGTTGAAGCCGCCGGTATGTCCGAGGCACCCCGTAAACTCGGGGGAAACCACCATAGCATTTATATATAGAAACCGGCCGACAGCGGCAAGTTCCTTCTCTGAATGGGTGTCTGCATCCCACCTTTACGCCGCGTGCACTTGGAGAGAGAAACTAAAACGAGCTGGATGTCTAGATTGGCCGGAGGACGCTTCAAGCGGTCGGCAGCTCAGTAAAGAAGAAAGCTTCCGGCACCCACACACATGTGGCGACGGCTTCAAGGAGCAGCTTGCGAAGGTCCTGTGTAGCGGAATGAATGATGCAATAAAAAGCAGGGGCAGGGTGTGTATACATCAGTACCTCGGAAATCAAGGCAATGTGGTACAGCACAGAACTCACCGTTGGCGACTGTCGCACGACGTTTTGCGGATCCCGCACCAAATTCTGCAATCCTGATGGTAGCGCAAACGGCGATTTCCGCCGGCGAGTCGTGGGGGTGGTGGCGCTGACATCCGTAGCTGGCGCATACATCAAAATAGACGCGGCAGAGCGAGACCAAGCCTGCCCCTCGGCCCGTGGTGTACTCCCCAAGGCCAAATGGCGGGTGATCTCCTCAACCAACAAACAAAACAGCTGAAGACAATCGATTAACCTCAACGTGATTTCCGCCACATCATGCGTAGGCAGTCGTCGCTTCCTCCTCGCGCCATCCCCATTCGGAGGTCTCACAAGCGCATGCACATGCCCAACAAGAGCCTCATACCCACCCGCATGCCCCGCAAACTGCGTCGACAGAGCATCCCACGTTGCGCGTCCCGCCTGCCCACCAAGCGGGATCATCAGGGACTCATGCTGCGTCAAGGTGGCTATTACCGCCGCGGTGGTCTCCAATACCCCCGCATGCAAGCACAAGAACTCTTGCTGGAATCGTCGAGGTGTTTGGCTGAACCCTTCCAGTGCCTGTATGCCCGTGTGTGCTGTCCATAGAGCCGAAATAGCGCCCTGCAGTTCGTCGTGTGGCGTTGGGGAGGTGTGGGCGGTTCGGACGTGGGAGAATGCGTCCGCGATGGATTGGAGGCTTGTAAGCCAGAAGAGGGAGGATTCGGACTGCCCTTGCGTGACGATGGGTTGTATAAGTGATGAGCCGACTTCCGGAAAGCCCGCGCTGAGCGCTGCTCTCGCGATTTGATAGCTGTACCACGCGCCTTCGGGCGATGCCTGGATGATCGGTAGTAAGGGTCCTACTTCCTTTGTGAATGCTGCGGTATCCTCAAATCCATCGGCGACAGTGATCAATTCGAAGGCGGTAACGACTGCAGTTCTCAATGTCGCAGGTTTGAGCTTAGATCTATGCGCATTCGCCGTCGTCAACATGAATCTCGGTGTCAGATGCCTATGCGGACGTCGCCTCGCCGCAGCCATCGCTATATTGAAGCTCGTGTCGAATTCGGCATTCCCCAACCCAGGCATCGTAAGAATTCCCCGCCACACTTCCTCTAAGAATCTTCCTATGGGCAACCCGGCGATGATGCGCATTACGAGTTCTAACTGTGAAAGGGAGATCATGAGCAGGCGGATTCAAGCTTCCTCGTTGCATCAGGTCTAAGGTACCCTCTCGGTGTCTTTCTGCTGCGACATGGTCATGAGCTTCTCGATTAGGCCCTTGAGGATGTTGGCAAGTCTCGCCTCTGCAGACCCAAAACGTCAATTCTCAATCCCGCAATCCTCCCAACAAAGTCGCAACTCAATCGTCCTCACCGGAAAGCAGCTTTTTCGCCCCACGCACCTCCCCTTCGGGATGGTTCAGCTTATCAAGGAACAGCGCAGCGTCCAACGAGAGTGCGTTCCGAGCGAGCACGACGGGTTCCAGCGCGTCCACGATGTCCGGGCTTTGAACCGACTCCGCTGATGTTTGATCCCAGATGAGCTTTAATGTCGTCAGTGCCCGCTTTTGGACTGTCGTGCAGTCTGTTTGCGCGGCGAAACGGAGGATACGCTGGGAAAAGGTTTAGCTTCAAGGAAGTGACGGCATGTCGCTGCTCTTAGATAGCACTTACCAAGTGCTGATCCTGCGTGAAGTGGTGACACTGCGTTCTGGCTATCAACGTAAGATTGCAGCAAATCCCGTACTGCACAGTGGTCCTCGTTGCTTCTTCCAGGTAGCGGAGAAGCAGGTCAATCTGCGCGTAGAGACAGCACATGAATACCAGCGCATATGTAAGTCCCCAAATCATTTCCACATCAAGCCACATACCTGTTCACCGATTTGAAAAACGCATCGAACGGCGAGAATCGTCAGCGTTCGCAGCGTGGTGAGAACCGGCTCATCCCCTTTAGCGCTGATTAGGTAACGCAGGCACGCGTCTCTAGCCTAAGCAAGATCTGAATCAGTCGCATTCTCTATAAGCAATGCGGACACCGGACCTTACCGCAGATGCAAGGGCCGGGTGATGATACATATTCTTGAACACCCTGATTACTTTCAACTTGATCACCGTCGGCTGACCTTTGTCTGCAACCATCACTTGCATAAGTCAAACATCGCCTTCCCTCTCTTCATCAACGCCCTCGAACGGCGCTAACGTACGAACTCATCTCCCCGGAAACACACCTTCCACCATACTCCTCAACTTTGGCAGATGGTTGACGCAAAACGCCTCCGACTTGAACGATAGCTTCTCCGCGGCGAACAGCGCGGCCTCCACCTCCATCGAGTCCTTTGAGTCCAGCATGAGGCGGATACTAATTGGTTTGCCAAAGATTAGACAGTTGCTCAATGGGGAGTGATTGAAGAGCAGATCGTCGGCAGCTTACCCGTGATGCACCTCGAAGTTGTTGACGGCGATGACAGCCATGTATCCAAGAACGCTGTTGACGTTGCAAACCAAGATCAGCACGGCGACTCTCCATCTATCATCAGCCATATCTCTCAGTGGCTAGAAACGAAACCAGAATACCCACCGAAGCGTCAAAGTCCTCGCAAGCACATCATTACTCGTCAGCAGCACCGCGATTCGGCGCAACACATCGTCCGCGTTGCTCAGATGCACCAATGCCCCTGTGCTGTGCTTTATGACTTTGAAAATGTATTGCCGGACGATATTGTTGCTGGTTGTTATTCGGATGTGGGCAAGATGGACGATGGGATGTTACTCTGGATGATGCTGGTATATCCATAGCCTTCACAACAACCCCTCCCCAGAAAACCATGTAACGGACTCCCAACGTCGTCTGCCAAACTCCTTCAACCAACCTCGTCCGCCAATACTCCGCCAGCTTGATAAACCCTAAACCAATCACAAGAACAATCCGTCAGCCACTATTCTTTTCCCCTTCCCCTCATTACCCCACCCGTGGCCCTCCGCCACTCCCCTCCAACTCAATCACATCCCCTTCCTACCAGGCCCAACAACACTAGCCGAATCATATTTCTGAAAAAACTCGATGAATTTCAGCACGGATTGGATCTGTTCGTCGAGACGGAGGGATTTGAAGCCGCGGTCGAGCGCGACGAGCTCGTTGAAGCCGGGGTCGTTGAGGGTGGGATCGTCCATGCCTGTCCTGACTTGGTGGGGTGAGGATCGTGTGGGTACTGGGCTCATACAGCTGAGTTTCGAGACGCGTCTTTCCCGGAACGAATTGTTTTTGCGAGGATTCCATGACGGACTTGCTCATACAGATCATTCAATCCATTGCATGATAAGATACACAACCCTCATGATGTCATTCTCTATGTCCATATATAAAAAAAATCTACAATGTTTGGCTCACCCCACTCCCACTTCCGAGCCAACTCGTCAATCCCAGCCCCCTCCGCACGCCGCGGCAGTTCTGTCGGATCTGCGGGACAACTTTCGTTTTCAGATGTGGTAATGTCGTTCTCAGCCCCGTCTGACGAGGGTGGTGGTGTCGGATGGGTTTGGTGTGGCCGGTGTGGTCGGAGTTATTAATCACTCCATCGTTACCCATCAATCTATCAACTTCGGCATCCGTACCGAAACTCACGACGATGGCCGCGCCTGTGAGCTTCCCGGACGGGACACAGCAGTGTCAGACGGGTTCGGTGGGGCGGGTGGATCCGCGGGGGTCGTACTCGAGACGACCTCGGCACTTACGTCGTCGTCACCTATCAGGCTATCGAGTTCTGCGTCGGTGACGATGGGTTGTTGGCCGGTTGGATCCACGGTATCTGCTAGTGGAGCGGTCGATGGGTCTTCTGCACTTGGAGATGCGGTCGGATCGGGGGATGCATCGGCGAGGGTTGCGTAGATGTCGGTGGGATCTGGTGACCTCTCGGTTTGCGATGCCTCCGGTGTCGTGTGATCGACAGCAACCCCTACACCATCAAAACCTGGCCGCCCAGCCCCGGCACCCGCAACCGGCAAACTCATCTGAATCGCCGCCCTCACACCACCACCCCTCCTCACACTCTTCCCCGTCGCGCGTCTCCTCACCTCCTGCCCCTGCCCCTGCAAAGAATTCACACCACCACCCTCCCCACCCGCCTCTCCAGCACCCCTCTCCCTCCTCGCCCCCAACTTCATCATCAAAGTAGCCGTAAAGATATCCGGCTTACACCCCGCCGCCTTCATATCCTCAAACAACCCAAAAGCCCCCTCCGGATCCCCAGCATGCACAAACGCCGTCAACAGCGCGTTCCACAGCTGCACGTCCGGCGTAATCGCATACTCCTCCCTTGCCTTTTCGAACCATTTGCGCGCGGATGCGACGTCGCCTTTGTAGGCGTGTACTCGGACCAGCATGTCGAAGGTGCGTATATCCGGTGCCACGTTGTGGACTTCAGTCGCGAACGCGAATTCTTGCTCGGCTTTTGCAGTGTCGCGTTGGCGTTTGAGGCCTTTGAGGACCGCGTTGTGGGAAAGGATCGACCCGGTCGTGTGGGCCAACGCGAGCATGTGGCGTTGGATCGCAGCAGCGCGGTCGGTATCGTACCGCATGGAATGCATCTCGATCAGCGGGATGTACGTCTGTTCATCGGGCTCGACGCCGCTTGCGATCATGTTACGGTAGACGTCCCCGGCCCCCGCCGCGTCGAGGCGGGAGGCTTCCATGTGGATCAGGATGTTGAATGTGACGGTATCGGGCGGGTATCCCTTCTCGACCATGGAGAGGTAGACGCGCATGGCGGCGTCGCGGTCGCCGTTACGTGCAAAGGCGGCGATGGCGCTGTTGTAGGAGTAGATGGACGTGCGGACGCGAAGGTGCTTGATGGCGTCGAAGGTGCGGTGCACGGCTTCGAGGTCGCCGACGAGACCGTATCCGTGCATTAAGGTGTTGTAGGTCAGCTCGGTTATAAAATGCCCGTTGTCCTGCATTCTTTTGACGACGGCCGCGGCGCCGTCCATGTCGCGCGCTTGGCAGTAGGCGTTGATGAGTATGTGCCAGATGTGGTAGTTGGGCGTGTATTGCCGCCGCCGCATGTCTTCGAGGTAGTAGCGGATCTTCTCGAGGTTGCCCAGCTGCCCGTGGGCGGTCATGACATTTCCGTAGACGACGATGTCGGGCTCGATCCCGCTGTTTAGCATGTGCTGGAAGACCTCGTCGACGCCTTTGAGGTTCCGGGCGTAGATACACGCGCGGATTGCGAGCGAGTACGTTGATTCGTCCGGGTTGATCCCCGCCATAGTCATTTCATCAAACAACGCGCGCACTTTCGCCAGATCTTTCCGTTCCAGAAACGCGTGCATGAAGATGTTATACGTCACGAGCCCCGGTTTGAACCCGGAGTCCTTCATCTCCTCATACACCTCCGTCGCCTGCGCCAGCAAGTCATCCGACGCCGCCTGTCGCTGCTGATGTGTCACACTCGTCGTCGCGCGCTGGTCTTCCGGCCTGACACCGGTCTCCGCCTCCTGTTCAAAATCACGCTGCCGACGCCCGCCAGTGAGCAGCCCAGCGAGAAGGGTATCGTAGACCGCGCGATCAGGTTTAATGTCGTTCTTGACCATCTCCGCGAAGGTGCGGAACATCTCGTCCCGATCGCCGCGCTTGCCGTACCCGTGCATGAGGAACATGTAGGTGTACACGTTGGGGCAAAGACCTTTCTCACGCATCAAGTCGACCAGTTGCCAGGCGCTGGTCATGTCACCGGAGGAGACGTAGTCGTGGACGAGCCCGTTGTAGAGCAATAGGTTGGGTTTGAGCTTCTCCACGCTCGTTCCCATGTCTCCCCGCGACTCCACGTCCATTTTCCCTTCCACCTCATTCAACAGCCAGGATCGGGCGGCTTCGACGCCTTGTCCCTCGATGAGTACACGCAGCAGAATCTTGTAGGTGAGGTATCGCGGCACAACACCCTGCGCCACCATCTCCCCCAATATCCTCGTACATTCCTTCACGGCCCCCTCCGTGCCAATATGGGCATACATCAACCCCTCGTAACCCCACACCCCCGGTGTTACGGCACGAGCCGACATCGACTTGAGCAGCAGATTAACGCGTTCCAACCGTCTAGGCGCGCTAACTCTCGCAATCTTCGCTACGGTACAAATCTCTTTGAACTCGAACTTCTGCAGCTGCTCGAGATCCGCCGGCGCGTCTTTTGCGACTCGTTCAAAGGTGCGCCAGATCGCCGAGCGGTCTTGGTGCAGGTCCTGGGTATACAGCCCTTCTTCCTCGGCGATCTTCTGGCGGTACTCGTGCAGGAGGTGGATGAGCTCGAAGACGCTGCCGGGGGTGCGGTCTACGGGCAGCTTCTCGCGCTGTTTTCCTGTTCTCCCTAAAATCGGAGCCTCCGTCTCGATCTTGTCTTCCAGCAGCGCGTCTATCGCCTCGCTGTAATCGTCGGCGGCGGCGCGCGTCCGTGCAGTGAAATGGAAACCCCGCTGCGCCGCCGTTGTATAATTCGCACTATGTGCATGGGGATTGTAGTTCTTTAGCAGATCCGGATGGACTCGCGAACCTTGGGGCGGTTGTTGTGACCCTCCCCCCGATCCCGTCGCATGTTTCTCCAACACCGCGTCCGCCCCCAATCCTAGGTTATTCAACATCGACTGAATCTCAGCCGTCACGCCGGGCGGGGTGGGTATCGTGGAATGTTTCCTCCGACTCCGCGCCGGCCCCGCCACATTCGGGAACAAAACCTGAATCTCGTTATCCATGCGCTCAGGCATCCGGAATGGGTCTGCTCCCGGGTTCGCGACGGGGCGAGTGGCGTGGCGCCTGTTATTTATGGATGCACATCGCCGGCGGGATTGGTGGCGGTGGTGTGGGGCCGTGGAGGCTTCCATGAACCAGTCGAGGAAAGTTTTCCAGGGGTCGCCGGGTGAGCCATCGGAGGCGGACGCCAGAGATCGGGCGGTCCGGTGGCCAGCTTGGCAGCTTGTGCGCGGACGGACGGGGTTTCTTCGCCACAGCATTGTTCAGTTCGAGGGAGTATACCCCTATTGCTCTCTGTTGAGTCCTTTTATTGGCGAGAATCGGAGGTGGTGGTGGGGGGTATCCTCTCTTACTCTGGCCCAAACGTCCTCCTCGACAAGCCTTCCCCGAGACTACCTACAGCCGTGACTCTCTCGCCGTAAGCGGTTTGCCAAACATAGGTTGGATACACTGATATTACCTCTTCAGATGCGAGTCGTCAGTGATGTCGCTTGCAGTTTGCACTTGCAGTTTTTGGGACGGAGCAGCCATTCCGAAAGCATTTATTATCGGGAGGCTCATGTCAGTGGCGGTCACGTGCAACTTTGGATTTAAAGATGCCTCTGCTTGACGTTTTTGGCTTCTAAATTCTGCCTGAGAAACAATCGATAGCAACGAGCAAGTCGCCTACAATACATCTAGAGGCGCTCGCACTTGGGAGATCCTTCTCTAATTTCACAGTATTCGGCGCTTTGGCCTTAGTGATCCTATCGATGCCGACGGGAACACGTGTGGAAGCGGATTTAAATGCGTACGTGTTAGCAAGCGCCGTTAAGCTCGGAAAGGTTTCATCACCAAGAACAAGGAAGAGAAGCTCATGACAGAAGGAAGACGAGCTTGCTTCCAGCAGCGCATCAATGTGCGACAACGTCGCCAAATCGAAATCGCGGTGAGAGGATTTGCATCCAGAAGTAAACTGGAGGAGGGCGTCATGTTATACGTAGTAGGAGTTCGGGTAGTTCCGGCTTGGCAGCGATGGGGAGGTTCGAGGATTCGAGAGAAGCGGGACGCAGAGTTTTCGATGGATGCACGCATTCGACCCTCGTCCTCATGAAGGAGCTCATCCTCGCAGGCCACACTTCAAATTAACCCTGCGCTACCGGAAACGTCAAGCATGATCCAGCGAAAAGCGTTCCTCCGTATGTAGATAGCAAGAGAAGGGAGCACCGCTTCTGCCTTCTGGTCCACATGCTGGACGGGATGCGCGGGTGCCCTCGTGTGTCCGGCGGAGGCTTTGGATTCCGGGGTGGTGGGATGGGGGCACCGGCGATCAGGAAAGCCTCAACATTCCACCACTCCAAGTCAGCATGTACTGTAGTTATCACATATGGGTAGTAATCGGAGAAAGGATGCAGGCATCTTTCCAGAGTCAAAGATGGAGCCTCCGAAAGTTCAGCAAGATGATAACTTACAGTACATGATCTTCGGACGCTTCGACCCAGCCCTGCGATCATTATCGGTCTAAAGTCAGGTTTCCGCCTGTCCGTTTCGCCCAGAGCGTTCGATGCCTCTGTATTTGGGTCTGCCTCTTGCCATCCGTCCGGAATCTCCTTTGAGCCGGGTGTGTCAAATGTACGGGCGACACTGCAGCGAAATGAATGGAACGCCTGGCGTCTATTGAATTTGGCCAGGTCTCGACTGTCTGTCGACAGCGTTGGGAAGCGGGCATCCCTGCAATCTCTCGGCTCCGAGCATGATTTCCGACAGGTGCTGCGGCGGCGACCGTCGACCGCTACGTCCGCCTGGTGTATGGGATCTCTATGCGGTGGTGTAGGATCCCTACCTGCTCGTAGATATGCACGGTTGTATGCCTGGCTGACTGCCAGTGATGAAGGTCAGAAGAACTCCAGCAGAAACTTTTAGAGTTGATGTGGGATGGATGGGAGGCAGCGCCCGGACGCTCCTTGGCATTCAAACTATATACGAGGCGGCCTATCGACATCGACGACGAAATATGCGGAAGCGCAAGGGCAGCACTGGTGGGGGAAATGCGCGGTTTCTCATCTCACACCCCCAGGAAAAAATCCACGTCCCCATAACCCAGGTTTTTTGCCAACGGTGAACCAACAACACGGCTCAGCCCCGGCCGCATACAGAGGATGAAGTTGTAGCCCATTATAAGATTCAGTACAATGAATGAACATGAAGCTGATGTGGAATGCACGAAATTTTGAGTTTTTGGACGATCCACGGAGCACCAAGCGGCGGCGAGGCCGGGCGCTGCATGGGATATGGTAGATGGAAGTTAATGAGCATGAAGAAGATAGTAATTTGGGGCATGTTCTGGCGGCCGTGAAAAGGTCGCCAGGACGCCAACGGGGTTGTTGCCTTTGCCACTTTTAGTTGTAGGAATATGGGATAATAGCGATCTCTTCATGTCTTTGCAAGCCGAGCTGTTCCGTTGGTGGGGCTGTTGCATGCATAATCGGGATCAGGATTCAGGACTTTTTAGCCTTGTCTTTTCCTCTGCGGTGGCGATTTTGCAGGTGGAGTCCCATGCGGAGGAAGTGAGCGGCGATTGAGAATACGTGCGAGCGGCGGTGGGCGGGCGGTGACTTACTTTCCTTCCCTGACTCCCTGTTGCACGGGGAGCCTCCTCCTCGTTCCCGTCCTATTACATGAGGCCACTTGGGTTATGGTTTGCCTTTCCCAGTGGCGATTGCGAAACGGATATTAGCCCCCCGCTATAACCCCCCCCCTCCTCCCAAAGGGCCCCTGCGCCTTCTCCTGGTTTGCAACCATCTCTAAACTATACCAGTACGTACTCCCAACGCTGGCTGTCCTAAACGTAACGTTACCTCGTCGTCGTCATCCCCTTTTCCCACCACGACCGCCTTACTCACTCCCTCTTCTCAACCGCAGTCGACCGCAAATGCCCTCGCCGTGAAGAACAAACTCAACTCCGCCCCCCATCCCCTACGAAAAGCGCTGGCTCGCTGGGAAAGCCCTCACCTCACTTTCAACTCCCGCAATTCCCATCACCATAGCTGGACACACAACACCCACCGTAGATCGGCAGCAACAACAGCAGCATTAGAAGCACCTTGCAGAGGACGGCAGAGCTACAATAGACGATAGAAGCAAAGAAACAACTCGCAAGCGACATTTCCCACCTACTTGTGCAGGCCCACATTCCCACGACTCACCACCGAACTTCACATCACGGAACCATGCTCTCTTCATACCGCTACTGTCTAGCTGTCCTAGCCATTCTCTCGATATGGGTCTGCGAGCTTGCGAACGCGCAGATTGTCACCACCATAATCGTCCGACCGCCTCCTCCTCGACCAACACCAGTTCCAGTTCCCCCACCACGGCCCGTTCCCCCAACCATAGTCCCTCAACCGCCGACTCCTGTCGTCCCTGCTCCACGCCCAACCGTCGTCGTCCCTCGTCCCGTACCCGTACCGGTACCCACTGTCGTAGCCCCACCAGCACCCACTTCCGTCGGGCCAGCCCCCGTATTTCCCACCGCAGCACCCGTTCCACCCGCCGCACCGGATGTCCCGCCTACAACGGATGAAATCATCCCGTCTTCTGTGTCCCTGGCGGTGGTGGCGACGCCTTCCGCTCGTCCCGGCATCAACTTGATACCAGCGGCTCCGCCGGCCGCGCCTGCTACCGCTGGTACTCCGGCTGCCGAGACGACTGGCAGTAAACCGGTTTTCTCAGGACCTCTGCGAATCGGTGTGATTATTCTGGGTGCATTGCTCGGACTCACGATCGTTCTTGGACTGGGCTCGCTTATCATCCACAAGGTATGTTTCCTCAAGTTTTCTTTAGGAGCTTGTCTGACTTGTCATGTCTCCCTGAGATCTACAAGCTAATCATCTATGCATTCCCACAGCTCAAGCGCAAAAGCCACGACGGAGCCGACTTTTCCCTTCCCTCCCGCCTCTCCGGCACCTTCAACCGCGCCTTCCGCAACAACTCCCAAAACCCTACAATAATGCCCTCCGGCAAAGGCCCCGCCCTACCCCCGAAATTCGCCGAATACGGCGCCTCCCAACCCATGACCATGACACCATCCTCCCGCCCCGCGCGCGCACCCATGCCCTTCACATCAATGGCACCCTCCGCCTTCTCCACCGCGGGCCCACAACCGCGCATGCACGCCGCGTACGCAGACTCGCCGTGGACGCAACCGCCACCCGCTGCGTCGCAAGCGGGTGGGTATCCCGCACCGTACTCGCCGGTGGTGCCGCAGCCAAATTACGGAGGGCCGGCGGCGAGCCAGGGTGGGTATGGGTATGGGAATGGGTCGGGACAGGCATATAGATAGGATTGGACACCCAGAGAGGCGTAGGATTTTTGTGCTGCATGGACGTATACCCCCATCCCACTCCCACAAAAAAAGACAGTAATGCACCCTGTTAATGCTGGACAATCCTGTGCTCCTCTCCCTACCATGTTGGCGTAGTCCACCTCACACCAAACTACTTTTTTATTGTTTACATGCCCATGCTATTTTCTGTACCTGACATTTCTTTTGCGTTCTATATTGCATAATACTTTTTCGTTCTACCTTACACTTCATGATTCATTTGGCCATTTACTTGTTTCATTCGCGTATCCTTCGGCAGATTTTTCTTTGCTTGTTATAGAAACATCAAATAACACAACCCCATCATGTGAAGAATAGAAGCCAAACCACCGAATGCATAACACCCACCAACTCCGTAAACCTCAAAACACAAACATGGAGCTGAAATCAAAAACCCAGAACATTCAGCCGAGGCAAAGAAAGCCACAAGATTCCCCCTTTTTATGGAAAAGATATACAAAATGCCGTTCGGCGAGCGGATGAGCTTGCGTCGGATGCAGCGATGATGTGGGAACCACGGTCGATGTGGATCTGCGCCTCCCAAGTCCTGCGTAGTTCAGACGCTTGCATCCCTGCACCCCATTCCTTTGGAACGTGCTCCCCCTCACACCGAACAAGGCCGTAGAACCGATACAAGGCGGGGTTTGAGGACCTCGCTGCTGGCCAATGCATGAGGCGCACTGGTGGTGTGTCCTCCGCCTCCATCAAACGGACAAGGATCCACAGTGAGGTGGCCGGGATACCTGTCACGGGCAGTCGGGCGGTAGAACTCATGAACTAGATGCTTTTGCTCTGCATGCATTTTCATTCATGCTTTGCATCGGTGGCCAGACGTGCAGCGCGGAATCTCAATAGCACAATTGGGCGCACACCCATCCAAGTATACGATGGATGGCGGGTTGGTGACTTGGGCCCGGCTGCCATGTCCTGTCTCAATGCCGTGGCGCGGCGGAGCCACTTTGCGCCGTAGATTTTGTTCGGCGACTTTCCCTCATGCGCCTCTCGAAAGACGCCCAGTTGAGAAAATCATAGGCATACGGAAAGCAATGCAGACGTATTGATGCCCCTGCCCCGATGTGGTGACCAGACAACGGAGCAGTCGCACACTCAAAGAGCAACGAGGACCTGTCTCTACGGGAGACCAGGGAACAAGGTCCATTTCTTCGTCTCGTTGAGACACTTTGTGGCCCAATGACAACAAGCAGAAGCTTGGGGAATCTCCTCGGATCTCCTGAGTGACGGCAGGCTGCACTCATACATCGATGCACGAAAGCGTCGAGGTTTGCCCCCGGATACTCGTTCGCTCTATCCGCCTTCTCCGCTTTCTTCGCGAGCTCGTCCTTTGGGCCACTGTTGATCCTGTCAGACCTTCTCCTCGACCTAGGTACGGCAAGAACCTGCAGCATGGGCATCGGCGGTTGCCTTTAGTTTTAGGTTCCTCCAGGCCTTGCTGGCCCCCAAAGAGGGGTGCAAGTTGTAGGGTTTGGCACACCTCGATAGTAGTTCACTGATGCGGTAGGATTCCCTTTCGACCGCCATCCATACGGAAGCGCAACATCGTCCTCGTCACGGAGGATGGATAGCTCACTTTACAGGACTTCGCTGGCCAACAACCCCATTGGCCGTGCGAATCTCTCTCTTCTTGAAGGGTTGAAGATGCCCTCAGCTCAGATGATTTTGACAGCGCGGCGGGCGACTGACAGCATGAGTGTGGGTGGCTGTGCTCAAACCGGCCGCTCCTTCTCGCTTCCTTCCTTGCCTAAGTTGCCTGCGCTCATGCCGTCCTCCTTCCCACGCAATTGCTACTATCCATTTGCACCACAGTCCCTCTCTCCCAATCACCCACACAACAGCAACATATATCGCAAAAATGTCCAGCTCAAAGACAGGTCAAGTGCAGAACCAGGTCGACGAGGTCGTCGGCATCATGCAGGACAACATCAACAAGGTCATGCAGCGCGGGGAACAACTCGACACTCTTCAGAATAAGACTGGTGAGTTGAACAATTCACGGAGAGGACTGTCCTGCGCCTGGGAAGAGAGAGGCACTGGTAGAGGAGCTGAGGAATTGCAGGAAGTGCGCCCGATATCGTGAAGACATACGCCGACTGGGGGAAAGGGTAAACCAACTGCAAATGACAACCGAGCTGGTGACGTCTTTTGGCTTGGCGGGTTACTTGGAGTCGGCCGGGGGCTGGGAGGTGACGAGTTGGCTGGGCTGCGTGTTATTTGAGGAGCAGGGGAGCCGGTATTGCGTTTGATCAAGTCCACCGTCAAGGGCGGCACGATATCCACCGCATTCTGCGTTATTCCTCTCAATCAACCCGACTCACAATCTCTTTCAATCGCCCCGAACAGACGACCTCCAAAACTCATCGCTGCAATTCAAGCGTGGCGCCAACCGTGTGCGGAAGCAGATGTGGTGGAAGGACATGAAGATGAAGCTCATCATTGGCGGTGTTATCGCCGCGATTATTATTATTATCGTTGGTGAGTTGCGTGTGGGCTTGGCGAGGTGTTTGCGAGTGAGCGGTGGTGGGGTAAAGCAGGGCGCAAGGATGCTGGAGGGTGGGCGAGCGATGGGCGATCGCGAGCGGTCGAGAGCATTGGTGATTCTGGCGGGCTATCGTTATTGTCCGGCGGTAGCGAGCCCTCGGATTGTCGCAGTGGGCAATGAGCATGTATCTGCGAGTGTCATTGGGCCTTGGTATCTCTTTGATTCTTGGCAAGCGAAGCGAACATCAAATGCCCGAGCTCAGTGAGGGTCCGCGAGTGGGAAGTCGTTTGGGGAGAGAGGTTGGCACGTCAATCCACCGGTGTATACTCATCACTTCCGTATCCCCTTTTTCCTCACAGTCACCGTCGTCGGCACAAAGAAGAACGACAACTCTCAACCGCAAACTTAAGGCCCGCGCTTCCCCAACATCATCACGCCGCCGGAAACTTAACCCCATCTGTAATATCGCAACCCCCCCCGTCACTTAACCGAACACACCTCGGGCATGTGCTCCCGTTCCCGTCAAAGCTTCACCTCCCACGGCGTACATTTGGCAACCCACCCCAAATCGGCGTAAACGAGCGCAACGGGGAAAATCCTCCCACTCTTTCTGGACTTCTGAATGTCACGCGAAAAAGCTGTAGGGGGGCGCTCTTATCCACCCGTAATGTCCCTTTCCTCCCATCTTTCCCTTCATTTTTGCGACCCTTCCCGGCCTCTCTTGTACAGCTTTAGTTGTTTTTTTTTATGTGTGAATGCATGAAAATGTAAAAACCTATGTCCCTCACAGTGGGAAAGATGACCGCTATGCGAGCCGCCACACCTCTCTTCCCATGTGCGTCGGGAGCGGGGCACCCTCGAACTCCTCGGGGGGCGGGTCGGGTAAGCCCCGTTTGTTGTGAATAAGTGAAGCGGTAGATGTATGGCTAACAGGCGGACATCCGCAAGAGGTGGGTGAGGAGTGGATGTCCGGGTGGAGGAAGGGTGCCGGGTGGGATGGGCGGGGTGGCATGGGGACTGGGGGGGCGGAGAGGGGTTGTGACGGAGGAGAGTAGAGGGGAGGGGTGAGTTCTGAGTGGATAGCACGGAAATGTTGAGGCATGAGCAAGAATTTCCATCTTTTTGACGCCCCCAGGCTGCTGGGAAGGGGTTTTCCTTTTATTATTTCGTTACAACATGTGTCCCACGACCTATACTCCCATCCCACTTCCAAAAAATCTGACATCTACAAAGCCGTCGGTAGACCTACAGGCGTTCCCTCCGCGCACACGAAAGCCCTGCTGCTCGTCCTCACTTCCCCGCCCCCTCCTTCCCACCATCCTTAACGTCCCTAACCTTCTCCTCGCCAATAAGCTGCACATTATACCTCCTCCACGCAAAATACCTCGGCAGCACCGCAACTCCGCACACCGACTTGAAGACATTCGCGAAAATGACGACGTCGGGGTTCGTGAGGGAGATTTTCCAGTGGCCTGATGTCGGTTGTTGTGCTCCCTCCTCTGTCGCTTCTGTCTTGGACTCTGACGCAAGCGCGTCAGCCCCAACACATTCGAGTATGACATCCCGCAAAGCTACGGTTTTGAACGTGTTGTGGTTGCGGATTTCGGAGATGACTGCAAGGGTTGGGATTGTTGGGGGGGATGATTGCGGGGGTTGGTGTGCGGCGAGGAGCGTGGGAAGGGTGGATTGAAGGTGGGAGCGGATGTCGGGGTAGGTTGAGGGCATTGTGTGGGTTACGGGCAGGAGACGCTGTGGGGAGGGAGGGATGTGAGGATGGGATCCCGGCCGAATGTTATGCCGCTGCTGGCACATACCGAGCAATGAGAGATACCCTTTTTCAGTGCTGCTTGTTCGGCGGGCGGGAGGGATTCGATGTGTTCTAGTAGTGAAAGGGGGGGTTAGGTCAGGGGAGTTCTACGCCACAATGGACTAACGAGTGAGACCGCGACACCCAAGCCTTTTCCTCCACTCACCAAACAACCGGACAACGAAATCCACCGGGTCGGTATCCACCCTGAACCGGATGAAAATCAACCCCGCACACGCAGCATCCACCGCCTGGAACTTCTTATCCTTCTCCCGTTCCTTTCCTTTCCCCTCTATCACAGTCCTGTCGGCATCATCAGCCCTCCTCTCATCCTCCACCTCATCCTCATCCGCGTCCGTGTCCACCTCTCCCGTCCTCACATCGCTTTTTGAATTTTCCACAGCACCGTAGAAATCCGGCCTCGTGGTGCCTTCCCCGACGATTGCTAAATCTATGTCAAGCGGTGCTGGCTGACTGGGCCATACGGTGACGTGGTCGGGGAAGAGGATGGGTAGGTAGGTGTCGAGGAAGGTTCGTATTTGGCCCTATTGTAGCAGATACAAGGCGTTTAGGAAATCATTCGCTGGCCAGATCTGCTCCCCGAGTCGAGTCTGATGTGTTGATATGCTCACCGCATCAGACTCGATGAACACCCATACCCCCTCGCACTCACCAAAGCCCTCGTCTCGGCCCCCACCGGACACGTCACAATCAACCCACGCGGCTTCTCAGCGCCGTCCGACCGCGTCCCATGCAGCAACGAGGAATGTTTACGGAGGAAGCGGTTTTTGAACTTCCCTCGGCTGATGGGGAGGGTGTTGCTGACTTTATTTTGTTTTTTCTGTCGTTTCGCGGTGGGCGATGTGGGCGCGTCGGTTGTGAGGGACCGTTTGGCGGCGCGCGGGGTTGGGGCTGAGGGACGGGTGGGGGGTGGGGATGACATGGGTGTAGGAGCTAACGTGCGGGTCTTGGACGTTGTTTGTTGATCGCTGGTATTGGAGAGTGGGAGGTCTCGCATGCTGGATGACCTCTCAAAGAAGTGAGCGAAGAGGGAAAACAGGAGAACGCATAGTGGCGCGGGCTGTGGCGCAAGCGTGGCTGGTGACAGGCTGCCGTTGGCCGTCAGTTCCTTGAACCTTCCCTCCTTTCTCACCCACCATTGATTTCCACCCCGACCACCAGTACACGAAGTAGGACGTATCTAATATTTCGCTAACTCGATAGCTAGCATTCAAATAATGCTACACATTTTATTTCCTAAAATACCAGCAGCAGTTGAGTGCCACCTCTAAAACACCACAAAGTGGCAACAGAATATTAACAGGGGATTCCTCCCGCAGAGTTTCAAAAAAGCAGACCACAAAGAAAACGCCATTGTACACAGCCAGCAGGGCATCAGATCGGGCCGTCCCTGACCAGTAGAGACAGTGCAGCAGAAACGGCGCCAGCGTCGTTACGGATAATGCGCTACGCTCAATTCTCGTCAATGCAAAAATAACAATAGCCACGACATGGTGTATCGCCATTATGGGGTCCAGAGTGACGATGCTGGTCAGGCAGACCTCCGCAAGCAGGAAGAGTGCATGGGAGAGCAGATAAAGATCGAGGCAACGAACCATCAGCGGCGGTGAGATGCTGCGCTGATATGCCTGAGTCCAGTGCTTCGGAATGATCCGTCCATGGTATAGACACCAAAGCCCAACCGCGGCTATCTGAACGAACCAGATTCGGTGGCATGCCAGTTGCCATGTATCGGGTAGCCGCGACGCTAGTGACAGTGGAAGTGCCGGCAACGAGCTTAACGGGAGTGATGGCGCAACAACGAGACGCCTGTAGGATGGATTTGAGTTGTATGAGTATATGATCATGTAATGGCCGGTCCCCACGGAGAGGGCTGCCTACGTTGATTGGACTGGACTTGTTGGGTTCGCCATGGTTCTGGAGGGCCCGACGAATGCCGTCGTCAGAAAAGACTTGACGGACGAAGGATGGATTGTACGATTCGGCCGACTCGGTGCTTTCGCGGAGTGACCCCTCTATTCTACCAGCGCAACAAACGGTATATTCATCGACGCAACGTTTGGCACTTCGGGGAAATGGCCGGCTGGTGAGGCAAAAGCAGCGACGAAGCTCTTGAAGGCTGCGAAGAAGTTTGACAAGGGGTTGAGTCAATTCGGGCGAAAGAGACTGCATCATTAGGTCGGCCATGACCGCCGGGTCCGCCATGACCGCAAACGCTGACCTTGTTGGAATTTTCTCCAGTGAGATCAAGAAGATCGGGGAAAAGTACGGGTACGCCCAGTGCGAGCTGTTAACCGACAGAGAAGTACCAGGCCAAACACGGACACCTCCCTTCCGCTTACGAGGAGGACCTGTCGGTGGCAGCTGAATTAGCGGCGAGAAGATGGAGAGGAGAAACGGGTTAGGCACCTCGACGCGTTAACTCTCAAAGCACAGAAGCAGCCACGCGTCCTGAGTGTCATGTGACCTCTCCATCGCCGGTTAAATTGCTTGATTTTCTCCCATGGTGACGTCAGACGCACGATCGTGCGATTCCGTATGTGACTGCGCCCTTGCCCTCCCCTATACGTGCTCGGAAAAGGTCGGAAGTGACAGCACCCCCAATTTATTACAGTTACCTTAACTTTAGAGGTTGACGAATTCGAATGTCAGTGAAGGCCTGGGCTTGGTTGGGCCTCCCCGCATGCACGCTTGGTTGCACGGGCGTCATCATCCTGGCTGCCGGGGTTTGCCTTTCGTCGTCTTGTGTGCGTGTTGCGCCTCCTTTGTGGAAGCAAACGAAGCTGGCTGCGTGCATGACGCATCATCATCCATCATCCAACCCATGAATGGCTCATAATCCCCAAATATGAAAGCGTATAAAAGGGCAATGGGTCTTCCCTCTCGCCCTGGCGCCCCTCCAAAACTCAAAACCCCTCCCCACAGCAGTCAGTACCCTCATTTTTGGACGGTGGCATACCCACTTACTTTCCTCCTACTACTACTACCCATTCACTCATACGCACATATCCATCCCACGATTCCCCATACGATTACCACGGCAACCATGTACAGAATCACCACCGCATCTGCAACGGCCACCCGAGGCCTCACCACAACCCGCTGCATAACGCGTCAATTCCTAATCCGCCCATCACAACACACCCGCGCTACCCAGCGCCGTCTCCTCCAAACCCAAATCCCCCAAAATGCACACGGAGCAGGCGCATCCCACGCCCTCGCCGGTGTCGCCGGAGGAGTCGCTGTCCTGGCCGGTGGATACGCGTACTACAAGTTCAGCGGCGCCGCTGACGTTGTCGCGAGCGCCCAAAAGACCGTCGCGACCGTGAAGCAGGTGACCGATGCCGCGCCCTCGCCTGCTCAAGCCGGTCATGCCGTCGTGAAAGCCATCCGTGCCGTCGCCCCATCGTTTTTCAAGGTTGTGCCTGGTCTGGACAGCGTCGTCGACCAAGGGTTCGAGCAACTGGATGAGCTAGCCGAGACGCATGGAGAGGAGGTCGAGAAGCTCGTGAAGGACACCTACGCCGAGCTCGCCAAGCTCGCCAAACGCGGATTCAATGAAGACACGTTGAAAGAAGCGACCGTGATCGTGAGCGCGAAGCTCGACGAAGCACAAAAGCTCGCCATCGACATCGGCTCCGACGCGACCGACAAGATCTTTGCCAAGAACCCCGAGCTGAAAAAGACGGTACAATCCAGCATCAACGAGCTGAAGGAGATGGTCGACGTGCCCGAGGCGCAAAAGATCTTGAACGAGACGTACGCCGAGATCAAGAAGATGGCTGACAAGGGGTTCAGCCCGGAGGCCGTCCTCGCCGCGGGTGTGTTTGTGAAGGGGCAGGTATCCAAGGCGAAGAACCTCGCCTCCGAGACCGGTGAAGCCGCGTGGGATAAGGCCGCCGACCTCGCGCAACCGTACCTGAAGAAAATGCCCGCCGTGCAGAAACTCCTTGACGGAAAGATCGATGACCTGAAGCAGCTCGCGAAAGAGAACGGCGGACCGGAGTTGGAGAAGATCGTGACCGACTTGTACACCGAGCTCAAGAAGATCGGTGACAAGGGAATCAACAAGGACAGTATCGCGCAAGCTACCAAGCTGGTCGAGAGCAAACTCGCCGAGGCCGCCAAGCTCGGCGCGGGCGCTGCGGGAAAAGCCGGCGACGTCGCGTGGGATAAAGCCTCGGAGCTCGCCAAACCCTACCTGAAGAAGATGCCCGAGGTCCAGAAACTCCTCGACGAGAAGATGGGCGACATCAAAAAGATCGCCAACGAGAACGGCGGTCCCGAACTCGGCAAAATCCTCACCGACATGTACACCGAGCTCTCCAAACTCTCCGAGAAGGGCATCAACAAGGACACCATCGCGAAAGCCACCAAGATCGTCGAGAAGAAACTCGCCGAGGCCGCTGACGTCGGATCCAAAGCCGCATCCAAGGCCGGCGACGCCATCTGGGATACCGCCTCCGAGGCCGCCGCGCCATACCTCAAGAAGATGCCGGAAGTCCAATCCCTGATCGAAGACCGCGCCGAGGAGATTAAAAAGATCGCCAAGGCCAACGGCGGCCCGGAGCTCGAGAAGATCATCAAGGACATGTACGCCGACCTCAAGAAGGTCTCCGACAAGGGCATCAACAAAAAGTCCCTGGAGGAGGCCAAGAAGATCGTCGAAGACAAACTCGCAGCAGCGTCCAAGATCGGCTCCGACGTGGCCTCCAAAGCCGGCGACGCGGTCTGGGATAAAGCCACGGAAGCCGCGTCCCCTTACCTCAAGAAGATGCCCGAGATCCAATCCCTGATCGAAGACCGCGCCGACGAGATCAAGAAACTCGCCAAATCGAACGGGGGCCCTGAACTCGAGGAAGTCATCACCGTCATGTACGCGGATCTGAAGAAGGTGGCCGATAAGGGCGTCAACAAGAAATCACTCGCGGAGGCAAAGAAGATCGTCGAGGACTCGTTATCCCGCGCCACCGACATCGGCTCCAAAGCCGCGTCGGATGTCTCCTCCAAAGCCTGGAAACAAGTCGAGCCCCTCCTCACCAAACACGCCGACCTGAAATCCATCGTCGACGACCGGCTCGGCGACCTGAAGGACGTGGCGGCCAAGCACGGGCCGAAGGGCGAGAAGATCCTGGAGGAGACGTATGCGAAGATTGCAAAGATTGCGGAGAAGGGGGTCAGCAAGGATACGGTGAAGGAGTTGAAGAGTGTGCTCCATCAGCAGTATGACAAGGCGAGGGCTTTGGCGGAGGATGTGCAGGATGATTTGTGAATGCGCTCCCCACCCCCCACTACCCTCTGAGTTGAGTTGAGACGAGTGAGATGATGGAGGTCTTTCGCCAGCTGGAAGTTCCATGGTCTCTGAGATACCCCCCCTACGCCTACCCCTTCCCACCATGTAGAGTGATGCCAACCCCCTTTTGTCCTTACATGGCATACATCGGCTTTTTTTTCTTGGAAGCGCGCCCACACATTCTTTTGTGAATAATCATGGCTCTTTTTGAAAAAAAAAACAAAGGCTGGCAGCGATCGCCGCAGGGCAGGATGGGACAACCGCCCGCACAGATCGTCTATAAAAACAAATGAGCTTGTCGACGGTACAAAGCGCATAACGACAGACCGTCTATGTACATTTTATTCATTGCAATCTCTCGTGCCCCATCCGCAGTACCAAGCGCGACGGGTAAAGAGAAAGGCCGCTATATAGATGCTGGTCGGGGTGTCTACCATGTCAAGGTGTGTCAGACCGATAACCTCGCTACATAAGGGCTACAGTGGCATCCGCAGACATGGACCCTTGGTGTGAGCTATGTAACGCTGACTGTACGGCCGGTCTTCCTCACTTTACATTCAGATACAGCACGCACGCCGGCAAAGGGCGCTGAATGAGGAATTCATCCTTTCAAATGACAAAGAGGGAGGGATCCATCGTCATTTTACATAGCCGTACGATCAGGCCGCTGAGCTGGACTAGCGATTGGCAGCCTTCGAGGATCTTCATGTGTGTCATGCCAATTTCCTGTTCAAATAAGAATATCCCCGTCAGTAAAATGTGGGTGCACCCAAAAGCCCACCAACCAGTCCACTCACCTTAATGAACTCCAACTTAATAAACTCGGGAATATCCTCAAAGCCCTTCGTCACCCTAAACAGCGTCGTAATCACATCCAGCGCCGAGTACCCCTGCACCCACAGCCCCCTCATCCTATCCAACGCGGCGTCCACATTCCCCTTGCTACACGCCTGGATAATCTCGGTAACCACAACCGGATGCGGCTGATCACACACCTTGAACACATTCTCGGCATTCACAAACCCAAACCCGGCCCACGTCGCCTGGATGTTGTTGATCGCCTGCCGCATATCCCCCTCGCTGCTGAAAATGATCGCTTCAAGGCCCTCGGGGCTGTATTTCACACCCTCGGCCTCGCACACCTCCAACAGCCGTTTAAGGATCTGTTTGTTGGTCAAGGGCACGTAGCGGAGGATGGCGCAGCGGGATTGGATGGGCTCGATGATTTTGGAGGAGAGGTTGCAGGCGAGCGCGAAACGGGTGGTGGAGGAGTAGATCTCCATGGTCCGACGGAGCGCTTGTTGCGCGCCGGCGGTCATGGAGTCGGCTTCGTCGAGGATGATGAGCTTGTGGCGGTTGGAGGGGAGGGTCACTTTTTTTTGGGCGAACATTTTGATCTTGTTGCGGACTACGTCTATTCCTCTGCCGGGGATGATATGTTTGTTAGCCTTTTTGCGCCCACGCTCGTTACGGCGAACATTCATCGTACCTATCGTCAGAAGCATTCAGCTCCAACACAGCCTCCTTCTGCAACGGCCCCAGTAGCTCATTCGCTAAACACAGTATGGAAGTCGTCTTGCCTATCCCCGGTGATCCCTACCCACAGCTTAGTCGTCAGCCCCATTTCCAACCGTTCCCCCTCGTTCCCATTGATATCCCACCGCATACCGAGATAATAATATTCGGCATATTCCCCTCCTTTGCAATGACCTGCAACCGGCTGACGGTCTCCTCGTTGCCTACTACATCTTTTATTAGTTTGGGACGGTATTTTTCTACCCTGGATGACAGAGTTCGAAATTTAGTGGGTTGGTGGGAATTTGAGTGCTTTGACAGCGGGGGACGTACCAGGGCAGTTCGTAGTCGTCTGTGGGCGCTGTGGAGCTGCTTGCCGCTGCTTTGCTGGCGGACATGTTTCAGTGGAGGACTCGCTGGTACTGCTGTTCCGCCTGTGCTGGTGTGATGTTGGACTGCTCCGTTGCCCTTTTGCCTTGACGTCCCACTTTCGGACAAAGTGACTTCCGCCCGGTCACGACAGGACGCGTACTGACAGGACCCGCTCTCGACAGTCTGGATGCCGCTCCTCGACTTCCATCATCCCCTCATTTCCACGACGGCATATCGCTTCTTACAAACTGTGGCAGCAATGCCCATGTTGGACGTACCTTGCATTCCTGCACTGAATGTGTACTTACATTGCTCTTGTCTACCCTGGTCAAAGTTGCTCTGTGGCTTGAAAGGCGGTTAGAGCGGAGTTTGGGAGCCGACAAACCGTCAATCGGTCTCTCCCAGACGACGGTTGTCCCACAAACGGACATGGGGCGGGTGTTACTCTTTTGCTCTGCATTATTTCATAGCTGCTTACCACGTTCGCTAGTCACCGGACTTGTACGCACTCTCGCAGGCGAGAACGGTCTTGCCACCCGACATCTGCCGCGTCGACGGAAGTCTCGAGTCGACATGGTTAACCTTAAAGTACCCTCTTAGTCGGAAAAAGTTCTTTTCGAACGAATGTGCCGCGGAAGCAACATTGGGATGAGTAATGAAGGAATAAAAGGGGGATTTGAGAAAGGAGGAGAACAGATGGGAAACCGGCGGTTTTTCGTAATCGACTGATGCAAATCTCTCGACGCACTTCCGTAGCTGCACTCGAAGATATATAACCAGCCCGACTCGACATCCGTGCATCACCGTACACAACCCCCCTAACGCTCATCAACTCCGCCCGAACGCCCAACTAACCTCATTCGACGTTCCGAAATGGAATCAGCAGCCGACCTCATCGTCGCCTCCCAACTCGACCTGCTCGACACCGCCGGCTCCCGCCGCGCAAGCACCGCCCAACCCGCAAACTCCATCTACCGCAAACCAGGCCCCACCGTCGGGCGCACCCCCTCCCAGATCGACACCCTGAAGCTCGAGGGCGGTGGAGCGCACACGGATGATCTGGGCGATGATGAATACGACGACCATGACGGAAAAGAGGACGGCCGACGACCGCTGGTGTGGCATGGACGCGCGGATAGTGAGTGCACGCAGGCGGAGAAGTCGACGGATACGTTGCCAGGAAGGAAAGGGAGTAAGACGAAACCGGCAAAGATCGATATCGCCAAATCGGCGCTGCTCACCCCGCCATCCGTCTCCTCCGCCTCTGATGTACCGACATCCGCCGACCCGCCAGGCTTCTTCAAAAAGAATTTGGGGTTGCTGTGGATGCTCCTCGCCGCGTGTCTGTTCACGATCATGTCGATCAGCGTCAAGGCGATGACGACGTCGAGTAGCGAGGTGTTGCCGACATTGGAGATTATTTTTTTCAGGAGCGTTTTTGTGTGGTTGTTTGGGGTTGGCGGGATGCTGTACTGGGAGGTGGGGGATGTGTGGTTGGGACCGAAGGGGGTGAGGGGGTTGGTAAGTTTGGTTGGAGTTGGGGGTTCATGCCTTTTGGAGAGATGAGCAACCCCCCCGAGCTGACTATCTATGATTTTCCCGGAATAGCTGTTTCTGCGAGGCGTCGTGGGCTTCATGGGCCTGACATGCGGGTGGTATGCCTTATCGCTGCTCACACTGGCAGATTCGACCGTGCTCGGGTTCCTCTCGCCCGTCTTCACCGCCATCCTCGCGCGATTAGTCCTCAACGAGCCGTACCAGGTAAAAGGCCTACTCTCCCCTATTCGTTCCATCAAACATCCTATCTGATCCCACCCTCTCGCACCCACAGCTGGTCGACGCAATCACCGGCACCCTCTCCATGGTCGGCGTCCTCTTCATCGCCCGCCCCCCCTTCCTCTTCGGCTCCACGCCCACCTCCACCCTCGACACCCCGGACGACATCCTCGCCGGCGGCGGCGGCACCGACGACATCAGTTCCTCCGAGATCGCGGCGGCAGAGGACATGCTCTCCCTCACCAACACCACCTCCCGCATCCTGATCACATCCCCGGCCCCCGCGCAGTCCTTCCTCGGAATCATGGTCGGCCTCACAGGAGCGTTGATCGGCGCGTCGGTGTTTATCATCGTGAGGAAACTGTGTGGACGTGCGACGCCGTTGCATATTGTGAGTTGTTTGAGTCTGGTGTCGATCCCGTTGAGTGTGCTTGCCGGGTTGGTGATGCCAGCTACGACGCCGTGGATTGTGCCGAGGGATCCGTTGACGTGGATGTTTCTTTTGGTTATTTCGGGGTCGGCGTGAGTAGTCTGGGGAGGTGTATATGTAGTCGGGGCAGACGTGTTGGAAAGGGGTTTCCTTACGGAAATTGGAATTTTTATGGAATTTTTAGGTACGGTGGCCAGCTCTGCACGACCAAATCGCTGCAACTCGAAAGCGCCGGGCGGGCCGCCAGCATGAACTACGTGCAGGTCATCATCGCTTTTGTCGCCGAGTGGATCGTAAGGAACACTTTGCACCCGTATCTCCCCGCCCACGTCACGATCCCTCCACTGAAGTCTCTTCGTTCGATCTAGATCTGGGACAAGATCCCAACAATGTCCAGCCTGATCGGCGGCTCGATCGTCGGGTCGAGTATCGTTATCATCACCGTTTCGAAGCTGAAGAAGAAAAAGTGAGATTGCGAACCACGAGGAATTCGCTGGGATTGTGGGTCCGTCCACTTCGAAATCAGTGGAGGACACTTAGGGAGAGACGATGGGGTAGGGTGGTATTGGCGGGGTGGGGAATGTGATGGGATGGGACTTGTACGCTGGTTGCTATAGACATGACACCGTAAATCAAGCTGGTGCCCGCCTGTGTAAAGAAACACCACCAGTGTGTCCCGGCGGATAGTGTAATGCATTACAGTATACAATTTCGATTCTGATAGCTGTTGGTCGTCATAGAACACGTTGATAGATCTATTTCTTTCCACTTCTATTCGCGCTCTGCTGTAGAAGTCATAAAAGAACAAAAGCTTGTTCCTCGCTGAGAGTGCTACGTGTAGTGGGTAGGGGTGCGGGCCGTTCTGCGTACACGGTGCGCTTAAGCGGAAGGAAAGCAGACAGAGGAGTTTACAGTGATGTTGGGGGGTTTTTGAGTGAGCTTAGCGGGGGTTTATTTCTGTGATGTCGGGGAAAAAGTGAGTGAGCGTGTAATCCGGGCAGGGAAGGCATGCTGCGTGTGGCTCACCTTGCCAGACTTCTTGATACCACCACCACCTATAGATTACGGCGACAGGCAGGAAAAAAACACCATCAGTCAATCTGAACTTAGCGGTTCTCCCGAGATCTTCATGTCATTCCTTCGTCTTCTGCCGAGCGAACCGCTGCCCTTCGTTGCCACCAATGAAAAGTCTCCAGCGTGTTCCGCATCAATCTCCAGCAGTCCCAACCAGCACAATCCCCGCCACAAACACCCCCGCAACGCGAAGATCACCCCAACGCACCAAGAGGTCCCTTCTTGGCCGACTCAGCCAGTGCTTTCAGCTTGGCCGCTTCCTCCTTTTGCTTTTGCTTGAAGGCGAGATCGTTCTGAGGAAAAGTGGAAGAGAAAGGTGAGGAAGCGTATTCTGACAGAGACAGAGAGTGTGCCTCGATGCTCCCGAAGCCAGACTCTGAACAATGCTTTATTGACTCACATCATCCAGATCCGCCTCCTTCTTCTTGGCGCTCTTAAGAGGCTAAAGTACATAGTCACAGAATGCGAGGTTAGTTAATCGAGCGGAGGATTGGGATAGACGGTTCTGTGGTTCGCGAGTTGCGAGAGTGCGGCATACCTTCAACTTTCCACCTAAACAAGGAGAGAGAATCGTGTAAGCCAAGGGTATCACTTGCAGGACTCCGCTCAGCGGTCGCCGTTTGAGTGGGTATATGCGCTTCTCTTACCTTGACGTCCAGACATTGTTGCGAGGTTTATGTGAGGACGTTGGGGGGGTTTTGTGGATGGAAACGATTGTGCATTGCGAGGGTGGGGATTGCCCTTGGGAGAGGGGAGCAGACGCGCTCCTGCTCTTGTGCGACACTGTGCGACGGTGACTCACCCCCGCGTCGTCCTCCTTCGCATGGCAACTCTCTCGACTAAACCTCTCGCAACGGTCGCTCGACAAACATGTGTGTGGGAGGAGAGAGAACCCCTGGAGAGAGAGACATTCGCTCGGTACAGATCAGCCTTGGAAATATTAGAGTGGGCCGGAGGAAACAACATCGTCAATATGGCACTCGCTCAGGCATCAAAGTGTCTGCTGCAAACCTCGCGTACGTTTGCAGAACGGCAGGCAACAGCAACACTCTCTCGCCAACCACATACACACGCTACATCGCAACCCCGCCAACTCATATCCCAGCAGCTACTCGGGCTACGGATAGCTGGGATGGCGTCGGTAGTCTCGAGACCAAAGGAGTATCTGCATTCTGGGAATGTTAGGGACAACCCGGGTGCGAGGCGGAAGGTAGGGCGACGGAGATCACCACGTAGGAAGGGACAAGGGGCATGAAGGAGGGCGAGGGAAGGTGGGCTGGTGATGGCAAACTTTACGAAGCAAAGTCGCGCTCGAAGGGTTGTTAGCATGTTTGAGGACGGCGAGGTGGACGAGCCGCCGCTGCCGGGCCGAATATGCTACATCCATTTCGCATGAATACCCTCAATCTGTGGAGCATGCGTTAATGAAGCCCATCTCATTCCACAGAAAAAGATAAAAGGACGCGGAGAAGGCACAGGCAAAGGCAAAACCGCCGGCCGCGGACAAAAAGGATACCACGCCAAACACTCCACAACAGGCCCTTACCGCGGTTTCGAGGGCGGGCAGTCCGGTCTCATCTCTGCCATCCCCAAACTCGGAAACAGGGGTCTTCCCAAACCCCGTCTGACGAGGCTGTACCTCGACACGTTGCAGCATTTCATTGATACGGGGAAGCTGGATACGAGCAAGACGATTACGATTAGGGAGCTAGTTGAGGCCGGAGCGGTGGGGAAGATTAAAGATGGGGTTGTGTTGTTGGGGAAGGTATGTGTCCTTTCTCAACAGAAAGGGACCTATCCAAAGCAGCGGTACAGCCCTAACGTACTATAACCCGACCAACAGGGCGGAGAATTCTTCACCCACAAGATCGACCTCGAAGTCACCCGCGCCTCCCAACCCGCCATCAAAGTCGTCGAACAGCGCGGCGGCAAAGTAGCCGCGGTATTCCACGGCAAAACAGCGCTGAAAGCGATGCTCAACCCGTCCAAGTGGGCGATCATGCCCCAGAACCCGATCCCGACTGCTGCGCATGCTATGGGTAAAGTTTTTGTGATTTTCTCTGTTCGCTTCAATCCCATCCAGTCACTTGAACTGACGGATAACTTTTACGGGAACATAGCACGCTACACCGACCCCGTCCGCCGCGGTTCCCTCGCCCCCGTCGTCGAAGGCGTCGAGAAATCAGCCGTCGTCTCCAAATTGCTCGCGATGGCCGCCGCGAAGCGCGCCGCTGCTGCTGCGGCGTCGGGGCAATCTACTACCGCACGTCCCTCTGCGTGAGGGGGGTTGAGATGGGACATGCGGGCTGGGGATGAGCCGGGCACTTTTTATTTTGTACAGAGATCATGAATTCCAAAACGAGACGTGTTTCTGCAAAGCGGGGTTTGGCAATATCTTGGGTTACAGACGAGAGGTGGAGTGTGCGTGTCTGGGGGATATTTGAGGACGAGCGAACAGGCGCGCACGGAGGCTTTTTGCGTGAGATGAGATCGACGGCACGCTATTCATTGGGTAGTGGGAAGGGTGGCCAGCTGCCAGACGGCATTTCCAAGACTTGTTTCAGCACGGGATGTGTTCCTCCGGTTTCCGTTTGTTTGTTGGAATTTGGGTTCATAGTTGCTGATAAGCAAGCCGCCGCCGGATGCTCACACGCCGTACTTCTCATTGACGCTCCATTTCTGGTGTCTATTCCATCAAAAAGCTCGTTCCAAATCCAGTGTAAAGCATCCCTCGGCACCATACATACATAACCTACACTACCCCCCTCGTCCCTCTCATCGTACACGCCAACCGCAGGGCTTTCACGCAGCACACTCATTTGGCATCCCACCCGTTCCAGAACCTAATTCAACGGCGTAGGAAACATCATCGCCACAAAATTTCCCCACGCTCCAAGGTGGTAGATGTTCCGCAGCTCGCGCGGGTGAGCGATATGGATCAGCTCGTCGTCGTTCTCATCCTCCTTCGCGTCGTCCACATGTGACGGTGGTGATGGCGCCGCGGATGTCTCCACCCACCCGTTCTCACTCATCATCCCCTTCTGACCGGCCGCGGCCTTTTTCCGCCGTCGCCGGGTCGATTTTCCAGTCTTCTCATCTTCCTGTGGCGGGGGTTGGAACGAAGGTACCCCGTCCTCCCTCACACCGCTAACCCACGCGTTCCACTCCCCGACCCTTCCCCGATTCTGCCTCACCACCCACCGGGGCACATCCACCTCGCCCTGTAGGACATCGTACGCGACCTCGTCCCATTTGAACACCTCATTGGTTGTCTTTCCGCGCAGGACGAGAATGAGCTGGTAGAGGGTGAAGCACGAGACGACGAGGGCGACGATGAGGCAGAAGAAGCCGAGCGCGGAAAGGAGGATTTCGCGGTGGATTACGTACTGGGGGGGGGGGGGGGGGGGAGTGATGGGGGCGGTGAGGAGACAAGGGACCATGACCAACCCACGAATACGCCCAGTCCATAAATAACTAGCACAACTCACCAGCCACTGCTGCTCCGTCGAAATGCTCGTCCTCCGTCCCGTCTTCCGATCCAGAACCCACAGCTTATCCACCTGCAACCGCTCCATCTCGCGCATGATGAGGATGGCGACCAGGTAGGCGCCGTAGAAGCAGATGGTGCAGATGGAGAGCAGGAAGAGGAGGAAGTAGCGGTAGTTGAGGTGGCCGACGCAGTTGTTTACTGGGTGGGTAGAAGGTGGAGTTGGACTGAGAAGGGTGGAGTCTGAAGGTGTGGGGCAAAGGGCACAGACTTACTCCAAGCGCAATGGTGGCTAGCGAAAGTGGGAGGATATTGACGTGAGAAAACCGGTAAACGTGTAGGGGGCAACGAAAGTAGGAGCACCCGCATGTCCCAGAGTGCCCGAATGATGGAACGGCCCACTCCATCGATGTCTTACTTACTCACTTTTAGCAATACATGCTTTACACACCGAGCAATGTTTCGATCGTGGCGGTCTGCGGGTGTCACGTAGTTTGTTAGCTTCCCACGCTACCGGAATGCGGTCCCATCCCGACGTTGGGGAAAGACTGACACTTACTTCAGGAACTTGCACGTCTTGCACATCTTCTCGCTGAACACGACCTAGGGGGATCCACGGTCGTCAGTTCCATAGCTGCCCAACTTCTATCGTCACCGATGCCCTTTGAATTCGCACTCTCCTCAACATGCACATCCCATTCCCCGCATGCGGCGGTCGACGGCCATCGTTACATACATTATCATACTTCCAGATCCTAAACGCCTGCTCGCAATTCGCCTTCGTCAGCGTGCCCGGGTCGCTCCGGCACGCCACGAAGAAGCTCGTGTACACCGACGAGATCAACGCCGGTGCCAGGATCCTGTTGAGCGATACCCTTTCGATTAGGCGCTTCGTGTCTTACAAGCCTCCCACGCCGATGGCGGGCCGTACGAGACCGGACCAAATCGAGCCGATCCCGCGTCCCAAATCGGATCAACTCACACATGAACCCCACCAGCCTTCCACACCCTCATCCACGCTGTGTAGAAGAACACGCCCACCGCCGACGTGATCAGCAGCAAAAACATGATCTACGCCAGTCCAAAGAAGACCATTAGCACCGTTCCCATTTACACCGCCACCGCGTTGCGCCACCTCATGCCATTACCTGGAAAGCCGGGTTCCGGCTACGTACGCACTGGGCTGCATAGTTGTCCATCTTGCGCGTGAGGCGGGTGCCCAAGACGAGGCGGAATGCATAACTGCGGAAATCACATTCAACACCATCACCATCGTCGATAAAAGATCCCATACACCCCCAAACTCGGCTGCCCCATTGCTCGCACACCCAGTCCCAGCACCCAGTCAGAAAATGAGAAGCAAGAACGTACTGAATCCCCAATGGAATCTTCTCCGTCAGCACATTATGCAATTTCCCGAGCGGCCCGTCGCGGAAGGTGGCGGATTCGCCAAAGAGGAGGATGATAACGAAGGCGGCGAAGAGGCCGAGGTAGAGGGCTATTGATGGGAGGGCGTCCATTGATGTCGGGCGGAGGCCGTGGTACATTGGGAATTGTGAATGCCTCTGACGCGAGGCCAAAAATGACGACGAACGGCTTGGAAGTTGGCCTCAGACATTCCCACCAACTCGGGCTAGATCACTCACGGCCACACTTATTTCTCATTCCAACATGGAGGCCATTCACATAGTCCTCGTATGGGCATTCATAACAGCCACGGTCGAGAAGCTCGGCTACGCAGCCATATCCAAAAAAGTATGTTATGTCTCATGTCCCTCCATTCTTTCACCCTAACTGAGCGTCCTGTATTTTTCTCGAACAGGTATGCGGCGTGTACCGCTCGATAGTGTCGCCGGGTGAACAGAAGCGGTTGAGGGGGATGCGGGGCAAAATTGTGGACGTTACGAGGGAGTTGAGGGGGACTAGTGCGCAGGTAGGGGATGTGGAATTCGAACGGGGAGGAAGCGGAAAGAGGGAGGGTTGCTTGGCTGTAGTGATGGTGGTGGCAAGCATGAGGCTGGTGGACTGATCCAGGGCCTTACGTATCCAGGATGAGTTTGCGAAATGGGCGCGGCTACGACGGCAACTAGACAAACTCAAAGCGGAGTACGACACTGCCGGTGAGACTCTTGTGCCTATGAGACCTTCCTGCAATTTCAACCACTCACCCCCACCCACCCCTCTCCAAAGCCCAATCCGACACCCTAACGCGCACAACCAGCGAACTCAAACTCACATGGATCCTCCGCGCCCTGCTGTGGACGTCGCAGGTCTACCTGATGGCGACGTATCGCACGCGGCCGATGCTGCAGATGCCCAAGGAGGTGTTGGGCCCGTTTGCGTGGTTGGCGAGCTTTCCTTTTGGGGCGCTGGGTAGGTGTTTTGGGATTCCGTTGGGTGTAGGTTATGGGTATTCCGGATGCCATTCTGATAAGCTATGCACTGTTTGTAGGATCCGTGAGCGCCTTCTTCTGGTTCTTTGCATGCAAGCGACTGTTCAAGAAAGTTTTGGAGTGAGGGGAGGCGGATGATGGGGCAGGATTCATCACGCCCCGTCACATTTCCGCGTTTGCTCCATTTTCATCGCGAGCGGAGTGAGCGATTGGTGGTTGTCTGCGGCGAGCACAGTTCGCTCTGCAACCCCCTCGCATCACCCTCCTCGCCCCAACCTTGTATATAGATAGCGTAGTGGCATTGCAGACGGAATAAGTGGCTTGGAATTGGATATTTCGCATAGGAGAATCATATTTACAAAGATGAAAAGTACCAGGCATACCATGCATGCGTGTGCTAGGCTATGTATGCAAGGCCGACAGAAAGATGTACACTATATGTACACTATGCTCCTATGTTACGCAATGCACCTGGGGGTATATGCAACTCAGATCCTGACCTGCTCCAGCTTCCCGCTCATCCCAAGCAAGAAGTTATCCTCATACTTCCCATTCCCAACAAAGTTATGCGGGAACCCCAAATCAATCGGGCCCGTCTTTTCCAACGTCTCCACATGCGCTTGCGTCAACTTCTCCACCAACTCCAACGCCGCAATATTATCCTTCAGATACTCCGCCTTCCTGCCCCCAAGAATCGGGAACGTCAGCGGGTACTTCTTGATCACGTACGCGATGCACACCTGCATACGCGTCGCGTTGAGTTCGGCTGCGATGCTGTCGAGCGCGGAGACCATTGCGTCGTGGGTATCATGTTTCTTGAAGAAAGGTGTGCCCTCCCGCGCGGGGGCTTCGTCCTTCTTGTACCGCCCGGCCCCAAGCACGGACCACGGCGCGATGGCCATGCCGAAGTGCTTGACCATGGGAATGATGTCGCGCTCGAGGTCGCGTTCTTCGACGTTCCATTTGCCTTGGTAGACCACAAACGGGGCCAGGTTGTGTGCTTTGGCGTACGTATTGGCGGCGGACACGATCCAGGCGGGGGTGTCGGACACGCCGAGGTAGAGCACCTTTCCGCTCAGGACGAGTTGGTTGAGGGATTGCATGACTTCCTCGACGGAGGTCGTGTAGTCCCACCAATGGACGTACAGGAGATCGATGTAGTCGGTTTCGAGGTTCTTCAACGACCGCTCGACGGCGATTTTCAGGTTTTTGCGCGAGTTGCCGGCGTGGTTGATCCAGATGCCGTCTTTGTTTTGCGGGGTGAGTGGGGACGTGAATTTGGTTGCAATGACCATTTCTTCGCGGTTGTTGCGTTTCTGCATCCATTCGCCGATCCATTGCTCGGATTGGCCGTTTTGGTAGTTGTCCGCGGTGTCAATGAAGTTACCTCCCGCATCGTAAAAGGTGTCGAGGATCTTGAAGGCCTCGAATTTGTCGCATTTGCCGAGCATGCCTTCCCACTCGGTGCCAAAGTTCATCGCGCCTAGGCAGATGGGCGAGACACGGACACCGGCGTGGGCCCCAAGGACCTTGTAGTGGCCCAGACGGGTTTTGGGTTCTGGTGCGCGTTGCATGGTTTGGATGAAGTTATGGAGGATGGATGAGGGTTAGGTTGAGTGGATGAATGAGAGAAATGAGAAGTGAGAGTTGTGAGAGTGGGGGGAAAGTGTGGGGTCGGTGGGCGTCTCCTTTATATACCCGCAGCAGCAGAAGCCACATCGGGGTGTGTGTGGGGTTGGGTTGAAAGCGCCTTCCGCAACACGCGCAGCATCCCCCATTTGTCATCCTCGCGTCGTCCCTTCCACTAATTGCGGTCCAACACGTTGCAAACAACCTCGGACTTCCCAACGCCAGACTTCCACATCCCATCTCGTTTGTTTCCGAGCGGGAACCTGTGAGGCTGTTGACATGTTTCAGAACGAGGTCTTGCGTGTACAGTACGACGCTGTATACGTACCTGTGTTCTTGGTAAACCGCACTCATCGCGAGAATGCCTGGATAGTGGTCGCGTTGCCAATGGATGCCACACAGCCTACTCTCTGGCCTGTGAGACCGTGAAGCCGTGAACTTGAGTTGAGACCGATAGATCCAGACAGCTTGTCCAAGGAGCAGTCCAAGGTGCAAGCGAAGGAGGGATGTGGGAGGGATGTGAGTGGGATGGCCTCGCAGGACCCCCTTTCGAATGGGAAAGCCCCCACGCGACGCTCCTGATGTCACCGCCTTTTCCGCGAACTCCCACCGAACGAACGAACGAACGTGCCTATGTATTCCCACGCAATCTGCGAAAACATCTTACAGCGGACATACTAATACAGTATATTCCCACAGCGTCCTTCCCAGCCGTACTTAGTATCCTCCACCCCGCAGTCATGTATGCTGAGGCCGCAGAAGCTCCTCCTGTCGAGGTGATCTCCCGGCAAGAATCAGCATCACCGCCAGACGTAACCCTCCCCAGTTCAACAACCACCACCCTCACCAACACCCAGCAGCAGCCCCGTATCCTCAAACCCAACCCCACCTCCCACAAACAGAAACTCACCACCTACGCCGCACCTCCTCAAAATGTCCATCTCCCCAACCTCCCCCACCAAACCCCCCAACAAATCGCAGCAAGCATCCAGTCCACCCTCCACGGCCTCCGCACAACCGCCACCCTCCTCACCCACTCCGCCCGCGATGTCGCCTCCTCATCTCTCACCGCACTCCAATCCCACATGGACACCTACCCGGCCCTCCAAACTTTCGTCCTAACAACCGCGGTACTCTCAACGGTGCCCATTACGGTGTTTGCGATTTATGTGGCCATGACAACGCTGGGGAGTATTGCGACGGCGGTGGTGGGTGTGTTTCTGATGCAGAGTGGGTTGACGTTGATTGGATTGGGGGTGTTGTTGCCCGTGGAGTTGGGGATTGTAGGGATTGGGTTGGCGGCGGCGGCGGCGAGGTATACGGGCGTTTGGGGGTTGCAGGCCGCTCAGGATGTCGCTTTGAGGTATGTGACCGATAGCGAAACGGCGAGCGGGGCGAGCCCAGTGTGATTTCGCGCTGTAGCGCGGTGCCGAGCGTCAGCGCAGGGCGAGCGGAGCGAGCCACATTGCGCCAAAGCTCCCCTAAGCAGCGCTCTTAGCGAACCTCAGCGAGCGTCAGATCTTTTGCAAGCGAAGCGAGCACCACACTGCGCCCAAAAGCGGAAGACTCCCTCATCTGCTTCCACCATCCAACCAACAATGCAAACTGACTCTCTCCCATCCCTCACATCAGAACAACAACAATAGTCCGCGAAGCCAACGCGCGCGCCGCCGAAACATCCCTCACGTCCGCAATTCGCCGGCCCCAACATGCACAACAACAACAACAACAACAACAACAACAACAACAAGAGTATCAGAAACTCGAATTCGATCAGCCGATCGCACCTGTGCCAAAATACGCGGAGAATGTGAATGGGACCCCGGTATCGGTCGTGCTTACTTATGATGATGTGGATGATTAGTGGGTGGGATGGGTGTGAGAGGAGTTGGGAAGGGTGGGGGTGGGGAAGATGGCCTCAGCTATCCGCAACGGGGATGTTCGGGGGAAGTTCTGTACATGTACATACTGTATATATTCCCGTATACCTACCGTGCGTCTCGCACCGACCGTTCGGTTGGCGTAGGTTGCTTCGAACGGCAAGTTCCATGTGGTGTAGTAGTGCCTGAAACCCAGGACGGCCACATGTGAGCGCCTACGTTTAATCAAGCAGGTCACTTCGTTGGCTATAAAAGCCAATGAGTTTTTGGAGAACGAGGGAAGAAGGGAAAGCATGCATTTTACGTTATTTGTTTGGTCTCGTACATATCGGATTAAACCGGAAAAGTTTGTCTTATAGGAAGTCATAAAATCTGCGTCATCAAAGTATCCGGGAGTGATGAAAGCGCTTTCTGCACAGAAGCTCTCTAATGAAGTTGCGAAATGGAATCATGTGTAAAGAACTCGACGGAGAACTATAGTTAAAAATACAGCTTGCAAGTGGTTTTCTTGTATCGTCAAATCGGACGGGTGTTCTTTACAGTCGTATGCTCGGACGAGGGAGTCACCAGAACCGATGTCACCCTCCCGGGAAATCCGAGCAGACGACTGTGAAGGCGATTCCAGGTATCGTCGACACATTTTTCTAGAGCACGAGATAAAAGTGAAGGGGGGGCTTGCACGCTTTTGGCGGAGAGGAAAGCCCGAAGTGTGGACTCTGGAGGCGCGCATTTGAACATGTCCAGGAAGAGCGACGTTCGGACACTCGTTCGGACAGTGTCCGTACTGAACAGTTGTTCAAGCCAACCTTGCTTTCAGACAACCCCCACCTCACAGCCCAACCGCATCTGCCACTTACGGTAACCGCTGTCTTGCAACTAAACAGGCCCGATACCCTCGCTCTCGCCTGCTCTGGGAGAGTTATCTGAGACCCAACGAACCGCCACTGCCGCAAGTGCGAGCAGGCATCGTACACGATGGCCAAGCGCAAGGGCTCGGACTCGGACGGAGAGCAAACTCCTGCACGGAGGAGGAGGGTCACGTCCTCTTCTTCAAGTATGTATCCCGTCGTTTTCGGGCGCCCTTGTGTAGCTCCATCATCTTAATTTGACTTGGAAACCCCACAGGTCAAGGCTCAACCAAAAAAGAGCAGAAAACCATGGATTCCTTCTTCAAGAAGGATGAGGTCAAGAAGGATGAGGCCAACGGTAGCGCTTCGGCATCCCACGCCGAGGCGTACTCGAGACCCAAGATCACCACCACAAACATGGGAAAGCTTAACGGGGACTTCATCCGCAATAAGATGATTGCGGAAGGCGCAGCCGGCGGGCTGCACCCGATCAAGGAAATACCCGATATGTTTTACGATCTTGTCAACAACTGTCCGGCGATCGCGGAGACGGCGGAGGCGTTGAATGGCAGGCCCTTGCGTGTGGCAACCATGTGTAGTGGGACCGAAAGCCCGCTTCTAGCACTCGACATGGTCGCCAGAGCCGTCAAGAAGCGATACGGCGTCGACTTGCGCTTTGAGCACGTATTCAGTTGTGAGATTGAGCCATTTAAGCAGGCTTACATTGAGCGGAATTTCGCACCCCCGTTATTGTTCCGTGACGTCTGCGAGTTGGGCGACGATGAAGCCACCACCGCTTACGGAGCGCTTCGAGAGGTACCCGGGAACGTGGATTTACTTGTGGCCGGTACCTCTTGCGTCGATTTCTCGAACCTGAACAACAAGAAGAAGAATATCGACGAGATGGGAGAGTCCGGGCGAACTTTCAAGGGCATGCTGCGTTGGGTGGACAAGCATCGCCCTGCAATGGTCATTCTGGAGAACGTTGTTGGAGCCGATTGGGAGTACGCCGTCAAGCCTGCTATTGAAGCGCTCAATTATAGGTGAGTCACGACAACGTCATGCCGCTATTATCAACTAAGAGAAGATTCCTGATCATTGGTCGTGTTAATTCATCGTCAAATCTACAGGGCGCAGTTCGATAAGGCAATGGATACGAAGCATTTTTACATCCCGCACACCCGCCAGCGTGGATATCTCTTCGCGATTTCAAAGGATTATACCCAGGATCTGAATGCGGCCAAGAAGTGGCATAACGTCGTCAAGTCACTCACTCGCCCGTTCTCCATGCCGCTGGAGGCCTTCCTCCTCGAGACGGACGACCCGCGCGTGCACGCCGCCCGAGAGCAGTTTATCCGCGCCGCCGAGGACAGGACCGCCAAGCGCGGCCGCCTCGATTGGGAGCGTTGCCAAGGTCGTCACCAAAAAGCCCGCTACGATGAAAGGCTGGGCAAGAAACGCCCCATGACCGCGTGGGAAGACGGAAGCATATGCACACCGTTCCAGTTTGCTTGGCCGGAATGGGGCCGCGTTCAGCCCGAGCGGGTGCTGGATTTGATGGATATCATGTACCTACGCCAGGGTCTTGAAACGAACGTGGATGCCTGCTACAAGACAATCGTTTGGAATCTGAGTCAGAATGTGGATCGCAATCCCCTGAGCAAGAACTACTCGATTACTCCTTGCTTGACGCCTTCTATGATTGCGTACATTACCACTCGCGGTGGTCCCCTGATTGGTCTGTGGGTTGACTTTTGGTTTGAAAAACATTGACAGCGTACTCATGAGGAAATCCGAATTCTTTTCAAGGACGAGAAGCGTTGTCTCTCCAGGGAATCATCGTTGACGAGCTCCTGCTCACCAGGGAGACAGAAGATCAGCTTGCCGATTTGGCCGGTAATGCCATGTCCACTACGGTCGTCGGTACCTGCATTCTCTCCGCGTTGGTCGCTGGCAGGGAAGCAATCAAGAAGCGTCAGCAAAGCGTTGCTGGAACATCAATCATTATGGAAGTCGATGCTGACGACGAGAAGCACCGCAAGGCGACCGAGATGGTCGGCGAATCCCAACTCGTCTCGGAACACTACGATCTCGTTACGTGTAAGACGCTACCGCTCCTTACGCTTCTCAAGCAAGCTCGCAACAGCGCCCGTCTATGTGATTGCGAAGGCCGAGAGATGATCAAGACCACGGATATCCAGTTCTGCAAGGACTGCGGCAATACCGCTTGCTTGAAATGTGGTAAACGACCAGAGCATAACTACGATCTGAAGACACTGGAGAGACAGATGCCTGCTCAGTTCGAGGACGGCCTCAAGGGTGTCTTGCCCATGCGCGTCTCGATCGATGGCTTCACTGAGGCGGCGCTCGAGAGCCTGAAGGGTGACTTGACGGTTGATGCGGAAACCTGGTCGCTCTGGAGACAGACCTCTACGGATTCGGTGCACGGTGCGGAATTCCGATTCAGGATTCTCAAGAGGCAGCAGGTGTGGATCGCGATCTACGAAACCCCCAGGGCCACACTCGAACTGTTGATCGACCCCATTCAGCCGGAGTGGAGGTTGACTGTCAACGCACCTGAGACAGACGCCAAGAACAGCCCTCTCAGACGGTTGTTTGAACAACCTGTTGCACGCATGCGCATCGACCCACGTAACGCCGAAAACTTCCTCGGCGCCGATGGAAGCGGACAATGGGAGCTCAACCTGCCAGCACCCAAATCCTTCACTGTCACCATAACAGGGGAAGGCGAACTCGTTCCGTCATGGAAGGCCCATCTTGGCATCCTTGCCAACGGACTTGAGCACGAAAAATGGTGGAGTCGTGTCGCCATTTCCGATGTGCCTAAAGACGCCAAGGCCTGGCTCGACAGGGATATCACTGGCACGTACGTCCTGCTCGACAAATGCGGCACGGCGATGAACGCCTTGCACAGACTTGAGGAGGAAGGCGCTGCAAACGCGGATGAGATGGATCATCACCCCTTGTTCATGTTCTTGGACCCTACGCGATCTGGCGACCCTAAGCAAGACACCTTCGTGTTCTCCACCAACAACAGGAGGCTGGCGTACCTCGAGACCCGATCCATCACCGCTGCATTGCATTGCACCTGGCGCCCGAGTGACATCAAAGGCCCGCAAAAGGTCAAATGCAACGTCAATGGCCGGTGGGTCCAAGCTGCCGCGATGCGCTTGAATGTACCCCCGGCCGACGAAGCTACTTTTGCGCTTGCGGCGGGAAAACTGGAAGTTGACAGCGAGGCGTGTGATAATACCGCGGTCATGCTTCTCAAGTGTAGTGTGCCCTTGACGTACGCGGACTCCATTTGGCCCGTGGGCGAGTGGACCGACATCGAGCTGCAGCATAAGGGCAAGACCACTTTCGGAACCCTTGCGTGGATCACCGAGCGATTGCCTCCACTTACCGCGCTCGAGGAGTGGATGACTGTTGGCAAGGTATCTGCCGAAGACAGGTGTCAGCGCTGTGCTCCGACTGCCCCTGCTTTGCGATGGCTCCTGAACGGAAACAAGGCGACACCCGTGGAAGACCCTATCCAAGCCGGACCCTACGAACAAGCCCTCAAGCACCGTCCGCAGCCTTTCGTCGCCCAACTCAAATGCGAGGGTGATGTCGGCATGATGCGTGTCGGCGCCAATATCGCCACTTTACTCCATCGCGCCCATGCGACACTAACCTCCGGCAACACGTTCGGCGTCAAGCGCACCGAGCCTATCACTTTGTCATGGCGACTCACCACCGAGTACTCGGTCCTCGACCAGCCGCGATTCGTTTTGAGCAGCAACCGCGCCGACTCGTCTAGCCCGCAGCCCCCGCACTTTACAAGGTACCCGCTGCGACCGGAACAGCTCCGCTCCTTGAGCTGGATGCTTGCCCAGGAGAAGAAGGATGTTGAACCGTTCTATGAAGAGGAGATTGAGGAGTCGGTTTTGGAGCCTCTGAGGTGGAGGGTCGCCGCGAAAGCTGAACGGCCTGTGCGCATCCGGGGTGGTGTCTTGGCCGATGAGGTCGGTTATGGAAAGACCGCCATCACTCTGGGTCTCATTGACGCCTCGTGGGAAGCGGAGATGAAAGCCGCGGGAGTTTCTCAACGTCAGTCCGTCAAGCTACCCGAAGTCTCGGGCGCGATCCCGATCCGAGCGACCCTGATCGTCGTCCCGCCCCATTTATCCAAGCAATGGCCGTCGGAGATCCGCAAATTCACCGACAGCTCCTTCAAAGTCATCGCCATCGAGAACCTCGCGAGGATGAACAAGCTCACCATCGCCGAGTTCCAGAGCGCCGATATCATCGTCGTTGCATCCCGTATGCTCAACTCGCAGCAGTACTGGGAGCGGCTTGCGGCGTTGGCTGGGGACGGCCCCTTACCCGTTCAAGCGGGCCGTCGGTTCAATGTGAGGTACGAGAGCGCGCTCGAGGGTCTCAAAGCGCAGACGGATCGGTTGAAGAAAGGCGACGTCGACGGCGTGCGGGCTGTGGTTGACGCCAACCGGAACCGCGACGATGACACGGTTCTGGAAGTCTCGAGCAGGAAATCGGGCAAGGAGTTGATGGCGCTGTTGCCGCCGTCTGTGGAAGCCGCGCTGATCCGGGGAAGGAAGAATAGGCTTGCTATGATGGCTAATAAGGGGAAGGGCAAGTCGGCCTCCAAAAAGAGGCAGGCGACACTTGATTTTGATGAGATTGAGGAGGATGAGGTGGAAGATGTAGTTGAAGAGGAGGTTGAGGAGGATGTGGATGAGGATGAGCAGGAGGATGAGGAGAACCAGGAAGTTCTTCCTGCGCGTGTGCGCACCCCGCGCGCCGCCGCGGGGAGCAAGAAGCGCGCGATGGTCGTTGACGATGAAGAGGATGAAATGGAGCCGGAGAATGAGGATGATGATGATGATGAGTTTGTACCACCGACCGCTGTTATCGAAGTCGCTGACGAGGACGCCGAGCAGGAAGACGACGACGACGACAACGAGTCAGAAGACGTGCAAGACGAGAACACGTTTGAAGTCGAGTGCTTTCTCCAAGAAGACGTACCCGCCGACGGATCCGAGACCAGATACCTCGTCAAGTGGAAGGGGTACCCCAAGAGCCAGGCTACGTGGGAGCCGTATGAGGGCGTGAAGCATTTGACGGATGTCATGGAGGCGTGGGAAAGGAGGGGTGAACCGAAGGCCAAGAAGCACAAGGCGGCGGATATTTTTACGCAGAAGAAGACTGCGGCTAAGGCGAAGGTTGTGACCAAGGAGAACGCGGAGCCCAAGGTGAAAGATACGCCGAAAGCGAAGGCTGCGACAAATGCGAAGGTAACGCCGAAAACCAAGCCTGAGGCCAAGAAGGTTGCGGTCGAGGAGGACGAAGTAGATGAGTTCGAACCCAAGGCCAAACGCGCCCCAGCAAAACCCAAAACCATTAAGCCGAGCGAGGTCGACCCCTGGCACCTTCGCGACAATGCCGTCAAGCGCGACTGGAGGAAGATGGCCTGTCCGGCCTTGGAGATGTTCCACTTCGACCGTGTCGTGATTGACGAGTACACCTACCTCGAAAACAAGATCTACGCTTCGGTCACCCACCTCAGGTCGTCTAAGCGGTGGATCCTCTCCGGTACACCGCCGCTGGGCGATTTCAACGATATCAAGAGCATCGCCAACTTCCTTGGCGTGCATCTCGGCGCGGACGACACTCTCACGTCCAAGAGGGGCCAGAACGCCAACCAATCCACCGCGGCTGAGCGGTTCCTCTCGTTCCGTGAAGTCCACACCCCTGCGTGGCATTCGCGCCGACACCAGCTTGGTCAACTGTTTTTGGACAAGTTTGTGCGTCAGAACCTAGCGGAGATCGACGAGATTCCCGCGGAGGAGCACTTGATCAATATCCAGCTTCCTGCTGCCGAACGCGCTATCTATCTTGAGCTCGAGCATCACTTGCAAGCCATGGAGATGGACAACAAGAAGACGCTCAAGACGAACGGTGACAGGGAGAGACGGTTGCGTGAGGCCATGGGGTCTTCCAAGACGGCTGAGGAGGCGCTTTTGAAGCGGTGCTCGCATTTTGATTTGAGAGTTGAGGGGAATGAAGAGGAGGGCCCCGTTGTCGCGAAAGAGAGCGATAGCGCCGACGAAGCAAATGGGGAGGACGACGACGACGATTACGCCGTGGAGGCGGATGCGGACGACGAACCCGTGGTCGCCAAGAAAGGCCCGAAGAGCGCCAAAGGCAAGAAGGCATCCATGACGCTGGTCAAGGCGGCCGGGAACGCGCGCGAGGCCTGCGAGATCATTGTCAAGGAGCGCGAGAAGCAATTGGCAGATTGCACGGCCAGCCTTCAGAGGCTCGTGGTCAACGCCAACGAGATGCACAATACTCTCAGAGTCCGCGGCGGATTCTGGGATGGGCGTACGGCGGATTTCCAGCCAAGGAAAGACCCGCTGCATGAGTGGCAGCAACATTGGCTCAACGGAACCGATGTCGGCGATGTCGATGCGGTCGACATGTTGCACGACATCTTGAAGCTGACTGGCACCGTGATTGAAGGGCCCCAGGAGGCGGACCTGGTCCGCAAGAGAGCGGGCAAGAATGGCAATCCGAAGGGCAAGGGAAAGCCGAAAAAGAAGACGGAGGTCGTGAACGGGGAAGTGGTCGAACTGAAGGAAAAGTCCGAGGAAGAGACACTTTTTGACCTATATTGGGATTTACGTGAGGTGGTGCATAAGCTGCGTCGACTCGTCAAGGAGCTCGTGGGACGGGTCCGCTCGTTAAGATACTTCAAGCTCGTGAGGGACCTTCAGAAGACGAGGAAAAACGGGAAGGATGGGGATGCTACACCACGATACTGCCATGGGGAAAATTGCCTGGGAGCCAATGGCGTTAAGCCGATGGAGACGGAGGGGAAAATCCCACTAGACAAGTTGGCCGTGCTTTCGTGCTGTGGACACGTAGGCTGCGAACCCTGTCTCCGCCACCACGCGGGCAAGCAGGAGTGCCCCGTGGCAGGCTGCGAAGTACCTGTCCGTCTCAGCAATGTCGTTCTGGCCAAGACCATTGGGCACGAGAAGGAGGATGAGGAGCTCACGCCTTTCGGAAAGAAGCTTTCGGAGCTAGTCAAGCTCATCAACGGGTTCCCGGAGGACGACCGTGTACTGGTGTTCATCCAATTTGACGACCTGATGGGCCGTGTCGGTGAGGCCCTCGACGCTGCGGGCATCGGAAACCTCAAACTGCAAGGCACCACTGCCCAGACGAGTTCGGCATTGGAAGCCTTCCAACAAGACGACTCCACCGACCCCTTCCCACCCCCCACCGGCAAAAAGCGCACCTCATCCGCCATGGAAGCCAAGAACAACAAACACACCGAAAAGCCCCGCGTCCTCCTCCTCAACGTCATGAACGAGTCCGCGTCCGGCGCCAACCTGACCATCGCCAACCACGCCATCTTCCTCTCCCCGCTCTTGACCGAGTCGCAGCAGGAATACACTGCGTGCGAGACGCAGGCGATTGGACGTGTGCGGCGGTATGGGCAGGAGAAGTGTGTCCACATCTGGCGGTTCTTGACGGAGAATACTATGGATACCCAGATCTTTGAGGAAAGGGAGCGGACTGTCTTGCGTTGATGACGCGCTTTTAGTTCCTCCGAGAGTACTGGGCCGCGGGCGGCGCCGCTGGGTACATTTAATGTTGGTCGATGTCGAGCGGATGAGATGAGATCAAGCGTTAGCAGAATGGAGTGGGATTCGGTATGTCTTGTAGCAGTATAGCGAATTTTAGTTAGCCGCTTTATGGATCAAGAAAAAAAAGGGTTGAACATAGTGGAATTGAAGAGGCTTATGTTTTGGTTTATTATTGTACCAAGTATCTGTATATATATATATTGATATATGTCCAATGCAATGCTATCGCTACTGCACGACATCACAGCGTGTACAGCACAGCGAACCCAACCAGAATCCCAAAAAATTCACATCGGAAGCTCCTCCCCGCACCGCTGGCCACCGATCGACCCCAGTCACCATCGGAAGGTTGCTGAACATCCGGCGCCGTCTGCGGGATCGTAAACCTATCACCAGAAACGACCTCCGCAATTGCCTGCAGATTCCCCGACGTCGACGCCGCAGTCAACGTCGCATCCCCACCACCACCAATCTTCCCACCCGCAGCCTTCTGATCCGCCTGTGACGGCGTGATCCCGCTGCCCAACTTCAGCGTCCCGGCCTCCGTTTTGAAAGCCACGCTACCGAACGATGTCTTGTCGAGCCCAAACCACCCATTCCCGCTGTTCGTCTCCACCTTCACCGTCGCTGCCCCCGAGGCGGTCAGCCCGGCGAGGACGATGTCACCGCTGGTTGTCTTGACGTCCAGCGTGGTCGCGGTTTTGCCCAGGGACACGTACAACGCCGTGATGGACCCGGATTGGGCGGAGAGCCGAGCTTGGGATGCGATGCTGGCGTTTGCGAAGCGTGCGTTTCCGGAGGTTGTGGAAGAGACGAGGGTAGCGGCGGATACACCTGATTTGAGGGATACGTCGCCCGATGTTGTTTTGATTTGCAGGTCTTTATTGACGGTGAGCGCGGCGGTGGAGTACACACCCCCCGACGTCGAGGATACGGACAGACTGTCGAGGCTCGCGGGCGTGGCGGGGAGGTAGATGGTGCTGATCGATGTGTCGATCGTGATCGGTGGGAGGATGGTGGTGGAGGCGGGGAAGGTGATGGAGATGAGGGATTTGATGCAATCCCCTTGGTTGATGACGGGCGGTTGTTGGACTTTTGCGGTGATGGTGTTGGAGGTTTCATCGATGCTTGTGGTGAATTGGGAGAGGAGGGCGGCGGGGCCGTCGATTTGGATGGTTACTACGACGTCTGGGCCTAGATGGTATGTGTGGGTTAAAAAGCGATGAATGGACACTCGCGACGAGGATGTTTGGGCGAGGTGTTCCAAAATCGCTCGCAGCAGCACTGAGGTTCCCTCTCCCCTGCTGACATCCCCCAAATGCTCGCTTCGGTCGCCGGAGAGCACGAATGCTCGTCTAGCCATCGGTCGCAGACTCCACCTCCTTCGCTTCCTTCACTTACCAGTGCCATCATTGAACACCCTCACAGCCTGACTTTCAGCCGTAATCGGCGCATTCCACTTTGTCCCGCCCTGCGCGGGAACCTCCAGCAGCGAGACGGCCGACAACCCAGCGAGCGGGAACGACTTTGTCAAGGGCGTGCCGGGCGCCGCCGTGCATTGGGCATGGACGCCGATGGAGGATACGCTGAGAGCGAAGAGGGTCGCGAGGGTGGCGAGGGTGGGGTTGACCATTTTTGGGACTGTTTGTGGGTTCGGGTAAAGGCTTTGGGCGGTTGTAGTTGGAGAGACGCCCGAAAGATACCATCCTTCTTATACATCGCAGTTAGTGTTCGCATGTTCGCCAAGCATTGCCAAGAATGTAGTAGTGGGCGCTGGTTCTGACCACTGCTGGGCGTTCGCCCACTCACTGCACATGCAACCCCATCCTAGAACCACCGTACGGCGTAGGACTCAGCCCGGGCCAAAGCCGGCATATCATACCCTGCGCTGCCCAGCCTGAGCGGAAGACAGCCCTGCGCAGCGAACCCTGCAGGAACTGCTGAAGAGCCTTCCGACGAAAAAAAAACTTCGCGTTCGCAGCCCGATTGCGCGGATAATTCTGCAAGCCCTTGTGGAACCTCACCGCCGCTTACATTCCCCTTCCGGACCGCCCTCTCTTTACCGCAAACAAGAGTCCTGCGGAAGTTCGGAAACTTGCAGTGAACGTCTGTTCCGTCATCACGACCGGACTCTGTGTAAAAGCCGCAATGCTCGAGGCGTGCCGTACGCGAGCTTCACCTGGGATGCGCTTCCACCTGGGTGCCGCGTGCACCCACAGTTTCAATCTCTACTGTAACGATATGCCTGTTGATTATTTCGATTATTTCAATTCGCCTCCGCAGGTCACTGAGCCATTTCTATCGTTGCCGCACTATCGGTGACTGTTACCGTTGTGAATTACATCTATTTTTCAGTTTTAGCTCGCGAAGTAACTTATTATCCGTATATATAATAATATGATATAGATCGTACAAAAGATGTTGAGGAATATATGGAACTGCTGGGATGAGCAATAGTGATATCTTGCAACGATCCAGGCTATCTGGCGTTCCCAATATTGATCAAAGCGGTGAGAAAGCGGCGCGGCCTCCTTCCTGCACACGCGAACAACACGCTCTCAGAGTCCTCTACACACGGAAAGCTACTGCGTCGTTTGGACCCAAAGTACTGTACGAGCCGACTGCAGCCACAGACATCATTACCCCCTCGGAAAATCCCTCGGATCTGACCGCCTTGCCTCGCTTCTGCTTAACACCTCCCCACTATATACAAAATGTTACAGCGCGACCAAAAAAAAAGCAAAAGGGGGGTAATCAAACTACAGATCCTCTCAAAAAGCCCCGCTGCCTCTCTTCCGCGCCGAAACTCTGGTATATACATTCCCCCATTCAGATATCTATGTGCTCGTCATCCCGCCTCCGCGTTGGGCGTCGCTGCGAACGCGCGCTGCTCTTTGGGTGGTTGCGAGAGCGTGCGGGTGGGTGATACCGGACTGTGGCTGCCGTTCGTGGGGAGGTCTGGGGTGCGGCGGGTGGTGGGCGATGCGCGACTGTGGCTGCTGTCGTTGACGCGGGTGGGCGACGGCTGGGAGAGCGGGTCGGTTGGCCGTTGTGACGGTGGAGGTGTCTGGGGAGGCGGTGGTGGGGGTTCTGAACATTCTGCCGATTCCGACGATTCGGAGAATAACGACGATGATGATGATGATGATAACGATGGCGATGAGGGAGTATCTTCTGGCGGCAACGGCAAGGCAGGGTCCAGGATCGCTGAGGCGGCGATGGCTTCATCGAACGGCGGGGGCGGGGAGTCCGGTATCGAACCCAGATCGTTCCCATGTTCTGAGCAATCGTCACTCGAATCCGACGTATCCGTATCAGCATCTACCCCGTCATCATCCCCGCCCGCATCCGCAGACTCGGCGGCAGGAGCAGGCGGGTGTGACAAGCCCGGGGTCGATTCGTGTATCGTGAGTTCGGAGGGAAGGACGTCGGGGGTGGCAGAATAGGGTGCGTCCTCATCCTCACCGGTCGAATGCTCATCATCCCCCCCTTCGTCAAACTCCCCATCCGCCCCGTCAGCCCTCAACATCGCCCTGATAGCCCTCACCGTCTCCTCACTCAACCCCTCCACCATCTCCGCCACACTCTCCCTCTCCCTATACTCCGGCACCCACAACTCGACCCCCACAACCTTCTCATAATCCAACACCGGCACAATCTCCGGATCCTCATCCACCACCCGCCCGCACTCCTCCCTCCCAACCGACGCAAGCACACACCCAGACTCCATGACCAGTTTATCGGCGCCGTAGAAATCGATACTGACTTGTAGGGAGTGGCGGGTTTCGATGTGGGCGGGTGGGGGCAGGTTGTGGGGCGGGATGGGGGTTGGAGGGAGCGGTTTGGCGGTGGTGGGGGCGAACCCGCCGGTGGAAGGGATGTGGAGCATTGTTTCGGATTCGGCGGAGAGGCCGTCGCCGCCGCGGCAGATGAAGCCGGGGCGGGGGAGGGGGTGTTTTTCGGGGTGGCGGGGTGGGGACGGTTGGGGGTGGAGTTGGGTTGAATCCGAAGTGGAGGAGGAGGAAGGGGGGATACGCAGCGGGCGGGTGCGTGGACTGTGACGTGGGGATGATCTGAAATCGGAGAGCTCGTACTCGCTCTCGGTGGATTCGGGGACCGATTCGGATTGTTCCCAGCGGAGGAGTTCGGACATTCCTTTTACCCGCGTGCCGACGCGTTCGATGGGATTGTAGGGGTCGTCGGGAAGACCCTGACAGCGTTGTTCGCCGATGACGTGGTGTTCGCGAAGGGATAAGCAGACTCGTTTCAGACGGACGCCCTTTCGAGCGGATTCGGGGGCTACGACGATGCGGTAGGCGAAGCGGAGGGAGTCGCCGGGGCCCATGGCGATGGCGCCGACTTCGACGTCGTATTCGACGGGGACGGCGCCGGGGGCGGATCTCCAGCGGCGGATGTCGGGGTGTAGGAGGGTGGGGAGTAGCCGTGGATCGTAGACACAGAAGGGGTTGAGGGAGGCGGTTGCTGTGCGGACGGTGGGGGAGAGGGCGAAAAGGCCGAGGGCGACGGAGGGAACTTCTGTCAGCTTTGCGATAACTTCGTAGGAGATTTTGCCCGTGTATGAGTTGATGGTGGATGCTTGGCGGCCCATGCAGGCCATGGACGGCGGCAGTAAATGAGGTGATGGGTTCGTTCCCGGCGGCGGTGGCGGCAGCGAGTCTGGGTCTGGGTCCGGCGGAAACGGGATCTCAAACGGGATATCTAGCACGCTCCCAGGCGGCACAGTCTCCACTTCCGTCAGCAGCGAGACCTACGAGAGACACAGGATGAGTACGTTGAGTCGACATCAAGCATCGAAAGTCAACGATCACCCATCAACCATCAACCCGTCAACCATCCCTAAAGACGAGGAGGTTGGCCGATGTTGGGCAGGAGCGTAGCTCGCTGAGGCTCTCTGAGTGCCTTATTTAGGGTAAGCATTGCACCTTTGGCGCAATATAGGCTCGCTCCGCTCGCGCTTCGATGTCGCTCGCTTTGGGCACGCTTCGCTCTGAATCGCTCCGCTTTGGCTCATTACCTGCTTATGCAAAAGGACATTCTCCCTGGTCACCGTATCCAACCCCTCCGCCACATCCGTGTACGCGGTGGTGGCCTTCCCACTCAACACGACCTCCAGCTGTTGAATCCTCAACGGTTTCGCGGCGGTGCCCAGACGTATCGCCGCGGGCTCGTGGGCTATGCGGACAAACCCACGGACGCAGCACTGCTCGATGCCGTAGCGGCCTTGCAGGAGGGACGAGAAGCCTGGCAGCGGCAGAAGGGAGACATTTGTGGGCATGTAAAATGGACGAGGAGGGGGGAGGTGTGCTGGTTGTGCGCCTTTTTTGTTCCCCGAGTTTCGACTGCGAATGCCCCCTCGTTCTTGCGGGCGATTGTGCGAACGTCCTGAGAAGGTCAGCTGCGACGTCGGGCTGATATCGGGAGAGAGAGAGAGTATGTGGGTATGGGGACAGCCTGCGGATAGGGTGGGGGTGTGGGAGCAGGGTGCGAGGGCTGTCACACTTGGCTCTTTCCGTGACGTGTTGCCTCTTGCGCTCTTTCGCTCTTCGCAGTGGGCCCGACTTCTAATCCCAAGCAATAGGCAGAGTCGTCGGAGCAAACAAACCCCCCCGGCGGACGACCTGGCTGCAGCGGACACTGGGTTCCGGTTGCGTGTATCTGCAATGTCCTGTAGTGTTTTGGTATGGCTCGTCTTGACGGATCCTGGAGGCGCCAAACAGACGAGTAATGGGACGGGTCGCCAGAGACCAGACCGGAGACGGCAGGCCAATCGTCCATCCAGCTTTTGCTTATCAACAGGTCGTGATCCGAGCACATCCTGCAAGCATTTTACGCTGAACCCTGCTGCAGTTTACATCACGCCCTCGACACACCAAATGTCCAGCCGGTCTCACCAGAACTAAGATATAATCGCATTGGCATTGCATTCTTTTCGAAAATCTCATAGCGATACATTTCCAAATTCCCGTGGTCCAACTCCCCCCCCTCCATCTCGTTCCCTAAACCGCATCCCCCGAAAACCGCCAAATCGCATCCCCATTCTACCCCCCCATTCTAACCCCCGAATAACATCCTCCCGAATTGCCTCAAACCCTACATCCCGAACCGAATAGCAGGCTGCTGCGCCGCGCGCTGCTGCTGCGGGGGCGGCTGCAAGCCCGCGAACGGCAGCTGCTGGTTGCTCGGCGGGGGCGGCTGCATGGTCGGTCTGTACTGCTGCTGCTGGTGGTGTTGTTGTTGCGGCGGCGGTGGGGGTTGCATGTACTGCTGTTGTTGCTGGTGTTGCTGCTGCGGGGGTCCGGGTTGGTACTGTTGTTGTTGATGGTGTTGCGGGGGAGGCGGTTGCGCGTACTGCTGCTGTTGTTGTTGTTGTTGTTGGGTAGGTGGAGGAGGCGCCGTCCCGGGTCTGTTCATCGGCGGCGGGGGCAACTGCGCCGCACCGGGGGGCGGTGGACCGACACCCAACGGCGGAGGCGGCAAGCCCTGTTGTTGTTGCTGGGTCGGGGGTGGTCCATATCCCTGCTGGGGACCGCCAAACCCGGCTGGCTGTACAGGCCCACCGGGGTTAGGGCTATTGACAGCGGCCGGCCCGAGGTGCGCCCGCTCGGCGGCGTCGATGAGGCGCTTGACGACGAGCAGCCATTTGGAGGTGACTTCGTACCGCGTGGTCATGAGGTCGACTTGGATGTTGGTTGCGGTGGGGTAGGCGTGCGCGTCCAGGGCTGATATAGAGAACATGCGAGGCGTAAGCACCCTTGATTTGCATGTGAAAGGGAACAGTGATTATGGGACGCACCTTTAACCAACTCAATCATCTTCCCCACCACATCCGCCGGCACCTCCTCCGCATTCAACTGATCATACAAGATATTGATCTTCTTTTCCGAATCATCGTACACCCGTTTCTGTTGAGGCTGTTTCCCAAGAAATGAAAAAAAAAACCATTACCACCCATCAAGCTATGATATGTATGACGCGGGAGAGAGAGAGACGCGGAACTTACAGCAGTAGAAGCGCCCTTCAAAATACCCATGTACTTCTGCAACCCGTCATAAAGCGGTTTATGCGCCGCAGGGATATGCGAGCGATCACCCGGTGCTGCTCATTTTCAATCAACATCCTCATCTCCCCATTCGCCCCCCGCCCCCCCAACCAAATTGACTCTCAAAAGTGACTTACGAAACTTGGGCTGAGGCGTCCCACTCCCCCTCCGCACACTCGCCACCGAAGTCGACCTCTGCACCGGCGGGTGCTGTTGTCCCTGCCCCACACCCTGTCCCCCATTAACAAACGGCGACAGATAGTTCGTCGCCTGCTGTGACCCGGCGAGCGTTGGGGGCGGGGAGAGCATTCCTGACGGCGGGGGTTGCTGTTGTTGCTGTTGCTGTTGCTGGTATCCCGCGGGCTGTTGTTGCCACGAGCTGGGGGTGGACCCAGCGGCAGGCGGCGGGGCGATGACAGAGGCGGGTTTGACGCCGAGCCGGCCGGTGAGGGGTACGAAGGGGGGGTCGTTGAAATGTGTCGTCGGCGCTGTCAATTATTCCCAAAACCAAAAAAAAAAAAATCAGGAAAATCTCGTCCACGTCACAAAACCATTTGCACCCCGATGATTTATTCTTTGGGTGTGTGTGAGAACTCACCAACATTCTGCGTACTCTGGAAACTCGGGCCCAACCCATCCCCACCCATCGGCGGCGGCGGCGGCGCACCAACATTCCCGTACAGATTACTCTGCGAGTTGCTCTGCGAGTTTTGCTGGTAGTACCCCGTTTGCTGGTTCACGGGGTTGCCGTACTGATCATATTGCGACACCGCTTGTTGCGTGTACCCACCACCCCCGCCGAATTGGCTTTGGGTCGGCTGGTGGGCGTAGGTTGATTGGGGTTGCTGGGTGTACCCACCGGAAGCCGTCGCAGGTGTGTAGGTATTGATCTGCGGTTGTTGTTGACCAGCGCTCGCTCCCCACTGGGACTGAACCGGGGCTGCAGCTGTCGCGGGTTGGTTGTAATACCCCTGATACCCGCCCTGCTGCTGCGGGTACGCGGTCTGATACTGGTGGTGGTGCTGCTGATACGCCTGCCCGTGCTGTTGCTGTTGTTGCTGCTGAGCAGCAGCGCCCCCAACCTCCTGCAAAAGGAACGGAAACCCCGGAACCTGCGCAACCTGCCTCCGCACCCCTCCGCTCCTATACACCCGGTCCCTCAACACCGCGATCGCGTCCTCAGACCCACTGTGTTTCGTATCCCTCGGACTCCATCTGAAACTCGCCGGGATAAGCTCCAGGATCGACCACGCGAGGTCGAGCTTGCCCTGTCCCGCGACCGACTCAGCGTACTCCGCGTACCGATCGTACAGAGACTCCAGGTCGAAGATCCCCGTGGGCGCTTGGTTTTGGTTCGCGAGGTCAGGGTCGATGAACCCGATAGCTTTGCGGAACACGGTGACCTTCTCAATCAGGGATTGGAGAGCGACGACGTGGGAGGTGTAGGCCGTGACCTCTTTCCGTTCCCGGGCCCCGGCGCCCTGGAGCAATTTGTGCTCCTCCTCGACCTCACGGGAGGACCACACATCGACGACTTTATGTAGATCCCCCGCGGCGATGTAACACAGCACCGCGGCGAATTTCTTGTTTTCCTTGGGTCCCTGTTTGATTGCGTCGGGGGTGTTGGGGCTCTGTTCCAATCTTCGGCCGAGGGCGGAGAAGAGCTGTGCCGCGTCCTCCGGTTTCGCGTACGTGCAGATCAGCGCGAGGATATCCTTCCAACCCCCCTCGCGGCCGTCCAGGTGTCCGTTCTCGACGACATCTTGCAGATCGCCGTCGACAACGGATTGGAGGACGCGGACGTAGGTTTTATCTTTCTGGCGGCGGAAGTATTCCTGTTGGGTACGGAGGAGGAGATCCGGGCCGCCGGAGACGGCGAGGAGCATCGCGTCGGCGAGACGGTTGGCGCCGAGTGCGATGTCGACGGCTGTCTCAAAGTCGCCGAGAATGAGGGCCTTTGTGAGGAGGATCTCGACGTCGGATTCCGGGCCTGGTTTGGTGGGGTAGAGGGAGAAGGGGTCGTGGCGGCGTTCACGGGCTGGTGGGGGGGCGGGGTGCTCGGGGGCGGCTGTGTCGGGTTGGGGGATGTCGGGGAACTCGACTTGAGATGCCCCAAACAATTTGTTGAGGCCGTTCAGCTGAGCGGGGTCGTTGGTAGGTACCGCACCCGCAGGCCCCTGTCCCGCAATCGACTGTTTCCGTCCCGCATCCGCTGCTCCGCCGCGTGCCTCCTCCTTAGTCGTAGCAGACGCTTTCAACTTCTGCAACAACCCACTCAACCTTGGCCCACCGATATTGCTGCGGTTCAAACCGAGGTACTCAACAACCTGGTCCCTCGCCCCGCTTTCGAGCATAACCTTCATAAACTTCCACATCTCGCGGTCCGCTTCATTGACGGCATCGCCTTCATCATTCGCAAGCGCTCGTCGTTCGCAAAAGATCTTGTACGACTCCATCTGATCGTCTGCGAGCACCGCTTCAAGTTCCGCGACACGGTGCGCAAAGGCGGATTCGGTTGCGACGGTTCGGAAGGACACTCCGCGGGACTGGGGGTCGAAACTGACGAGTTTGCCACCGAACCCGAAAGTGGCTCCTACGGGTCTGCGGAGCCATTTAGGCGGTTGACGCAACGCGAACGTGGATGGAACGTACGCCTGAGGCGGGTTCAAGTTCTGCGGCGCAAACGGGTCGTCGCTGTGGACCTGATGAACAGGACTAGGAGGCAATTCCGGCTCTTCGCTTCCCGAGGACTGAAGAGAGTGCACAGAGACGGCGCCGTCGAAGCTGGAGACGGCGACGAGGTCTGGGTTCTTGGGACACCATTGCACGTCGAAGGACCAGTTGTTTGTGCGGGCGAGTTCTCCAATTAGCTCACCGGTGTTGGGGTTCCAGGCTAGTGTGGTGTTGTCTTTGCCGCAGGAGAGGAGCAGATCGGAGTCTTTTGGGCACCAGGCCAGGGACAGGATTCCTTTGGTGTGACCGTGCATTCCCTAGTATCGCAAATCATGTGAGACCTCTGAGTCTATTGCTCTGAAAGTGCTGGACGTACCATTTGCGGTGCAGCTGCATTTCTGAGATCCCATACCAGCACCGTAGGAACGCTGTCGTCGTCCGAGGCAGTGATGAGTTGGGTGGCCTGGAATAGGAAAATGCGTGTGAGATTTGGAACTGAAACCGCAAGATACCAGAATCCCACGAGTGGTACATACCACAGACGGATTCCAAGCAACAGCAGTGATAGGTTTCCTCCCACCAGGGTGCCCCAACGTAAACAATTCCCTCTTTGTCCTGAGATCCCACAGCACGGTGTTTCCATTGTTGCTGCCAGTTCCGAGAATGTATGCGACCTGCTGGTTCCATGCGAGCGTTGTGATGTCTTCTAAACGTTGAGATCGCGTGCCGGGCGTGTAGGGGGTTTGTGGATTCGTCAAGTCCCAGATGAAGACCTCCCCATCAGTGGCACCAGAAGCGAGCAAGTTGCCCTGAACGTTATTGAAATCCAGACCGCGAACTGGTCCCTTGTGTATAGAGTGACGCATCAGAAGTGCCTTTTGCGCGTTACCCTCTGCGATGGCGGCAGGGTTCCACAAGTTCAATTCTCCGTTCTCCATTCCACTCGCCAACACCCCGAGTGGTCGGGCTGCATCACCCGGAATCGATCCCCACGCCAGTCGGTTGAACCTGATTTCGAGGAGTGAGGTATGAGATGAGGGGGCCGCGTGATGAAAATCGAATGATGGGATAGTTGAACGACACCCTGCTCGCTCAGCTCGCGACTAGGATGTTGGGCGGCCTCGCCATCCTCAAGCATTCTTGCGCCTCGGGCGCAATTGAGGCTCGCTGTCGCTCGGGCGCTATCCGTTCGCTGAGGGTCACGCTCACGTACCTAGCAGATGTAGTAATGTTCCCGACCCTCCTCAATTTATTACTTCCGGGCGCGCCATGTTTAGAGTTCAGATTAAGATCAAAGAGCTCCAGTTCGGCTGCGGTGCTAAAAGAAGCGTCGAGGGCGCCGGCGACGGTCCCAGCGGCCAGTAAAGGCCCGCCAGTGGCACTAGCGTCTCTTTGACCGGGCGACCAAGCGAGCGTGGCGGTCCGTTCAATGTGGCGCAATCGCATCTTGGCTGTGATGCGAAGTTTTAAGAGCCAGGTGGGCGAGCGCCTATGCGGTGAGAAGGCTCCTCGTTCAGCTCTCGACGGACACGCCGGTTGATACTGTACGTACGTATAGGAGAGTGGAGAGAGCGAGTGGAGGGGATATGTATGTAGTGTAGTATGCACGGTTTGGAGGGGGCCAGTTGGGAAGGTTGAAGGGAAGCCGTCGACGTGGGAACTTCGAACTTCGCAAGCGGCAGGGGGGGGGGGGGGGGGTGACTCACGGGGGGTTCTTTTACTACCAGTCGCGTTGTTCTTGTACATAAACCTGACTGCACGCTCACGTGACGACGCAAACAACTCCCCACGACATGAGAACACTCTCCCGCCGCGCTTGCACTCCCCCCGTCCGCCGCCTTCTCTTCCTGTTTCAAGCGCCGGTAAACCCCCCCCCCCCCCCCCCAAGCGGCACGTCTTCCACCGATCCGAGCACTCCGACCATAAAGCATTGCCAAGTGATGCGCGGGACATTCCAACGTCCTCCAAAAGCCATCTCACAATCAAGCCTACAATTGTCATCCTATCCTATGTTCATACACCCCAAACATCCCGTACGTCAAACACCGTGCACCCCCCCCCCCCCCCCTCCCTCCAAATCACTTCCCCCCATAAACCTCCCTCACCCTCTCCCAACTCCTCTCAAAATGCGTCGGACACTCATACCCCTCCGGGTTAACCGTCAGATAGTCCTGATGATAGTCCTCGGCCTTCCAGAACGTGCCGACGCGCTCGACGGTCGTCACGATGCGGTGCGCGCCAAAATGATGTTGCACGTCTTCGATCGCGTGCGTTGCGATCTGCTGCTGGGTGGGCGTGTGGTACAGGATGCACGAGCGGTACTGCGTGCCCGTGTCGCCGCCTTGGCGGTTCTTGGTCGTGGGGTCGTGCATGCGGAAACTGGACGAAAAGGGAAGGGGGGGGGGGGGGGGGGGGGCTTTTTAGTGGGGATGGGAGAGAGGGCATGGCATGGGAGGGAGGGGCGACGGACGTACAAGAAATCGACGAGTTGCTCGTATGCGATCTTCCGCGTGTCGTATTTGACCTGCAGGACTTCGGCATGGCCGGTTGACCCGGTGCACACCTGTTTGTAGGTGGGTTGTTCCGCTGACCCTAAGTGTATGTTCGTTTCTTCATCAGCGAATGGGTCGGGAGTGCCGCCCCGTGCACAAAGTTTAGCAAAACTCACCTCCGGCATACCCCACCAGCAACTCCACATCGGCGCCAAACTTCTTCTGGAAACTCTTCTCGACGCCCCAGAAGCACCCGGCGCCGAACGTGGCGAGCGCGTACGCGCCCGTGGGGTCGACCGCGAATCCCGTGCCGGTGGGTGGTTGTGATGCTGTTAGACCCATTTTCTTTTTGTGGTTCTCGAAAGTCCCAAGTGTGATTGGTGTTTTGTGAGGCGGGGAGAGAGCACGTTGATGTTGTTGGATTTTTCTGTGAGGATTGGGGCGTTATATACGCCGTGTGGATCTGAACCCTCTTGAGTTTACGACCTGGACCTGGACCTGCCACTCCCGACAAACGGAGGGCCAAGCCCGTTCCGCCGCTGGGTATTTATGGGCATTTGGTATACGCAGGGAGAAGGTCGCCGGCCAGCGAATGCGGCTTTTCAGGGCATGTTCCGTCCGCGGCGGGGATCGAAAACGCGTTGTGGATTTGAGGATGGCGCAATTTCTCTGATTGCCCATTACTCAGACGGCCGTTGGAGGCTGGGCGCCTTCGTAGGACAGGCGGGGCCGATCTACTGTATACGGTGGACAGTGGACGATGCAAACTATCTGCAAGCAGGACGGACCGTGTGCGCATTTTTCGGCGACTTGGCCCCGGACGGAACTGTTTTCGAGGAGCGCTTCGGCATTCAAGCCTGGCCACTTCAATCTTCAGAGGGCTCTTCGACGTCAAGTACACAAGTTGCCATCATGCCTGTCCGTCTGAGCGTCTTCAGCACAGCGTAACAGGCACCTCATGCTCGCAACCAGTCCCCGAAGCGAACCGGCCGGACATGGCTTTAGAGCATACACGCACTCCGAACGGCGGGAAGCCTCACAAGCCTCCCACACCAAACCGACACACTCCCCAAGCACACACAGTGCCATTGCCACAACATACAACAGGATATGCGAAACGGAAGAGAAAAATGTGACCATGTGCCGGCCGCAGGTAGGTTGAGCAATCTGCTCCCACGACCGCGCTAAGCTATGGTTGAAATCCCTCACAGACGGCGTCTGGCACCGACCACCCACAGAGCGAAACACAACCGACCCCCCAAAACAAACCAATGCAGCAAGCCGTGAGGCCGCGCTTCGGCTGCGAGAGGAAGGAGTGCCGCCCTCCCCGGAGAGAGGACGCTAGTTCGAGCGGCCAGCAATTTGACTCTTTGGAACTCCCGTCTTTCTAGAAAACTTCAAGTTGGGAAGCAACATCCGGGGTTCTCGCCCAGACCTGCCTTTTATACCCCTGCGAGACGCGCCCCCGGAAACAGAAAATGGCCGGTCACGTGGTGGCACAGTCGCATGCGCCATTTGCATTTTCGACACTGTTGGTTTTCGTCCAGGAACGAACGCCTCTCAACGCACAGGCAAAACGTTCCGCGTGAGGGGAACGAGTAGGGATATCATGTTGGTCCCATTGCCCTGCCCATCGCTCTGTCACCATCCGAACATCCCCCATTGTTAATGTTCAAATTCGGTATCGGCGGGAATGTGCTATGCATTTTGCTCAGATAGAAGGAGGGGATGCGTACACGTATAGAGTAGACGCGAAGGGCCCCACTTGCGGTGTGGGTGCTGCTACAGTAGCTGTGCCCCCCCGGGAGTTGAACTGAGCGTTTCCGACAACATTCTGGCGCAGTATCGAGCGGCGGCGGGCAAGAGCCGGAGTATGTAACATTCGAGATGCAGTGGAACGTCGTATGATGTGACATCAGCGTACTGTATATCATCTCACATGCATGCTCAAAAATATTAAGCACCGGGACCGCCGGAGTAAAGCGGCCTTTGCAACAATACGCAAACGCCCCGCGGCCTCAACCAAACAGTACGATCACGTCGAGTTCATCGGCGGGTGATCGCGGGTTACTCTCTCCCTCAGATCAAGCCATGTCTTGAATCATATTCATTTACCCATCTACACCAATTATGATGAGCGCTGGCTCTAAGTACAAGATTAAAACAAACGAAAAGAAATCAAAAATGTCCCCTCACTATCCATCCCCTCCAAAAAAGACGGGGACCGAGGTGTAAGTTATATCTACATGGAATACGAATGTGGGGCCGTGCGTGTGTTGTTGGGCCGCCCGGTCGGGGTGTTGATAACGGCTCCCGAGAGTGGGTTTTGATGGAACGTATCACCGCTGACGGTTGATTTCCGTCGCATCGCTGCTCGCCTTCTCCTGCTCTTCCTTCGCTTTGTCTTCGTCGACGGCGGGTTTCCGCGAGTTGGGCGGTGTAGGATAGATCTGTGCGCGGAATAGCAGACAATAGTACGGTAAGTTTAGTCCTCGCAACGCATTAATCACCACACAAAAAAACGAGTACCAGTCCGAGTAGAAACGAAAAACCCACCTTGAAGACAGTATTCAGCGCCGCAAAGCACGCATACAAACACAACCCAATCCCCACCAAACACAATATCGTCCTCCCCCACCACTCCTCGCTCATCGTCAAGATCGCCTTGCCCGTGATGCTGTGCTGCTTATCTGCGAACTCAGCGCCGCCGGAGTTGGCGAGCGTCCGGAAGAGAAGGACCGACACGAGGAGGAAGAGGAAGCCCCGCGCGAGGAAGCCGATGTAGCCTAGGCCGTGGACTGGCGGTGCGAGAGAGTCAGTATAAGTACAGTGGTCGATATACGGAGGGATGAAGGCAAGAACTGAGGGACAGCGAATGCATACCTAACCACCTCAACCACTTCCTCTTCAACTTATCTTGATACAGCTCCCTCTTGAACGACCCCATCGCCACGACCTGCCACTGCGTCAGCGTAGCGACCAGGAAGAGGCATCCGAGGAAACCGACGCCGATCTTCCCCGCGACGCCGGACGAGGCCCAGCTGTCGGGGAAGGAGGAGCGGGTTGTCTCGGAGCCGGACTCGGTGGTGCGTTCGGAAGGGGCGGTGAGGATTGTGCGGATTACGTAGTAGTCTGAAAAGAAAAGAAAATAATACATTGGGGTTGTTAGATGTGAGGCGAGGCGCTCGGAACTCAACGACTGTATGTGCACACACCATAAGCGGCATAAACGGCCCCGCTCACAAACGGCGAAACCCGATAACGGAAAAAGTTCTTCTTCTTCGAGTACTCCGCATCCGACCCCTGGCCCGTGAACGCCTCCCACCACCGCCAAGTACAGTACAGCGCGATGCAGGCGGCGAGGGCGATCAGCAGGGGTATGCCGACGGGGTTGTCGCCGACGAGGAGGAACACGCCTTGCGGGGACGAGTCGACGTTGCCGTGACCGGCCGCGACACGGAGGAGGAGGCCGCCTAGCACGCCGTACTGTATTTCGAAGAGAGAGCGGAGTATTAGTCCGTGTGTGTCCAGCATCAACCATTCACTATCAACCCGGTCATCCACCATGAACCGATCATCAAACGAATACCACGCTCGCTAAGATCGCGATTGCGGGTATTGCGCAAAAGAACTTTGCTTCGCTCGCGCTCGCTCGCTCCGCTCGGCGCAGTCCATACTCACAATGATAGCTTTCGCCATAAACCCAACTCGTCCCACAAACTTGACAATGCGTTTATGTTTCGGATCAATCCCGACCTCCCCATCCGGATGATGAAAGTTCTCGCTCACATACGACGCCGCCGACCCGGTCGACACCCGACGAAAATGATTCCCATCGTCACCGCTACTACTCGCACTGCTGCTGTGTCGGCTGGCTGTGTCGTTTATGCGATGTGGACTGCCGCGCTCGAGGTCGGGCCCGTGGGCGCCTGTGTGGTGGTGAGGAGAAATGCGAGGACTGCGACTGTGGTGGCTTCCGTTGGGTTGATGGGTGTGGTGGGTGCGAGAGTGGGGCTCGGTGCCAGGCGCTGAGGTGGTGACATGGAGCTCGTCTGGGTGGATGGAGTTTGGAGACATGCCCGGTGACATTATCGAAGGGGTTTGTGGGTGTGTATTTGCTTTAGAGGTGAGGCGTGGGGATACGGCGAGGGCGGGAGGATGCTATGTGCTGAGAAGGGACAATAGGGAGGCCAGACAAAGGTGTACGGTTTCCGTTTACGGGCCGTCGACTTTGTGCTGTTGGAGCGAAAGTACAGGAAAAGTCCCGACAGCGAGCAACAGGTATATACAGAAAAGCGAGGGAGGATGGTCCGAGTAATACGTTGCGGATATTCCCCCGTGGGATACAAGCCAAACGAGGCTTAAGAGATGGGAGAAAGGGGAACACTAATAAGAGGGAGACGAAGGACAAGTGGGGCGGCTTTATGCTTTTTTTCGTGCGAAAACCGCAGTTGTCAAAAGATCAAAGCGAAAAACGTCAGGGATCGGGGGGCGGGGCGATGGTGGGTGGCATGGGGAAGAATGGGTATTGGGGCAGCCCCCGTCACGCGCAAATATACATGTAGGGCAGCCAGCAAGCCAGACGACATGGGTGGGCGTAATACGAGATATCTCTCTCTCCCCATGTGAGCGTGGAGAAAATCCCTTCTTTTCCGTTCCTTGCCCTGTTACTTTTGCGTGTGATCTTGTGAGTGTTTGGGAGTGTGCAGCCCGCTATACGTAATCGTAATAAGGTTCGCGTGAGTGACGCGTAATGGTCGCGATGACGTAGTGGGATCGGCTCGCCCCGCTGTGTGACGCCGTGCGACGCTGTGTGACGCTGTGTGACGGACGGGCTCGGAGTCTCCTGTCGCTCCTGTCTCCCGACGAGTCTCCTCCTCGACGGAGGTTGAGCTTCCCGCATTTCCCGCAACGGTTTTCAACGGTTTCCATACCTTCCGCAACGTTTGGCACAATCCCATGCGGTCTGGCCTCGTCTTGTCCGTTGAGCGTCTTTGGATGTCCCCAAGCGTTGCGACGGCTTCCGTCAATTTGAGGATCAAGGACGAAGAACCACCTGTGGATAGTGGTCAGATCTCTGAAAATGACAGTGAACATGACAGCCTCGCAGTAAGTAAGCGAAAACGCGTCACACTCCGACGGTCTTTCCGAAGCCCGCAGCGTCCGCAAAATCACTCCAGACTATCAACATCTTCATGGGCACCAGCTTCCTTTCATTCCACCAGAACGGCTCCTATCAGAATAAGGATGCCCGCAAAACCTGGATCACACCAACCGCTCATGAGAATTTTGCAGAACTGATCCATCTAAGATCCTATTCTACTGCAACACCATCCAACTATGTTTGTCCTCAAGTTTGGGGCGGGCGGCAGATATTGCCCTGTCAACTTGCTCGGTCTGATATCTACAACATCGGCATTTGCGACAGATATCTACAACGTCTATTCATCACTTGGAACTTATACGCCTCTCCTTCCGCCTTGTAATTGCCGGTTCTTCTTTAGGCCGCCCGCACTGTGGGATACATGAAATGGAATGCGTGCGTGAGAATGAGCGGAACCGCTGGTGAGGCAGTTAACGAGGGAGAGGAGCCACTTACAATGCTCTAACCATCGTCGTAAACGTGTTTTGCATATTCCGAATCTGCGAAAACGGACTCGAAAGAGTCAATGATGGCGATCAAACGCACTCTCAGCCACCGCCCACTCAACGCCATCCCAACCCCTCACCTCAGTAATCCAACTCTGCTGATCCAAAATATGCCCATTCTCCAACGTCGCGAAATCCAACTGCGTCAACAAACTCATCGCCTTCGCCAACTGTCTCAACGGCGTGACGATGAACGCAAACACCAGCGCCATGGCCACTGCGATCCCGCATGAGACGCCGACCGCAATGGCGGTGCTGCGGCGTTGGGCTAGCTCGACTGCCTGAAAGACCTGGCGGATTGGCGGGGGGTGGGTGAGCAGGGATCGAATAGTAGAGTGGGGAAAGCGATGGCGACGCTTACCGCTAGCCGTGGTGTAGCCAACACCAATACCACCCTTTCTTCCGCAAACTCCGAGAACGAAACTCCGCCGACTAGTATAATCTGCAAACCCCAACCAGAAAACTGTTAGTATCCCCTCCCAAAGCTTATAAACTCTCCAACCCCAACCACCAAAACTTACCCACTCCGCCCCCATCACCACCCCCTCAAACGTACTAATCTCCCCCAACGGCACATTGCTATACTCCCCAAACCGCCCCACCACAACCGCCCGAATCTCTTCACTCAGCTCCTCGCTGGAGTTCCGCCCGCCGTAGATGTAGTCAAAGTCTTCGCGCCGGTTGGAGCTTGCCATGAGTGTCATGTTGCGGTCGCTGTTCAAGAGGAGGACGGCTGGCGGGGGGAAGTGGAGGAATAGAAACGATGGTCAACATCGGCTGTGGGATGAGGAAAGGGGGACGGGACGGGAGGACGTACTTGTCGACGTATTATTCTCCGCCGCCTCAACCAACAACTTGTTCCATGTAGCGTCAATGACAATCGTGGCTCCACACACATACGGCATCGGTGGATCGGTCAAGCTGTCGAACACCTGCGAGATGCTGGCGAGACGGAGGCCCTGGTTGCTTATCGTTGCTGGAATGTGATAACAGTCAGTTTATTCATAAACAGTGTGAAGGGGCGGGGGGCAGGTCACACGTACTCCCGAAAAACATGCTTCGACGCGGAACGGGTTTGAGCAGTTCGCGCACGGCGAGACTGTACGTCATATCCCACATCTTCTTGTACACCTGCGGCTCTGAGCTCCGAAGCTCAACAGCTGTGAATGAATTGTCAAATTACTTTGTGACTTCTGCCGCATTGCATTCCAGAAAAACCTACTCTTCTGATCAAGCGCATACTGTCTCGCCGCCCCTGGATCGCTGAAATCCTCGATCCCCAACGCGGCGTCGGTTGTAGGCGGGAGGAAGGAGCGTGAGGCGGTGAGGTAGGTGAGGTTGACGGTGCTGAATGTCACAGGTGGCGAGTCTCTATAAAAACAGTCAGTTTGATCTGACTGAGGGAAGGAAATAAGAGAAGGGTTGTGCAATTACCCGGTATTGGGAGCGAATTTCGCAGTATAGCATTGTACCCCGTCTATTCAAGTCACAATGGATGGTTAGGCTTAGGTGTATATCACCTCGGAGGTGTCCGTCCGTCGTGGCTTTTCTTTACCTAACCCCAGTCTCTTCATCGTCGTCGCGAGTAACTGCCACGTCGGCTTCTCCGCGATTAGGTTGTACTGATCTGGAAGAATGCGTTAGCATCGGCACGCATACATGGGGCGTGATCGTGGTAGCAGGGCACATACTCGTCATTGCGATCCCGGTGGCGGGGAGGGAACCGACGATTGAGACGGCGTGCCGGTTCGAGTCGAGGGATCTGGCCACACGGGACTGAGTCTGAACTCCGATGACATTTAGAGATCATATGAGGGAGCGGGGAGAAACACATAAGATGTTACTCACGCTCCGCATTAATGAGGTGAAATAGGCGCTGGATAGGTCGGTGGTGACTACTCTTGCCATGTTCAAAAGAACCATACATACCTAAGTACGCGACGTTAGAATGTGTGAATAGCGCCGGAGGCATCGGTTATGCGAGGATAACTATACTCACGGGTGTGACGACCAACGTTAAAGCGAGGACAATCAGGAGAGGAGCTAGGACCATCAAGGGGATCTTTGGACGTGGGTATTTGGCGGGGGTTGAGGGTTTGGATTGGAGGGCGGCAGCGAGGTCCGAGATCGTCACATCCGCTTCGCTCTCCACTGACTGTGACTGTCGATCTGGGGGTTCGGTGTTGAGCATGGCGGAATCCCGGGATACGATTGACGAGCGAGCTTAGAAGGCGCAAATATTGTGTCTCTCCCAAAAGGCGAGCTATTGAAAAGAAAGCGGACAGCCCACTCCGGGTATTTAACCTCCACTCTATCCATCAGCTTCAGCTCCAAGCCCCCCCCCCCCCGCCTGTCTAAGCGAGATACCCGCGCACCTTCCAGAACAGTATAGTGTCTTCTGCCCTCAGTGTCTTCCACCTAACATGCTTCTTCTTCAACTCGTCTGCGTCATACCCGTGGGGGCTTTGCCCATTGCTTGGCACATACCTCATCCCGTCATCTGACGGAGGGAAGAGCGGAAACACACTATTTTTTGCCAAAGACCGAGTGGATGGCAAGCGGGCTTTTTTGAACTAAGCTTATTTGCAATGGTGGAGGATGACGGTAATGTCGCCAGGACCGACGACATCCATGGGGTCTGCGGGTGGACGTTGGGAAGGTACGGGGACAATGTGTGTTAGGGCTGGGTGAGGGAAGGACGGAGGGTTTGTCAGAGAAAGGGTCTGTGTTTGTTTGCCTGGGCCCTTTGCGGCGCGCTGTCGAATATCTGAGATGTGCTTACGTAACTACGGTTGTGGTCAAAACTGGATCGCTAGAAGCGTGCTAGAGGTGAGTAACTATGGTTAGGGTCAGACTAGTTAGAAGTTGCCGAGCGGAGCGTGGTAGACGCAGATTGTAGAAGGCGGTAAGGCCGACTCACCGAAGGCAAAGGGGTTAGGTTTGTTTTTCAAATGGTTCACTTTGGCTGTCAAAAAAGTCTTATTCCTGAGGTGAGATACCCACATTTAGCACGAGTTACCCATTTCTAGTCACGCCCTTGAACCACAACGTTCTGGCGGTGCCCTGTTGGAGGTTTCGCATGTGCTCTTGAGAGCGTGCTGATCTCGTGAGTAGCTGTGGCCATCCTCGACGCAATTCAGCGCTCGCGCCGGGGTGGATGAAGCTGTATGTTGCCCCACCTCGATTAGAGTGCAGCTGCACCCCCAACACACACTTTTACCATTCCGCAATCTTGAAATGCAATCCGCAACAAGACTTGAGCTGCCCGTCCTAACCCAATAACATGCTGCCCGTCCATTTCCCGAACTTTCCAACTCCTCCCCAAATTTGTGTATGCGGATCATTAACCGACGTTTGGTGGCCGATGTGAAACTTCGGGTTGCACTGGACCCCGACTAATGTCCTGACCAGGCTGGAGGATGCTTCCCTGGTCTCATGTATCTCATCTAGAACCTCGGAAGGGTCAAAGGACTTTCACAGCAGCGCCCTCTCGTCGCCTTCGGCAGACCAGAGGGGTACAGGACAAATACCGGTTGAAGGGTTTCGCCTGGAAACAGTGGCCGGAGTGCGGCCGGTCACACTACTCAGGCAGCAGAGGGGAAAGATAGGAATCACCCATGCGAAAGCGGCGGGCACACCTCCGACGCAGGCGGGGATCTGCCGAACAAAAGTTTTACCCCAAGAAGGGCGAAGCAGTATGCCTTCAGAGCGGTACTGAATGCTGCGTTCATGCCGCTAGATACAGGACCCCAGCCCTATTTTCCCTGCACAATCTGGCACCGTACGTAAGGACTGGCCTGCCCGGTTCCGGATTCCGGAGGGCGCCAGGTAGAACCGTGACGGCATGTCTTCCCACCGAGAAGGCAATGTCCGAGGCAAGGGTGGCATCAAGTCAACGCGATATGCATGACACCGAATATACCACAGTGACCCTCATATACCACATGACTAGTGAGGAATTCAAAGTAAAGGAAAAAAGTTTATTCTCGCGACCAAAGTTGTAACAACACACAGGCCCGCCCCACGCCACGACACCCCCAATACTTGCAGAACAGCCCCGCACACTACAGTAATTCCCCACACCGCGACATGAGCAACCGTCCCCCCCACCCTCAGACCGGTGCGCTGCGGGGAGGGCGGTGGCCCCCTTCACCAATTCGAGGTTGGGCCTCGCCCATCCTTCGAGGGTCCTGTCGGAGGGGCCGTGGCCGGGGTTGATCTGGGCGGGGGCGGCCGAAAGTCCCTCGTCGTACATGGGGCCGACGCGCGCCGCAATCGCCTCCAAATGGAGGACGCGGCGCTTCAGACGGGCCACCTCCTCCTCCAAGCGGGAGGTCTGCGCGTCCCTCTTCAGGTTCTCCTCCTCCGTGCGGGAGATCCTCTCCTGCATCCTCGCAAGCGCCGCCATAATCTGATGCTGCGGCCGGTTGCGGCAGATGCGGGGGGCCGTCCGAGACCACCCGGCGGCGCTTGGGGGGAGGGGCGGTGTGACGCGAGGAGGGCGCCGTGTCGGACCAGGCCGGCAGCGCGCCGCTGCTTGCGGCCTGGGAGCCAGGAGGAGAGCCCGACACTCCATCCATGTTCAGGATGATCTCCATTGAGGAGGAGGCGGCGGTGGCAGATGCGAACTGGGAGTCCATGTTGGATGGTTGATGGTTAATGATTGAGGATTTGGAGTTATGTTTTTGGGGGGAGGGGACGTGCGAAACAAGCAGTCTCTCTTACATGATTTTCACGTCGGCTCCCCCTTCTGTAGGGGCTGATTCGTTGGATGCCCTATTTTTGACTTCAAGCGTGGCAACGCATCCCCTTCGTCCCAAATCCAGTAAACATCGAAGGACCGCTTGTTAACGTTTCCTCAATTCTTGGACTGTTTGTTGAGACTTATTATATCCAACACCAAGCAAGGTACCTTTTTCAGCGGTGCAATGCGGAAGTGCCGGATTTGTTTCGTATCCTATTCCGATGTTCACTCCTGTTACGAAATGTTGTCAATATGAGAAGCTGTGCGGCGGATCCACTGTGCCTCTATTTCCAACCCGACCTGTGACAATGCCAAGCTATTACCGCAGCCGAGGGATGTCCGTTAACTCGAGGGAAAAGGTAGCGTTTGACGGGCAAACTACTTACCTGCCGGAAGATCCTTGGATTCAAAGTGGGACTCAAAGTAACCTGGCTCCTCTCAAGGGGTTTGGTCGATCGTAAATTGTAACCATCATGGGCTTGGTTGTTTTATATATTCGCTTGTGGAATGTTCGACGTCCCTTACAATAATAGCGTCGGAACTTCCTGTTCATTTTCAGGTCGAAGTTCAGGGTCGCTTGGCGTGCCGATTGACGGGGGATCTCCTCCAAGTCGCGTTCCCGAGTCCTTGGGGGCCATCCCGCAAACGCTTTTAGGGATGTCGATTCGGATTGGGCTGAACTTGCCCCAGGCACCTGGCATAAGAGACTGCAGGCAACGATACCCATTGTAGCCCGTGGCATGCTTCAAAGAACCTTGCGTAACTTCGGCCAAGTCTGAGTCCGGGAGGACTGCCCCGTTTCGGAGTTTGCCACGGCTGTCGGGGCCATTAAAAGGAGACATCATTCCTGCGCCTCCGTCATCGACATCCCTTCCGCCTGAAGATTCCGACTCTGTTCCATCTGTTCTGCAAGCTCCTCTGAAGGGCCAGCTCTAAATGTAGGCTGGTATCCAAGCCTGATGCGCCGCGAATCGCTAGGAATGTTATCGTCCACCCATGCAACGCCCAACGAGCGCCCGCCTGAGTTCCTATGGTAAGTCTGGAGCGGGCCACATTCAGATTCGCATCGCCCTCGTGATTTTCACCTGGTCTGTGCCAGCGCACAACGTTGCACTGCACTGCGCTGATAAAGCAACACCCCATTTCACAAGCGCCTCCCCATCGTCGTTGAAGCATTGTTGATTGAGGCCCGAGGGCGCACGGCCGCTCTTTGAGCTCATCAAGCGATTGAGTAAGAGGTACATGTACATAGGAGTATCAATGTCAAATAATAATACTGTACAATATCATCGGTTCCCTAAGAGTAAGCTAAATATCTATGTCTAGATCTACGCATCTATACCCTCCTCTAACCCCCTTTTCGCGACCTCCCGGATGGCCTGCGCATTCTCAGGTCCCGTACATTCCACCATCCCTTTGAACACGGACTCATCCTTGCCGAGCAGCTCCCATGGCGTCCCGGTCTCCACCACCTTCCCATCCGACATCACAACAACCCTCTGCATCCCCGCGACAGTGCTCAACCGATGCGCGACGCACACGACCGTAGCATGGCTGAACTTTTCCTTCACTAATTTCCCAATACGATCGTCGGCGGCCGCATCGACGCTGGCAGTCGATTCGTCCAGCACCAGAATGCGGATGTGTGGGGCTCGCAAGATGGCTTTCGCCATAAAGAGTAGCTGACGTTGGCCGGAGGATAGGGAGGTGGATGAGGTGACAGGGTGGTCGAGCTTGCCGGGAAGGGTAGATACGTGGGAATGTAGGCCCGCAAGGTCCAGCGCGTGCCAGATGTCCGAGTCAGGATACTTGCCGTGTCGGTCCAGGTTGGCTCTCAGCGTCCCGCTTGAGAGGACGGGATCCTGAGGGATGATCATGAGACGGGATCGGAGGGTGTGGAGGTCAATGTCGGCGATATCGACGCCATCAATCGCGATGGAACCCGAGACGGGTGTCATGAGGCGGAATAGGGCGGCGCAGAGGGTGCTCTTTCCGGAACCAGTACGGCCGCACAAAGCGATGTGTTGGCCTGCGGGGATGGAGAGGGATACATTTTTGATGACAGGCGTAGTGGCGTCGTAGGCGAGCGTGAGGTCGCGGATGATGATAGCGCCTTGCAACGGCCAGTCCAAGGGGACGCTGATGGAGCCCTTGGAGATTTCCGATGGAAGGTCAGATGCGTAGTGGTCAAGACGTTCAACGGCGTTGAAGATTGCTTCCACCCGACCTATCGCACAAAAAGATGGGTAAATATCCTGGAGCGGGATACTTACTCAAGACATGCGGTCGAACTTACTGAAATGCTCCAAGGCGTTTCTGATGTGGCCAGATATGCCGATGGCGGACACGAGCATCAATCCCGCGGCGCTGCTTGAGATGAATCCCGCGCCGGCGAGCATCAAGGTGACGAGGATGATGAGGGAAGAGAGCAACGCCAGACGCAGGTGAAGCCAGAACTCGGCGGTTGACATCAGCAAGGGTGCCTACGGACCCGCACAGTTAGTCAGCGGCCGAGCCGCAAGCATTTCCATAATTATCCAGCCCACCTTGTTGGACAGATCCGTCACGACCTCCTGCCGCTCCACAAACGCCTCAACCCATCCGTAGATTCCGATGGTGGCGATCCCGTCAAAGCTTTCGCTCAAATGCGCCGAGAGTGGGCTCTGGAGGGTGCTCTGCAGCCGCTTGAGCTCCCTGTAGCTGGTTTGGAAATATCCGAACAGGTACGTGGAGGGTACGGCGAGGCCGGCGAGAAGTAAAAGCATGTAGGGAGATCCGAAGGCGAGTACGACGACGCTGGAGAACACGGAGATGACGCAAACGAAGGTACTGTCCATAAGGGGAAAGAGATCCGTGTCGAGGGCAGAAATGTCGGAGGAGAACCGGTTCAGAATGCGTCCGACGGGTTGGTGGTCAAACCTACAGGAGATGAAGGGTGTTAGAGGATGTTCGAGTGACCGGTTCTTCAACCTGGGAAGGAAAGACCCACCACTGGACAGGCGCGTTCAAGATACCCTCGAGGGCCTTCCGATGGTACGCTCTGCTGGCGTAGTAGCACATAAGCATGCAACTCCAGCCTGTGACCAGCGCCATACCAGTCCTCGCCAGCCCAAGGCAGTAGAATCCTGTAAAGTACTGATTGTCGGTCCATCCCAACGAATCGCTGGACCACAGCACCAACGAGATCTGAAGGGCAGCATCGGCGGCTATGCCAATTGGGAGTAGCAGAAAAGGGATGGCGCTGACGGTGTAGCCGGCCGTGGAAAAGTAGGATCGGTAAACGGAGAGCTGCACGGAGCCGATGCGACGGTCCTCGGCCACCACCTGAGAGGTCTCGAAGTTGGCGACGGCGTCAAGTACTTCCTTCGTGAGGGTGGCGGTGACGACATCAGGGTCCACGGAGGAAGTCAAAGGAAGGGTCGTATCGTCCTCCGCTTTTATCCGGTGGGTGTCACGGTGCTCCTTATCGCCTTGCTCGGCGAGATGAGCAACCATTCCAGAGAACACGCCATCCAATTTCCTGAGCTTGGCTGCCGTTCCCATCTCCACAATTGTTCCCTTTTCGAACACCAGCACGATATCGGCCCTGCTAGCAACCCTGAGGTCATGCGTGGCAAGGATGACTGTCTTGCCCTTCAATCTTCCCAACACCGTTTCCTCCAGCACGGTTCTCCCGACAGATGCATCCAACGCCGCGAGGGGGTCATCCAAAACCAGCACGTCGGGATCGCAGGCAATAGCGCGGGCGAGGGCCACGCGCGCCTTCTGGCCTCCGCTCAGAGAGATCCCTCGCTAATGAGATGAATGGGATGAGATGAGATAATGAGATGAAAATGGATGAAAAAAATAACACCAAAAAATACAATGACAAATAAAGTAGAAACAACTACAATATTAGCATATTCACCTCTCCAATTCGCGTCGACAGGCCGTCAGGTAGGACAGAGATGTCTCGGTCGAGACACGTGGCCTCGACGGCGTCGAAGACCGAAGCGGCCGTGGCTCTGCCCGCGAACCCGCGAATGTTGTTCTCGATAGTGCCGCTCATGATGAAAGGGGTCTGAGGGCAATAAGCCACGGACCCATTGACGGCGGAGGTGCCGTGACGAAGAGTCATCGAACCGACGAGTGCAGACAGGAAGCTGGACTTGCCAGATCCCACAGATCCGACCACGACGACGAGGCTTCCCCGCGGGATGACGAGCGAGAGGTCCGTCAGCTCGAAGGGTTCTGCGTGCGTGCTCTGGGCATCATCACCGGCGTCGTCCTCGCCGTCCTCCGCGGGGATAAGCGCCTCAAACGCGAACGTGGCGGCATGCATGACGATTGCGTCGGGCGCCTTGCTGTCGGGGGAAATCCGAGTGGTGGTGACATTTCGCGGGTCGCTCTCCTCCTTTGCCAGGAATGCCGAGATGCGTCGGATGGAAGGGATGCTGCTGGAGATTGCGCTGACAACCCATTCCAGGCTCCCACTCGGCCCCTGCAAAGCGTCGAGGAAGCCCAAGATGGTGAACACAGAGGCGGCGGTGATGGTCCCGCCGAACAAATGGAACGACGCGATGGCGATGCTGGGCAGTGCATCCTGCTGAATGATGAGGAAAACGATCAAGGGGACCTGCCACTTATTTAGCTTGACGAGGGAGACGAGCTGGTCAGAGCGGATGGCGTCGATGGCGGAGCCCAAGACGCGTTCCGCTGCTTCGAGCTTGAGGGTGCGCATGCCCTGCAGAAGCTCACGAAGGAGGGAAATACGCTTGTCCATGAATTCGAGGTACTTGTCCTCTGCGGCGACCAGGTAAGGTGACAGAAGAGCGACCGCCACACCCAAGACGACGTAGACGCCAGCGGTGACCCAGGTGGAGACGCCGAGGGACTGTGCGAGGAAGAAGATGGCAAGGACGATTTGGAGGAGGCAGGTGATGAGGCGAATGACGGAATCGGGCAGCATGCCGATGCTCCTGGTGTCCGCGTCAGCGAAACTGTTGATGGATCCAGGGGACGTGGAAGTGCGGGCGGCCAGAGACAGACGGAAGGTCTTGCGGTACACGGCGCCGATTAAAGCGGAGCGCATCTGAATGCGGGTGTCGACTAGTATGGAAGACCCCGCGTATGAGGCGAGGTTGGACAAGACAGCCATGGCAAAGTAAGCGACACCGTAGGAGTAGGGTGAGTCGAAGAGGAGGCCTGAGTGGTCCGCGGTAGGATCAATCACCTTGATGACCTGGGCAATTAGCAGGGGCATAGCGATGGCGACCAGTACGCTGAAAGTTTCGAGAAGCAGGGCAACGACAATTTGCGGCAGAAAATGCCAGGCAAACGTCCAGCCGAAGCTGGGTCCCTTTTGGGCGTGCGGGGCCGTGAGGACGTGGTCCCGTTGAGCGCGCCAGAAGGGATCGAGGACGTCGGCGACGGCACGGGAACTGGAAGAGTCGTTTATATCGGGCAGGTCGTCCTCGGTCAAAGGCCGATCCCTGCCCTTGCTGAGCAGTGGATTAATCCATGCAAAGGTCCAAGTCTCCCAAAACGTGCGACGAGTTCTGCGAGAACTTGGAATGGAACTGGGAGTCGACGAGGCATTCACACCGCCAGTACCTCCATATCTTGCTGCCGACGTCGAAGTTTGCAGCAATGGGGTAGTCTGGGAGGCCGTCATGGGTGTGACGTTGTGAGGGTGTCGAGACGACAATGGAACGCTTTCGGGGCGGCGGGCGACGGACGAAGACGGACGACGGACGCGAAGAGGACCTCAATGCCTGCTCCGTGTCCGTTTTATGTGCTGTACCTTGCAGTGGACCAGCAGTAGCTACCAGGTCTCAGAGAGCAGTGGAGCAGCACTCGCTTCTCTGCGCTTGTGTATCCTTATCTGCCATCGCCGCCATGTCCAAAGTCGGGCGGCTGGGAAAGCGTGGATGAGTCGCCCGCAATATGCTCATCAGCTACAACACTGTGAACCTGCCCGCATTGCCGCCCACCCCCAGACTCCAGAGACTCCTATCACCCATCGGAGCGGAGCGAATGTAAGACAGTACGCTGCTAGCGCTCTCGTCCGCCCGGGCTTCAGGTGCGTTGCGACTCCGTCTCGTCGACAGCGTTAGGAACGCGTTGTTTATACAAGCGTGTCGGAGTTTGATTTGCGACGGAACTTGGAAGGCCACAGTTCTAGGCGATATCAACGGCATCCGAGCGTTTTCCATGGCACTGAGACTGGCGAAACGAAAAACCACCCAAGCTGGAGGTAGAGCCCACAGCCTCTATATCGAAATCCGTACAACAAGGAAGAAAAGGAACGGGAAGAAAGAAAGCTACGGAGTTTCTGACAAAGAGTGGGACAACATCGCTATGGTTATGACTATGTAGAGGCTCGTCACAGGGAAAAGACTATTCTATGCACTACGGTTCCTACTGTACGCCGCGTCCGCCAAACCGCTAAACAAATCAACTACTGCCGGCCTGCGCTTTGATCCAACGAGCAACACTCGGTCCGTCTCTCTTCACCCAGGCGGTTTTGTGCTGCACGCTTTCCAGCGCTTGTTCCACGGGTCTTTTGATTGCGTTCACCTCCGTCACACGCTTCTCGCGAGCATCACCATCCAAGCCCTTCCCTGAGATCCAGTCTTGAACCGTGTGGGTGACATTCTCCCCCACCTGCGCAGAGAAGCAGGTGACGAACATGTCTGCAAGCAATGGAACGATCTCCTTGTATCGGGCGTATATGGTATCCCACTTTGTAGTGCCAAACTCCCAGAGCTTGCGTCGAGCGACTCGACTGTTGGGGTTTTTATTGGCGAGCGCCACCAGGGGAATGTACCCCTCGTGCACTTGCACAACGTCTGCATCCAGAACGATATCATTCAAAAGTCGATCCACCAGACGTTCATCGCCGGTGCATCCGAGGGCACGAAGAGCGAACGCTCGCTGATCGGGTGCTCGGGCCGTTTGGAAAATCTTCAATACAGACTCAAAGTCCTCGACCGGGTTTGAAGAATGGTAGATGGCCATCTCGAAAGCGATAAGACGAAGATTCGGGGACAGAGCAGATTCGTCGCCGGCAACGAGCCGCTCGAACCGATCTCTCAACGCCGAAATGACATCCGCATCACCCGCACGGGCGGCGCTTTCGATGACAAGGGTCCGCTTCATCGAAATCATATGGTCCTCCCCCGCGGGATAGTCCATACCGAGGGGGCCAAACTTTGGCGAAAATATGGACCCCTTGATGGCCTTCAAGCCGTTGATGACCTCATCCGCCTCTTCGACCCATGCCCCCAACACGGCATCGATGCGAGAAGCCACTTCCTTGAGAACGGTGTAGTCTTCCTCGAATTCGAAGCTCTTCAGCAGCTCGAGGGCGCCGACGGTGCTCCCTTGCCCAGCAAGTGCGAGGGCGAAAGCGTCGGACAACACTCCCCATTTGTCCTCGACGGTGAGAGAGTCCGGCGAATCTCGGATGACCGTGGCGAGCCGTGCAAGTTGCTCCGCCGTCAGGTTCACGCAATAGAACCCGATGGAGTCCTGATTGAGCTTCCAGAAGGAGTCGCCACCCTGGCTATACGGTATGGTGACGGTCGCCTTTCTTTCAGAGAGAATGTTTTGCGTCGGCGCGCGGGAGTCGAGATGCGTTGTGATCAATAACGGGATCCACCAAATTGAATCCTCCTTCATGCTGCCCGCCGGATGGCCGGAGGACAGAAAACGACTCTGTTCCAGTTCCAAGCTTAGCTCTCCTTTCACCGTATCAACAGATTCGGACACGACTTGTACAACCGGATACCCGACGTCGCACGTCCATTCTTTCATAAGAGATGCGACATCGCACCCAGAGGCGGCGAATAAGGCATACCACAGTTCGGCCGTTGTGGCGTTCGCCATCTGATATTTCTTCAGATACTCGCGGATGCCGTTCCGGAAAATGGCCGGACCCAAATAGGCATCTAACATCCTCACGACGGACGCCCCTTTGGAGTAGGTTATGGCGTCAAAAACGCTTGAGATCTCGGAGGGGCTATTCACTTCCACCGCAATAGGATGACTGCTTTCGAGTGCATCCATATTCTTCCCAGCTGCATAGTCGTCAGCAAGGAACTGGCTCCAGACCTTCCACTCAGGAAAGAGATGGTTGGTCGCAGTCCACCCAGCAAATGTTGCAAATCCCTCGTTGAGCCATAGATCCGACCACCAGTCCATCGTCGTGAGGTTTCCGAACCATTGATGTGCGAGTTCGTGTCCAATAAGCGATGTGATCATTTGTTTCATCCGACTACTCGTCAGCGTCTCATCGACAAAGAGCGCCATTTCTCCATACGTCACCAGGCCCCAGTTTTCCATGGCACCAGGGAGACCCGGAACGGCAATGAAATCCATTTTTCGTAAAGGATAGGCGATGTCGAAGTACTCGGAGAAGAACTCAAGTGTGCGGACGCAGACGTCGAGACTGAAGTGACATTTAACTTTGTTACCGGGGGTCGCGTAGATACGGCAGAGCACCGGAACGGCGTCGGAGGGTGCCGGTGGGTTCGCTGTACCTTCAATGTACTCCAACTCGCCGACAGCGAACGCAAGAAACTAAAACGGAGTCTTAGCTCATGCACGAAGGAAAACGCATCAACAGGATGTTTCGACTTACATATGTGCTCATGAGCGGAGTAGTGGCAAAGTAGACGGCCTTCTTCGTCGCGCCACCCGTTTCCACCTTCATCTCACGGATTACATGCATGTTTGAAAGAGCCGTCAAATGGTCATCAACAACCAGAATGACCTCGAAAGTCGATTTGAGATTAGGCTCATCCCAACAGGGTAGGACTTGTCTACAGTACGTCGCTTGCAAATGAGTGGCAACCAAGAACTTTTTGTTACCAGCTTCGTCGGTGTAGTTAGTGTGGAAGAAGCCGACCATTTTGTCGTTATGAATTCCTGAGTACTCCACATGGAGGACCGCGGACGAACCCGCCTCGATTGGAGAAGGGAACTTGAACGTGACGGTTTCGGCCTTCTCGTCCACGGTAATTGAGCTGGCAATTAACCTGCAGAAGTAAGAGATGTCAGCAACCAGCCAGTCTATGGACCCGATCGATATCATATCCCTTACGTGATATCGGCTGAGGTCACCGACGCTGCGGTGAATGTCAGCTCCTTGGCATTGCACACAAGTTCATTGGTCTCCTCCTTGACATCGAGCCTATGTAGAGTGGGAGACGCGAAGGACTGGTGATGAGTTCCTCTCCCAGGTAGGACGCCCCTTCAGGCTCGCATATACTCACTTGACATCGACAACACCTCCAAACGTGAGCTTGGAAAGATCTGGCGCGAGCTGTACACGATAGTGAGAGGGTTTGACGGCAAGGGGAAAGGATTTGTCGCACTTCGTTGCCGCCACTAGCAGCTGGGTGAGACAACATCTCGGTGGCTCGCTGCTCACTCAGGTGACTGCGAATGATACGGACGGATACCGAGGGGGCTAGGCGAGCCCTTGCCGTGCAATATGAAGGCCATCTGGCTCTAGCGCCGGCAGCGGCCAGCCGTAGGCAGAACAGCCCGGAGAACAGAGGACAGAGAATAGCCGAAGCCAATCCCGGCGGCCGCCCAAAAGCGCCAAAGTTAACCGCAGACCGCGTCAAATGGGCGTCCTAAACCACCTAAAGCACCTAAAGCACCTAAAAGATAAAGCAACTTTGGAACAAAGAAGGCACGTTTATGCATATCGTTGCGGGGTTTTACGATGAAAATGTGTAGAGTAGTAGAACCGTGCTATGAAAGCTCATCCCAACCCATCCCAACATTCCACGCCCTCGTCTCTCCCACCCCCCACCCTTTCTTGCACCCAAACCATCCGACTCCAATCACCCTTGCATCCCTTTGTCCACCCTCTTCGGTCATCATCTGAAAAGCCACATATCCCAGATCACCGATGAACGTCGGCGAGATGTACCACCGCGCATCACTGTTGTTAATGACTCCTGCTGGGTGCAGTATGCCGTGCCCACAGACATTGTGCTGCATCAGTCCGGGGTTCGGGTTCTCTGGGTCGTCGCCCGGGAGAAGGGGGTTGGCAGACGTCACCAGTATCAACACTCGCTGGCCCTGGGTATCAAACTCCGGGTAGGGCTTCAAGATGCAGCCGTAGGATACGTTCAGGGGATGGCCAGCGAGTAGATCGGTGTGAGGGTCCAAGGCCAGCGCTCCTAGCCCTTCTGGGAGTTGTGCAGCCGGAACAACGAGTAGAGTGGTGTCTCCCGTGGTGGAAAACGCCTGCAGCAGCCGGCGGAACGCCTCCTTGTCATCGCCCGGGGGTAGATCGATCCACCCGGCGCGCGTTGCGTAGATATCTGCCAGTTCTTGAAGACAGAATCGTCGCCCAGCACGCTCGTTGGTGCTGCGATCGTTCATGTTGCGACGCACAAGCTCTGTATAGAGGGTTCCGGCGCATGCAGATCTCCATCCCTTCTGGCGGGAATGCAAGCCGTCAATCCAATCGCAATAGCCGGCCGACGTTGAGGTTTGGTTCAAAGGCAGTTGCCCTCGTTGGTGACCACCGCCGAAAACGACAACGTTCACCTTCGGGTACATGAGCTCTTGCAGAGAGAAGCTGTCTGAGAATTGCATGTCAATTTCCGACTTGATGTTCTCCCAACACGCCTCGATCGAGTCGCAGGTGGGGGTAACAGTTCCAGTGCCCGCGACAACATTGTGTTCAACGGTGTTATGAACCGAAATGCGAAACCAAGGCCGATGAAGCCTGCGATACCAGGGCCGCTTGCGTGCTGAGAGGGACGTTCTCAGGGCGGAAACGATTGCAGGGCACCCTAGGATGGGGATGATAACAGCACGAGCGTTTTTGAAGCGGAGAGCGCGGGTTGAGTCTATGAGAGTCTTTCGCTCGGCGTGTCTTCGCTTGGCTGGGTTGCCGACGGATTTGACTTCGTTATCCAGCCGCGGGATGTACAGGTACTTGCATTTGAGGACGCGGGCTTCGCCGCGGGCGATGCACACCAATGGTGCAGCAACCCCAAAGTCCTCGGAAAAGATGCACCCAGTCTCCCCCTTTCGCTGCTTTCCATCGCCGCAGGCGCATTGCATGTGAGTGTGCGCCCCATTGCGTTCAGCGTTGGTCAGTGCGGCAGATGGAAGCGCCGCATAGGATGTGCTTGCGCCACACTTGAGGAGCTCGATCCGCCCGGTCTCGACGTTGATCGCACGAATGGGCTTTTGCCAGCGGCCGTTGGCTTTGTTGCCTGGGATTGCTTCGCGAATGTCGATGAAATACCAGCGAAGCACAGCGAGAGCGAAGAGCGATGCCAAGACTGCGGTGAGGATACTTCTCCCATAGCCAGCGCACAGGGTTGCCGCTGCGGAGAGGCCCAACCGGATGACAGCGTTGGATGCCTTTTCCAGCCCTGGGTTGATGATTGTCACGGGTTTCTTGACCCCAACCACATGGCGGTTTCCAATGGCTTTACGTCCGTATTTGATGTAAAGATGAAGAAAGAGTAAAGGTGATAGCACTACGGCGAAGCCGAGCAGCACGAAGCCGGGTATGGTGGCGGTCGACAACAGGAGTTGGTCGGGAAGCTTCACTCCCGCAACCATTAACCAACTGTAAGATTGAGCATGGGGTGAGAGACTGATGGACGGAGCAAGAGACTCAATCGGACATTGAACGGTGAATGGACGCACACCGTCACTTGCTCCGATCGCGATAGAGGTTGTTGAGCTGGGTGTTCTAGGGGTACTGCGCCTCGGGAACAAGCTGCTGCCTTGCCGCATTAACTACCGCCACGCCTCCCGGGCGCCGAACGTCCTCGGGCTCGCTGATGCTCGCTCTTCGATGTTCAGCGAAAGGCGCCCCTCTCTTTCCTCGCGTTCCGGTGCCACTCCTCTCGCCAACGCTTCAACTCGCCAACGCCCTGGCGTCGCTCGAAAGCACTCTCGCTCTGACTCACTCCCTCTCACTCCCTCCCTCCAAGCACTATTTCAACCTTCCACCTGTAACTCTTACGTACCTGTAAACAGCAGCCGCGATAACAAATGAGAAAGGCTCAACCAACTCAGCAACACGCGGCGAGACCCTCAGCGGCGCACAGGGTTCCCATTCCAATGGCGGCTGTTCTGGCCTCGTCGTAGGTAAGATGTCGAGGGTGACCTCGCTGTCAACAGGGCTGTGGGTGTTTCTGGTGTTGCTATTGGTGGTGTTGCGACACGTTAGCGGATGGCAAAATTTCTGGCTTCAGAAGTCAACGCGAACTGCTCACTTACCCTTGCCGAGCCATCAGGCCGTACTGAGGGGTGGAGAGTGCGAAGTTTGAGCAAGGTCCGTGTTGTGGGACTCCTCTTGGGTTGTTCCCGGTGTCGGTCGCCGATATATAGCCATCTCCATCTTGCACGAGATGGGTCACTGCTGCTCCACATTCCTGCGATTCTCTTGTTCCCACGGTGTGAGGCGGTGAGGTTTCACGCAGTTCCTTGGGCTGCTGAGGCGTGCTGGAGGGGAGGGTCGGTTTTCACATGAGTCTCTCGAAGAAGGGAGACTTGGCGCAGGGCGGCAACTCCAAGTTGCCAAGTTGGCACGGCGGTGACCGACGCCAGAAAGGTGACATTCAGCACGGAACGCGAACAAAGATCCCTTCGGGGGTGGGGCTAGGGTTAGGGTAAGACTGTTGGAAGTAGCCGGCTAAGAGGAGGACCATCAAGGAACTCTCGTATCGATGTAGCCGGTTACTTAACTCTATGTACGGGTCTATCTCTAAAGCTTTCTATGCGGGCTTTTAGGTGATGGGGCTCCGGGCATGAGCACTACCTGCGAATCGGGTCGTTAGGATAGCGTCTTTCGGGTGTACTTTTCGTATATTTGAATAACCGGCGAGTACATAGATGAAAAACAGGACTATGCTCGGGGTGTTAACACAGTCATCCTAAACGGTCCAGCGGTGGCCACCGCATGCTCCACGGCCTTATTGACATTCTCAAGCCCGAAAATCTCAATCTCAAACTGCCCCAAATCCAGCAAGCCAGCCCGCACTAGCCTTGCCAAATGCGTCGGCGCATCGACCGAGTACATCCACTGTCCTTTCAAGGTGATACAATTCCGCATGATCCACGGGTAAGGAATCTCCAATCCGGGCCCGCCAAGCATGCCGACGCCGCCCATGAGCACCACTCTGCCATATGGTCGGACGGCCATGATCGCCGCCCGCACCGGCATTGGTCTCGCTGAGGGCGGCAGGATGTCCAACACGCAGTCAATAAGGGCCCCTGCTGCCTGCATCATATTTTCACGGTCGTCGTCCTCAACGCCAGACAAAACACACGTTCGCAGAAGAGATCCGAACCTTTTCTGGAGGTCCGCCAAAGCGTGTTCGTTGCGTCCCGGTGCAACCACACGCCCGGCCCCCATAGCCATCGCGACGGCTACCGCCGCGCTGCCGAAGCTCCCCGTCGCGCCGCTGATCAATATCGTTTCGCCTACGCGCAAGCCGGCGGCAAGCAAGCCCCCATATGGAACCAGCAGGATACTCATCGCGCACCACCGTGGGTCTCACATTCGTCAATCTCCCCAATGGCTGTACAGTTCTCCGTCGGCAACAGCATCTGTTCCGCAAAGGACCCGTTCTTGAAATATTTCTGGAGTTTCATTCCGCCCTCCTCTCGCGCGCTCAAGCCCTGCAAAGTGATGTCCGGCACCAAAGCATCGTCGCGGCTCCGGATTGTTGGATCGCAGAACACCCAATCGCCCACTTTCAGATGAGTCGCATCGGGTCCGACGGCGTTGACGCGGCCGATCGCCGCAGGGCCGGGAACGCATGGGAGTTGGAGGAGGTACTTGCGGGCGCCGCTGAGGACTTGATTGAGGTAGGGAACAATGAGGGTGGCGATGATCTCAACAATAATGTCGCCGGTGCCGAGAGTTGGGGTGGGGAGGAATTGAAGAAGGAGGTCGGAGCCGAATGATGTGAGAACCGCGGCGCGCATTGTGGTGGTTAACGCTTGGGGTGGGATCATTCGGAGTACGCGAGATGTTTGACTTTCACGATGGCAAGAAGAGTGAATTGCTCGCCTTTTATAGAGAGGTAGGCTCAGGGTTGGCGTGGAGTGGCATGCCGGCTGTTCAAATCCGAGTCCCTAACTCTAAACGTCGATCTCGAACTTGGCATCCGAAAATGCTCCACACACTGCCACACTCCGAGCTCTCTCGGCAATCCATTGCCACCGCATCGCTCAGTATGATTTCGGAATCTGATCGCTACTCCGGAGTCCCGTCCACCAGCCGAAAACGTGGCCATAAGGCAGCAACCGAAAGCAGTCCTCTGCGGTTATTCCTAATGCGATCCACGACGGGACACAGTTTAGTTCTCGGTTAGCTTATTCGCTAGAACAAACGACCTTCCTTCCACTCCTCGAGCCACCACGGACAACCACCACTCGTTCCTCCGGTGTTCGGGCGCGGAAGCGGGCCATACGTACTGTACTGTACCTACTCCTGCCATCGAAACCATCTTCGACGGGAGCAGAACCCGTGTTGTCGAAAGTTCCGACAGCCTTAGACGCGCTGGGCATTGCTCACGGTGCTAAAGTGTGCGTATCGAGCTGGTGTTGCTGGATTGTTCGTTTGTCGTCCGTTTCGGTGATATGATATTCGGACACTTTGACAGGCACAGCTTTTTCATTGAGCTTCATTGAGGGACGCGTCAGAGTGGGTGTCGGGTAACGGATCAGCGTCCTGATCAGCGTCTCACAGCACAACACGGGCACCCCCCCCGCAGGATGATCGAGGACCTTTCCGACGTGGGAATCATTCAGTTCCTTTGAATGCGTCCAGCATACAGTATCATATTCTCAAAACGGTGTGGGGCTGCTGAGCGTGGTGGTTCCCACGAGAGTGTTCAGAAGGAGATGGCGCGCAGGGCGGCGTTGGCAATACAGTGTAACGTGTAAGTTGGCGCGCGAGGACGCGTCGCAATCAAATTGTCGTGCCTCACACTGTCAAAACCCGTCAAATAAGAGCTATTCCCTACAACTTTAATCGCGCCCATCTTCTCTTCCGATGACCTCTGACATGAGGGCCGGCGCCTGCACAACACCGGCCGCAACAAACCGATTCACTTTGTGCAAACCAACGGGCCAGGATTCTTCACAGCAACGTGCTTCCCAAAAGTATATGAAGTACTTGGACAGTATGTGGGGCGGGGAGTCTCACTGCAAGCTCCTCACGCCATTCACCATCATCGCTGAGAAAGGGTAAGTGAAGGCGCCTCCCTCATCGTCGACAGCTGCCCGCTCACACTCACTACTTCCACCTCGCTCTGCATAGATGACCGACCAAGAAACCAAGGTTCCCAGGCCAACCCAGGAAGCCGGCCTGATCAGAGGAGCGGGCTCCCTGTGCTTAAACCTCCTCTTGCTGGTGGCTGCTCTTGCGGGCCTCGCGTTTCTTATCATGGCCCTTCCCTTGTTGACGCACGCCATGCACGATGATAGTCGATGGGAGTGGAAGGCTTCCGCTTGGAAAGGAGAGCACCACGTTCGCGATATGACAAAAGCGGAGGCGTTTTGGGATCAATTCTACGACATTCGCTCGGTCCAAGGCGCCAAGGTGCATGTATTTGAAGGCAAGCCTCCCGTCGCCGGATACCTCACTCTGCCGACCGTGCCAGTCGGCTGCAGCTCGGACGACGATCGCCAGTCTCGCATGGAGTTTGAGCTCGGTCCGGGCGGAAAGCTTCAGTTCAATTGGACCGACGACGCCTCCCTCTCACCCGGCCAAATCCGCATCGAACAAAGTGGTACCGGAGAACATCGTGGAGGTGAAGATATCGACCCGATTGCCTTGTCACGCAAAGGGGTAAACTCCTACGAATTCGTCGACGAGCTCCAAGCAGTACAATCTATTTGGGTGACCATTCGGTCCTCCGTATTCGATCACCCGTGTCCGGCGTCTTTCATTGTGAACGTCACTGCATCGGTCGTCCAATACGATCTGACCAAGGCCAAAGACGCAGCTGTCATCGGCGGCCCAGATGTCCCCGGCACCGTCAGCTTGGCGTTTCTCAAGCAGCAAAGCATCGTAGTCGATTTCACCAACGCCCAGGTTGATACACTTCGCATTACCGTTCCGACTCAGATTCAGCTGCGAAGGCGTCTCGCCTCCGCTATCCTTGTCGGGTGCGCCATCAGCATCACCATCCTCGCATTGTTGTTTGCAATCTACTGGGCCGCCGGTAGCGGTTGCGCCAGGCGCAAATACCGAAACATCGCCACCCAGTATACCGACCTGAAGAAAAAGGGGCCGTTTACGGAAGTTTGAGTTCCCCTTGATTCCCTCGGTGTATGCTTTTTTTGTCCGTTCACCTTGTCGTGTTTCTATAGAATGCGGCATCAGGATGGTAGCGGCTCATATGCAATTTAGGTTCCCCTCGGCGTATGCTATTTTTGTCTGTTCACGTTGTCGTGTTCCCTGTATACATATACATGTACTGTACATACAACAATGCCGGCATCAGGACAGTAACACATTATCATCGGTTGGGGTTGAGGACGTCTGAGGATGCATGTCCCAACCCTAACCCTAAGTACCAAAGAGTGGGCGCCCTGATTATTCTGAGGTTCTGCGACATCTCGCTTTCGTCACTGCCGCAGCTCAATCCCTCTCTCCGTCGACCCCCTTTGCATCCCGCGAACAGCTGCGTGCAAGTAGCCTCAGCAGCCTCGAGCATGTTACTGGGTTCGACGTCTCGTTCACGACCGAAAAGCTGGAGGAGATCGAGCCGGTGGCCAACGCGAGATTATTGTTGAAAAGCGAGCTGGATGCTGAAGACTTGGATTACTTCTAGGCCCGTCCCCGTCCCCCACGATTCCCCTATTAGTGGGCGGTCCACCGCATATTTTCATCAACGCCCCCTTGGCGAGCGAAGCGGGATGCGAGGAAGGGAGGAAAGCACGTCGAGGGTGGGAGACAATGCCCGCATACAAAGAGAGTGGCCAGCGGGTGCTTCACACAAGAGGAAGCGGATGTCTGTCTATTGGTGGAAGCGGCAAGCGTGGCGCAGGTGGTGCTTGAAGTTGACAAACGATAGGCGAGTTAGCAGGTGGCTGACTGGACTGCCAGCAGGCGAGGGCGAGGGAACCACGCAGCGTTCGGTTAAGATACCTATGCCAATGAGCGGACCTGAGCACATGGGCATTGGTATCTTTCAACCTGACCAGAGGGAAGTTGTCAGAATCGGCCGTTGCGCTGCGGGTTTTCCTGCAACGTAGCTCTTGCATACAAACAACAACAGTCAGCCTACCGGTCGTCGAGTGCGAGGTGACAAGGTGTAGCAGGAGATGCACACTTCAAGAGAGTCGGAAACGCCGTGCGCGTGAATTTGTTTTTCGTTGTGCCATGGACCTGAAGAGAAGCTGAGCTTTATTGATTCAGGCTTCCACATCGTCGCGGGGAGGGGCCAATTGAAGGCCGAAAGGTGCTTGAGGTCCATGTATTTGAGGGACAGAATTCAGCGTTCCTTTTGACAGCTACGGGCCACTGAGCTGCCCCGAATTCGCCGCAAGGGCAGAGACGGCTCCTACCACATTACAGGATTCCCCTCACCCCTCACTACGAAAACTCAACCTAGCGGGTCCGGTAAATATGGCCATACCCTGCCCAAAACCTAGCATCATTTTGCTAACCACCGCCAATCGCCTTTGCGCTATCATCCTTGCCGCCAATGGTCCCGTTCGGTCAGGAGCTGTGGGGATGTTCCCTCCGTGTTGTGTTGTGGATGAGTGGTCCTTCTCCCGCTCCCTGTACGCCCTGCTAGTATTCTACATGTAGCCACTGCCCCCGTATGTATATTGTGAAGCTTTGATTATAGAAGCAGGCAGGCATACAGGTAGGGGCCGTGTCCCATAAACCTAGTCTTGGTCTTCCACAAGTAAAAACAGCATTCTTTCCCGCATTGCGGACAGAGTACGGCGTTCAGGCCGAGGAATCACCATATAACCTTAAGTGCTGAACCCTTAGCTAAACCCGACAATTCCCATCTGGAGTCCACTTCTCGCTCCCGACACAGGACAGACACGTGAGAAGTCCTCCAGGATCCACTTTCTCCTTGATCTGCTGCAACCGCTGAAGATGGCTCCCAAACGCGAGCATCTGCGCGTGTTGTTCCAACGGATCTCCTTCGTTCAGATAGAACCCCAACTCGTCCTTGCTCTTCGGTTTTACAAGGTCTTTGAACGCGTCAGGATTCGCCGCGTTTAGTACAGAAGTGTGGACGAATGCTGTTCTCCACGCGGGATGGACTGCGTTGAAGTCCTTCGAGACTCTGGACACCGCGCCACCGGCAACCAAATGGGTGATGAACAACGTCGAAGGCCCTCTGCTTTGGATATATGCCTGGGTGATATTCTCGATAGGGATCGAGCGAGGGATCAGGCGGGAAAAGGAGACGCTGGGGGGATCCGCGTCCGACGAGTTGGATTGCCCAAGGTTGGTCGTGGTGCCGTTGTAAAGTTTGAAAAAAGTTGAAATCGGGTAGGCCGGTGAGATGGGTTGGAGAAGGTCCGGGTGCTTGGACTGAAAGTCGCTCAGGGAGGCGAGTTCTTGCGTTGCTTCCGCGTCCGTCTTGTTAGGTGCAAACAGGATGCCAAGGAAGCGGGTGTCCAACATGTAGAAGTATCCTCCCCAAGCATGACGATTCAGGTCACGCAACAAAGTGAAAAAGTTGTTCAGGAAGAACGTCGTATCCGCCACATTGTTCATAGTTGCATTTATGGAGGTGAGATGCATGCTGGGTGTGGGAAAGGTGTGCAGCGTCGCTTGGATCACGACACCGTAAGTTCCACCTCCTCCGCCGCGTAGCGCCCAGAAGAGGTCCTTCTCCTGAAAAATGGTGTGGGGAAGACGGTAAGCATATGGAGGATCGGAAAACATACATCCAGGCCGCGCTAGTAGACCAATTCGGTAGAAGCCAGCACATACACAAGATCCAACATACCTGACATTCATTTGCCGTCACCATGTGCCCGTTGGCCAACACAACGAGGAATTCCAACGCATTATCCGCGGCCATCCCCTTATAAGGTCCAAGCGCAGAATGACCCCCGCCTTGCAAGTAGCCCCCTACAACCCCAACCGTAAGAGCCTCTCCAGCAACGAGTGCCAAACCCCTCTTGTCGGCGGTTTCGTAGAGTTCGTGCAGAACAACGCCGGAACCAACCGTTACCGCGGTGCCCTTTGATTTGGAGCACTTTGTGGGCACGAACGCATCATGAAACTCCATCTTTTTCAAGTTATGCATCCAGAGAGACAGGGAGCCAGCAGCAGTACTCCTTCCGTGGAAATCATGACCAGTTGACCTGATGACGACTCTCAAATTGTGTTTCTTGGCAAACTTCATCGTCTTCGAGACTTGCGCGGCGGACGTCACGTTAACAGCGTAGGTCGGGAGATTTCCATGTCCACAGGGGGTGCTTTTCGGCGTCCAAGGGGAACAAGTCGAGTTACCCAAGGACTCATCAGCGGGATCCTGGAGCGTTCCGGGTTGCGCCACCCTCCAGAACGGGTTCATCCAGTCATCGCGAATCGCTTGGCACACGTGTGCGTCGTAGTGCGGGGCATGGCAGGCCTGCGCAGTGGGGTTGATGCTGAGGAGGGCGCCGGAAATGGAAGAATTGAAAGCTGTCCACACACTCTGAGAAGGCCAGCACGGGTCCGAGGAAAGGCAGCGGCAGCGTTGGTGGTGCGCGTGAGGGCTGCTGAGAACGTATGAGGGCAGGCCCAAGGACACAAGCCCGGAAGTCAAGATGAGGTACCACTTGCGCATATTCCGGTATGTATGAGGGGTTGATGTCGTCGGGTTGACCTGAGTTCACTAGTCGGGCAACGAGCTGACTGTCCAGTCTTTGTTGCAGCTTTTATACTACTACTACTGTTCACAATTATTTTATCCGTGCAAAAGCATGTGTATGCGCATAAATATGACAGAACAACAGCTTGAACCAACAACGCACGGAGGCCGACGGAGCGTCGGGGGACATCTGCCTGCCACGCAACCAGCCTTGGCACCTTCCCTCTGCCTGCGTCCCTAAAGGGTGCTTGAACGTCCCTGCACGGCGGATCACTGTCAGAACGCGAGTAAGGACCCGTCAATAACTGACGTAATTGGGCGGAGGCTCTCAGTATTTACACCGACTCTCAAGGCCTGCATCACACTATAAAAGTCCTTTGACATACTTACTTTGATCTCGTCCACGAAGGCAATCAACCCGTGTGGCTACGACTTACATGAAACTGGATCAACAGCGAGGAAAACTCCAAAGAAATTGAACCGTGCCATTTTCGTACTGTACGACAACGAGGAGCGCTAATGTCGGTACATGAAGACCATGAGGTCCAATGGGGAAACGCACCCCCATCGGCTTTGGAGAAGACTGTTTTCACGTTTCTGTATACCATGTGTAAAGATGCGGATCACTCGTCGTTCTTTGCATATATACTATTAGTGATCGAGGTAAACTTTGTGGTCTCAAAACGTTTGTCATGTGAAAGGTGTGGCCGCTGACTATTCTCAATCTCATCAAGGACGTGCAACTCATCTCCTTCAGCTGGGTTCCCGAAGCGATCCCCGGACTTCCCCATATCATTCCTGAGGTAATGTATCCATTGGAAGCCGTCTTCCCACACTACGACGTTTTCTTGGTGCTGTTTTTTATTGCTATTGCCACAATGTCAGCCACGGTAAGCCAGACAAGCTGCTATTTCACATTGAGGGCCATTGTGGAAACCAACAGGCTAATGTGGACTCCTTGGGTACAGATTGTTTTGGCGACATTCTCAGCTATTAGTCTGCAACAGTAAGTATGGACATAGAGAAATCTGGATTCTCGAATGGACACTCATCCAAACCTCTCGAAAACGATTCCGCAGAGGGAGCTTCAAGGTAATCAAGAGTACATATAAAAGCTTTCGGCGGAATCGATCAACGCGTTTACCTGCGAACATTTTTAGTGGATATGGCCTCTCGTACTCCTCCGCTTGCTTAGCTCAATGGTCGCCACGGTTTTCTTTATGCCGTTCATGGAGATTTTCATTCTAGCCGTCGTTTGTCGCCCGTTGTCACCTGGTGCGACGCCACATCTTAGCGACTTCCCGGAAACAGAGTGCTTTACTGCCTCCCATTGGCCCATATTCATTTTGGCCATTCTGGGTCTGCTCGTAACGGTACCCTTCGGCATTCTTGTCAATTATATCTATGTGATTCCAACTCCAGACAGCAGGTGAGTTTTCTGAGGAATGAGCGCTATCATGGATACTTGAATCGATCTATTACTCACTGGTTTGGTCTCTATATATGTCTTTAGGAATCCCATGGCTAAAGCTCATGGATTGTTTGATGTCTTGTATTTCATCCTGAAAGTTAGGCAAAAGTTCGGTCTGTAGGTGGGATGCCGAATTCTGACTAACTCCACCTCTCTCAAGGGCGTTTTGGTTCTCAGTAGCCGATTCACCTCGGAAACCGTTGAGCTTATCATTCTCACTCTCATCAACGTACTGTTGATCGGAGCGTCTTTGCACTACATGCCATACTTCGAAAAAAGGGTCAATAACCTCCGCACCTCTTTGCTTTCTGCGTCCTTCCTATCGTCGATGGTGGCAATGATAAGCTGGATCCAGCTGCGGAGGAGCGACGCATCAGCGACATCGGTTACTGCTGTACTCGACGACGAGAATCCTTCATCATCCCGCACAGCGCTCGCGGTCCTTGTTTCCCTGCTGCCCGTAGGGCTTGTGGGAGGCTGGTATCTTTCCGAATTCTTTCGACGCTTCAAAGTGACGCGAATAATGTCGAATCTCGAGTTGAAATTGAAAATGGAAGAATCGGGTGATAATTTTGCGCTTCGGCCCAAGAACATCAAGGAAGCGAGGACTCTTGCTTCGCAAAGGAGCTCGTTTCTTCGGGATTCAGGCGCTCTTGAAACACTCGAGCGCGGTGGGCGGAAACTCTCGCTCTTTGTGGCATCTGATGCTATCTCACCCAGTGATGCGGTAAATACACCACATGGTGTCCCCGATTCGGCAATTGTGGCTGGTTTCCGCAAGGAAGCCGCCAAAAAAATGAGCCGGCCGCCCGTCGTGCTATGGTCCCCGCACGATGCGGATATAGCTTGCAGATTTTTGCGTGACAGCGGAGCTTCACCGGCTGGCCTCCGCATCATGAAACTTGTGTTTGAGGAAGCGCTTCGCCAATACCCGAAGAATGCGCAATTGTCGTTGATGTACACGTACTATCTCGCCCGTTGGGGTGATAATCCGGAAGAGTGCCTTCACCAATTTTCCGTCACCAACACATTTCAGCCTTCCCTGGATGTTCGATTCCGCGTTTTTATGGAACAACGAGATTTTGCCCAGGATCAGAACGCGAAGGGGTTGGCAAAATCTTCGTTGGACGTCGCCAGCTATGTCGAATATCAATCATTGGAAAGACGAGCATTGCAAGCGCACGTGGCCTGCGTGGTCAATCTCAAGCAGTTCTGGGCAGAAGTCTCCTTGCCCGGAGGAGGAGCACATGGGGATGTACCTCAAATTCTGAGTTCACTCAGCCGAGCACAACACGAGGCTGAGATGACTTACGAAAAACTCGTTGCGAGGTTTCCGAGATCGAAAAAGATATTGCGAATGTATGCCAAGTACCTTGTTACGGTTACGAACAATATGGATAGGGGCCAGCAACTTCTCAGCCTTGCTGACGACATTGAAAGCGCTGAGGCCAAGGCGAGCTGGAAGCAAACAGCGGCTCAGTTTGAAAATGCGCATCGTCTGGCGGCGGCCAGAGATACAGGTGCTTTTGAAGCGGTTGGAGGAACCGATGTCCCGGGATTACGAAAGGATTTGGAACAGCAGGTAGCGTCTGGATCGCTGGGGCAGTTGCAAAAGGGAGCTCCGAGAAGGCCGTCGGTTCCTCTTGCGCCGCGAACGGACCTCTCGGAAGTTTTGCGCAAGAGCGCCTTGAAAGAGAGCGGGAATCCTTTATCGAAGGTTTTTGATGAGCTTGATCGAGATGTTTCGACAGTTGCCAGCACGGGAGATCAGTCGCCTCGCCTAATCAACGAGGCGCTTGTTGAAGGATTCCCATGGCGAATAGAAAGGAGCGACAGTGTGGCTCAGGGAAGCGATGTCGGATACGGTTCGGGCCCCCGCAAGGTGAAAATTGTATCTCACTCGAACGTTGTCGGTGAGGGGCGATCCTACGTTCCCTCCCCATTAGCTGCGGATTCGGAGCAAATTGGGGAAGCTGATAAGGACTTGAGCGCATTTCGGAAACCCAAATCGGTCGCCTCCTCCGTGGATTCCTCAAAAGCCACCAGAAAGAAAAGGTCCCGTCAAGATCGGCTCAGTGAAAGCTTGACAGCCAAGTTTCAGCGGCTTACCCATTACGTGCAGATATGCTGCGGGATTGTGCTGGGACTTCTGATAGCGAACTATGTGGTGTCCAGTACCTTGTATGCGACCGCAAGCCAATATCTTAACACTTTCGAGGTACGAGTTTATGCTTTGCTATGATATCAAACACATGCTTTGCATATCAAATGGGCTGACACCTCCCCATCAAGGATGGGACACGAGCACGGCGTGGAGCTATATTGGCCGTTCAAGAGGTTCGACTCATGACCCATTATGCACAAACGAGCCCAGATAAGGCCTCATGGCAGTTTCATCATGACAAACTACTCGGCGAGGCAGGTCGCTTCGCCCGCTTGATACTCCCAATCTTGTTTGACAATGCGAATGATCCTTTGACCTTCACCGTTCTCCGGGCAAAAAACTCGTCTTACAGCGCAGAAAAAGAGGTTCTACGGAAGAATGCGTACACGCTCGGAACTGCACTTTCGGACAGTATGGGCATTTTATTGTCGCTTCCTTACGAACGCTGGCAAGATTCTGCTCTATTGGAAGACGTTGACGTTCGAATGTTGCTGGATAATTCGCTTCGGGTAAGCATATTGATGTCTTCTGCTGGCTTTAACGAAAAAACCTTTATCTGACTTGATTTTGCCAGATCGGCGACGCCTTTGATGATGCCGCCCACAGCCGTTTGAAAAGTTATATCAGCCACTCCGACAATGACAGCCTGAAAATCACGGGATTGATGGCAACGCTCATTGTAGTTGTCATCGTCATGGTGGCCCTTATCTACAGGACGCTGCTGCATTCACACCGGGAACAAGATAGTATTTTGAAAGCTCTCAGGAGAATCGGGAATCGCGACAAACGGCAGATCAAGGATATGATCGAAGAAGAAATCGAGCAACTGGCTGAACATCAAGACGATCATGCACGGATGGGTTTCACAGATGCTCTGCAATTTGGCGGACGGCTTAAGATGCGGCTATCCGTCAAACACCGTATCATGTACATTTTATCGTCCTTGACGCTTACGACCCTGGCCATTGCTCTCTTCATCCCGCCTCTACTCTTCCTTGGCGTCACCAACACCACGGCGACACTCATTATGAGATCGAATGATCGACGATATACGTTTCAAGTCATTTCATTCCTCAGCCATGAGCTCCCCGCTAACGACCTGATGACATGGGCCCCTTTCAAGGTGCAAGAAGAGTTATATTACCGCATATGGCATCTCTCCGATCAGCACGAAGCAACGTTGCACAGTGGGGATGGCATCACGACAAACCGCGTCCCAGAGTTGCAGACAGTGTGTCGCAGAGGGCCCATCTGCTTGGCTGACGCTGGTTGTGGGTCAGATGTACGGTCCTACAACGATGCCATCGGCTTCACTCAAGACTTTGTGATGGCGGGTGTGGACCATCTCCTTGATGTCTTCCTCGACCGAGCGAAGCGAAACCTCGCCAACCCGCCGTATACCTACAACAGCACAGATCTCTACTACATAACGCATTTGGAGGACGATCTCGCGGACGGCTTGAGGGTGGTCGACGAGCTGCTTTTAAGGGTGGCGCAGGACAAAGGACATTTGTATATCAACCTAGACAAAGGAATACTGGCAGGAGTACTTGTGTACTTCGTTCTCTTCTCCGCGGTCATATTTCGGGTGATCTTGAAATCAGCGCGGCTACAGCTCGAACAGATGGTTGGGATCCTGTTTTGGATCCCCGCCGAGATTGCACAGGGTTCGGCAGATGTCCAACGATTTATTCTCGCAGCGGAGGGGCGGGAATCGGAGGGACTCGAGAATTGAGACGGTGGCCGAGATTTGACTTACCAGATTGGGGATCGGCCGTTGGGCACTTATACAGAAGCAATGCGAGAGACTGAACAAAAACTGTGAGCGCCTCCCTTTCAACCGTAGAAGGATGTAGCTCAATGAATCGAGGCTTGAGGATATTCTAATTCACGTCTGGTTCATCCTTTCATTCAAACTCACATCTGCTTCAATCCTGCATTCATTGGGAGCCGCCGGAGGCGGGAGACTGCCATGGCAGCAAAGTATGTCAGGTTGGCAAGCGCTACACTGTGCTATACACTGACCCTCCCTACGCAGTCCAACCACAGTGATTTGCAAAAAGCTAAGCTACGTGAATGTGGGAATCAATATGCACTCTCGGGAGATTGATGAAATGCACGCATTTTTTCATCCATAGTCTAATCATCGGATCTCAGCAGAGATGGAGGTGGGCGGCGTGAAGTAATGGGAGAGAAAGCGGTTCCATCATGGTTGTGGCTTCAGCACCGAGAGCATAGTGCCGCTAGACCATGCAACATATTGGATGCTGATGCCTTGAATGCAGCGCTCAGGCTGAAAGAGTTGTCGCCTTCGTTCTCCACATCATTCTCACCGGCGCTCTGGTTCTCCACGCCGCTGTCATAAGTCTCTGCCTCAGCTCTGCGCTTGCCTCAGTTCAGCGTTCAGCTCAGCGATGCACCCCCTGGAGAACAGCAGAAGTGATGCACCGGCCACCGATTGTGTCATCCTCCTATCCACACTCCCGCCGGGTCCCTGGTCTCCTCCTCCCCCACCTCCTCCTCCCCTGTTCTAAGCAGCTGCACTGACATAGGCATCTCCAGCTCGGTTGCACTCCAACTCGGTTGCATGGTTTCCTGGCCATGGTTACGACGTTGATAGCCAACCACAAGGCCACCCCAATGCAGGCTGCCTCAAGCTACCGACGTGGGTACAGATCTGAGCGTGTCCCTTTGCGTGCCTGCTAGAGATGATGTCTGTTGTAGACCACTCTAGCAGAACAAGCTGATTCCAACACCATGAATGTGTCAAGGTCAGTTGCTCGCTCCAGCACAGCCAAGATCCGTACAGTCTTGCAGGGTTGTTTGATTGCCGGGATAGCTGTGTGTCAATGAAACCACATCAATGCTGTGGTAATGAAGCTAACAACGGTGAGGGATTGTGGTTGTTACCTGCTGGTGATTTGGTGGTGACGATGCTCGCAAATTGCGTTGGGAAGGAAGGAACGTTAAGCCGGGGCACAGATGCGGCTCGCCGGCGCCGTCGCGGCGAGCCGCTGGTCATACGAGCCCTGCCTCTTCCCCCGGTCGGCACACCGGACCACTGCCGGATTCGCCCTAGGACTCTGTCTGCTTTGCAGCCATAGAACATGCGCTATGGACTCAAGTTGAAGTCTCCAGATGAAAAACGGGAACCTACTCTGAGGATCTGTACTAGAGCCCCAGCCAGGACTTCAATTGTTTCCCAGCTCCAACTTTGAAGTGAACTTGAAGTGGCCACGAAAAACATTTGAGCGCGGTCTACGTACCGTGGGAAGGTTTGCGTCAGTGTCTTGGTGACTTGGACTGCCTACCGAAAAGCTTTGCGGAGCAATGGAAGCTGACATTCGCAGTGAGGTTGGAAAGTCGGTCCAGAACTTCGTAGTACAGTAACTTCGCTTCTCGCCATCCGTTCAAGCCGTCTCCTGGTCCACTGAACGCCCGCGTATCGACAGCTTGGGAATACCTCGGTCAGAGGGCAAGGATCCCTTAGCGAACTCCGGACGCTTACAATGTCAACCGCATCACAACAAGATACGTCCACTGTAACAGTAGCCGTTCTAGGTCCCGGGCGACTGTCCGCTGCCATTCGGGTGTATAAGGATGCGACGGGTACAGACTTGCGCCGTTTGGTCGCGGGAGAATTCTTCGCGGGGAGTCTTTTGCAATCGCGGCCACATGAGCTGACCCTTTACGACGTCAGCTTGGAAAACCTGACATGGGATGATAGCCGGTTGCTGCAGAATATTACGCATAGGAAGGCTATAGCCAGGACGTTTCCCACGGCGACTGAACTGTCACCACTTTCCTGTCTTGAAGTTACGAACGTTTTGGGAGCGGCGGATGGAACTGTGAAGGTTCTGGCGGTGGTGTTTCCTGGTGCAGGAGGTGCGTCGAGGGAGGTGCATCCGCCTCCGCAGTATCAGCAGAATGTGCAACTAGGTTCGCCCGGTAGAGTGGGGGAGACGCAGCGTACTGAAGGAGATGCAGCAACGCCACCGGATGCGACGGATGCCACCGGATGCCACCCCCGTAGAGCCGCAACGACTCCGGCATCATCACCGGTCGAGTCAGAACCCAGGCCGGTGGAGCATGCACATTATCCGTCAAATAGCTCTGGACAGCCAGCTTCAACCTCCGCGACAGGTCTTCCCGCCCCAAACAAATACGTGCTGGGCGGATCCCCAACGAACATTCGGTTTTCGATGAACTCGTTTCTATTTCCATACCCGCGTCCATATCCGATGCAGCACGGAGGCCCACCCCACCCCGGATTTCCTGCGTACCATCCACATCCTGGGCAACATCCGGGGCATTATTTGTGGCAAATGCCTCCAAGTCCGAGCTACACCCCCGCGCCATATCCAATGCACTTCCCCTCTCCCCCAATACCCGCTGACGGGACGCGCCATCCTCCAGAGCGCGCTGCGTCTCCATCCTTTCCAGCGGGAAGCTCAACGCTGGCCACATCAGTCCGTCCTTCAACCGCACCCGGCTGCTCGTCGAACCAGCGCCCCGCCAATACCCGTGCTCTCACGATTTTAACCAATCCAGCGTACGCTTCCAGCATATCTATATCAGGCACAACGGCATCACCCACTTCCGCAACGAGACTTCTTCCCAGTTCCACGACATCGACAATGCCCCCGGGCACCCTAGCCCCAGATCCTGTGACCGAAAACGACGAACCAGTCCCGACGCCGACCAGCGCCTGCCCACTGTCATCCACGAACCCGCTCGCAGATTACGAAGCGACTGCATCAACAGAGCCGACGATTATCAAGGTGGACGATTACATTCACAAACCAGCGACTTCACGGCCACTCCCATACCCAAAATTTGATAACGCTGACGACGACAGGAAGAAGCGCAACCGATATATACTGTTCGCCATCGCCGGACTAGTCATCGTCGTCATTGCGTCGACCACCATTGCCCTCCGGGCATTCAGACACTCAGAGCATGGGGATCCTCGCGTCCCGAGTATTTCCGATGTCGTGAGAACCTTCACATCACCATCTAGGCAACCCTACTGGGGCATTATGCCCTCCCACGACGACGGCTACTTTGTCGCGAAGATCAAGGATGTCAATCAGAACGACGAGTTCCAAATCCCCTCTACGTCTGTGTTTCGTCGATACGATTCGAGAAGATCCGTGCTCTCGAAAACTTCGGATAAGTACGCGGCTTATTCACCAACCAATATCGAGACCGTCAGCGGCGCCATACAGATTTGGAATACCAAAACGGGCGACTTGGCCGATTTGGTGGATATCGGGTGGTACCCCAGCTCCATCCAGTTTGGAGGCGGGGAGGACAGATTTTTGGTCATGGACACGAGGGACAGCGACGGGTGGTACGTGAACGTCACCGTCGTAGACCTCGCTTCACCCACGCCGCATTCCGCCACCACGGTGAACATCATTGTTCCGGGCGAACAAGCGAAGAGGGTGTACCACACCCCGGACGAGATTATTGTCCTCTACATGTCAGGCAGAGTCGATCGGTACAACCTCGCGAATTTCTCGACCCCGGCTCAATCAACATCCCAGATCCAGCTCCCGTTCAACCTGACCGACATTTCGATTGAAACGCGTGCGGCTGATCACAACTCAGTCTACTGGTTACTGCAAAGCAACATCCTGGTGCAGTGGATCACCGCGCAAGCCCAGGCCCCTGAAAGCAGCATCCGCACCGTCCTGTCCAGCAACATCACCCTCCCAAGCTACCCGGTCCTCGGCATGGCACTCCACCCAGACGGCAACATACTCTACCTCGTCAACGGCGCCCCCAGCGAGAGCGTGCGGATGTTTGATGTGCGACCGGGCAGCGAGGGGTTGGTGGGGACGATGACACCACAGACGCAGTACCCCGCCGCGGATGTCTCTGTGAGCGCCACGGGTAGGTATTTGTGGATTGCGTGTGGGTGGGTTGTCCAGCAGATTGCACTTTGAGTGGGCGATTTTTTGGAGGAGGCTGTTTTTTTCTGCGTTTTGATGGACTTGGACGTAGGTGTTTTGGCGTATGTTTTTGATAGATGTACACTGGATGATAATCTAGATATGTAGGGAAGAGAGGCTCGGCAACGATTTGCAGTGTCTTTCTTCAGTCGTTGTCCTAATCCATCGGATTTTGTGAGTGCATCACACGCCGCTCCCAACCTATTCGCCTCAGCCGCCTCAATCGTGTTTCGCGGGGATCTTTTACCGCTCAGACTTGCTCGCAACATAATCCTTGAAATAGCTGACGCTGCTTATGTCTGCCAGTTCTTGCTGGGCCGCGTTGAAACTCTGTTTGCAATGAGAGTTGGGCTTCTATGACATTAACAGTAGCATGCGCTGCTTCACGCTGGCGTAGCAGGCATCCTAGCCGTTGCGGATAACTCATCTCGGGAACCACCTGATTTGGGCGTACAGTTGGAGTTCGACAGCCCTACCCCGCCCACCGCCGTCGTTACTTGACCTCAATCGGGACTTACCAAAAAAAAGGGTCCTGTGCTTGGGAGAAAACGTCGTATGCAGGAAGGAAGAAGTGGAAATATGATAGGAGTTGTTCAAAGGAGGATGACAAACTTGATGGTGCCTTTCCTGCAATGCAACTGGACAGCTGTAGAGTACATACATACAGTACAAGCGTCGGCCGAGCAAGGCACGCGCTTTCGCACGCGCGGAAGGGGAACCAGGAGTCCATAGCAACCATAGACATTGACCGGCTACTGGGTGACAATGGGCGTATGTAGCAAAACATGGAAAGCGCGTGGGTCATTCTAGAAGGTGGAATGGCATTCATCTAAGTCGGGCAAGGTGGAAGCCTGCGAAGAACGGAGATCCCGGGAGAGGTGTTAGGCGGGGAGGGACGATGGCGGTATGGGTGCAGTTTAGTGGGTTTTGCCAACTTCGCCCACCCGATCCGTAGCCCACCAAACTACACTTATACATTATCACGTATACATTACAGAAAGAACCCCCCTCAAGGGGCCTGACGCCCCCTGAACCCCCGGCCTTCTCCATCACTTGTCCGAGCGGTCTGCAGGGATTTACTTAGCAGTAGTCGGCAGAGGAAGCAGATGACTGAGCGAACTCTATGTAATGGTGAGACTGAGCTCTTAGTGTGTCATAGGACTCTAGTCACGGAATGTCACATAGGACGCGCCGATGTCACGGTGGCGCAGCTGTGGCAGCAAGCCACGCTGCGCCACACGAGCGCGCTTCCTAGTGTATTTATAACTGTCAACTAGTAGACCTCAATTAGTAGCACGTTTTCATACCCAAAAAAAGGATATGGATGTCACACATACCTCCTGTATGGCCTACGGTTGAACAGTAACAGTTGATTGATTGGAGCCGCCACCCCATGACAGTAGTTACCTTTGCAGTTCGGCAATTCGGCATTGCATTCGAGCATTTTAGCATTTCCATTTGCCATTCCATTTTTCACTTATCAGGTTTTGGTCACCCTCCACTGCCCTATGCCTGCCCTTCTGCTCGCTCGTGCTCTCTTTTGCTGCCCCTCCGTGTTTTGTTTGGCAACCGGCGACCGTCTACCTTCGTTCCTTTATTTGCCCGCCATTCCACCGTTTCCCTCATTTCCAAGCGTCTGGAGCACTTTATTCGGACAGAAGGTCTGTGAGGTTGCACTGCAACCGTCCGTCCATCCTTGACGCTGTCACGGACACCACTGCTGTTATGATCTCGACGACGGGGGCGGAAGCGAAGTAGAGAAGACAGGGCGAATGTGATAGGCGACAAGAGATTGTATTGGCGAAACAAGAAACAAGGACTAGAACAGGAGATGAGAAGAACTGGTGTTGATCTGCTGGGGAGGAAGGGAATGGACAAAGAGAGGCCGGCTATTTATAGATAGGCAACCCAGCAGATCAGAGAACAACAACAACAACAGGGGACTGGGGGGGGGGCGCCAGCTATGCTCCTAGAGCGTGCGTGGCGAGTGTAGAGAGCATTGCTACAGCTGCTGGCTATGGGGAAGTAGTGGGGGGTGTGGCGAAGCCGAGGGGGGATTGGCGAAATGGGAGGAGAGAGGAGGAGTGGCGATATTGCAAGAGGATTGGCGAAATGTGAGGAGAGAGGGGGAGTGGCATTGACATTGACATTGACACTGACATTGACACTGACATTGACATTGACATTGGCGTTTGACATTTGGCGGTTGCCATTGGCGGCTGTCAGTAGGTAAGCTTATGGTATGGGCGCGTCGTCCATAACATCACCCCTCTCTTTAGCGGCGGCGGCGGCGGCGTCGAGTTTGGTGTGGCCGCAGAGGAGGTGCTACGGGGACAGAGGAAGGCTTGTTGGGGTACGCGCTGTGGAAGTCCTGGAGGAGTGCGTCGGTATGGGTGAGGTGTTCCACGGGCTCCCAGGTGTTCTGGGAGTCAGGCCAGCCCTGCCATTTGACCAAGTACTGAAGGCAACAACAATGGATGCGAGAGTCAAGGATGGCTTCGACGACCCACTCTTCTTGACCCTCAACGGTCTCTGGGGGCGCGGGTTCAGGTTCGTGTCGTTTGGGGATGGTGAAGCGGGGTTCGAGGAGCGAGACATGGAAGACATCGTGGATTTTGTACGTAGGCGGGAGCTTGAGCCGGTAGGCGGCGGGATTGAGTTTTTCAACGATGGGGAATGGCCCAATCTTGCGATGGTCAAGTTTCTGAGAGGGCCGGGTTGTCTGGAGGTTTTTGCGGAGGAGCCAGACGTGGTCGCCAGGCTTGAAGTCCGGTCCAGGAATTCGTTTAGCGTCGGCGTAGCGCTTCATTTGATCTTGGGCTTCCTTGAGCTCGACGGGCGAGCTGTTCATGGACTTCCCTGATTTGTTTAGCGCGGGCTTCAGCGGCGGGGTTGACGGATTCGGAGGTAGCAGAGGCCGCGAAACTGAAGCGGGGGTGGAGACCCTTGTTGGCGTAGAAGGGGGTGGTCTGGGAGGCGGACTGGTGGGTGTTGTTGTAGGCGAACTCGGCGGACGACAGAAGCTGTTTCCAGTTGTCCTGTTGGTGGTTGCAAAAGCATCGGAGATACTGCTCCAGGATCTGGTTGGTGCGTTCCGTCTGGCCATCGCTCTGGGGGTGGAAGGCCGAGGAGAGGTTGGCTTTTGCCCCAAGGAGTTCGAGAAGTCGACGCCAGAACCGGGACTTAAACCGGGGCCTCGGTCAGAGATGACGTCGTCGGGGAGGCCGTGGAGACGGATGATGTTGTGGAAGACTAGGTCGGCGGTGGATTCGGCGGATTCTGACTCGCTGCAGGCGATGAAGTGGGCCATCTTGGTGAGGCAACAGTTGACGTTCAGGATGGAGTCGTACCCGTCCACGGGAGGCAGACCGGTGATAAAGTCCAGGGACCAAGATCCCCAAGGGCGGGTAGGGATACTGTTGGGCTGGAGTAGGCCATATGGTTTGTGTCGACTGGATTTCGCTTGGCTACAGGTATCGCAGGACTTGACGTAGGCCTTGACGAAGCGCCACTGGCTGGGCCACCAGTAGTTGCGGGAGGCGAGTTCGAGCGTCTTGGACATCCCAAAGTGGCCGGCTAGGGGTGTATCGTGCATGTCGTGGCAGACTTCAGCTCGGAGCTTGTTGGTGGGGACATAGACCAGGTTATCGTGCAGCAGGATCCCATCTTCATCTGAGAACCGCTTGATACGATCTTGGGTTTCCTCGGTTCGTTGGGCGAGGGGTATCTTGAGCTTTTTCGCGAATGGTCTTAGCGAGGGGATCAGAGGCCTGGGCGGCCTTAATCTTGTCAAGCAGCGTGGTATCCATGGGTGTGAGGTAGGCCGCGGCGAGTCGAAGGCGTTCGGGAGTCAAAATTGTGGTTGCCTGGGAGCGGAACGCTTCTTCCCCCTCTTTTAGCTCATGTTCGGAGCGTCGGGAGAGGGCATCGGCTTGGTGCTGCTGGGAACCGGGGCGATAGGTAATGACAAAGTCAAAATCCGAGAAGAATATCGACCAGCGGGCTTGGCGGCGGTTCAGGGTGCGGGTGGTCATGAAGTACTGAAGGTTTTTATGGTCGGAGTAAACGGTGATCTTGTGACGGGCGCCAATGAGATGGTGTCGCCACTGGGCAAAGGAGTCTTGGATGGCCAGAAGTTCCTTGTCGTAGATCTCGTAGTTGATCTCTTCGGCCGTGAATTTGCGAGAGTGGAAGGCCACGGGGTGGAGCTGATTGTCCTGGTCAGGTTGGAGGAGAACTGCGCCAAGAGCGAAGTCGGAGGCGTCAGTTTCGACGACGAAGGGCTTCTCTGGGTCAGGGTGAGCAAGGATGGGGGCGGTGGTGAATGCTTTCTTCAGGTTCTCGAAGGCGGTGTTTGCGGCGGGTGTCCAGGCGTACGGGATGTCTTTCCGGGTCAGGGCTGTGAGCGGGGTAGCGATCTTGGAATAACCTTGGATGAATCGGCGATAGAAGTTGGCAAAGCCGAGGAACCGCTGGACGCCTTTGACAGTCTTGGGAGGTTCCCAATCCGTGATGGCAGCGATCTTCTTGGGGTCCATCTGGATGCCTTTCTTGGAGATGATGAAGCCTAGGAACTCAACGGATTCGCGGTTGAATTCGCACTTCTCTGGTTTGGCGTACAACCCATGCTGTCGGAGGCGGGACAAGACTTCGCGGACATGTTTGGGGTGATCTTCGGGGTTCTTGGAGAATATCAGGATATCGTCGAGGTAGACGACAACAAACACATCGAGAATGTCGCGGAAGATGTCGTTCATCAGGTACTGGAAGACGCCAGGAGCATTGCTGAGTCCAAAGGGCATGACATTGTATTCGAATAGGCCGTAGCGGCAGCGGAAGGCGGTCTTCCATTCATTGCCCGGGCGCATGCGTAAGAGGTTATAAGCCCCGCGGAGGTCGATCTAGGTGAGACGGCGGGCGCCGCGCAAACGATCCATGATACCGTTGATCAGGGGCAGGGGGTAGCGATTCTTCACCGTGATGCTGTTCAGGCCTCGATAATCCACGCAGAGGCGGAGAGAACCGTCCTTTTTCTTCACAAATAAGACTGGCGCACCGGCAGGGGACTTTGAGGGTTTGATGAATCCTTTGGCGAGGTTTTCTTCGAGGTATTCGCAGAGTGCCTTCATTTCTGGTTCGCTGAGGCTGTAGATCGGGCCGAAAGGTGGCTGCTTGCCTTCTTCCAGATCGATTGGACAGTCGTAGGGCCGGTGCTCTGGGAGAGTGTCAGCATTTCTCTTTTCGAAAACGTCCGCGAAGTCTTGATACTCGGG